GACATGGTAGCGCACATCTGTCACAAATCTCTGAACTCTTATCAGCACTGCGTTGACTATATTCGAATTTAATCATATTTCATATCAACATTAACTATAATAATAACCTCTTTGCGTAGTAGTTCCTCTATTGAGGTTGTTTCTTCAACCATGAATTTATGAACAACTTTGTTGATTGTGTTTTGTTGTGGAAAAAATAAGCCATTTTGGGTAACACTAAGTAATATCAAATGAAAAAACCAATACATAAAAAAGCAAGAAAAGATGATGAAAGCTGGAAATGGTTATAGTATTAATGTGTGGATATGTATTTAGATGATTCAAAATACAAATCAACCAGAAATTAAGAACATAATGATAATTAATCAATTACCAATAGTGATATCTATTAAATATTTTTAATTTTGTGTGAGCTCGTCGTATGTAGAGTCGTCGCTGAAACATTCGTCATCCGTACCAATTTTAAGCCACTCGTACCAGATTCTGCACAAAATCTATGGTCCACTTTTTTTTTGTAAGTCTAGTGGCGAAAATAGGTTAATAAATAAAAAAAAAAAAAGAATACAAAATATTTCTTTCTTCCAATTATTATACATTTCATACGGATTCATTGATACCAGACTTATATTATTTTTGCTTCTGATTGGTACTTCTACATAACTCAAAGATTAAGGAGGAAAACCGTGGGCCCTTAGCAATTTGTTGTTAATTTGAAACTTTAAGTGAGCTATGGATTTTTCAATGTTGCAAAAAATTGAGTACTACACGATCAAGAAAACATTGTCGTTTCCTGATTAGGAATTAAAAGGGTTTAATTTGAAACATTAATCTATGGTATAGTAAAAATTGTTTTACATCAACAACCGTGGTACATTAATTCAGAATTACCCTAATACCGGAGTGATTAAGTTCACATTCAAAAAAAATTGTTTCCAACAAAACATGCATATTTTTTTTTTATTAAAATTACAGAATTACAAAATCTGAATACTTTATTCGAATCAACATTTATTATATTAATCTACACACTTATAATAATAGTTTCGAGTTTTATTTAATCTATATTAGTTTCAATTTGCATTAATCAGGTTTTTTTAGTCAGTTTTATTTCACCGATAGCTTCTAAATCTTCTGGAAGTGGTGGCCATGAAGGTAAGGAATAATATAATTGATCTGAATAATGATCATAGTTACCTTTAATTAATACAAAATTTTCTTCACCTTGTGGGATTTCGACACAAAAAAAACAATCAATAGTTCTACATTCAAAAACAAAACGACCAATATAATCTTTACCTCTTTTTTTATTTAAACATTCTAAACCTTTCAAAAAATTGATGGCATCATCTAAAGTATCAAATTTTCTAGTGAAATCAATAGTTTTTGCTTTATCACAAAGTGGCCACATTCTTTAAAATTTTAAAATTAGTTGATAGGATAAAAATTTAAAAATAAAAATAAACTTGATAAAATTTAATTTTTAGAATTATCAAGAGTATTTATAAATAGAGAAATTTCAAAAGGAGTAGCTGATATGGGGTTAAGTAATTTATATGCAGGATAAATGATTGAATTGTTTCAGATTCACTAATCGTCTAAATTATTAATAAATTAACAAAAAATTCATAAAATTGAAATATTCACAATTGAAAATTATGGAACTATATAATAGATTATAATTTGGTATTCGTTATCATCACCACATCAAATTCCGCCAATTAACTATAGACCCCAGCATCAGTAAGCAATTTATCCACTATTTTTGCTTCTTAGTTATTAAATTTCTGTCTTTTTGTAGATTAGTTTTGTTGATTATCAGTAATTTTATTTTGATCTTGTTTGTCTTCCGCGATTAAAGGAGTAATGATAATCAATTTGCCTTTTCTCATTTTGGTGATTTTGATCAGCTGCATTATGATAGTAATAATTAATGAAGTAGCTAGTGGTACCAAAATTCTTTTGATATAATCAAAAATTAATGAAAGAAGAAGATTAATAAAAAATGTAAAAATTCAAGAAAAACAAAATTTAAATTTTAATATTTAAATTATTTATAAAGATTTATAAATCCTCCTTAAAATAAAAATTAATTTGTTTTCTTTTTTTGTTAATATACATAACTACAACTTTTTCATAACAACAGCATTAATGAGTCAACAACCAAATCAACCAAACAGCAATCAAAAACGTACCACTTTTGACATTCTTGGTCATAAAGATCAATTGAATGACTTAAATTATGACAAACATAAAATTCCAGAAGAATTAACTAAACAAAATTTTGTACTTTTTAATCAACAATATTTATCTTATTCTAATGGACTTCAATTAAGAGATGTTCATAAGGGTGATTTAACATATACGACTTATAAACATAAAGTCAAATTTGTTGATGATGAAGGTAATAAATCAGTTGCATCTGGATCTGAAAGTGAAAGAAAATATCCAACCAGTTATAAATGATTTATACCGAAGGTGAAGTAGCTGCAAATTCCAAAAAAACAGAAAAAGAAAAATCCTAATTATCCCAATTACAAGTTATAATCCCATGTTGATAATCGTTTTCATAAAAATTCGTGGAAGATCATTTAATGAACTGTTTAATAGGTTTGTGTAGTGAATTTACAATTATTTCGTAACACATTAAAACGTATATGTAAACATCTATCTATAAAGAATAATATGTTACAGTCAAAAGGTTGTAACCATTAATTTGTAAAACTTCTTGAAATGCAACCAAGATCTTCTTAAGTACATTCATATCCTGGTTAAACACCAGAAGGATTTGGATTTTCATATTATTAGCTTTTTCACTTCAGTTAACTTTTTTATTTTTCAATTTACATCAATTCTCTTTACCTTGTTGTATATTGATAGAAAAATATTAGAATGAACAAGTGAAAATTCTTTTGACTTTTTGAAGATCAATTTAAAATCAATTTTTTATTTATTCGTTTATAATTATTGAACTGTCTTGGTGTTATAAAACTTTAAATAATACCGATTTCGTCACAATCAAGAACCTAATGTACCATTGTAACAGCCAATCAAAGTTCTTGTATCATTATCAATCTGTTGTTTCATTATTGCTGCCCAGATAGTAAAGAATGCATCTGTCGAAACTATAAGTGGATTTGAATCATTAGGCTGACTGTTGGGTATGAAACTATTGATTCAGAACTTCCTAGCCCTTGAATCAAGAATGATGATGAGTCCATTTACTTTTTTTTTTTTTTTTCATTGTCTAATGAGCATAAGACACTTTTATATACTTCTGGTAACATTTTGTCTTTATGTATGCCACTTACTCTTGCCTTTTCAAAAAAGATTGAAAGCAATCAATGGAGTTCTGCAAATTTTGTGCTGGTAACAAATCAAAAACAATTCGACTCTTTTAGTGAAAATTCTTTGTCTTGGATCCCTTATAATGTGCTGCATGAGCAAATTCAAAAATTGTTAAATAGCATTTAGTTCCGGAAAATCATCACAATCATTTAAAACATCCATTACATCCATGACACCATTGAAAACTGCTTGTTGCGACCTGTGACAGTAAGTTTTTATGTCCTTGACCATTGACTTCTCATTTCTCTGGCTCAAAGTCATGACAAATAGCACCCAAAACGCATCTCTTTAACACCCAGGCACTAGAGGTTCTCACAAATGTAGTTTCACCTCTTTCAGTACAACAACCAGATCCATGAATATTTTCATCAAAAAATTGCTTCATCTACAAAATCTCAATTAGCATAATTAGTACCATTTTCAACAACATCAATCAAGCTTGTCAAAGTCATATCTTGCTCCTAAATTTTGCCAAGTTTTTCCTTTCAATATTATCTGCTTTGACTAATCAAATGACACCATTATTCGTTCATGAAATTATTTCAATTAGACTCACTAACTTTTAAACCAATGGAATATTTTGAAAATTTCACATTACATCTTTCACCGTCATTAAAAGATTTGAAGCAACAAAATGACGTAGATTTACTTTATGATGATCATTCAAATGCTTTTAATATTTCTTTTTTTGCCTCGATATTGACATCGGATTGAGTTATAATTATATCTAAAATAAATTTGATTGTTCTTGAGAAGTATTGGTTTTTTTTTTTTTTTCTTTCAAGCAATTTATTAAGTTATTTACCTATACATATATAAACCTACAAAATAAACTAGCATGATTAATGAAAATTAGAGCGACAAACTAATTCTAACTTGGACGGAAATTATTTTATCGATAGGAGCGCAATTTTAATTTTCTATAAACTCTCGATTCCTTGTATCCAATATAGCAAAACATTTACAAGAGATAATTATTTTCTTTTTTAAGGTCAACTATTCAAAAAGATTAGTAGTCTAACTTGCTAAACTTAAATTTGAAATAGAAAGTTCTCACTAATATGTATAAACTAAAAGTCACGAAGGTATCCAAAATATTTAATTCATCTATACAAACAATAACTACGACTCAACTATGAATTAAAAAAACATCAGTTCTTCTAATATGTTTAATTTGATAGCCATAAAATTCTTGTGGAATACCAATGCCTTTTTAATAAAGTATCTAAAGTAATTTTGAAGATATTTCATTTCATTTCATTCAGCAGTGAAAAACGTGAAAACAATCTTAATATCGATTTATCATTATACGAAGATCAGAATACCACCAATCGAATACATCTAAAAATATTCTTATTGTGGAGTGACATGTATCAGTTGATTCACCCCAAATATCTCTATATTCATGATGTAATGACTTTAATGGAAGTTTTTCATTTCTTTGTAAAAGTTTATTGATCCTGAAAATTATTAAAATCATTGCAATTGCTTTTGAGGAAGTTGATTCGATAATTTGTACCTCATTATCGTGAAAGATTTCGAATTGTATGGGGATTCTTTTGAATCTGTATAATTTTATTTTTACAACTAATTCTGTAAATACCTCCATTGGACTACTCTTTGAGTTTGCATTTATGATTTGAATCGGACCAATGTCGTCATCAGATTGACGTTCATCACTTTCGTATCCTCTTTTATTCAGCATTTGACATTCTAATTGTTATGTATAATTGTAGTTGACCGTATGAAATGTATAATAATTGGAAAAAATAAATATTTTGTATTCGCCACTAGACTTACAAAAAAAGGAGGGGGTATTTTTTACTCCTTAGGTTTTGTGCAGAATCTGGTACGAGTGGCTTTTAATTGGTACGGCTGACGAATGTTTCTGCGTCGACATTCTGCATACGACGGGCTCACACAAAAATAAAAACATTTGATGTATAATTATTGGTAATCAATTAACTATCATCATATTCTCAATTTCTGTTGACGTGTGTTCCAAATCATCTCAATACATATCAACACATTAATACTATAACCATTTCCAGTTTTCATCATCACTTCTTGCTTTTTTATGTATTATTGACATTTTTAAGTATATGTACTTAGTGTTACCCAAAATGGTTTTTTTTGCCCAAAACAAAACGCATTTCAACAAGTTGTTCATAAATTTATGGTTGAAGAAACAGTCTTAATAGAGGAATTACTACACAAAGGGGTTATGATTATAGTTAACGTTGATATTCCATCTGATTGGACTCGTTTACAAACAACGCAGTGTTTAGAAGAGCTTAAAGATTTGAGATAGATGCGCGCTACCATGTTGTACTTAACGCAAAAAAGGGCGCAATCCCCACCATTTCGGTGAGAATTGCGCTTAAATTTTGCTTTTTATTTTGAGAGAAAATTTGCAACTTTAATTTTTGAAACAATGAAAAATATATTAAAAATATATACCGAAAAATTAATAACAAAAAACAAGAAAACTAAAAACAACAACTATAAAAACCAACTAATCACATTTTTTAAAGATGATAATGATTTCAACTGGTTTACATTTGATATCAATGGATTTATCATAAAGTTTGTATAATCCATAATCATTAACTGGACATTCCCAGAAATCAGTACATCCATTTAATGCTAATTCATAATAACCATCTTTGTATACAATACTCCATCCTTTGTTGTATAAAGCATCAGGTTGTGGATGTTCATCAAATTGGAATTGATGATTAGCGACTATTTCACCGAGGAAATGTCTGTAATCATATAATTTTGAATCACATAATGTAAAATAATCATAACATTCATCAAAAACAGTACAGTGTGGGTAACATAAATCTTTTTCTGAAATAGCATCATTATATTTGTATTTATATTTGTATGAATCACCTCTTTTATTATGTTTTTTTCCATATTTATCTTTTGGTTTATAATCAATTCCTTTTGGTTTTTTATATTTATCTTTTGGTTTTTCAACAATTGGAGTTGGTTCTGCACATGGAGTAGTGGTGTAGCATGGTGGTTCAGTATAACAGCTTGAACAGTCATAGGTATCACATGAAACTTCTAATTGACCATCTTCAATTTCGAAAACAACATAAATATCATCAGAATCACAAAGTTTTACGCCTAAAGCAAATTCATCAGCGAAAGTTGTAATTCCTGAATCTTCTTCACAACATTTAGTAGTGTAGTCAACATACCCAGCTTGAGTGGTTGAAAGTAAAGCAATGGTTGTAGCTAATATTGATGATAATTGCATGATTGATGATTTATTGATTGATGATTGATTAAGGAATAAAATTTTTTTAACAAGAATGGGAAATTCATAGGGATTATATAGTAAATAGATCTTCTAAATTCATCATTATTCAATTAAAAAAGGTATACACAATTTTACCAAGAATTTTAATTGATTCTCATAATAAAATTGAATTTTGTATGTAAATCAAAGTGTATTGATAATTTTGTGTTTCAAATAAGATTGCAAAAAGTATACACATTTTAAAAAATGCCTTATCATAGATAAATAACTATAGAAAATATTTTGTAATACAAAAAGGATGAATCAATTTCAAAGGCATTTACATCTAAAAATTTAGCCAATGAATACTGGCCCGATTATTAGAATACACAATGTCAAGAATTCTAACTGTATTAGTATACACAATATTACTAGGATAGTTACACTTGAAACATGAAACACCCATATGAGTGTATAGTAGAAGCAGAACTACCAAATGTTCAAAATTTTTTAAGCAAATCTAACACATTATTACCACGTTAAATTACAAAGTTTAATGTTCCTTGAAATAGCTACTTTTGGCTTTGTTTTAACTTTTTAGTTTTGTCTGTTGATTTATTTGTAGTTAGTTGAATGACCTTTCCATGTTTGACCTTTATTCTTTTGCTTATCTAATCATGCTCTCTTTTATTATGTAATCATTAAGTCATCTATTTTTTTCAGATAAAATCAAATCAATCTGAGAAACATAAATTATTATAATCAATTACAATTAATAATCAATCTATATCTCATACAAAATACACATACACAAATCATACACACACAATGCTACATTCAAATCCTATAATACATCCAAATAATCAAAATCATAGATTTAAATTTGAAACTTTTTTAAGAAATGAATATAATTTTGGATTAGATCCAGATAGACCAAAATGTCCATTTTATAATCCTCAATATCCAAAAACTTCATGTCCATTAGGTTCAAACTGTCCAAATAAACATGTTTCACAAACTTATAATAATAAAATAGTATGTAAACATTGGTTAAGAGGATTATGTAAAAAGGGAGATCATTGTGAATTTTTACATGAATATAATCTACGTAAAATGCCAGAATGTTTATTTTATACTAAAAATGGATTTTGTACTCAAACTCCTGAATGTTTATATTTACATATTGATCCTCAACTGAAAATTCCTGAATGTATGAATTATAATAGTGGTTTTTGTTTAGAAGGGCCCAATTGTAAAAATAGACATGTTAGAAAAGTTATATGTCCTTTATATTTAGCTGGATTTTGTCCAAAGGGTAGTAATGAATGTGAATTTACTCATCCTAAATTTGATTATCATAATTTATATTTAAGAATAAAACCAGATCCGACAAAAGTAGAGGTAGAAAGTGTATAGGATTAATATTATATTCTGTAACTTCTAATTTGATCTTTCTCTTGTGGTGTTAAAATCCAATTAATTCCGGAAATCTCTTCATCTTCTTCTTCTGTTTTTATAACTGGTTGATTACTTTCTTCAAATTCATCATCATCCATTCCAATTAATAAAACAATTTGAGTTAACCTAAGGAATTTTTCTCTTAAATGATAATTATCTTCACAAACTTCATTAATAACAAAACTTAAATCTTTTTCTAATTTAATTGATCCCATTTCATTTATTTTATAATTTTTTAAAGTAGAATGTAATTTTCTTTCTATTAGATTTACTAAATTAACTATTATTAATCTTAGTAATTTTAACCAAATTGATTTGTGTAATACTTGTAAATAAGGTTTTACTAATAATGACCAATTTGATTTAAATTTAATAAGTGTTGATGAATCATTTACTTGATTTGATGAATAAATTATATAGTTAAATTCATTTGATTCAAGGATAAATTCATTAACTAATATCATTAATTTTTGTTTTATTGATTGATTATAAAGATTTATTAAACTTTCATTTAAAATTTTATTACTAATTGTAATATAAGGATCGAGGAAATCTTGTTCTAAGATTAATTTTATCTTTTCTGAATCTTTACCAAATGGGAAATTATTATTTACATTATTTTTTGAAATATTTTGTATAACTTTTGTGAAATAATCTTGTGAAACCCCGATGGAGTTTATATATATTATAAAGTTTGTCAATTTTGTGGTACTTCCAACAGATCCAGTAACAACACTTCCAAATGTTCCTTTAAAAAATCCATGACCATTTTGAATAGCCCCTGGTTCTGGTGTTCCATCTCTAGACTGTTTAGGACTCATTGGATCATCCAGTATAAAATTTAATGACTGATTATATTTTGGTCTGTTATCATTAAGATTTTTTACAAAAAATCCATTAATTAGGTCTTGTTGTATTATTTTAAAACTTTCTCTTATAAAATTTTTTACAGACATTGGGAAACCTGATTCAATTACATGACGTAGGGTATTATTTAATATAAGTGTTAAATCTTCAATAACTGATGAAACCGGAGTTTGATCTGGTGATGTGGATTTTGGGGAATACTTTAGATATGAATCTAATGGTTGTAACTCCTCTATTGTGATTGACTTCTCCAACGACCTTTTAAAATAAAAATTATATAACTTCTCAAATGATGGTAGTAGTTTTTCATTAATCTTTTTAGTAAAATTTGATTTATTTATAATTTCAGGTACATGAAGTTCCACTTCGGAAAAATATTTTATGGATATAAATTTACAATATAATGACCAATTATGTAAAATTGAAGATAGTTCCAGTGTTAAATCTCCTATAGTTTGAATAGGTAATAAATCATCAATTGCTGTATCATTATTATCTATAATTTCATGTTCTTGAATTTCTTTTGTTCTTTGAGTTAATATTGGGAATGTATATAATCTAATATCTTGAAATAATTTATCTAATCTTCTTGAATCATAAAATGTATCTGCTATAATTCCAATTTGTAAATCAACTTCCCTTTGAATCTTGTTGACAACAAATGTTAAAGCATTTGGATATGTTAAACTATAATATTTTTTAATTAATGGACCATGTTGTGATAACATCATTGATACATTTTCAAATAATTGCATTGATACAGTAGCAAATATTCCAGGTTTTAAATCACTTGTATTAATATTATTTACAGTTTGAGTTAAATTTTTTGATGATTCATTAATAATTTCACATATAAATTTTGAATAACAAATTAAACCAGATTCTTCTTGTTTTATTAATGGAAATAATTGAAAAAATTTAGTTAGCTTCTCAACATTTCTTTCCTTTGCAGCTTCATTAAATTGTTTTTTGAAAACATCAACTAATGTTCTTGTCCAATTGTCTATACAAACTTGTGGTAATTCAGGTATATCAGTAGACGGTATCACCACCGAAGCATATTCTCCTGTTATTAATGATTGTGGAATTTTTGTATTTATTGTATGAATACATTCAGCAGCTGAATCCCATTGATGATGATCAATTGAATAATTAATTTGATTTATATTATTTTTGAGAAGTTGTATATTTTCAACATATTTTAAAGTTTCATTAACATTTCCAATTTCTTGATCTAATGATTTTATACCATATGTTAAGTTATGACCTAATTCATCAGTATTTGTGAAAAATTGAGTTAATTGGGAGGAGTTTGAAATTGTTGAAGAAAGTTTGGAAGTTCTTAGTGATTCTATATTTGTTATATCTTGTTGTAATTTTTGTTTATGAATAGTTATATAATTTTCTAGATTTAAATCAATGGTGGAGATTGTATTATCGATTCTATCTACAAGGTTGTATAAGTCATTGGGGGTTGTTGATGATTTAAAACTTGTATATATGTCTTGTACTTCTTCGTCTAGACTTTCTGGTGGATATATAGACTCATTTTTATGTCCATTCATGCTATTGAGTAGTTAATGGTCAATTTATTTTTCAATTCCGTTGCAATTTAGTAGAACCAAAAATAAACGTCGAGTTTAGCGCAGAATTTTACGCAACTTTCTATTTTAATACAGCCTTCTACTACTACATCATGTTGATTTTTCAATTCCTTTCTGATTTCAAATAGAACAAAAAAATGAAGGTCAAGTACACACAAACTTTAATTTTCTAGTACAATTTAATAAATCTACTTATCTATCTAAGCTAATGAACCCATTGGATCATAAAATGGTAATGAAGTAAATTCTTTACCTTTCCAAACATCAAAAGTCTTTTTAGAAACATATTTCTTATTAGTAACAATTTGAAAAACAAATTCACTAAACCATTCATCAGTCATTAAATACCAACCTTTTTTACCTGATTGATCACCCCAAGAATTTTCAATTTTCCATCTAATTGGTTTATTTGTTGTGGAATCAATATGAACTGCTGTAATAACCATTGCATGAGTCATTGATGAAGAACCAGTTCTTAATCTATTTGCTTTTGATAAATTTAAATCATAATCAAAAGCTGTTTTATAATCATATGCAGTAATATCTAAAATACCACTTGTTGTATTACAATATTTACCAACATCTGATCCAAAAAAGATAGGTTCATTATCTTTTAACATTTTTATAGCAACTTCTTTAATTTCTTCAATTGGTGTATTTACATATTCAATTGGTTTACCTCCATTAATATTATTTAATCTTTCAACAGTATATAATTTATTATAATCATTTCTTGGATCATGTATAATTGAAAAATGATTTTCAGCATCATATTTAACATGATTTTTATAAAAATCAATAGCATTTGTTTTAAAGTGTTTATATTTATTATCTTTATCTGTAAATTCCCAAATAAATTCATCATTTGGTTTTGGTGGTGTACCAATAGTTAAAGCTAAAGTCTTGTAAATAGTTTTCATTGCACTTATTTTAAATTGACGAATTACAGAATCTGAAGCTTTTTGTTGTTTTAATTCTCTAATATGTAAACCAAATTCTCTTAATTTTTCAGTTACAATATAATTTAATTTAGATGAACTTGTTGATTGACTATTATCTGGAAATACTTCATGAGGAACTAAACCATATTTATTAACTAAATTTACAATCATATCCCATTGACCACCATCACCCACAGGATCTCTTAATAAAAATTGAACTAATCTTGAATCTAATTCTTCTTCCCATGTATCTTCAATATTTTCTAAAAAGAAATTTGCTTTTTCTAATTTATCATAAAAATATAAATAACTTTGAGAAATTTGAAATTCATCATCTTTTAAATTATTATTTTTAATAACTTGAGTTCTGAAAACATTTGATGATGCAAAAATCCAACATCTTCCTGAAGATTTTTGATTATTTGCAAATGCAGGTGATCCAATAGTTTCAACAGAAGTATTAAATAAAAATCTATCTTTTAAATGAGTCTTGTGTTGAGATTTTGCAATAACTTTTTCAATTGGAGTTTGAGCAAAAATATTTTGAGTTAAAATATTTTTAGTTTGTTGTTGAAAATCATCTTCCCAAATTTCTAAAACTTCTTTTGAAATTGGATTAATTTCTCCATTATCATCTTTATTGGTGGTGATTTCTAAATTTTCAAAATGTTTTTGAAATTCATTAAATTTTGAATTATCAATTGTTTCTGTATCTTCCTTAGATTCATTCATTACCTCCTTTTCTTGTTTACTTTCCCCTCCATAAAATTTAAAATAAAGACCCATATTGCTTTGATTGTGGTATGAATTATATAGTTTTGATTATAAAAAATAATGGCTTTGGAGTTCTATTTATAAATTTGAGAATTCCGAATTAACTCCTTAGTTTATAAAATTATCCCTTAAAAAATAATAATTCCGTTATCTCTTATCAAAACAACAGAAGATTAGAGATAAAAACCACACAACAAATTGAACACACTCTGTAATAGCATAATCAACTCTCATTAACTGGTTGTTTTGCCTCGTGGAAGCAACCACCAAGGTCTTGGAGCATACCATATTTCAGTGGTCAAAATTTTTTACCACACGGTTCTAATTCCGATAATGGAAAACTCAAAGTTATCATTTTACTCGATTTACATTATCAGAGCCATATTTTAATATGGCACAATTTATTGAGGAGAATGCACCTTTATTTACAGAATATAACCAGCTGGTCATGAACTTACAAACCATTAAAAGCTGACTCAGACTGCTTTGTTTAATAAATTGTGGTTTCATCAAACGACCTTTGTGGTTATACTAGAGTTTGTGTAAGATTCTTATCGTGTTTCAGAGTTTCTACATCTAAAGAACATTACGAAGTCAAAATTTATTCCTCTATTTATCTCTTCAACTCCTTTTGCATTGAGTTTCTTTCATCTTTGAATTTTGTAGATCTGTCTCTTATTCTTGGTTTTTTAACTTTTCCAGTTTTTAAACCTTTTATACCAACTATTCTCGATCCCTTTGTAGCTCTTTGACCTTCTTCTATAAACTTATTACTGTCCCTCTTAACTTTCCCAATACTTGATCTATCAGCTTTTCCTAAAATATTTTGAGCTCTTCCTATTTTAGTTTTTTGTGAATCAGTTAAATTTTTTTCTTTTGATTTATTTGATGCATACGATTTTTTAACATTTTCAAAATGATTTGGTGATAATAATGATGGTTTTGCATTTGCCTTAGCTCTTGATATTCTTAATGTTCTACCTTTTTTATTTCCTGATACGATATTCATTGGCTTATCATTTAATAATAGTGCTTTATTTACTGATAATGAATCTTTAAATTGTACTAAAGCAAATCCTTTACCCATATTTGTTTTTGAATCACGTATTATTCTAACAGATTCAACATCATTATCTAATTTTAAATTAAAATATTTCCATAAATTTTCTTCTTGTTCTTCAAAATCTAAATTTCCAACAAATATAGTTCTTTTATTATCTTTTGAAGCAGGATGAGCTATATGATCTACTCTTAAATGATGATTTTCAAACACGGTTCCATTTAAATTTTTTGAAGCTAATAATGATGCGGATTTATCTTCAAATACAATATATGCATTTACTGAATCTCTTGATTTATGTAAATTTTTTTTAGCAAATGATATTTTTCTAGGTAAATTTTCTTCAAATGATATTGATCTAAACCTTATTGATTCTATATTACCATATTGTTTGAAAAGTTTTTTAAATTCTTTGGTTTTAGATTTGGAAGTTACAACATCACTTGGTACATTACCTATAAATATTGTTCTTTCAGCTTTTTCCATCTCTGATTCTTTAAAATCTATCGTAGTTGCTGATTTTGCAGATTTTGTCGATTTATTTTTAGTATCTTCTTCATCATTTGAAGTTTCATTAATTAAAACAGGTTCTGTATCGTCTTTAAAATTTTTTTGAAAATATTTAGCTTCTAAATCAAAATTCTCATCTTTCTTTTTTTGCTTCTTTGTTGTGGGTTTAGACTCTGTCTCTTCGTCTTCATCTTCTTCATCTTCCTCGTCTTCACTAACATCTTCGGATTCCTCGTTTTCGCTTTTATTCTCTATTTCTTGATCTTCACTGTCATCACTAACATCTTCAGTTTCCTCATTTTCGCTTTTATCCTCTATTTCTTGTTCCTCCTCTTCCACTTCGTCTTCTTCTTCTTCCTTACTTTTCTGGAGTTTCCGTTTCTTATTTTTTACTTCGGGTACGTTTATGATAGTTCTTTTTTTAGAAAGTAATTGATCATTTGATATTGGACCATCATTCTTAGTACTGAATATTTTATCTAATGATTGGTCATACCTTTTCGATGAATCCCCAAATAAGGATGAGAAACTTGACATTTCTGTGAATTGGGAGGTATTGTACGTAGGAATTGATGATTCAAAAACTGGTTGTCAATATTTATAAAATTTAGCTTCTTATGGATTAGAGATGAGTGTCCTAAGATTCATAAAAAATTCAATGACAATGCGACACGCGGCTTTTTTCCAGCCATATTTAAATTTATTTTGTAAACAAAAGAAAGTTAACAAATTTGAATTAACATTCTTTGAAAGCTGTCATTATCAATATAAACTGGAGCTAAAGAGCCATTTGTATGTCGCAAATGTTACCGCCATATATTGGTTAGTTACCAAACACTCGGTAGTTATCTTTGATCTTGTATGCCTTAAATACGTCGGTTATTAAAAATCCTATTGTGTACTGTATATAGCAAATTATAATCTCTTTTTAAATAATAGATAATTTTATATTATGGAATTAGTATTCATTACAATATATGGATGAAAATCAACCAATCACTCATTATAAATCATTCAATAACAAGTACAATTTACAACCATAAGTATTAATTTGTATAAATAAATTTAACTCATAAATTGTTATTTTTATTGATACAACTTCATTAAATTAATCAACATCATCATTTTGAAAAATAGTTCATCATTTCAACAAGTTACTCTATATCAATAACGACGATTCAAATTTCCTCCGAAGTGAATAAGGGTGTATACTTATAATACTACATTCACAACTATTTTAAACTTTTTTTCATAATTTCGATAACTATCCAAATCGATGGAAATAATGGAGTCAGTACCAGCAGAATCACAACAGTTAAAGATTCTAGATAGAACTAATGATTTGATTTCACCACCAATACTGAACGAAAAAGAGGACTCTTCCATATCGAAAGTGAAAGACAATGATGAAAAGGAAGCCACAAATCTAGATAATGAAAGTCGACATAATCAAGATGAAATAAATGCATCAACGAATGGAAAAGACTTAGGAAATATCGATTCAAACAATAACAAAGAAAAAACTGAGAATAACACTAGCAATAGCAACACCTATATCGAGGAAAATGAAAGCAAGAGCAATGGGATTAAGAATGAGACTAATGATGAAACTAACAATGAAAACAACAATGAAAACAACAATATCACTATATCCAAAGATTCACCATTAACAGACATTGCTACTTCACCACCTCCTTTTGATTCTTTCAACCTTGATGGGGAATTAAAAAATACACTAGACACATTGGATAGAGATGAAACTTTTAAAACTTTTCAAAATTTCATTAAAGGAGATAAAGAATCTTCAAATGGGTTTAAAGAAAATGGAGATATAAAAGATGAGAAAGAAGAAGATGACATCAAGAAAGATAACACAACTAGAATAAATCCACAAAGAAAAGATAGTTATGAAAGTTCAGAATTAAGTGAAGTTGGAGAAGATTCTGAAGCAGAAACTGATAAGATGGATTTTTTGGATGATAGAGACTCAAATGATAAACAAACTGATTTACAAACATTATCTGAATTGACTGATTTAGCAAAATTGGAAGACATAGATTTTAATTCAGATGATGATATAGAAGTGGAGAAAGTTGGAGAATTAGACATTCCAAATTCTGCAACCGAAAAAGAAAAAGATTTATTCACAAAAGACGAATTGGACGATGCTAAGGATGAATTGAGTTCATTGATTACTAGGAAAAGAACTGCTAATGAAGAACCTTTTGATGAAGAAGATGAAGAAGAGAATGATAAAAAGAAGCAAAAGCGAGATACAAAACTAGATACTGATGAAGATAAAGAAGTGAACGAGGATAAGGAAATAGAAGCAGATGATTTTGATGAGCTACAACCAAACTTAGATTCTATAGATGAGGATAGGGAAAAAGCAAACAAAATTATTCCAGATGACTCAGAGATACTACCCAATACGACTGAAAAACAAATTACACCAGATGATGAAGAAAATGAAGCTGAAGCTGAGTATGAAGAAGAAGATGAAGATATAGAAGAAGATGAAGAAGATGCGGAATCTGATACAAAACCCGTAAGTAAAGATCTGGACACCACAGAAATTTCGAAAAAAGAAGATGGAACTATTATTGAAGAAAAAATAGCTGAAGAGGATGATGTTGATTTGAATGAACAAAGAAGATTAGCTATTGAGGGTTTAGTAGCGATTGAAAAATGTTTTGCTGAAGTAAGAGATAAACTATACGAGGATAAATTAGCATTATTAGAAAAAGAATTAGAATTATGTTTAGAAGGTTCACATCCTGAATTATCTAAAATTTATTATAAAGTTGATAGTTTTTATCAAGATAGTCTAAATTTAGCAAATTCAAATTTATCATATAAATTAAAATGTATTGATAAAGAAACTTTAGCTACAAGAACATCAATACATCAAAATTATCTTAAAAACATAATGGACACAAAAAATGAAATGATAACGGAAACTACTTCAATGTGGTATAAAATTAATAAAGAAAGAAATCAACTTGATCAAATTGTACCAGATTTTAATTATTCTGCTATACCTAATAATATAATAAATCAAGAAGATATAACTATGGGTACATCATCTACTTATTTAGAAGCTATAGAAAATTCAACACCAAAATTAAGAAAAGCTATTAAACAAAATACAATCATAGAATTAGTTCAACAAAGAAATAATTTAAATCAACAATTAGGTATATTGAATGGATTGATACAATTTCATGGTTTCCCGCTGGCTATAAGCTCTTCTATTAATAATGAGAATGACGGTGGTTCTGATGAAGTTAAAGAGTTATTATTACGAAAGGCTACTGACGATGAGATTAATGAAGATTTGAAAGCTATGGGTATAATACGGACCTAATTGATGTTGTAAATATATAGGTGATTTCCCTTATAGTTCTATTAATGTATTATTTTATTAACGTAATTGGTTATTTTCTATTTAGATAATTGTATGTTGTTTCAAATTCGGTGTTGGTAGCGACTACAATTTTAATAAACGTAGATCAAATATGAATAAAATACAGCCGCTGTTACTTTATTTAAATATCAACAACTGTCAATTGAAACATCAGGTATGGTTGAAGTATCATTAACAGTTGGTAAATTAGATGCTTCATTGGCATTACTCTTAACGAAAGATCATCACTTGATTGAATTTCCAACTATTCTTTTACCAAATGGAGTTAAAGCAGGTTCAATAATAAAATTAAAATGTGATCAAGATTATGAAAGTGAAAAAGAGGAAGATTTAAAATTTGATAAGATTCAAAAAGAAATATTTGAAACATTTACAACTAATTCACCAAAATCTCCAATTTTAAAAATTAAAAATATTACTCAAACTTCATGTGTATTAGAATGGGATAAATTAAATTTAGGTACTTCTAATTTGAAAAACCTAATCTTATTTAAAGATGGTAAAAAATTAGGTTCAATTCCTCAACCATTATCAAATCATACTTCAAAATTATCAGGATTACCCATAGATAAAGAATTTAAATTTCAATTAAGATTAGATACAACTGCAGGAACATTTTGGAGTAATGAAATTCAATTAAAAACTCATAAAATGACTGATTTATCAGGTATAACAGTTTGTTTAGGTGATTTTTCTCCCAATGATCCTTTTACAAAAGAAGATCTTGAAAAAACTTTAGTAAATATGGGTGCTAAATCACCAGCTCAAATTGAGGTTAAAGTTGATACAACTCATTTCTTATGTACAAGAGAAAATAAAAATAATTCAGAATTTAATAAAGCAAATGATATGAATATTCCAATTATAAGACCAGAATGGTTAAAAGCTTGTGAAAGAGAAAGAAGAATTGTTGGTGTACGAGATTTTTATTTAAAAGATTGTGTTTTACCTGATTTATTTGCTAAAAATTATTGGGCAGATAGTGGTAAGAATAAGAGTGGTGCACAACCTATAAGTAAAGAAGAATCCGTACCTGCTAGCTCTGCTGGTGAAACTACCACGGACACAGAACAAACAAATTCTGCTCCAACTGTCAATATTGAAGATACCTCAAATCCTAAGACGGAAGATCCCATAACTAATGATGACCTTACCAATGTTTCAAAAGACAGTGGGATTAACCCTAATCAAGATATAGACATTTCGGAAAAATTAGAAAATGAAGTTGAACCAGAAGAAATAAGCACTGAACAAAATGAGCAAAATTTATCTGCTGAACCCGAAGCATTAGCTAACGAGAAAGACGAAGACTTGACTAATATAAGAGAAGAAGTTAGAAATAGTGTTGTTCAAACGTCTGAACCGAATTCAGCTGCTATAGTCGACGAGATTGTAGAAGGAACAAAAGAAGAGAAATCAGAGCCAGAGGAAGATAAGGATGACAAGTCAGAAGAGAAAAATAATACTGAAGATGTAAAAAAAGAAGAATTAAAAGATGAAATAGATGATGCTTTTGATAGCGTGCCATTGGAAGATAAGAAACCAAAAGATGATGTCAGGGCGAAGATTGAAGCTGAAGTTGATAAAGCAGAAGCTGATCTAGATGCAAAGCAAGACAAAGCTGAGATTGAAACTGGTAATAATGACGAGGAGGGTAAAAAAGAGGAAAATGATGAGGAAGAAAACGGCGAGGAAGACGATGAGACAGAAGCTTCATCATCTAAAGAAAATTCACCGGCACCACAAGGATCTTCCACTAAAAAGAAGAAGAGCAAAAAGAAATCAAATAAGAAAAAGTGAGAGACTTAGGTTAATATAAAAAGTAAATGTAAAATGCAATTGAACTCTATGCAAAGAACTAAATAAAATGTTTGTAATTATAATATTTCATCAATTATTCTCCAAATAATCTTCTAACTTTTTTCAAAATTGAATCCTTTTCAGGATCATAAGGATGATCTTTTGAAGGAATTTCTAAAATAGCAGGAAAAGCATTAGTATAACTATCAACTTTAAACCTTATTAAATCAGCTAAATGTTGATTTATTAATAATATAGCAATATCATCTCTTTCTTTTGTAAAATTATCAAATGATTCATCTATTTGTTCAATTGATGTTTTACCAGGTATAACTGTTAAAAAATTTGTTTCTTTACCTGGTTCATTTGAAATTTGACCAATTCCTGCTAGAAGTAATCCTGTTACTGTATCTTCATCTGCTATAGTAGCAATTAGCTTTCTTTTAGCCATTGCCTCAGTTCCCGAACTCATTTTGGTATGATATGGTTATGTATGTGAAATTGGAAGTTGAGTTGTAGTTTGTATTGTCTAAATGGTCTAAATGAGTTTCAACTGTTTAATCTTTTTTCGACTCAAATTCTTTTCACAGCCAAAATCTATATTTCACCTCGAAGATAGGAAGTTCAAATGATTTCAACTATACGACGAAATCTACTATCTAACTTTAAACCATCCCCATATCACTACAATGTACTCCTCACTCAATCAATAAGATTTGCGGGTCATTCAAAATGGGCTAATATAAAACATGATAAAGCTAAAAATGATGCAAAAAAATCAAAAGAAGCAACATTAATTGCAACAAAAATTGAAAGTTGTGTAAGAACAGGAGGTAAAGAAGCAAATGCAAGTTTAGATCAATTACTTGATAAAGCTAAAAAATTAAATGTTTCGAAAAATGTTATACAAAATGCTATAAAAAGAGGTTCAGGTGAAATAAATGATGGATCTAATAATCAAACTGAAGTTAGTTATGAATTTATGGGTCCTGGTGGTGTAGCGTTTATTATATCTGCAATAACTGATAATAAAGCAAGAACAGTTATGAGAGTTAAAACAGCAATGGCTTATTTTCAAGCTTCTTTAAGTCCATGTAATTTTATGTTTGAAAAAAAAGGTGAAATATTGATAGAACCTAAAACTGATGTTGAAGAAAGTTCTGATGATATATTTGAAATGATTTTAGAAATAGGAGCTGAAGATTTTGAAGAAATTGAATTTGATAATGAATTTCAACCTGGAAAAAAATATAAATTTTATAGAATCATTTGTGATCCATTAGAAATTCATAAATTAAGTAATGAATTAAGTTCAAGAGGTTATAAATTGAATGAAAGTTCAGTTAGATATTTGGCAGATAAAGATGGTCAAGTAAAATTTCCTGGTGATTATTCAAAGGGTTATTTCAGAGCAATTGATCATTTAGATCAAACACCAGAAGTTATAGATTATTATACAAACATTGAAGATGAACATCAAGGAAGAATCATGTCATCAGTCAATTGAGTTTGTCATGTAAATAGGTTATCAATCAATTTTGGTTCTGATATTGAATAAAACAGATATATATTAAATTAATTAGTTTCGCAATTGACAAAATATAAAGATCCCTCTCAATTCAAATATTTGAAAAAAAAACTTGAACACATTAATCGTTTTGTTTTTGTTATTAGTAATTGGAGATCAATTGACCTCAATCAAAATGCAATCGAAAATTCTTTTACTTTTCTTCTTCTTTGTTTTCACTTTTTCCAGCATTATTCAAAACATTATCTAATTCTGATAAATTTGCATTTTTCCATAATCTTAATTCTTTATCATGAGCAAAATGTCTATATGTGAAAAAAGTTGCTGATACAATAGCAACTCCAACAGCAGCAAATAATGGTGTCATTTCAACTGGATAAGTGATTTTTGGTTTGGTGCTTTTGATTGAAGATAACAATATTCTTGATGGTCTCATTATGATTTATATATGTTAATTGATGTTTGTGGAAAAATAAATAGTCGAGTAACTGAGGTTAACTTAGTCTTAGCTTAGTCAACTATTTTTTTCAATTGTATTTGAAATTAATTTGGTTGGTTGTGATTTATATGCAGAATCTCCATCATCTGATTAATACGGTGTTTGAGTGCTACCAATTTGATAGAATTCTGTTGCAAACAAGTTGGAGTTGCAGCCATTAAAACACTAAAAATGTCTATTTGAACATCTATAAATCTATTATAAAGTTACATTATTCATCACCACTTCTCAATCCAACTTTTCAAAGTATCATAGCATAACCACAGCACAGCCATTGAAGGAACTATTTTATACAAATTTGCAGTTAATCCTTTATATGCACCAAAAAATCCTTCATGTTTAAACATTGAATATAATGCATGACTAACTGACTTATATTGAAATCCTAATTCACCACCTGCCATACTTGCAACTTGATATCTTTTCCTTAAAACATCTAAAGGATATATCAATACTCCTCCAACAAAACTACTAAATGCTCCAGCTGCTAATTTCCATATTGGATTTGAAAAATCTCTTGGGGATTCTATCATATATTCCCTTAATCTTTCATATAATGCAAAATTTATAGCTACATATGGTGCAACTCCTAAAGTTGTCGGCACAATACCTCTATATAATGCAAAAAATCCACCTTCATTTTTATATACATCTTTCAAAGTTCCCCAAACAGTTGGTGGTTTAGCTAATTTACCTTGTTTTAATTTATTTAATGATGCTGTTTGAACTGTTATTCTAGCTCGTACTAAATCCAAAGGATATGTAACTGCTACAGAAGCAATTCCAGCAATTGATCCTGCAAATAATCTTTCTAAACCTGTTAGTTGATTATTATTAATTTGAGCTTTATTTAAATGATCATTATTTCTATATTTTATTATTAAATCTTTACATTTTTCAAATACTGCAAATTGAACTGCACTATAAGGAAATATTCTAATGCAATTTAAAGTATTACCACGAAATAAACCTCTCCAACCTTCTTCCTTGTACATTCTTGCTATAGTGGGAAACATTCCATGATAAGCTTGATTTGTTCCGGGACCTTGTAATTGTAATAAAATTTTAGCTCTTTCAAAAGGTGATACAACAGTTCTTGAAACTGCTCCAGCTATTCCACCTGCTATAAATGAAGCATTTGAATCATTTTTTATAAATTTTTTTAAATCTTGATATATTTTATTTGATTTAACTGCCATGGGCAATTTAAAATCTTCCATTTATTAATGTGATATGCTTCAATTTCTAAGTCTATTGATCTATGCTATATTGAAATGTAAAACATGCAATTAAATGTGTTGGAGAAATATTTAGTTGAAACGCAAATGGGTTAAATGATTGAATAGATAGATCTAAAGTTGATGCTTATGATAAAATTTGGTCTGTGACATTTTAAATCGGTTATTGAGAAAAAAAGTTTTCTATCTTATGATTTGAAACACAAATACGAAGAAAAGTATGGAGTACCTTATTTACACAAAAAATGTACTTAAACGAAAGTAAGAGTGTATCAGAATGAACAAGTTTCAACACATTTGAGTCAATTCATTGAGACTTGTATTCCGTAAGTACATAACCCAAGTAATCATAAAGACGAAAAAAAACATATCATTTTCCATACATAAATATTAGTAACTTGATAATACTTTTTCAATAGCATCAACTAAAATATCTGCATGTTTTTCTTCAAATACTAAAGTTGGTCTTAATCTTACTGAATCTTCTGCACAACCACCAATATTTACTCCACCAATAGTTTTCATATCATTTAAAAATTTATTTCTTGTTTCAGCATTATCTAAAGACCAAGCAATAAAAGTTGCTCTATCTTTACCTCTTAAATCACGTAAATATGATGGATATTTCTTTTGTAATGCTTCTAATTTTCCATATAAATAATTACCAACTTCATTAGCTCGTTCTACTAAATTATGTTTTAATATTTCATGACCAATTGAACCAGCTAATATCATTCTTGCTGGATCACCACACCAAGTATTAAATTGTCTATAAGCAAAATTTGGTATAATTTCAGGATCATGAAAGAAATAACCAGCTGATTGGAATTTTTTAGAAAAAGTAACTAAATCTGGTGGTGGTTGTAAATTAAATCTTTCATGAGCCCACATTATACCTGTTGATCCAACACCTGTTTGAACTTCATCCATAATTAATAATGCACCATGTTTTAAAGTTATATTCCTTAAACCTTGGAAAAATTCAGCTGAAGCATGATTATCACCACCTTCTGATTGAATTGGTTCAACTAATACACCAGCAATTGGAACTGACCAAGTATTAAATAAATCTTCAACAATTTTTAAACATCTTTCATCTTCTTTTTTATTATTTTCAACATTATCTTCTAATGGATATTTATATGATGGAAATTCAGCTTTTGGCCATTTAAAAGCTGGTAAATCTAATTTATGAATTGGTTTAGAACAAGTAGTTGAACCTGAAGCAAATAATCTACCATGAAATGCTCTTTCAAATGATAATATAGCTAATTCTGGTGCACCTGGAGCTTGATTATGCATAACTGTTTCAATTTCTTCTGGAGTAAATTGTGTTTTATAACCCCTCTTTTGTGCTTGATACCAAAAAAATGTAGCTTTAAAAGCTAATTCATTAGCATCTGCACCTGATAATCCTGACCATACTTTATCTTGATGTTTTGGAGCAACTTTTAAAATTTCTTTACAAATTTCATTTAAATCATTACCTGGATAATTTCCTAATGCTGGTCTATCAACTATAGCTCTAATCATTTTATCTGATTTTGCAGTTTCAATTAATGCAGAATTATTATAACCTAAAGGTATTGAAGCAATTTGAGCATAAACATCTAATAATAAATTACCATCAACATCTGCAATATAATTACCAATTGATTTAGTATAATCAGCTACAAAATATGCACTTCTTGCATCAAAAGATTTTGCTAATTCTTGAATTTCTGATTTGGATTTTGATTGAGTAGTTGATTTTATGACAGGTTCTTTTGGTTCATTTGGGAAATATTGTGATGATATGGAATTAACAGTCATTTTTGAGATTGTTAGATCAATTGATTAACTATGGGCAAAAGAAAAGAAGAAGATTAAATGAACTTAACTTTATAAAAAAAGGAAAGAATATACATTAATATAAATATATTTCAATGATGTATACCAGAGATGAATAAATTAAATTATTAGCGCAATCTATACTTTTTTAATTATTACCGCTATAAAATAACACTAAATGTTTGCTTTGTAACCCATAAATTTAATGTCGAGACATTGACATTTTCAGACATCGAATCCATTATTAGCCGGTGTTATTTGTCTCACAAATATTGGGTCGAGCATTCAGCTAGATCGACCCACACTCGCTCTATTTGGCATGTTTATCGTGGTGATTTTGTAAAAGATGTTTATTCACATAGTGATGAAACAGGCTACAGTAATTGCAGGAGCAAGCTCATTACCAACAAGTAATTAACTAGCAATTACCAAATTACCATTTTTTCAGTCTGTATACCTCGATATACTCATGTTTTTTGTTCAAAGTGGTTACAATATTTTGTTTTTATTTGAATTTAAAAATGTAAACAAAAGAGATAAAAAAAAGTAACGTGTGAAACATCATACAGATAATTTAATCATCAAATTATCCTTTATTCATCAATATCATACCATTTTCAAGTACTGCTATGGGTGATTCGAATATAGATTCAAATATAGATCCGAATTTGGGGGAAATACTAAAGGAACAATCGTCACATGCAACGCAGAATAATAACTCATCAGGTCAATCAGATCAAACCATAAATTCACAAACACAACTAACAGCTGAAGAAGCTTTATCCTCAATAGCAGATGAATTAACAAAAGATCCAATAAACGAAAATGAAGTTGATCAATCGATAAGTGAAAAAGCTGAAATGTTTTTACAACAAAATCAAGATGATGATGATAATGCAGAGCCAGCAGCTAAGAGAATGAAATTTGATGCTGATAAGAATCGTTCTGTAAGTCCCGCCATGAATTTGGATTCAGAAGGATTGCCAGAAGTGCAAAAGTCGCCGGATGATGCAGATAAAACAAACGATCAATCAGACACCTTAAATGACAACAATTCAAACTCAACTACATTCCAAGCTTCACCAAACAACAATCAACAAGAACAAGTACAAACAGAGAATCTACCGCAACAAAAAAGTCAACAACCAACTAATCTGTATGACCAGTCATCAAACCAACAACGTAAATCTCCACAAAGTAATACTCGACCACAAACACAACGATACACATCTTCAGTAATACCGTCTGATTCTGAATTATTCAACACAAACGCCGTTCATACAGCTTATACAACCTTATCATCACAATATAATTATCTGAGTTTAGATTCAAATAATTCAATTTTTTCTCAAGCTAATTTATCAGTTTTACCATTACCTATAGTAGCAGCGGATTATTTACCACCAAGAATACAATTATTAATAAATACATTACCAACATTAGATAATTTAGCTACTCAATTATTAAGAATAGTTGCAAGTTCTTCATATAAAAAAATAATTGATTTAGCATCAAATACTGAAACTTCAGAAGGAGCAACATATAGAGATTTAACTTCTTTATTTGAATTTACAAAAAGATTATATTCTGAAGAAGATCCATTTATAACTGTTGAACATTTAGCTCCTGGAATGTGGCAAATTGGAGAAATTACTCCACAAGTTTTTAAAAATAAAGAACAAAGTATTGAATCAACTTTAAGAAAAGTAAATTTAGCTACTTTTTTAGCTGCAACTTTAGGTACAATGGAAGTTGGATTTTTTTATCTTAATGAATCATTTTTAGATATTTTTTGTCCATCAAATGATTTAGATTTAAAAAATCATTTAAATGATCAAAGTTATTTAGATATTTCAACAAATTCATTAACTACATCTATTCAAACTGGAGTTGGTTCATCTATTGGTGGAAAAATTGGGAAATTATTAAAACCTCAAGCTTCATTATATATAGATTTAAAAACTCAAGCTTATATATCAGCAATTGAAGCAGGTGAAAGATCAAGAGAAGAAATATTAGAAGATATATTACCTGATGATATGGATCAATATCTTATGATGAAAAGACAAATTAATTTATTATTACCAACAGAAAATGATTTTATTGAAAGATGTAAAATTAGAAAAAATTTATTATTAAATTATGATGAAGAAAATTCAAATTTACCATTAAATGAAAATTTTAAATGGTTTAATTTTTTAAAAGATTTATTTGATTATGTTTCAAAAAATATGGGATATTTAATATGGGGTAAATCTGGTAAACCTCATAGAGATAAAAATAATTCATCTTCGACTTCAGTAATAACAAAAGAAATGTATGATCAAATAAATGCAAGAATGAATATAGATACAAATAATTCATCAGTACCATCTCAATCACAATCTACATCATCATCAACAGCAACATCTGGTCAATCACCAAATGATCATTCTAAATTATTACCATCTGAAATTAGAGAACAACAAATTCATGTAAATGGTCATAAACCAAGTCAAAGAAGACCATGGACAAGAGATGAAGAAAAAGCATTTAGACATGCATTAGAAATAAAAGGTCCACATTGGGCAGCAATATTAGATTTATTTGGTAAAGATGGTAAAATAAATCAATCTTTAAAAAATAGAAGTCAAATTCAATTAAAAGATAAAGCAAGAAATTGGAAAGTTTTTTATTTAAAAAATGGTATGGAAGTTCCTTCTTATTTAAAAACTGTTACTGGTGGTTTAGATGATAGAGTTAAACGTTCTATTTCAAGAAATGATAAAACTGCTGCTGCTCCTGTTCCAAAAGCTTCGAATCAACAACAGCAACAACAACAACAGCAGCAGCAACAGCAACAGCAACAGCAGCAACAACAACAACAACAACAACAAGAGCAGTTACAACAAATTCAACAACAACTACAACAGCAGCAACAGCAACAGCAGCAGCAACAACAGCAGCAGCAACAACAGCAGCAGCAACAACAACAAACATGATTAAGTAAGTAGTTAATTACATATTAAGATTAAGAGATAAATGAATTTGAACGTCATCCATATAATACGAACTCATATCCGGTGATTCTGAAAGTAGATTCTTTTGCGTACCCTCTAGTGTAGGAATTTGGCCTAAAGCATGAAGGTTGAAAGTTCAAAGTTCAAAGTTGAAGGGAGATAGTTCAAAGTTGAAAATTGAAAGTCAAGATATCAATGATTGGATAAATTACACGAATGTAGATAAACATTTGTATTAAAATTTTACGAGAATGCTAAAAATCTAATACTTGTAATAAACTAAATTTTTAGTGATCTTTTTTTTATTTTTTGTTTTTGCATAAAGATCTTTAAAGATCCATTAGATTCAAGATCCGAGATTTGTTTTAGATTAAATTTAAGTCAACGATAATTTTTTGAATACTTTTTTCTTAGCCTAACTGAGTTCATGATTGTTAAAGTAAGATCGAGTATTAAAATTTTCTTCAATATCTAAAGCTTTCGAGTAATTTTAAAATCAAGCTGAGTAAAGATAATGAAAATATCGGTTCATATACTAAAAAAAAACATATACTGTCTATGAAAAATCTATTTATTTATATGTTCGGCCTTTTCATAGTAATAAGAGTCAGGGAAATTACTTTTCTCATAACATTCCTCTAAATTATTTAAAATTATGGCTCAGTCCTAACAATAATTGGATTCGTACATACGCCACGTACTAGCTCTTAATCTTTGTGTTTAGTTCATTAAATTTTTTAATTTAATACGATAATTCAATAAATTAATAAATTAGCAAATCAATAAATAGGGTTCAACTTCTCCTTTTTTGTTTTGACTCTTCCGATATCCCTTATACAATAAATTTGAACTTTATATTCACCTAGAAGGATATATTGAAACAGCGAGTACTATTATTGACTAGTGTGAAATTTAACAGAATTCAGATGATTCATACTCACTGTTTTTAAAATTTCATTTTCACAAAAATATAATAAATCATTTAGTGATACTTTAAATAACTAAACTAATTTCAGTTATTATGCAAGTTTCATCGAAGGTTTTTTAAAAAAATTATTCAAACTTAGTAAACTTTATAGTTAGATGAATTATGACTTTTAATCTTTGGTCTAAGGTATTTTAATAACATAATAGCAAGATTTGAAAGGCTAGTAAGAAATGTTTTTTTTCTTTTTCATAAATTTGTAAATCTTTTGAAAGATCACATGAATTAAATGAAAGTGAAAAAATATTTTTATATCTTTCACATTAGATCTAGTCTACTCAATAAATTAAATTTGATGAATACAAATTTTGACTGTTTATATATATTGATACTTACTTAGCATGATAAGTATCGCCCAGAATTCAAATAAACTTCTCGTGGGGTTTTGCGATACGAGTGAGGATGAGTTATTGGGATAGTGATACGCACGGCTATTTTTTGTCCAGACTGAATTGAAAGATTGGTTCAGTTGCCTGATTATTCCCAATATAAACCTTTATCAAAATTTCAAATTATCTTTACACTTCGGATCTTATCTTTACTTACCTTAAATTTTCAGTGTAACTTAGTTACGTGTGGTGTAATAATTATTTATTCTTTTCTTATGTTGGCTTATATGTTAACCGCTTAAAATACTTTAGTACGTGTTAATCAAATGTTTAATACATTTTACATATACAAAAAATGACACAGAGGCTAATGCAAGATTTGGAATGAAATCTTAGTCTTCACCCTCAATTATGTGCTATATTAAATTTAGGTTTAAGTTGTATTGATTGGAATGGTGTTGAAAATCAGTATAGTAAGATATAGCTTTTGCATGACAGAAACTTTTGATAGATACTTCAGCTCATTCTTTGAGTCCATTATTGCCATTTTGAATTCTTCACTTAAACTAGATATTTAATATAAGATATCGAGTATTATGTATCATGTATTGGGAGTTATTTGAAATTTTTAGTGTACTATTTTGCGTTAACCCTTTTATTATTATTTAATTACTGTTACCCTTTAAAACCCTCTAAAATTTTATTATAAAACTTTTTGAAACAATTAAAAAATTACAATCCAAACTTTAACTTCCTAATCATATGATGAAAAGATTTAATAATGTACCTCGATTTAAATTAGACCCCAAATATAACAGTATCAAATTTAAGACTTTTTACTCCTTAATTATTAGAGTTTATATTTCATTTCGACTTTATTGACTTGAAAGTCAGATCAAACTTTAGTTTATTGGACTATATACAATACATTCATTTTTCTTTATCCATCAATCAATTAATTCATTTTTCATTCTTTGTCAATTATAATCTGTCCTTGTTCCATTCTATAGCATTAGAGTAGTAGGAAAGTTCATTGCATTTACATATAGTTACCATATCTACATAAAAATCACAAATCCGTCACAATTAGTTCACATTCAACACCTTATTCAATTCTGAAAGTCAATGGAAATAGTCTCATAAGTAAATAAAATGTTTAGTGATGATAATACTAATGGTTCAAATACTGCATACTTGTCAACCTCAAATAATCATACACTAAATGGTAATAGTCTAAATACATATAATTCACTCGAACAACAACAATTTCTTGAATCACAATCTAAACCAAAACCAGTTAACAATCCATCAATACCGAAACAAATTGAGTTAGCAAAATTAAAAGCAAAACAATTATATGATGAAATTATAATTATCAAGAAGAAAATTCAAGATACAAATTTAAAAACAGTATCAAAAAATGTAAATAATATACCAAATAATTCATGTAAATTAAAATTATATAATAATTTAAAAGGTCATCAAAATAAAATAGTTAAAATATGCTGGAATTCAAATTCAAATAAAATTTTAAGTGCTTCACAAGATGGATATATGATTATATGGGATGCAATAACTGGCTACAAGAAACAAGCTATTCAATTAGATAATAATTGGGTATTAACTTGTAGTTTATCACCAGATGAAAAATTAGTTGCTTCAGCTGGATTAGATAATCATTGTACTATATATAAAATTCAACCTGATAATTTAAATAATCCAGTACAAGATCCACAATATCAACAACAGCAGCTAAAACAAAGTTCAATAAGAAATGATGGATATCAATTACAAACTGGATTTTATCAATCTATTCAATCTGTTTTTAAAGGTCATACAGCATACATATCAGAATGTGAATTTATTGATAATAATTCAATAATAACATCAAGTGGAGATATGACATGTTCATTATGGGATATAAAAAAAGGAAATAAAATAAGAGATTTTATTGATCATGTTGGTGATGTATTATGTTTATCAATTTTCCCTAAAGAAATTTTACAAAATAATTTATTTATAAGTGGATCAAGTGATGGTTATGTTAAAGTTTGGGATTTAAGATCTCCAACTTCAATACAAAGTTTTAGTATATCAAATTCAGATGTAAATTGTGTTAAAATTTTCCCAGATGGTAATTCTTTTGCAACTGGTTCAGATGATGGTATGATTAGATTATTTGATTTAAGAAGTGATTGTGAAATTTCAAATTATTCTTTACAACAAGAAATTCAAAAATCTATAAATTTAAATTCTGGTGGTGGTGGTGTTAATTCTATTCCAAGATTAAGTTCACCACCTACTCCAATTGATAAAAAGACATATCAATATGGAAATAACTACACAACATTAAATCAACAACAACAACAACAACAAGCTCAATCACCTTTATTATATCAATCATCAGATATAATAAGTAATGGAGGAAGAAATAGTATATATTCAAAAAATTCAATATTAGAAAATTCTGGAATATTTTCAATAGATTTTAGTAAAAGTGGTAGATTATTATATCTGTGTTATTCAGACCATGGTTGTATTGTTTGGGATACTTTAAAAAATGAAATTATTGGTACTTTAGGTAGTGAACATTTAAATAAAATAAATAAAGTATCTATAAGTCCTGATGGAATTGGTTTAGCTACTGGTTCATGGGATTCTACAATAAAAATTTGGAGTGTTTAAGAAGAGATAAAAGAGGAATCTTTTTGAGGAATTTATGATTTTAAAAGTTCATCATTTTTAATTTATATTTATTTTAATATACATTACACAACTTTTTATTAAATGTATCATCATTCTTCGATGATGATAAATATTACCTGAATTCCTCTAATTGATACATTGATTATTATTTTCACCTACATTTTCCACCCCTCTTTTACTTCTTTCTTACTTCCCTATCTCCTTTAAGCTTCACCTGTATGTTTTTTAACATATTCCCATAAACTCTTCAATAAAGAATCAGGTAAAGTATATAAATCCATTGTAAATTCACCATTATCAACATCATTTTTAATATTCATTTCATTAGTTCTATTATCTGTAACCATTTGTACTATAACTATTAAATCATCTTCACTTAATTTTGTTAATCCATTACTTAATTTTTCTAAATCAATATTACCTTTCATTGCACCCTTTGATTTTTTTTTATCAATTATTGAAGCTTGTGATTGTTGTTGTGTTGATCCTGAAATATTTGATGATGATGGACCATTTGTTGAATCTAATTTTCTCTTGAGACCAGATGAATTATTTGCAGAGGATGAATTTTCATCAAATGGTAATGAACCACTTTCTAATAAAATTTTATTTAATTGTTGATTTTTATTTGGTCCTACAGGTATATTTATAACATGATCATTAATATATTTTTCTTGTAAAAAATTTAAATCATGTTGAAATTTACGTTCACCTGATTTACCAGCTATACCCAAAATATGAATAGAAATTGGAATATCAAATTCTCCCCAACCTTTCTCTTCAATTTTAAAAGGTTGTTGTTTTAATGATCTAATTGGATTTGAAAAAGTTGGATGTAATGTATATGTTACTTTATCTAATATTTTTGCAGGAATTTCTTTACCTTGAGAATCTAACATTGATATTTGAATTGACCATTTTCTCATTGGATAATTTTCAACTGGTGGTTCATCTTTCATAATATGTTGTTCTGTTGTTATTCTAATCGTTCTTTTAACTTGCTATATTGAATTGTTAGTATATCTTGCATTATAGGGTTTTGATAAAAATCGAGGCTGTTTTGAGCGGATTCTGTGATTAACTCCTACTCTTTGTAACTTCAAAAATTCATTGGAACACATACATCTGACATCTTGCCTTCTATTATTTTTTATTTTGATGATTTGGGAAATAAAATGGTGATGATTTGACTAAAAATAGATACTTAGTGAGGAAAGTTATTGCCTAAGTTCGATTTTCTCCTGAATTAAAGTTGAAGTATAAAATGGCAATCCCGTTCTGTTGTTATTTCCAATGAGTATAATTGAAATTTCAATAATGATTTATTCAGTTGATTGTTGTGTTATTTTATTTTGATGATTTTTTTTCCCTTGTAATGGCAGTTTCAAATTTGCTTGATAATTTTTTAATGAAATTTTTTTGAAATCAAAGACATGATATACCAGTGAATCGAAAGGGACTGTAATTGATTCTTAGAGGAATGATTGATTGATGGATGAGAAGGTTTGATCTTATCGATTGATCGCTGATGTGATTAACCTCCACATTAAAGCTATTTACTTTGATCAGTTCAAGTCTCACGAAGTATTACATGATAACCAACACTAGAAAACAAAGAAGGAGGTAACAAATACAAACCAATTACTCTAATACTCTTTTTCAAATCTACTCAAGGATGGTTAAATTCTTCCCGATAATTTTGAAGAATTGGATTACTCATAGCGGATTTTGGTAGCGACAACTATATCGGTATATTTTTATAAAATAGAATCAGTTTCAATATATTTTTCAATAATTTTGGTTGCAACTTTTTCATTTAAATCGAGATTTAGGCCATTGAGAGATGTTGTTTACTAAGAATATAACATCACAGAGCATAAGACTAGCGTCTTCATTAATTCGCTTCAACTCAACCACATCATCCCAAGCTCCATTAGATGCTTCAAAATTAATTATTGAAAAAACCACTAATCCCAAATCAAAATTATCAAAAGATAAATTAATATTTGGTAAAACATTTACTGATCATATGTTAGAAATAGATTGGGATTCTCAAACTGGATGGGGTACTCCTAAAATTTCACCTTATCATAATTTTTCATTAGATCCTTCAAGTGTTGTTTTTCATTATGGATTTGAATTATTTGAAGGTATGAAAGCATATAAAGATTCTAAAGGTCAAGTAAGAACTTTTAGAGGTAATAAAAATATGATAAGAATGAATAAATCAGCTGAAAGAATAACTTTACCAACATTTGAAGGAGAAGAATTACAAAAATTGATTGATAAATTATTAATTTTAGATCATGAATTTATACCTGAGGGAAAGGGTTATTCATTATATATTAGACCAACAATGATTGGAACTGATGCATTTTTAGGTGTTGGAACACCAAATAAAGCTAAAATTTTTACTATATGTAGTCCAGTTGGACCATATTATAAAAATGGGTTTAAACCAGTATCATTAGAAGCAACAGATTATGCAGTTAGAGCTTGGCCAGGAGGAGTTGGTGATAAAAAATTAGGTGCAAATTATGCTCCTTGTATATTACCACAAAATGAAGCAGCAAAAAGAGGATTTGATCAAAATTTATGGTTATTTGGAAAAGAAGGATATATAACAGAAGTCGGTACAATGAATGTATTTTTTGTTTTTAAAAATCCAAAATCTGGTAAAAAGGAATTAACTACTCATCCATTAGATGGTACAATATTAGAAGGTGTTACAAGAGATTCAATATTAGAATTAGCAAAGGAAAGATTACCTTCTAATGAATGGGATATAACTGAACGTAAATTTACAATACATGATGTTCAAAAAGCAGCAAAAGAAGGGAATTTAATAGAAGCTTTTGGAGCAGGTACTGCAGCTGTTGTATCGCCAATAAAACATATTGGTTATAAAGGTGAAGATATTAATATTCCTGTTATTTTAGGAAATTCAGGTGAATTAGCTGCACAAATTGCTGATTGGATAAGTAAGATTCAATATGGTGAAGAAGAATATAAAGATTGGTCAAGAGTTGCAAAATAATTAAAAATCATATAGCATTATTATAGAAGTTTTTTTGTATTATAATAGACTTTGAAACATCATTGAGTTATATTTTTATCAGGTAATAATTCAATTTGTTGAATTATAAAATTTCTTTCTTCTATTAAACTTGAATCATGAAAACTTGTAATATCAAAAGTTTTGAAAAATTCTGAAAAATTTTGTTTATTTTTTATAAGAGTTTCATTTATTTTTGGTAATCTTTTTGGATTTGCAATAATATATTTTAATAAATGAAACCCTTCTAATTGTAAATTTTTCAGTTTTTCACTTAATAAAAGCATTGTATATTTTAAATTTTTATAATCATTACAATATTTTTGTAAAAATTGTAAATTCGATCTTTCAGAAACCAAGTCTTTTAATAATTTTGAAATTTGTCTTTTTGTTACATAATTATTTGATTTTATTAAATTATTAATGTGATTCATAAAATTTTCATAATTTAATACAAGGAAATCAGGTATAATTTTTTTATGAATAGTTAATAAATCATTTAATGTCATCATTGAATCACAAGCAATTTCAAACATTGGATTTTCAACATATTTAAAAAAATTCCAAAATGCTTCATTATATATTATATATTTATTAATTTCTTCAAATTTACAACAATCTCTTAATATTTGTCCACATACTAATCCAATTTCTGGTGTTTCTGGACCTCTTATTAATATATTTAAAATCTCTGGTTTTTTATGTAGTAAATAATCTACAACAGGTGGTGATTGTTGTGATAAGGTGGTGGATGATGATGATGATAACATTGATTTTAAACCACCTATTCCATTTCCATTTCCATTAATTCCAGTTATATAATTCCGTCGTAATAAAGTTGAATATATTATTATAACATCTTTTCTTGAATCAAAATCTAATTTATTTAAATTTATTGTTAAAATATAAAGATTATTTGTAATTAAAATTTCTGATAATAATTGATTAATTTGATCAAATTGTGGTTCATTTTCATCATCTCCATATATTATATTTTTTATTTGTTTTAAATATCTTGATGATTCATCTTGATATTTTTTATAACTTGATGGATCATTTGTGTAATCTAATTTTGATAATTGATCATTTAATGCTCTTATTAATTCTGGAGGATTCTTGGGATTTCTTTTAAATAAAAAAGCCATTTAATTGAAAAATAATGATGGAATGAGTGAAAAAGTACTATTTACATGGATTTGAAACGCGTATCTTCAATCAAAAGGAGGTTTGCTTGTGATATTTGGTTGTCAAGACGACTTATCGTGTATTGAATATTTAGTGTTATTTTTGTATGTAATTGACGATTTATAACTTAATTTTAAACTTTTAGGTTCTGAAATTTTGTTGATTATAAATAAACAGATAAATGACCTTGTTTGATAAATCTGGAGGAGTTTTGCTTCAATCAATTGGCTCTATTCAGCTGATTTAGAGTTTGTTATTATACTTTGATCTGTTGATAGTGCAAACAAAAAAAAAAGTTATGTTTGATTTTGAATCAATAAATAAAAATTATTACTACAATTACATTAGATCTTACTTTATTAAACCAAAACCAAAACCACCAACAGCGGATCCAAAGAAAGATCAAAAGAAGAAGAAACAGGAAAAGTGTTTTGTTTGTAAAAGAAATTGCTTCATTTGTAAAGATATTAAACCAATACCATCAGATATTGAAAAGGGTTTCAAACAATCATATTTAATTAAGAATTATCCTCCAAAATATATAAAAGGAGAATATAATAACATTAAACCAGATTTAAATAAAAGTTTCAAAAATTCATCAGTTTTTAAACAATCTAAATCAATTCAAAAAGAATTTAAAACTATAAAACCAGATTTGAAAAAGGGATTTAAAGATAGACATTCTCCAAATCTTATTGTTTTTAAATCACCTTCGAAAAAGAAGAAAACATCGACAACTTCAAAATCCCCTCCAACTTTTACAGAATCTGATTTCAAAACATTTGTGTTATTTATTGAAATATTAATCTTAATGGCAATTCCATTTTATTTTATAATTAAATGTCTTGGTTAAAAATATGGTCATCGATAAAAGTAAATCGAAGTAATAGACCAATATTATATGAAGATGAACATAATGTTTATATAAAAGATAATATTGGATTATATCAAGGAAAACTGAAAATAGTTGATCATCAAAATGGTAGATTATATTTAACAAATAAAAGAGTTATATATTTTGATAATTCAAATATTAATAATTGTATTGCTATTGATTTAAATAAATTACATTCTGTAGAATTAATTGAAAAATTTTTAAGATCTTCACCAAAAGTAAAATTATTTTTAAAAAAAGATTTATCAAATAAACAACAACAAAATGAATTAAAGGGAATTGATTGGGTTTGTAAAATTTGTTCATTTAATAATCATATACCTCCTGGTTTTAATTGGGATGAAGATGATTTACCAAAATGTATATCTTGTGGAATACGACCGACAAGGAAATATATTGAAGGAATAATGGATTCATCAAAGGAATCAACTCCATCTTTCACTGTACCACCACCATCATCGATAGATTTGAATAATAATCAATCTCCATCACCAGCACTGACTACTCCTGAACCATCAAATCTAACCAATGGTCAATGTCCTACATGTACATTTATAAATCATAAATCAATTAAGTATTGTGAAATGTGTGGAACTGAATTATCAGCATCAACAACATTAGAAATAAGTCAATCAATAAATGAAATTTCAATTGAAAATAATCCATTAAATTTAAAACTAGAATCACAAGAAATTTATACAAATGATAAACCATATATAAAGATAAGTTTTAGAAAAGGTGGTGAACAAAAATTTTTTCAAGAAATTGCAAATCTTATAGATGAAATAAAATGGGAAAATTTAAGAAAAAGAGGAGGAATTAATCAAAATTCAACAAAATTACAATCAAAAAAACCAGAAATTAAAAGAACTGGCGCAGGTATACATGCTTTGGAGCTTATTGGAGAACAACAAAGAAAAAATAATGAAATTATATTAAGTTCATCATTAGAAGATTTAGAACAATTAATGTTTAAATTTAAAGATATTTTAAATTTATCATCTACTTTTAATGGATTAATTAATAATAAAAATGGTGTAACAAAAAGTTTACCACCAATTAACATTAATAAATCATCTAATTTATATCATTCTGAATTAAGTAGACATATTAGTGAATATTTAATAAATTTTAAATTAACAAAAAATTCATCAATGATTACATTACAAGATTCATTCGCTGATTATAATAGATTTTTAGTTAAATCTCAAGGATTTGGATGTGAATTAATTGATGTAAATGATTTTAAAAAATCGATTGAATTATTTAATAATTTAAATTTACCAGTTATTTTAAATAAATATGAAAAAAGTGAATTAATTGTAATAAAACCAAGAATTCATGCAAATGTTTATGATGAATTTATTATACAATTTTTAAATAATCATGAACATCAATATAAAATAAATAAATTAAAAAATGAAATGATTGATTCCGACAATAATTTTAATAGTGAATTAAATTATGGTTGTACAATCTCAGAAATTTCTCATTTTTTTAATTGGTCTTATAGTATAACAAAAGAAGAATTAGAAAAATTAATTGAAAATGGGAAAATTGTAATAGATCAAAATATATCAGGAACTTTTTATTACGTTAATAAATTTTCACCTACCTACGACTGGGATGATTCAAAAGAAATTGATCAAATTAAAAATGATATAATAAATGAACAAAATGAAATAACTAAAAATTTAAAAATGGAATATAATAAATTAAATTTAAATAATTTAATTAATATAAATCCTGATTATGAATTTGGTAATTTGGTTGATGAAAATTCTATTGTTAGTGATTCTACTCCATCTTCTATAAATATACCTTCCAATGTTTCATTAAATGGATTAGAAGGTTTGAAATTTTGATTATATATGTTTACGAAGAAAGTAAAAACAACGAACTATGATGAAGTAGGTGATTAAATCCTGAGTAAAGTAATGAGCAATGAAAATTGCATATAACTTTAGTTATTTTATTTAACTTAATGACACATTTATAATTTACCCCTTAAGCTCCAAACTTACCTCTTAATTAATACATCTTACACAAAATTGTATTATCGTTAAATCAATTTGGCCCAATTCAATTCATTTTATATCATCCATTAGAATCTTCAAAAAACTAGGTTCATAGACTGCAAAACATCAAATAGAAGTTTATAATCTGTTAAGTCATGAGTTACGGATCAACTTCATCTCAATATAGGAAATTGAATGGAGTGCCGATACCTCAATCTCAAAATACTAAACAAAGTATTCAACAACATAGAACTAATCAAAATCTACCTTTGAATAATTCAAATATACTGCAACAACAGCATCCACAACATCCTCAGCACCCGCAACAGCATCTACAACAGCAACAAAAACAAGAAATGTATATACCGTCGGCATCATCATCATTAACTCAAACTATACCTACGAATAATCCATTATTACCACCAAATAATCATTCACATCATCATCATCCAAATCATCACCAACAACAAAATCATCAACAATCTGGAACAATTCCAAATCAATTACCTTCAGTACCTCAACCTGCATTAATGGCATCAAATTCAATTTTAACATTAGGACCTTTCAAACATAGAAAAGATTTAACAAGAGAATCTGTTTTATCAACTTATCAAATTATGGGATATATAGCAGCAGGAACTTATGGGAAAGTTTATAAAGCAAAACTACGAGGAAATTTGAAAAAAGAAGATGAAGTTAAAAATTCAAATGGAAATAGTTCAAGTAATGCAGAAGATCTAGATACCAAGACTGATTATTCATTAAATTCTACAACGACATCATCAACATTGACCAGCACAACCACCACTACCTCAAATCAACGAAATCAAAAAGATGAGGAACCATTACCACAATTTTATGCCATAAAAAAATTTAAAAGTGATAATCATTCAACAAATTCAAATTTAAATTCAAATTTAAATATAAACAAAAATATTGATAATAATGATATAATTCATTATACTGGAATATCACAAAGTGCAATTAGAGAAATGTCATTATGTCGAGAATTAAATAATAAAAATATAACAAAGTTAATAAATATAATATTAGAAAATAAAAGTATATATATGATATTTGAATTTTGTGAACATGATCTTTTACAAATTATTCATTATCATTCTCATCCGGATTTAAAACCAATCCCCATTACAACTATAAAATCATTAATTTGGCAAATTTTAAATGGTGTTACTTTTTTACATAAAAATTGGATATTTCATAGAGATTTAAAACCTGCAAATATAATGGTTACATCAAATGGTATTGTTAAAATTGGAGATTTAGGTTTAGCAAGAAAATTTAATAATCCTTTACAAAGTTTTTATACAGGAGATAAAGTTGTTGTTACAATATGGTATAGAGCTCCTGAATTATTATTAGGTACAAGACATTATACTCCTGCAATTGATTTATGGGCAGTTGGATGTATTTTGGCTGAGCTATTATCATTAAGACCAATTTTTAAAGGAGAAGAAGCCAAGATAGATATAAATAATAAAAAATCAGTACCATTTCAAAAAAATCAATTTCAAAAAATTATTGAAATTTTAGGTACACCAAATTTAAAAAATTGGCCAAATTTAAATAAATATCCAGAATATAATTCATTTGTACAACAATTAAATCAAAATTATTCAAATAATTTAAATCAATGGTATAAATTAATTGGAGGAGATAATAAACAATGTCTTGAGCTACTTTATGGATTATTAAAATATGATCCTGAAATAAGATTAACTTCTGATCAAGCATTAATTCATAATTTTTTTTTAGAATTACCTAAATTTAAAGAAAATGCTTTTGATGGTTTAAATTTTAAATATCCAAATAGAAAAATTTATTTTGATGATAATGATATAAATCAAGGAATTGGGAATAATCAGAATAATAATAATCAAGTAAATCAGGGAAATCAAGTAAATCAAGTAAATCAAAATAGTAATTACGTACAAAATCAAAGTACAGCTAATGGTAATAATACTAAGAGAAATAATGGATTTGATGAAAATATTGGTACAACAACAAAAAGAAAAAGAGTTTGAGTTCAAATTTCGAGCAAGTAAAAAAACAGAAGTTTATAGTTTGTATTTACATAATCATTGCATTGTATATTCAAAAAAAGACATTGTTTTTATAGCATTTTTACATATTTTCATTATCAATTTGGTATATAAACTGTTTGATCTCTGTATGATTAAAAGACCCCAATAAAGCGCGTCGCGTAATAATCCAAAACAAAATAAATTTTGATCTGATAATTAATTTACAACCAAATAAATTATGAAACACATTATCTACCACTTTTTCTTCTACTTTTGAAGGCAAAAATTTAAACATCCAAACTCTTCATTTGGTGGATGATTTAGTCACAATGGTTTCAAAATTAAAGGAATTATATACAGATAATCAATTAATTCATAATAGTCCAATATCAGATATTTATAAAGTTAAACCAATTAAAGAATCTTCAAATTTAACTGAATTGGAAAAGAAACAGGATTTCTTGATATTAAAAATCGTTGATTTAGATTTTAAAATTCCTCCACATTCAATCAAAAGAGAAATTGAAACTATTAAAGTATTACAGGAAAAGAAGAAAGAACAAAGTAATGAAGGATATATTGGAATAATTGAAATGTTCAACAACTTCCAAATAGTTGATGATATGATTTTAAGTTTAAAATATTATCCTTTTACATTAAATCAATTAGTTTTAAATTCAAAATATAGTAGAAAAAAAATTAAATTTAATTCAATTGGTGATATGAGTGGGAATAGTAATGGTGAATATGAATTAAAAAATAAAATTAAAGTTAGTGAATTAAGAGAATTCATCATCAAGATGGTTAGTTCATTAAATTTTATTCATCAGAATCAAATAATTCATAGAGATTTAAAAATGAGTAATATATTTTTTGAAGCAAATGATTTAACTAAACCCATTATTGGAGATTTTAGTTGTTGTTATAATTTAAATCAACCACCTGAAGATGAACCATTAGATTTTAAATATTTAGATATAAGTTCTGGAATTTATAAACCACCTGAATTATTATTAGGTATAACCAACTATAATTTTGAAATTGATTATTGGTCATTTGGTATTATTTTAACTATATTATTTTCATTAAATTTTAAATCAATTTTAATTAAAGATGATTTAGATTTAAATAATGATTCAAATATTCATGATTTACATTTATTATCTTGTATTTTTAAAACTTTTGGAACTCCAATTATTGAAAAATCAATTAATAATAATGAATCAGCTGGTAGAGAAGAAGAAAGTCAAAAAGAAGATAGTAAAGAAGGAAACAATAAAGAAGAAGCTAGTAAAGAAGATGCTAATAAAGACGATGCTAATAAAGAAGAAGAAGAAGATTATTTATATTGGCCAGAATTAAATAATAATGATTTACATTTTAAAAAATTTAATTTAAAAATTCAAAAACCTTTATCAATTGAAAATATATTACCAAAACTTATCATTGATGATTCACTTGATTTTAATAATGATATTAATGATCCTAATGATATTAACAAAATTAAAATTTTTTTTAAAAATTTAATGAGATATGATAGAAATAAAAGAAAAATGTTTATTGATTAAACAAATTCATAATTAAAACTTAACTAATGAGTAATAACAAATATTTAACTAATGATTAATAACTAATATTTAATAATTATAACTAATAATTAGCTGGCTAATGATTAAGAAATTAACTAGTTAATAATCTCAAAAAATTCTGAATTATTTGTAGACTATTTGTATTTGATTTTTAATTTCTATCTTTTGATCGATTATGAGGTTGATCATGAGAAATGGAGTGCAATTTTTCAACAAATTGAATGACATTATTCTTTTAATTTCAAAGCTATAACTTACTAATTTTTTGCAACAAAATTTGGTTGCAAAATTGTTAAATAATTGAGCTGTCACATAATTTATTTACTTCTCAAGTTAAAGTTTCACCTCAACTTAAAAAATAAACAGCTATGAAGATTCATTCAAATTTACTTAGATTAGGCAAGATTCTTACTTGATCAACTTGAAACTTACGACTCATATTATTGATTTTGTAATTACATGTTTAAATGAGATCAAATTAAATCTATAATGGTTTTATACAATCAGAAACATCCTTACCGCAATATATTTAAAAATATTTAGAAAAAACTTCCATACCTCAATATTAAAATTCTGATTCCTAATAAAAATATTTTTTTGTCTTCAATGTTGTATCAAACTTAAGAATGAATTGAGATGAGATAGAATCTTAGCAGGTGGTATTTCAATAGGTAATCAGGTAACGCAGTAATACTGTATTCTAAGCTATAGCTTTCGTAATAATAAAGTGGATCATTAACGGAATATTAGTTCAGAGTAAATTTACAAATGAATCTAACCAATTAATATACTAACCAATTAATAAAAAGTGGGGATAAACGTTTGTATATATTATACTACCAAGAGCACTAATCTTATTTTCTTCCATGAAGATCAAATGGGAGTTATAATACAGAAAAGATTCATTAGCGAGATCAAATATGGAGATCAAAGACTACATAGATAGATTAATAATAAATGATATTATCTCACCTCTCTCAATGATTCATCAGTGAAGATAATAATTTAGTATTACTAGTATTTACAATTTAAGTAATACTTGCGGCTCATGCATCTACCCCGCAAAATGGAATATTTGTCCAGTTTTAGTTTTTCATGTAGAATGACTTAAATTAAATTATTTAGACAGGACAAGTGTTAATATGTAGATCCCCCAAAATCTAAATTTCATTCTAGTTCAAATCCCACTAAGATAGCTGTACGATTACCGTAGCAAAATAAGTCATTAAAGTTGAAATAGTACGGTATCAAGAACGTTTGGACAAGAACGCTGAGGCATCAAAAAGAAGATAATGGTAGAAAGTGTCAGCATTAGTTTGAAACAAGTACATATCAATGCAAGTAGATTTCAAATTTTCAATACTTAGTAATTAATTTTATATCTTATCAGAGTTTGTTTGTCATAAAATTTCATTTATTATTTGACAAGTTAAAATGTGACTATAATACCATTCTTCTTCTTCTAGACAATAAAACAGATAAATTAGATGATACAATTTTCTATAAAACCCTGTTATCGTCCGTTTTATAATATTTTGAATTGTTGTTTCTTTTTGGTACCTCTTTGTACTATCTTATTATTTTATTATTATTTAATGATTTACAATATTACAAATAAAGATTAACAAATTAACAAAGTTACAAGTGTTATTTAAATAGATGACTATTTTGGATATAGACACCAGCTTAGTGAAGATTACTAGGTAGTAGTACTGCTTTGCTCAATAGTTTGATTGATACAGTACATAAGTAAGTATATTAAGTTATTAACTATATACTTAAAAGTCTTAATATAGATAACTTAATATAGTAATAGTATACTGTATATAGTGTATCTAGTAATAATAATACGTTTAATAATAATTTATTATATACTCAAATTAATTGATTAATTAAATTAACCAGAACAACTCATCTATAAATCACCTAATTAGAGCAAGTATAGGATAGTAGTACCAGAACAGCTTAACTCTAGTTCCTACTACCATCTCTATCTTCAAGTGAATACTACTGAGTTAGAGAAGTTAGTTCAATAAATTAGATTACTATAAGGTGGAGCAAAATTAGACAATAAACAAAACAAAGAGACAAAGACAAAGAGACAAACAGAAAGAAAAATAAAAAATAAAAATAAAAATAAAAAATAAAAAAACCAAAAGTTTAAAAATTTAAATCATCAATTTTTTTTTTTACAACCAATTTCATATCACTTATCATTTATCAACTAATTAACCAAACTACTTTATCACTGAACTAGATATATCACAATTAGTACATACTACAGAGAATCAATTTTGCATATTTACATCGATCCATATTTATTCCTCGAGAGATTTTTTCATACTTTTCATTACATATTATTATTATTTTCTTTTTTTTAATTAATTTTGACAACCATAAATATACCTGGAGTATATTAACAATAACAACTACATTTATTCATCAATTTTGTTTCATTATTTGTTCATATTTATATTTTAGTTTGATTTCCTACAACAGAAAAGCCAAAAAATATTTATCATAACAACTGTTATTCAATTTTTTACAACCATTAGTTTTAGCATTTAAAAATTTCAATAACATTCCTTTATTCCAAATATCGTATTATTCATAACATTATCTTGTATCCTAACAACTATGCATTTATCAAAAAGTATCAATAAATTAACTTTAGATTCTTTTACTTCATCAAATTTAGATAAAACAAATTCAAATAATACAATAAATTCAAATAATTTTTATAACCCCAATGATACAAATGAAATTTTAAATTTTCCATCAATTAATATAAAAAATATTGATTATGATTATTTAGAAAAAAAATTTCAAATTTATCAATATTTTCCAAATCATATTCATAATTCAAATTGTTCTACTCCTATAATAAAAGATTTAATATTAGATAAACCTATTTATAATGATGCAAATAAACATGTTAAAAAGAAAAAAAAGAAGAAATCTAAAAAATGTGGTGATTTAAAAGAAAGTAGAAAATTAAGAAAAGAACAAAGAGAACAAAGGAAAGAATTTCATAATGAACAAAAGGAGCAAATGAAAGAAATGAAGAATGAAAGGAAGGAATTGATACAAGAACAAAAGCAGGAGATGAAGGATTTAAAACAACTGCAACAACCTATAAAAAAATCATATTGTGGTCATTATACTAAAAAAATAAATAATATTCATAATTCAAATGGTGGTAGTAATGATATAAATCATAATATTGGACAAATAAATCCTTATCAAATGAAAACTCAATTTTCAGAAAATACAATAACATCAATGTCAAGATCAAATTCTCAATTTACTCAATTTACAAATAATGAATATTATAATAATTATGATACAGAAAATGAAGAATCATTTGATGAATTTAATAATAAATCGATGAATAGTAATCAAAATACTATTGGTGGTGGTTATGATTCTGAAAAAACTGAAGTTGAAGATGATCAATTTAATCCAATATTATTTAATAATCCTTTTGATTTTGGTGGGAAAAAATTACCATCAACAATGGCAATGTCAAAAAGTTCATCATTATATAACAACAATTATACAACCACTGGAAAACTTGCAAATTCTTCAATTAATACAAGAAATAATTCAATAAATATTCCAAATATTAATAATCCTTTACAACCAATGTATCTGAATAATACAACTACATTAAATGGTTCAAAAAAAAGATCTTCTTCTATTACATTAATTAATAATAGTCAAAACTCGTCTCAAAATAGACATAATAATGGTAATAATAACAATGGAATCAAAAATGTACCTCAAAGAAGATCAACTTCAATTGCATCAAAATTTATAAATATGTTTGGAGGTAACAATAATAATCATAATCATCAAAATCAAGATCAAATAGATGATGATCATTTTTATAGTGAAGATTCAATAGATACAGAAAATGATAAAGATGAAGAAAATTTAATTATTGATGATATTGAATCATTTAATAGTAGTGGAGGTGGTAATGGTATAATAAGAAAAGGGTCCATAATAAATCATAAAATTGGTCACTACAATAATAATAATAATAACTCAAATTTACAACAATCAATAAGTATGAATCATCAAAATAATTCAAATCCATATATGATAATGAATCAACAACAACCATCAAGTTATTATGGATCACATCCACATCCTAGCTATAAATTAAATCATCAACTGCACCAAAATCATCAACAATTTGAATCTTATCCAATACAAAAATCAAATACTTTTGATCAAACAAAATCTTCCAAGACATCATTAAAAAATAAATTAAAAATGAAATTAAATAATGAATCTAGGCGTTATAGTGAACAATTTGGTATGTATATTTTACTTCTTTACTAACTACAGAATTTTTTTTTAGGGTGTTTGATATATCTTACGGGCAAGAATTATAAAACTTAGGGAACAGAATAGAGAATTGAGAATGTGATAGAGAATACTTTGATATTAATGACAAACTGATATTATGAGCAAGGTTATGGAAATTATGGTGGAAATCACAAGTTGAAGGTTTGGGAATCAATATATGAGATAAACTGAGTTGTTTGGAAAAATTATTGAAAATTGGACTATTAGTAGATCTATGACGTCATATGTTCAAAGGGTTCTTTGATTCAAATGGAGGAGAGACTAGAAAGATTATAAAAATTTTGAAATTATCAATAATTGACTAGCAAGATAACTATTGAAAGGAGAAATGAAATGCAATGAAGGAAATTAAAAAAGGATGGGAAATAAATTGGTTGATAATTGATGTTTTTACATTAAAATACGTTTGGTGAAATTTTTAATTTAAATTTTAAATTAAAGTACATGAAAAGGGACTGCATATAATAAGGCATCACATATAGAGTATTGGAAAAGTGGGGTTGGGGTAAATCAATTTTGACACAAAGACATTTTTCATTCACCTAATGATAGCAAAGGATTGAATACAATAATTCACGTTACTACATTATGAAGTTTGATCAACAAACTTGATGTATTGAAGATTCAAAAGGGTTTCGAAATAAGAAAAAGCGGTGGCAAGAAGCAATTACAAATTGATGAAATTATTGAAAGTTATTCAAAAAATAAATTATTTATTTTTTAATGCAATTTAACTTAATTAAAAATATCAAGATATTATTTTTATAACAACAAAACAAAGTTTTAAAATTAAAATTAATGGAGAAGAGAAGAGAGAAATTATTACGAAGATGGTTTATTAGTGTAACTTAAATTTAAATTTTTGGTGGTACATTCCGACTTATTAGACTTTATATTATTGGTTTAAATTAACTGAGTTTAATTCAAGTTCAAATAAAACTAAAGTGTGCAAGATCATCAAAAGTATTCAACAACAAACTGGTGGAGATGAGACGATGATTAAGTGGGTTGACAGGATTAATTGATGGTAAGAGATTGAAATTTTTCTCCTTAAATCTTTTTCTGGTTGCTTTTGTGTCATGAATCATTTTTTTTAATCATTCATTTTTTTTATGTTAGCTGAACAAGTGAGAGAAAGAATTTATTAAGAGAGAGAAAAAATTAATCAACACAACTTTTTTAATACTTTTTTGTTACTTTGCTTTTGGTAAAGAATCAATCAACTACTCAACATACAAAGGATATCTTATTGATACTATACCACTCCATCCAATTTGATATATCACCATCATCATTAACTGAATTTTAAAATCCAAATATTCAATTCAAAACGTTGTTGATACTAAAATTACCTCCGTGAAAGCATTACATCCCATTTCCATCAAATCAAATTTTTAATATTCAATTTTTAATTTTATCACTTTACTTAAATTGATTATAGAAAATTGATTCCATTTCATCATTTCATTTACTTTTTCAATTGAACTAAATTTTTGTTGATTAATTTTACAATTTTTTTGCAGTTGATATAATTAAAAAACCAATAACTATCATCAAACAATATTAAGTATTGTTCAATAATCCATCAATCCTTGCTTCTTCATTCAGATCAAAACACAGTTAACTAGTCACTCTTTCAAACAAAATTATATTGCTATACATTCCTTTGTTCAAATTTCCAATCTAATAAAACACTTAGTTTCCCCATCTACTTCAATTCAACTCAATTTATTTGTTGTCATATTTGAATAATCAAATTTGTTTTATTATTCATTTAATTTGAAATTCCATTTTTTATTTATTATTTTTTGCATTTTATAAATTGTCATATATTCATTCCCATTCCCATTCCCATTCCCATTCGAATCAAACCTAACCTAACCTATCCTAACATATTTGCTTCATCAATATTTCATTTGCATTTGTTTTATTGATATTTTTTATTGTATTAATAAAGAATCATACAATTTAAATCTAATTCCTAACAATTAGTTTGTCAATTCATCATCAAATATATTCTCCAATTTTATATCATAATCAAAGTTTTTGCTTGAAAAATAGATATATCACAACTCACCTAAAAAATTATTCTGTATATATTTTATCCTTAAATACTAACATGTCTAAATTAGAAGTTGTTACTGAAAATGTCACAAACGGTCATACTGGTGAAGTACAAACTATTCAATATACTCAATCTCAAATGGTTGGTCATGGATCATTTGGAGTTGTATTTCAAACTCAAATAATGCCAACAAATGAAATTTGTGCAATGAAAAGAGTTTTACAAGATAAAAGATTTAAAAATAGAGAATTAGAAATTATGAAAACTGTTCATCATAGAAATATAGCAGATTTAAAATATTATTTTTATACAAATAATGATAAAAATGAATTATATTTAAATTTAATATTGGAATTTGTACCTGAAACTTTATATAAAGCTTCTCATTTTTATGTATCAAAAAGATTAAATATGCCATCATTAGAAATAAAATTATATACTTATCAAATGTTTAGAGCTTTAAATTATATTCATAGTATGAAAATTTGTCATAGAGATATAAAACCTCAAAATTTATTAATAAATCCTTTAACTGGTGAATTAAAATTATGTGATTTTGGTTCTGCTAAAAAATTATCACCAGATGAACCAAATGTTTCATATATATGTTCAAGATATTATAGAGCTCCTGAATTAATATTTGGTGCAACTAATTATACAACAAAAATAGATGTTTGGAGTGCAGGATGTGTTATGGCTGAATTAATATTAGGTCAACCATTATTTCCAGGAGAAAGTGGTATAGATCAATTAGTTGAAATTATAAAAATCTTGGGTACACCATCAAAAGATCAAATTAAAAATATGAATCCAAATTATATGGAACATAGATTTCCACAAATAAAACCAATACCATTAAATAAAATTTTTAAAAAAATGAATAATGATTGTATACAATTTTTAATTAAAGTTTTACAATATTCACCAATTGAAAGAATTAATTGTATTCAAGCAATGATTGATCCATATTTTGATGAATTAAGAAATGAATCTACAATGCTACCTAATTATAGAAAAATGATAAGTCATCAACAACATAACAACAACAACAGCAACAATGGTTCAATAAATGGTGGATCCGATTTAAGACAATTACCAGAATTATTTGATTTTGATCAATGGGAATTAAAAGTTGATCCAAGTTTAAATCATTTATTAATACCAAAATGGAAATTAAATCAATTAAATGATCAACAATATCAACAAGATTATAATCAACAATCAGCACATCCACAGCAACAACATCCACAACAAGCAGTACAACCACCAGCACAACAACCACAACAACAACCACTACAACAACCACTACAATGAGTATATAATTATATAAATATATATTTGAAACAACATTAATAAAATACGATGTAATGAATGATATGATAAATTATTAAACTCTATAAATTAATTTGTAAGTAAAGTGAAAATTAAATTTCAATGCTACCAATATGTCATGATAGAAACAAAATTTAAAATTTTTCCTCTTTTTCCAAATACGTAATATCAAGAAGTCCATTGAACAACGACTAACTGCTTCTCAATCCAATACTAGTATACTCAATAGAACAATATGGCTAAATATACAGAAGAACAATTAATAGAACTTAAATCCACGTCACATGTTTCTCAACCAACAATTTTACAAGCATTTAATGCAATGATTGAAGAAGTAAAACAACATGCATTATTACAACAACAACAATATATTCAATCTCAACAATCTCAATCCTCATCACAATCTTCACAAACTCAAAATAAATGGAATAATGGAGATACTTATATTGACGAAAGAGGTAATGAACGAAGTTATAATCATTTAAATCGTAGAAGAAATTCAAATTCAAGATCAAATAATGGAACTTCCATACCTAGTAGTAGCAGCAGCACTACTAGTCAACAACAACAACCTTTTATTGGTTCAAATATAGGTAATTTACAACAACAAAGATATAATAAAAAAAAAATTGAAATTAAAAAAGATGAAGATGGTTGGGAAAGTTTTACAACGAACTCCAATTCTACTAGTAATCAAGATCAAGATTTAGAAAAGAAAGATAACTCAAATACTTTAAGTGGTTCTGGTGCTAGTGTTGGAATTAGAGCAAGACCAAATAATAAAAATTTAGGTTCTTCAAAAGCTGTTGATCCAAGAGAAATTATAAGTGATAAACAAACTAGATCTTTTAATGCTTTTGAAGCTTTAGATGATAATGATGATGATGATGATGATAGTGAAGAGGAGGAAGATTGAAGAATAGAAATAAAATTTGATGTATATAATTATTTTTACTAATGGATATTACTATTTTTTTCTTTTCTTTGTTTGAATTCTTTGAAACCTTAGTTGAGTTGATGTAATGTAGAACTCCTATATCTCATTTACTGATCATGTCAATCATGAGTTAGATGAATCAATCGATAAAATATGATTGTTGAATTTTTTTGCGCTATTGTTACTCACAATCTACTTATATTTATGTTAAAACTGTATAATCTTCTACTTTACTTTATTCCGAATTAAACCAAACAATATCAACAAAAATTCGAACCAAAGTTACAAAAGAAGTTGTTCAAATGAAGGAACCAAGAAGGACAAGATATTAGCTTCAGATTGAAGTATCAATAAACTAACTTTACATTAGATTGAAGGATTAACAACTTCTGTCTTAGATTGAATATTTAACAACGTTGATTTTCAACAATTTGATCAAGTTCTATATAAAGGAATTAGAATTGTTTAATGACAATAAATTTTATGGATAAGATGAAAATATCTTAAATATATATTAACATTAATTTTGAGGAAATTTACAATACAGATGCTGCAGCAGTATGAGATGATTCAAAGTAATTGATATAAAAACTATTAAGGTTGATTTGACTCAACTATATTTTTGATCAATCACCAAATATTAGTATTTCAAAGTGGCATTTTGATGATCTTTCTATGCTGGCTTCATTGTTATCATTGTGTAAATTTTCTTATTGTTGATATGTGTTTAAGATATTTCGTATTTCAAGATAACTACTTAATTAGATCAACACTTGTTTGCTTACTTTTGTATATTACATTTTTTTTGGTATATACTTACGAATAGATTGCCAAGTAACTCAGAGTACTTGCTTCATATATACTTACATAAGATACATTTTTCGTCACATTTATCATCAAAATTTGTCGGCTGGTCAATTACATTCACTTGAATCACTTATATCTTGCTTGAAATCTAAATTATTGGGACTCTACGCTAACACTTTTTCTTTCACTAACTTCATAATTTTTCTACTCTAAATGTTTTTATTATTAAAATTATAATTTTACTATCATATTATAAACACTATATTAAACAATAAATGCAACATCATCATCACTATCTAATCCACCTAATATAGAATCAACATCAGTAGATAATAAATTTTTATTTAATATTGAATCATTTGAAACAGTATTTTCCATTTGTCTTGATGTCATAATTGAATGACCATTACCATTACCATTGGAAACGTTACCAGTTTTAAATTTTTGATTATTAAAACTTATTGAATCTTTTAAATCTGAAATTCTTGGATGATTTAAAACTTTTGAATTATAAGTATATATTGAACCATTTGTATCATCATAATGAGAATCTCCAATAGTTGTAGTATAATTTGAAACTAAATAAGAATTAGCATGAGGTAATCCTCTTTCTTGAAAATGTTGACTAAATTGTAAAATTTCTTGATGAATTGAATTTATATCTGCTGTTGTACCTAATCCTAAACCAGTATATAACCCTTTTTCTGAATCTGATGATACTACATCTGATGATAATCCTGTTCTATTTATAAAATTTTGAGGTATAAAATGATCACTTGTTGGAGGACCACTTTCAAATTCATCATTTTCATTATTCATTTCAAAATTCATATGAGCATTATTATTATAAGTATTTCTTGAATCATTATTAAAAGTACTCATATGAGTTGAAATTTGAGATTTTTCAATATCAGTTAATAAAGGTTTTTGAGGATGTAACCAAACAATTAAGAAATTATTACCACAAGCAAATTCTTCAATATTTTCTTTTTGAATTTTAATTTTTAAATCTTTTCCAAAATTATCTTTAGGGATAATTCTACCATTTTTAAAAAATGATTCTAAATCTGATGATTGAGAATCTAATCCATGAATCCATAATTTATATTGTTTTCTATATCCAATACCATCCAATATTTGTTTAAATAATTTTGAATTTTTACAATAATTATCTAAATCTTCTGAATATTGTTGATCAAGATTCTTCAAAATATAATATAATATTATATGAGCAATTGTATCTTTATACATTTGTGATTGATTAAATTCATTTGTTTTATTTAATTTTAATACCCAATGATGGAAAAATGGTATAAAATTACTTGTAAAATTTAATCCTAAAATGGTAATCATATCTTTTAATACAGTTACTAATAATAAAACTAATTCAGTATTTGGAGATTCATAAATATCAAAAAATTTATCTGTATACATTAATAAATGTGATATAAAATTTTGTTGTTGAGTAATATATTGATTAACATCAGGTTCAATTAAATTTTTACTATTTGTTTTTAAATCATCTGATATTTTATTGTTGTTGTTATTAAATTGTGAACCTGGATCTAATCTTGATTGTTGTTTTGTAACTTCATAAGCAGTTTTTGAAGCAATTGCTAATTCATTATTTAAAAATTCATCAAATACTTTTAAATATTTTGCTTGAATATCATGAATTTGTTGAATTGTTAAAACAGTTTTTCTACCATCATCAAATTCACTTTCTGGAGCTAATAAACCTAAACTAATATCCCAATGTTCTAAATTAACATGATTACGATTTATTGAACTTGTTTTATTTTTTAAAATTAAAAAAATTTTGGAAATATTATCTAAAAATTGTATAATTAAATCATGAATTCTTTCACCTGATGTAGTTTGATTTGAATTATCAACAAATGAATTATCTAATACATAATCTGTTTTAACTAATATTTCTTGAATTGAATCTGGTACTTGATCATAATAATAAATATGAGTTGTAACATTACATATACAATCTGAATAAATATTTGTTAAAATGTCAATTTCAGATTTACTTAAATCACTTGGTTTTAAAATTAAATCAGTTTGTAAATTTAATAATTGTTGAATAATATCTGATATTGATAAACCAATCATATTAACTCCAGAAGATAATAAACCTAATAAATATTTTGCATAAGTTAATTGTAAATTATAATTTGATTTACTTGGTCCTTCAACATTCATACGATTTAAAGTTGATAATAAAGTTGATGAACTTACAAATCTTAATTGAATTGGTATCCAAGTAACACAAAGCTCTAATAAAACAATACCCCAATCTAAATTAAGATTTGTTGAATAAATATGTTGAACAACAGCTCTTGTAACTTCAGAAATTTGAGCAGTTGTATTATTATTAAAAAATGATTTTAAAGCAATCATTGCTTCTTCATTAACATCAGTTATAGTTAAATTATCATTATCAAAATCATCATCAATTTGTTGATGAACAATAGTTTGAGATTTTTGCAGTTGAACTCTTGATAATCTTTTCCCATCAGATTCAACATTAATATTTGATTTTAATTTTGAAACTAAACTACTTATATTATTATTATGCATTATAATTTGAATTAAAAATGGTATTGATATAGCAATAAATTTTTTACTTGTATTATTTGAATAACCTAAACAATTTGATATTGAATTTATTGCTTTTATTGAAATCATTTGCCAATCTAATTGATTTTGATTAATATTTTTTTCCTTACCAGTATTTATTAATTGTTGTGATAAATCAGTAAATTCTTGAACAAATTCTTTATCACCACTAAATAATGCACCATCTAAATTTTTACATAATACTTCATAAGTTTTTACAACATTTTTACAAACTGAAATGTCTTTTGTATCTAAACAAATTTTCATAATTGTACAAACTTGAGGAGCAAAAACATTTAAATTTTCTTTACATTTTTCAATTAATTCTTTTATTATAGCTAAAGTAACTTGTAAATTACCAGTTCTATTTCTTGCAGCATCATGTTGAGTTTTTTCTTTTATAAAATGAATAACTTTTTCTAATTTAATTCTTCTTGTTGATGCATAATATAATAAATAACTTAATTCAGAAGAATTGGGTTTTTTATCAGTAGCTTTACCAGCTGGATAACATTGTAAAATTAATTTTTGATGTTTATGTTGGAATATTTTATTCATGCTTGCTTTTTGGGGAAGTTAAGTAAATTAGTTATACAAATTGTTGAACTAAAGTTGAATAAGGAAGTGAAAGTTGAAAATAAAATTGGGTATTAATAAAAATTGTTGATTTAAAAATCTAAGTTTGAATGAATTAAAAGATAGATAAGAATGCTGAGTTGACGAGTATTGATAAGGTTTATTGAACCCCTTGATGATTTGTTAAATTTGAAAAATGTTTGAAACGTTTTTGGTTGTAAAAAAATTAGATTAAATGGTTAAATCTTAATTTGATATGATAGTAAGTATAACTTTCAAATTCAATGAAACTAAACTTCTGCTTAGATGATAGTAACTCCTGTATTGGTTGAATTAAGTAGTTGATTATCAAATATGAATTGAAAATACTAATTGGTGTTGAGGTTGAATGCAGAAATTAGAAATGAAAATTTGTTGATAATTAAATAATAAATTTAATAAATTAAAGTGGAGATAAAAAACGTACAGTAAATTTAATTAATTACGCAGGCACCTGAAATATTTTATGTCTTGTCCTATTTTGTGATGTATCGACTTAAAGACTTGGTACGAGCGTCGACCTAAATTTTTTTTCTTTTAGCTCCTTCTCCTGTATGAATACTCGAATAATTTCATATGATTTGTTATAGGACTTAAGACTTTATTATTTTAATGAGATATTACCATAAATGGCAAAAAAGCGTAGTCCAATTTATAGTTTGAGATAAGTAGATATTTTATAATAATTAGATTATTATAAATCCATAGTATAGAATAGGGAGAGCAGAGGGTATAAAAATTCAGAGACTGTAATTTAGTGAGTGCTTAATTCACATTCAAATGTAATCAACCATAAGGCTAAAATTAAAAAAATCATCATTCATATTCGGCTGGACCTGGGTTAAAAAATTATTGTTTCATGAATGTCAGAAATCATGTTTATGTCTTAAAATATGATTTATAGACGTAACAACTATTTGTGTCGCCTCTTTCCCAATTGTCTGAAGAGTGAATATTCAGACAAAAGTTTGACCCATTTACAATATCAAAAGATCATTATCAGACATTATCCGATCTACACACTTAAATAAACTTAAAGACACAAATATTTCTGTTTCAGGTCCAATGATATAAAATATGTCAACTTATACTAAAGGTGGAGCTTGGACCAATATAGAAGATGAAATTCTTAAAGCAGCTGTTCAAAAATATGGTTCCAATCAATGGGCTAGAGTATCATCTTTATTACCTAAAAAAACAGCTCAACAAGCTAAATCAAGATGGGTAGAATGGTTAAATCCTTTAATTAATAAATCTGATTGGACACCCGAACAAGATAAAAGATTAATTGAAGTTCATAAAGTCTTACCAAATCAATGGAGATCAATATCTACAATTATAGGAAGAACTGCAACTCAATGTGTAGAAAGATATCAACATTTAATTGATAAGACATATGGAATTGAAAATAATGAATTTAAATTATCTGGACCTGGAATTGAAACATTACCAGCAACTGGTCAACCAAGTATACAAATTTTTGATGAGGAGTCGAATGATCCAAATTTTGCATCTGAAACAAAACCACCTGAATCTGATAATGAAGATATGGAAGATGAAGATAGAGAAATGATAGCTGAAGCAAAAGCAAGATTAGCTAATACTCAAGGTAAAAAAGCAAAAAGAAAAGCAAGAGAAAGAATGTTGGAAGAAAGTAAAAGATTAGCTTTATTACAGAAGAGAAGAGATTTAAAAGCAGCTGGTATAAATAGTTCAATTTCTATAAAAAATAAAAGGAAAAAAAATGAATTTGATTATGTTGCTGATATACCTCATGAAATAATACCACAAGAAGGTCCATATAATATTAATGAAGAAATTAAAGAAAATGAAAAAGAATTAAATCAATTTCAATTTAAAGTTTCCAAACTGGGGATAAGTAATAAAGAAGTTGATGATAAAATAAGGAAAAATAGAGAGAAACTGAAAAGAGAAAGGGAAAGGAAAAGAAAGAAAGATGAACTGGAAGAAGTTGAACATGACAAAGATAGAAGAATAGAATTCAAAAAGAGGAAGACAGATAATGATACAACCACAACACCACTAGATCAAGATAAATTGGAGAAGTCACCTATTCAAAGAAAACCAAACAAATCGTTGATACCCCTAATAAAATCAATTTTTGAGAAATTACCAGAACCAATTCATCATCAAGGAAAACCAACTCCAATATTTGAAGAAAGTCAAGATGATTTACAATTAGGAAATCAACCTTTAGTAGATACCAAAGATGAAAATCTTGAACTTTTAAAATCAATTGATAGAGAAAAATCCCAACGACGGAAATCTCAAGTTGTTCAAAAAAATTTACCACTTATAGACCCATCAACTATAAAACGAAATGAAAATTCTACGCTGGAAGTAGATCAATTAATAGATAAGGAATTTTTAAATTTAATTACAACTGATTTTAAACTGCAAATGAATCCATTTATTAATATATCTGTATTTTCAGATATTGATGAAAATCTTTATCAAGAAGTTAGGAATGAAATTGAAACAAAATTAAACAATACAACAACACATGATGAGCATAAACAAATATCAAAATTTGAATTACCAAAAAATTTTGAAATTGCAGATATGATAATTTCAAAATTACATAATTTACATAATTCTTCAAAAATTTTAACAAATTCATTAAATTCATCAAGTCAATCATATAATGATGAATTAAATTTTCAAATTAATCAAATTAATGATACATATAAGAAAATACTTGAATCTGATATTGAATATAAATCATTAGTATCTAAATTTGATGAAGATGAAAAAATTAATTCAAAAGAAATTGAAAATTTGAAAGTTGAAGTTGATAGGGTTAATAAGGTTGTTGATACTATACGACAAAATTTGAAGGATTTGTTACCACAAACTCAAAGTAAATAGATCAATATTTATGAATTAACTTATGATCAATCTTTACTCTAAAGCTTTTATCTTCTTACCCCGTAATTTCAAACCGCGCGTAGAAATAAAACGAATCTAACATAAATCTTATCTACATTGCTAACACTTACTAGAATGCAACAAAGTCCATAAATGACCAATAACCTACTAAATGTACCTTTAAAACAAACAGAACCAATAAATTTAGGTGAAAAAATAAGTGAAGTCATAAAATCACAATTCTTTCAACCTGCTTCAAATTTTGAAAATGATTTAAATTATTTAACAAGTTTAAGAAATTCAATAACAGAAATTAGTAATACATCCATATCAACAATATCATCAATTGATAAATGTTATGAATATTATTCTGTTTTACAAATTTTAGAAACTAAATTTCCAAAAGATTCCATAGAATTTGGATGGTTTATAACATTATATTTAAAACCAATTGGACCAATTTCAATAAGATCTATTAAATATGAAATTTTAAATATTATATTTCAAATTGGTTCAATATATTCTAAATTAGCATTAAATGAATCAAGACATTTAGATGAAGGTTTAAAAAAATCATGTCAATTTTTTCAATTATCAGCTGGATGTTTTCAAATTATAAAAACTATAGTAACTTCAATAAATTCAAATCCAAATTCAAATTTAGAAATTCCTGGAGATTTTCAAAATCTGACCATATCTTGTTTAATTGAATTAATGTTAGCACAAGCTCAAGAAACTATATGGCAAAAAGCTATAAATTCTGATACAACAAAAGATTCAGTTATAGCAAGATTATCAATTCAAACATCAGAATATTATTCAAATTCATTAAAAAATGCAAAAAATTCAGATTATATAAAATTAGATTGGATGAATCATATAACTATAAAATATTATCATTTTTTAGCTGCAGCTCATTATAGAAGTAGTATTATAGCATTAAATTCTTTTCAATATGGTGAACAAGTGGCTCATCTAAGAATTGCTTCAGATGCCATAACTAAAGCTTTAAAATTTAAAAAATATGTTAATGAATTTGTTTTAGAAGATTTAATGGGATTATCAGAAATCGTTAAAACTAAGCTAAGAACTGCTGAAAAAGACAATGATTTAATTTATTTAAAATTAGTTCCAAAAGAAAATGATTTAAAACCAATTATTGGTGTATCTATGGTAAAACCTATAGAATCAGAAGAATTCACAAAACCACTACCAAAGGATACAATTTTTAAAGATTTATTACCATATGTTATAATACATTACGCACAAGCATTAAGGGAAAGACAAGATGAATATTTAAAAACATCAATAATTGAACCAATACAAGCTTTAGATCAAATAATAATAAAATTTTTAAATGAAAGAAATTTACCATCAAGTATTGATGCTTTACAACAACCTGAAAATATACCAGATGCTATATTAAATCATTCAAGAGAAATAATGAATCTTGGTGGTATAAATATTATTGAAAATCTTTTAAAAGATATTTCTAATTTATCATATGAATGTAAACATTTAGTTCAAGAATGTCAGAATAGAATTGATAAAGATAAACAAGAAGATCAAATGTTAAGAGAAAAAGAAGGTACAACTAGATGGAATAGACCAGATACTGAAAAAGCAGCTTCTATCCCCATAGCCAAAATTCAACGTATGAATGAATACTTACAACAAGCTAAAAATGGTGATGAAGTTATTATTCAAAGATTTAATGAAATTCGAGAACCTTTAGAAGTTTATATGGGAGGACTTACTTCATTGAATAAATATATACCAAATTCAAATTATATTAAATTAGATAAAAATATATCAAATATAGTGATTGAATTAAGAGACTATTTAAGTCAAATAGATTCTTTAAAAACTGATAGAATAAATTTTTTACATAATATAGAAATTAAAAATAGAAATAATAATATTTTACCAAAATTAATTGATGAATATAAAAGAAATAAAAATCAATTATATGATAATCATGGAGAATTTAAACCAACAAAATTTGAATTAATTTATGAAGATCATATAAAATTATTTAATTCTGAAATTTCATTTTTATATCAAACTAAAACAAATCAACAAGAAATTGAAAACAAAATAGATATAATCAATAAGAAATTCATTCAGGAATATACAACTAATGTTAATTCAACTTTGAAAAAAAGACAAACCGCATTACAAAATTTAGATACTTCATTTATAAAATATAAAGAAATTTTAACAAATTTAAATGAAGGTTTAAAATTTTATAATGATTTTATATCAAAGGGGAACAACGTATTAAAAGAATGTCAAGAATTTTTAAATAAAAGAAGAGTTGAAAGTAGAGATTTAGAAATTGAAATTCAAAGAAATTTACAATATCAAAATGAACAAAATCAAAGACTGATTACACCGGATATTACTGCTACTGGTAATAATCATCGAGATGAAGCTTTAGCTCCTGATGTTCAATTAGTTTCTCCAAGAACTCAAAAATCAAATGTATGGGACCCAAATTCAAATATAAAATTTGGTTAGGTAAGAGGTATTCTTTGGTGAAATTATTTTGTGTGTAAAAAATTTAAACAATATCTACATAGACATCTTCTTTTTGAATATATAGACTACAATACATATCTACATATATCATCAGAGAATTACGATGATTGACCTCATATGATACGTAAATATTTAAACTCAATACTCACTAAAATGTCAACAAACTCATTATCTTCCACAAAAAAACCAATCATTTCAATAGTTGGTACAACAGGAGTTGGAAAATCACAATTTAGTATTGAATTAGCAAAACATATAAATGGTGAAATCATAAATGCAGATTCAATGCAAGTATATAAAAAGATGGATTTAATTACAAATAAACATCCTATAGAAGAAAGAGAAAATATACCTCATCATGTAATAGATTATATTGATTGGAATGAAGAATATCATATACATAAATTCACAAAAGATGCTAATTTAGCAATTGAAAATATTCATCAAAGAGGTAAAATTCCAATAGTTGTTGGTGGAACTCATTATTATTTACAATCATTATTATTTAATAATAAAACAATGGATAAATCTAAAGAAATTACCAATGTTGAGTTAACCACAGATCAATTGAATATATTAGATGGTCCAACAGATGAATTATTTATAGAGTTAAAAAAAATCGATCCAATAATAGCTGAAAAATTTCATCCAAAAGATCATAGAAAACTACGACGTGCTTTAGAAATTTGGTATACTACATCAATTAAACCTTCTGAAATATATCATGAACAAAAAATTGATGAATTAGAAGAAAGTTCTTTAAAATATAATACTATTGTATTTTGGCTTTATTCTGATCCAATTACATTGAATGATAGATTAGATTCAAGAGTTGATAAAATGTTTGAAAATGGAGCATTTAATGAAATTGACGAGTTATATAAAAGTTACGTGGAAAATAATGCAGATTGTACTATGGGAATTTATCAAGTTATTGGATTTAAAGAATTTTTACCTTGGTTAAAAGATTTAAAACAAGATTCAAAATTGTTAGAAGAAGGAATTGAAAGAATGAAAATTAGAACTAGACAATATGCAAAATATCAAATTAAATGGATTCAAAAAACTTTGCATCTTGAATTGGAAAAGGAATCTAAATTTGATTTTAAAAATGGTGGGAAACTATTTGTTTTAAATGCAACTGATTTAGATGATTGGGATGCCAATGTAAAAGAAAGAGGTCTCAAGATAATAGATGAATTTTTATCAAAAAATAATTCCGATATTTCAATCAATCAGCTTCCACCTGGTTTAGAATCATTATTCACTAAATCAAAACATTCAAAAAGTAATAAAAATTTAAATTCTGAATTACAATGGAAACATTTTGAATGTGATATATGTAAAGATTCAAATAATTCTAATTTTATTGCTATTGGAGAATTAGCATGGAAATCTCATTTAAATGGTAAAAGACATAAAAAAAATCAAAATTCTGATGCAAAAAGAAAACATGTTGAAGAAATGATTAAAAAGTATAAAAAAGGGGAATAATTGATTTAATGTTTTGTATTCATCATAATATTATGAGATTCATTCTACTTAATTACTTTATTGGCATCAATTAAGAATTTGTTGTATAGAATGTAACACAGGATTATTAGCTAGCTGAACCATACTCTTCTTCAACGCAAACATTCAGAGTATTGTTAATGGTAATTGGTACTTTTCAGGCGTGGATGTTGGTTTAGCTAGCTAATTATGCTGCGAAACATTTCGAGCAAATATAAACAGATTGATAAACTTTCAAACTTATTTCTTTCCAATCCCTTAGACCAAATATCAGCTAAGATCTTGTTTGTAACATATTCACTTAATCTCTAGTAAAAAGTTAACTCTAATAGCTATTCATAGATCTAGACTCTAACTAATAGATCAATTACAAAAGTTGATTTTGTACTTTTGTTTCATTCTGTGTAGTTGGTAGCCCACATGTTTACTTTTTATCTATAAAGAAAATATTACTTATCCCATTAATTTTTACATCCTATTTCTCCTAATTTTTTTGATAATATATGTATTGAAATTGGTACAGACATCATCCACCTCGATTACCAGATAAGTTTAGGTCTTATCAAAAATAAAAGGGTCATTTCTGATTACATATGTCGATTATTGAAGAGCAATTTGCTTTAATGAATTTAAATAAATCACCTAGAAAAAGAAAAGTATATCCATCAAATTTAAATCCAAAAGTTGTAGATAATCAAATTTTAAATAGTTCAGAATATCAAGTAAGAACTCCCATTAGAAATATAAGTAACCAAAAATCAGTATCAAAAAGTACAATTAAATCAAAATCAAACACAAATAATGAAAATGAATTTAACAGACGTAATGTATCATTTTCTGATCAATCAACTTCCAAAAAAGAATTTCAATTTTCATTCATGAAAGAAACTTCTTCATCTATTCAAAGGCGAACGTTATCAAATTCAATGAATAATTTAAACACTCCCTGTAAATCAACTTACAAGTCAACCACATCTTCATCTTCCACTAAAAAGAGATTGGAATATTCCAAACAATTGAGATCAAAAAGAGCAATATCCGGTCAAGCATCATCAACGTTTCCATCTGATATTTCAAATATATATTCAAATCATCATTCAGATCACGCAATGCAACCATATAAAACTTCGGATATTAACAATCACAATCAATTTGATGAATCTCCCACAAAACCAAGAAGAGTATTTACTCAACCACCTTCTTCTTCAAATGATGTATTCCAAAGATTGTATCATAAAAGCAATTCTACAGCAAGAAGATCAAGAATTCCACACTCGAAATCTTCGTCGAATTTATCCAAAAAATTCTCATCAAACACTTCCAAAATCGATTCCATAAGAGATTTATACAATTTACTTTATAGTAAAATTCCGGATTTATTTTCTAAATCTTCATCATGTATTAAAGATAATCAAATTTATCATGAAAAACCACTTGATTTGAAAAATATATCCTTAAATTCTTTGAATGTATATGAGAGAGGAGAAATAATACGTAAGAATAGCATATACTACGTCCCAACTGAGTGTTTAAGAATTACAGGACTGAATAACGACAATAAACCTAATTTTGGATTTGATGACAAGGATGGAAATTATATTGTTAGACCAAATGATCATATCAATTATAGATATCAAGTAATTGAAAAAATTGGTAATGGATCCTTTGGAAATGTTGTATTGGCTAAAGATAATAAAATCAAAGAATTGTGTGGTAATTTAGTAGCCATTAAAATTATTAACAACAATTTCAATTCATCAATTCAATCAATAAATGAAATAAAAATGTTAAAATTTATAAATCAACAACATCGGAAAAATAATAATATAATTCAATTTTATAATCATTTTAATTTTAGAAGTCATATATGTATTGCAGCAGAATATTTATCATTAAATTTGTATTCATTAATGGAATTAACCAATTTTCAAGGATTATCTATAAATTTAATTAAACAATTTGCAAAACAAATAATGAATGGTTTATCATTCTTACATAAATTAAAAATAATGCATTGTGATATTAAACCTGAAAATTTAATGATTAAATTACCATCTGATCCAAAATCTAATGAATTAATAGTGAAAATTATTGATTTTGGATCTTCATGTTTTGAAGATGAAAAAATGTATACATATATTCAATCAAGATTTTATAGAGCTCCAGAAATTATAATTGGTTCTATTTATGATAATAAAATAGATATTTGGTCTCTTGGGTGTGTTTTATGTGAATTATTTATTGGGTCCCCTATATTACCAGGTAAAAATGAAATTGATCAAATTGGTTTAATCCTTGAAATATTTGGAGCTCCAAAATCATCAACTATTTTAAGAATGAGATCAAATTTTTCAAGATCTATTTTAAATTCAAATCATAATAAAGTTAAATCAATTAATTTTAATCAAATGACTAATAATGATACTACCGCCAATTTTCCAAATGAAAAACAAATTAAAAAAACTTTATTATATAAAATTTTTGATCTTAATGGAAAAATTAATTTAAATATTTTAAATCATTATAAATCTGCTACAAATTCAACGAAAAAGCAATTTAAAATAAATTCTAAAAATCTTGAAATTGTTTTAAGTTTAAATAATACTTTAGAAACTGCAAATGATAAATCTTTATTTTTAAAGTTTTTACAAAAAATATTTGTTTGGGATCCTCGAGAAAGAGCTAGTGTTGACCAATTATTAAATGATTCATTTATTAAATGAAAGTTCCTATTTATATATCTAGTTTATAAAAATGAATATCGTATTTGTCATTTAAGGATGTCCATGATTTGAACCTGGCCATGCACTAATTTTTTCTGGTAAAGGAGTTGAAGCTCTACTACTATCTCCACCACTTTCATTTGATTCCATTAATTCTTGAATATTTTCACTAGTTTCAATAAATGAATTAATTTTTTTATCAAATTCATTTTTTAAATCATATTCTTTTAGTTGGTTTGCAAAAATTTTAATTTCATTTAATTTCTCAATTTCTAAATCTTCTAAACTTTTAATTAATCTTGTACCAAATTTCATATCAATTGGTAAATTACTATAAATTTTTTTTTTTAAAAGATTTACAATTCTTAAATTATCTAATAAATTTAAATAATATTTTGATTCAGTTAAATCAATTGATATATTATTTGATTTTGATGGGGGATTAATTAATATTAATGCTGCATAATATAACATTATATGAACATGTACTGGAACATATCTTAAATTATCTAATATATCTTTATCATTTATAACTAAATTTAAAACAGTATGAGCTGCATTTAATGCAACATTTGCATTTACAGCTGCTTCATCGGGTGATAATAATTCTCTATTCGATATAAATTCTTCTTCATCTTCATCTTGTGAAGATTCTGAATCATCTGAATCCTCTTCATTGTCTTGAATTTTAGTTGCATGGTTTTTTTTAGAAATTGGCACAGGTGTTGGTGTTGTTAAATTCGAAGAATCAGCATTAACTGTTCCATCCCATTTCGGTAATGAAGTATCATGATTTGGATTAATTGATAATTGTCTTACTGCTGAGGAATTGATATGTATTTTAGCAAAATTATAATATATTAAAGTACTTTTAGCTGACCAAATAGCTCCATGACTTGCTGGTGATAATAATACTGTCCATGATACCATCCATTTATCTAATTCTAAATTTGATTTCGATGGAATTCCAAAGGATGAAGGTAATAAAAGATCCCATGCATCTCCCCGAAATGCTTCATTTAATGCTTGATTATATTCTACTTGGGAAACTAACCTTAAATCAGTCAATTTTTGTTTCATAATAGATCTCCTCATATCTTTTTCTTGTGAATTTTTGTGACTATTACCGTTGCTACCGCTTTCAATCTTAGGTAGTTGATTATTCTTGTCCCCTAATTTCTTTTCATCTACATCAACTAACAATTTTCTACTATGTTTTAATGAATATTCATGAGAATTTACCAATGGTTGCCTGTGGAATGCTAAACTTTGTTGACCATCTAAAATATAAAGTAAATACCATAATTTCAAATCATCTTTATTTTTACAATTTGCATTATTTAAACCATATTCTTTAGCAATTTGTAATGCTAAACCTGTAAACATTTGAGAATCCGAAAGCCAAAAGCTACACAAGATAAGGGCTACTATAGTATTAAAAGCATCTGATTTATTTTTTGGTTTATTTGTAAAAAATAAACTACCACATAAATCTCTTAAATAACCTTGTAATGGTAATGATTTGGTATTTAATGTTGGATGATGAATTGATGCAATCGTACTAATAGCACATACTAAAACTGGACAAGTATCCCAAATGTCATTCACATTAAATTTGGATATTTCAAATCCAAATAATTGTTTTGCAATATGTGTGTCAAAGTAATTAAATAATTCAGATGCTTCATCTTTTGATAAAAAGCCATGTCTGAAGTCCTTCAAATTATGATCTTCTTGTGTGACTCTACTTCTTTTTCTTGGTGAGGAATCTTGATCAATATAATTTCGTTTTTTATTATTCTCTACATAGGATGAATAATGTAGTTCAGGTGTACTATTTCGACTGTTAATTGTGGAGGAGTTTTGGTTTAATAAATTATGCAAATTTGTTTGCTCAGGCAGTGATGTTCGTTGATTGTGAAATGTTGACGACGGTCGGTGATAAGATGGTTGTTGTTGTGATTTTAAAAGGTCCGCTATCAAATCAACTTTACTTTCAAAGGAATCGAGTCTTTGTTCGATCAGTTTTTTCCATGGGCTTGAATCTGTAGCAGGACTTTTCAAAGGTGGAATAGTAGTAATTTGATTCGGTAGAGCTATTCCAGGTTGTGTTGTTTGTGAATATTGACTTACTTGAGGTATCATTGTTGAAACACCTGGAAATGTTGAAAATGAATCATGATTAAGTGTTGGAAAATGACTCAAAGGTAGTGGTGCAACTGGAGGATTAGTTGGTTCAAATGATGGTAATTTTAATGATGGTAGTTTTGGTACAAACTGACATGTTGCAGCTTGACCTGTGTTAAGACACCTTTGACAAGGTAAAGTACCTTGATATACACAACGAACTTTAGATCTTTTACAATTACAACATGGTTTTGTTCTCTTCTCTTTGGCCATGCTATGAAGCTCCTTAAAAGATCTTGTCGTCTATCTCAGTTCTTGTGTTTCATAGTACTACAATAGTAAAAAAAATAATCATAACTTTATGATAATAATCCAAATCAGGAAATCTAAGCGGCTCATCTTTCTGTCAAATTTCCCCCGGAAAATTATAAATTAACATATCAGATTATTAATAAACCAATCTTCCCTATTTCAAAAATTCCATTTCACAGCTTAATTCAACATGTCGATGAAAAGTAAAATTAAATCATTTTTTGGTGCAAACAGACAATACGCAGTTGCTGGAGCATCAAATAATCCATCAAAATTTGGATATAAAATATTAAATTGGTATATCAAGCATAATTTATCAGCAATACCAATTAATCCAAAAGAAAAAGAAATATTAAATCAACCAGTTATATCAAATGTAAAAACAATTATTCAAGCAATTGAAAATCATAAAGATCTTGATAGTTATAAAACTTCAAAAGTTGATGGTTTAAGTATTTCATTTTTAACTCCTCCTTCTGTTACTGTGGCTACTTTGAAAGAAATTGAAAGTGTTGAAGGTTATAAAAATATTATTAAAGGTTTATGGTTTCAACCTGGAAGTTATGATCAAGAAGTTTTGAAATTAGCTGATAGTTTAGGAGAATTTGATAAAGTAATTGAAGAAGATGAATGTATTTTAGTTAGAGGTGAAGAAGGTTTATTATCAGCTAATTTATAGGTTTTTAAGTAACTTTGAAAGTTTACAGGTTAATTCTTATAGTATATTATGTACAAACTGCCCTAATCAAGTATCTTCTTAATATAAGTTCCCCAACCTTCGTCAGAATCACTATTTGATTTCTCTGGTGTCAATTTCTTACCATACTCTGATATGTTTATACTGTATGGAAATGGTGATGTTTCTAAGGATGTTATTGGTGGTATATGTTCCTTTTCTCTATCAACAATATCATAGATTTTTAACAAATTACATTCAAAACTTTTCATCGACAATTCAACGCCTTGGGAATATTCCGAACTATTAGTTGCTGATGTTGTTGTAGTAGTTGATACTCCTTCTTTAATTGGTAAACATTCAATATTTATAGTCCAAGTTTCCCATATCTTTGAATCATCAGATTCATAATCTCTACCAAACCAACCACTACTTTTTCTTTTTGAATTTGATGATTTATTTGAAAATTGTATTGATATTACTCCCTTTATTGGTAATTGTTTCTTATCAATAATTGTTCGTATAAATACAGTTATTTTTTCTTCTATTAAAGATTCAAGATCAGGTAAATTTGTTGCTAATGGATAAGTTATAGATAGAAACTCATTTGTTGATGGTACTGTTGGTCCAAAAAGTCGATTAAAGAATATGGTCCATATTATGCCTTCAAAGTAAGTTAGTACACTGTTGCCATTTAAAATACTAGCCGCCATAATAAAAGATTCAATCTAACATACCTTTAATTGACTCTCTTAGTACAGATCTTTCTGCAATTAAGTCAATCGTAAATTCCATCGAGTGTCATCCAAACTATGTTATATTATGTATTCAAAGTGGTTGTTCTTTAAGTGGGTGTTGGTTGAGAAGTGTCTTGTTAAAAAGAGAATCTATATTTTGGTTGTAAATTTAAGTTTCAAAATGCACTCTATTATTATTTCGTAACTATTTAACTTACTTAGTATTTTTCCTTATCTATGACTACATGTGTTCTAAAATATATACAATCAACTCGAAAGTTAATGAATGACTCACTCTCGCTACACAACAAACGAATCAATCAACAGTCAATCAACTCAATTCAGTTCCTGATTAGATTTCGGTTTTTCTTCGTTTTCATTTTGTTTAAACGATGCTAAATCCAATTCAATCATCTTCTCTAAATCTTTAACTACATTTGGTAAAACATCAAAATCAATAACTTCTAATTGTTTGGGATCAAATTTTGATAAAACATAATCACTAATACTTTTTGATTTTGGTTTATCTATTCCTATTCCAATTTTAGTATATTTATTTCTGAAGAATCCATCAATTGATTTTAATCCATTATGACCTCTTGAACTTGTACCTGGTTTTCTAATTTGATATTTTCCAATTGGTTGTTCTAATTCATCATGTAAAATTATTAAATTTGAAGTTTTATGAAATTGTTGAAAATGTTTTTGAATTGGTTTACCTTGTAAATTCATAAATGAATTATCAGATTTAAATAATATTAAATTTGGATATTTTTTTGAATAATAATAAAACCCTTGTTTATATAAATGATCTTTCCAATAAATTTCAATTAATTGATCCATTAATCTATGTCCAACATTATGTCTTGTTCCTTTATATTTAGGTTCAGGATTTCCAATAGATGCAATAAATAAACAACGTGAAAATTTTAAATAAGGATTTGATTTTATAGGTAAATAAGTATTTAATAAACTATATAGCATTTAAAAAAATCTATATAAACATTTATGTGGTTTCACCTATTATTGTTGAATGAAATTTTTGTTCATTACTGAAGTTATAAATTTTTGAATTTGTGGAATTATCAATTTTTTCAAAACCTTTTCTTACATATTTTATTGTTTCATTTATTGTTGCACCTAATTGTTCATTATTTTGTTCTTTTTCAACAATTGAACTACTAACATCATTTAAACTATGTGTGTGTTAGTAAACAAGTACTTCAGATCATGTAAAAAGTCCACATACATAGGTCTAACAGCTTCTACTTCTAAATTAATATTTTTCTCAATCAATGATTTTCTACGCTATAATATATATGAGTTAGTAAAGTAAACTTTAATCAGAGTATTTTCAACATACATCTGAGCAGTCTCCAATTTTGCTCTTCAAATCATTAGTCTTATCCAAATATTCATTTAACATAATAGCAAAGCAATTTTCAACTTTATCCCAATTCAATTGAGTAGTTTTATCATCTTGTTCTACCCAATTTCTAATTTCTTTTAATGCTGCAAATTCTATATTCAACCCCTTATCATTTACAATGTAACCATTAGATTTTAAGATTTTTTCAATAAGATCAAGACTTTCTTTTTCTACTTCTGAGGTTGATCTGTTATCAGATTGAAATTGTTCTTGTTGACTCATGATTAATTTGTTATGCTTTTGATGAAATGAAGATTGTTATTTTTTTGGTTGCCAAAATTATTAATTTTTTTTGCAGTCAATTATTTGGTTATTTTCTACCGCTTAATTACTTAATCTTCTTTTAATAATGAATCAAGAGTTGAACAAACTTAGTACTCAAGTAGCTAAAACCCTAAAGTTAGTGGATGATAAAGTTATTAAAAATAACAAATTAGATTGGGAACAAATTAAACGTACACCACAAATATTAAAAAGAAAAATAAATTTATCTGATAATTCATTTACAATAGATGAAGAATTTAATTCATTACAATACAAATTCAAAATTCAAGAAGATTCAATTAAGAAGCTAATTTATAATTTAAAAGAAATGAATAATTCAATGCTTGATGTTTTAAAAAATTCCATAGTAATTGCTGATAATTATAGAAATTTAATTGATCCATATTGTGATTTTCATAAAACTTTTAAAACTTTTATTGAAAGAGATTTAATATGGAATAAAATATCAAATTATAAAACCGCCGTACAAAAAATTGATTTTTCAAAAGAAATTAATGAATTTGTTCATTATAATGTTAAAAAATTAGAAATTGTATTAGATTCATTCAAGATCATTTACAAAAAAATACAAAAACGAAATAATGAATTAATTGATTTTGATAAATTTTGTAATAATTATGAATCATTATTATTTAAACAAAAAAATAATGAATTAACAATTAAACAAAATAATAACTTGTTTTCAATAAAAAGAAAAATGGATGATTGTAAAAATAAGTATGATTTAGTGAATAAAAAATTAAAATTACAATTACCTCAATTTTTTAAATTAGTTCAACAATTGATTGATTTTATACAAATTGATGTATATTATTTAAATTTAAGATATATGTATATGATTCTTACTAATTTGAAAGATCATATTACAAATGAAAATTTTGAGGAGTTCATCAATATGCTTGAAGAAAAAAATGCTAATTTTTTTAAGGAAATTGAACAATTTGGTATAATCGATTATGAAAAGTTTGAACCAATTAATATGAATGAAATTACTTCGGTATAATATGGTATAATACAATAAAAATGACAAACAGCATCTCTCATTCAATTTTCCCCTTCCTTTAATTATGTCAAACTTGAATGTATTCTTGAATTAAATATTTATTTACACATCTTTGACAACAAAATTGTTTTCTAATTGGTATATTTTTATTTTGTAAAATATCCCACCATTCATAAATTTCTGCCACAGGTTCAACTACAATTATATCACATTGTGAACATTTATCATTAAATTTTCCCTTTGTAATAGCTTTAATAATTAGGTTGTGATATATTTTGGGGGTATGTTTTTTCCATTCTTTTGTTTCTTGATATGATACATCGTATTTTGCAATTTTATTTAAACATAATGATTTTAATGAAGTTAATGTAGATTGTTTTATATTAAAGTAACTTACTTCAGATCTAGCTCTAGGTTGTATCTTGGAATTGATGAAAGATTTTGAATTTATAGGTATTGCATCTGAAGGTAAGCTCAAAAAGGGATTGGGACCACTTGTAAAATTTGATAAATTTTGTAATTCTAAAATTTGAAAAGGTAAAAATTTTAATTTATTTGAACTTATTGAAAAATCAATCAAATTTTTTAATTTATTAATTGATGGTGGTAGGGAGATTAGTTTATTTTGCCTTAGTGATAGAACTTGTAATTTTGTAAATTTGAATAATGACATAGGTAGTTGTGTTAATTTATTACCATTTAAATATAATTGATAAGGAAATTCAATTGAAGCTTCTTCTGTAAAACTGTCAAATATTACTAAATTATTTAAATCTTTTATTTCATCTGGTATTTCTGATAAATTCATCGATCGTAGATCAATGATCGTTTTAGTGTTTTCAAATGCGTCTATAATTATATTTCTAGCTTTATTATATGAAATTTGTTTATTAACTTCTCTCAAATTCACAAAATCCTCATCTATACTCGACGAAGTAGGTAGATTATTATTATTATCATTAAAACTTCCTCTATATCTATTAAATCTATCAATGCCAAAATCTGTATCTGAACTAATTGGTTTTTGAGGAGAAGTTTTTAATTGATCACTATGTAAATTGTAAATTTTTTTAGGAGGAGATTTAGGGACTTGAAAACTTGTTGTAGGGTTTGTATTAAAATCAAATTCTGACATCAATTCAATCCCATTATAAGTTGATCCAATAGGGGAACTAGGTGGTAGTGTTTGACCACCATTATCATTATTCTCTTCTTCATCAATAAAAGTAGGTTCTTCATCATAACTATCTTCACTATTCATATGTTCATTACTTTCACCGTTTTGAACTATTCCATCATCACCAAAGTCTACTTTTTTCACATCATCTTTATCATTGAAACTTTCCCCCATTCTACGTTTTAAAGATTTCATTGATAATGGGTTTAAATTTAATTTTGGTCTATTTTTTAATTTATCATCAACTTTAATTGTTTTTCTAGTATGATAAAAACTACCAGCATTATCATCAATTTCAGATTTATCCCTAGGTGTTTTATTTAAAATATCTGATTCATTAAATGAAGAAGTTTTAGTAAAAGCAAATGGTAGTAAATAATTTTGTTTCTCCATGATCGGTTAACTAAAGTAAAATGTTGATAATTCTCTTGATATATATACAATTGTGTTATGGACAACAAAGAAACCTCTTTTACAATATATAGACCTACCCCTATGTGGGGGTTATTTGTTGTATGGCAAACTCTTTTTGAGAATGTTGTGATGATTGAATGAATTGATGAATTGGTTGTAAAAAATTAAATCAAAAATTGTTCTATCGGAATTAAATTTGTAGAAGAACCCTACCGCGATTTTGTGCTTCATTCTATTTTCCAATTAATTATCAACTCAATAAATGATTAAACATCAAACATTGTTATCTTTAGGGAACGAAAATGAGGGTTTCTATCACTAATCTGAACTCATATAAACTATAGTCACTCGAAGTAACGTGGAAGTAGTTGCTAATGTTTTGGAACAATCTTTTTAAAGGTTGATGATACCAAGCACAGAGTAATTACTTCAAATATTTCATTGTTGGAGAAAGTTTCTGAATCTTCATCAATTTTAAGTACTTAGGAGAGTATGTTTAATGCTTGAGTCAAAGTCCATGAGTTTACCACACTTAGAGTCCTTCTGTGGCTTTTATCAATCTTTCATTTAGCCTAATGAAGTTTATTCATCATCCACAAGGCTGCTACTAGCATAAATATAATGAAGAAAAAATAAGCCTTCTCTAGGTAAGACATGCATATGACTACTTGAAAAACCTGTCAAATGCATAATTGTTATTGTATTAATAGTAAAACAATAGATCTATTTAGTTATAGAATAAAATTAGACGTAAATTGATTTTTCATTATCTATATAGCCTAGATATTAAACTTAGTAAATTAATCAATTGTATAAATTAGTATTTTTAAGCCGTTTAATTTAAGGACTATTCAATCCATATTATCAAATATAAATTTCAACTCATATTCTTTTTCTTCTCAACTGTCATGAAATAAGAGTTGTAACACAAACTGACTACCTACTTCAAAAACCAAAAGAGAATCATGAATAATACTTGGTCAATTATCAAAGATTATTCAAGTTTGGAATTTTCAATTTTGAAACCAATTACTTTATTACATAACTTTAATTTAATAAGCCATACCATTGACAATTATGAAATAACAACTACAAGTAAATCACTGAATTCAATTCTTCCACCACCATTATATTCTTCTCATGGAAATTCATTAAATCCAAAATTTATTGAAACAATTAGTTCCTCAATCAATGTTTTAAGTTTAATTTTTATAATTTATCAATCATTACAATTAGGATTTAATACTAAAAAATTATATAAAAAGAATTTACCAACTTCTTGGATTCAAATTTCAAAATATTTTATATTAATCTTGCAATTGGTTCTTCAAACTGTGTTATATTATTATACGTCAAATCCAATTGTATTTACTAGTATCATTACTATTATTGGAGCTAGTTATTTATCAATATATGAATATAGAACATCAACTATATCATGTGCTTCTTTACTTACATTTTGGTTAACTAGTTTTTTATATTCCTTTGTAATTTTGATTCAAGATTCATTTTCAAAACATAAGATTATTGCAATAAATTCAACAACTTATGGTATAGAAATAACAACCACTGTATTAAATTTCATTTTATTTGTTTTAGAATCTGATTATTATAAACCAGGTTTCAAAACAGATGATGAAGAAGAAAATAAAAGAATTGATATTCTTTCATATTTTACATTCAGTTTTATTCAACCTGTTATAAATAAAATTTATATAACTGATGATATTAAAATATCTGAATTACCTAATGTTATTGAAGATATTAAATGTGATCTGCATTTACCAGCTTTAAAGAAATATTGGAATTATGAATTAGGTTTAAAGAATCATTTTTTCAGTAAAATATGGAGTTTTATTACAAGAAGTAAATATGAAAATAAACCTGTATTATTTAGTGCTATGTTTAAAGTTTATTATAAATATTTAATTGGAGATTTAATTTTTAGTTTTACAAATATTGTATTAATGTTTTCACAACCATTTGTATTTAAACAATTTATAATATTTTTTAATGATTTTACTTATAATGTTAAAGAAAACAGACCACCAATTATTATAGGTTATGCTTTAGCTATATTAATGTTTTTAATTAGTGTTGCTGATTTTATTGTAAATAATCAAGCTGCAATTTTACAAAATAAACTGGCAATGTCAATGAGAAGTTCATTAACTGTTTTAATTTATGAAAAAGCTTTAAAATTTTCACCTGCTTCAAAAAAGAAAAAACCAACTGGTGATATTATAAATAGTATATCAGTAGATATTGGTCAAATTAATGGTTTTTTTTTATCATTAGGTACATATGCTTCAAGTCCAATACAACTTATAGTTTGTTTAATTTTTTTATTTAATTTCTTTGGATATGCTTCATTCTTAGGGTTAGGTGCTGCTTTAATATCTGCTCCATTAATTGCTATGGTTCAAGCTACAGTTGTTACAAGTTTTAAACAAATGATGAAAGATAAAGATGAAAGAACTTCTTTAATTACTGAAATTTTAAGTTCTGCAAGAAATATAAAATTATATAGTTGGGAAAATCCAATGTTAGAAAGATTAAGTCATATTAGAAATGATAGAGAATTACAAAATTTAAAAAAAATTGGAGTTATTATTGCTTTAGCTCAATTTTTATGGTCATGTTTACCATTTATTATAAGTGTTGCTTGTTTTGCTGGTTTTTCATGGTTGTATAATATTCCATTAACTCCAGAAATTGTATTTCCAGCATTAAGTTTAGTTGGATTATTAATGGAACCAATGGCTGTTATACCAAGTTTTATAGTAAGTTTATTACAAGTTAAAGTATCTCTTGGAAGATTAGCTGATCTTTTAACATTAGAAGAAATTGATCCAAATCAAAATGGTAAAATTAAAAGAGAAGATTATCCAAAAGGTGAGATATCAGTTGAAATTAAAAATGCAAATTTTGTATGGAATTTAAATGAATCAGAAACAACTTATAAAGATGAAGAAGATCAAGTTGAAGACAATAATGAAACTCAAAATAATATTGCTTTAAAAAATATTAATTTTATTGCTAAAAGAGGTAAATTAACTTGTCTTGTTGGCAAAGTAGGTAGTGGTAAATCTACATTATTAAATGCTATACTTGGAGATATTCCAATTAAATCAGAAGGAGGATATACAGATGATGATACAGTTAAAACTCCAAGTGTTGAAACTTTTGGATCAATAGCTTATTGTCCACAATCTCCTTGGATTTTAAATGGTACAGTTAAAGAAAATATTTTATTTGGATATAAATATGATTCAGAATTTTATAGAAAAACAATTATTGCTTGTGAATTAGCTTCAGATTTTAAAACTTTAGCTGATGGTGATAAAACAATTGTAGGTGAAAAAGGTATTTCATTAAGTGGTGGACAAAAAGCAAGAATTTCATTAGCAAGAGCTGTATATTCAAGAGCTGATATTTATTTATTAGATGATGTTTTATCTGCTGTTGATGCTCATGTTGGTAAAGCTTTGATAAAACAAGTATTATCCGATGATGGTATTATTGGAAATCGAACCAAAATATTAGCAACAAATGCTATCCCAGTATTACATAAAGCAAGTGACATTTATCTTTTATCTAAAGGTTCAATAATTGAACATGGAGATTATGATTCAGCAATTAAAAATAATGGAGAAATTGCAAAATTAGTTAAAGAACATGGTCGATCAAATGAAGATTTAAAAACTAATGATGATGAAACTAATAAACATTTAGTTGAATTGGAAAATGCCATAGCTGAGGGAAATGTTACAGCATTAGAAGAGGAAATTAATCATCATCAACAATTACGTCGTGCTAGTGTTGTTTCATTTGATCATATTTATGAAGATCTTGATGGTATTGATGGAAATGATAAACCTATAACAAGTCTTGAAGAAGAGAAAAAAGAAAAAGGAGTAGTTCCATTAAAAACTATTGTTAGATACATCAAAGAATGTAATTTGGTTTATTTTTCACTTTTTTTATTAACTATATTAGGTAGTAAACTATTAAATGTTGCAGAAACTTATGTTTTAAAAGATTGGACAGCTATTAATAAAGATCATAATGCAACTGTTGATCCTACTTTTTATTTAGGTTTATATTCTGCTGCTGGTGCAGCTGCTGGATTTTTAACTTATATTGGTTATTTTATTCTTTGGTCATTTTGTATTATAAAAGCAGCTGCTTATTTTCATAGTGCTATGGCAGAAGCTGTTTTACATTCACCAATGTCATTTTTTGATACTACGCCTGTTGGTAGAGTATTAAATAGATTTACTCAAGATATTTCAACTATTGATTTTGGTTTACCATTTACATTAATTTCATTTTTTAGATTAGTTATGACTGCAATTATAACTTTTGCAGTTTTAATTATAACTGTTCCACCAATTGTAATAATTATTTTATTATTATCAATTGTTTATAATTATTATAGAGTTAGATATGTTCCAGCATCAAGAGAATTAAAAAGATTACAATCTATAGCTGGATCACCAGTATTATCAATAATTCAAGAATCCTTAAATGGTGTAGATACTATAAAAGCTTTTCATAAAAAAGATAGATTTATTCATAAATGTAAAAAATTTATTGATGAAAGAACTTTAGTTAATATGGTAAATGTTGATATTGGTAGATGGTTATCAATGAGATTAGAAACTATTTCAGCTATAATTTTAATAAGTACTGCAACATTTTCAGTTTGGACTTTAGGTGGTCAAAATCCAATTTCTCCATCGACTTTAGGATTTTTAATGACTTATGCAATGAATATTTCATTTATTTTATCAAGTTTAATTAAACAAATTAGTTCTGTTCAATCTGATGGTGTTGCATTAGAAAGAATTATAGAATATTGTGATTTACCAAGTGAAGCTCCAATGATTATTAAAGATAAAAGACCAACGCCTGAATGGCCAGAAAATGGTATTATTAAATTTAAAGATTATAGTACAAAATATAGAGAAAATTTACCACCAGTATTAGAAGGTGTTGGATTTACTATAAATTCAAAGGAAAAAGTTGGAATTGTTGGTAGAACAGGTGCAGGTAAATCATCTTTAACATTAGCATTATTTAGAGTCATTGAAGCTACCGGTGGAGATATTGAAATAGATGGAATTAATATTGGAGAAATTGGTTTACGTGATTTAAGAAGTAATTTAAATGTAATACCTCAAGAAACTCATACATTTAGAGCATCAGTAAGAGAAAATTTAGATCCATTAGGTCAATATAATGACGATAAATTATGGAAAGTATTAGAATTAGCTCACTTGAAAGAACATGTTGAATCAATGGAAACAGAACCAACAGAAGATGAAAAAACTAAACTGAAAAATCCAGATGACATTCCAAAAAAGAGAGGATTAGATGCAAAAATAGAAGATGGTGGGTCAAATTTATCAGCTGGTCAAAAACAATTATTATGTTTAGCAAGAGCTTTATTAAATGAAAAAACCAAGATTTTGGTAAGTGATGAAGCATCATCAAATATTGATCCAGAAACTGATAAAATTATTCAACAAACTATAAGATCAGAATTTAATGATAAAACTATTTTAACAATAGCTCATAGAATTGATACTATAATGGATAGTGATAAAATATTAGTTTTAGATCATGGTAAAGTTGCAGAATTTGATACTCCTCAAAATTTATTAAAAAATAAAAATAGTATATTTTATTCTTTATCAAAAGAAGGTGGTTATATATAGAAAATTAATAGATTAATAAATCCATCGATAATATTTACTGCTTGTTATATTTAATATTTACTATTTTAAATTGTGACTAACTGACTCATATATATATAAATATATATATATAAAAGACGGAATTAATACTAAATTGTAAACATAGGCTAATTCCATTTCTAGAAACGGCTTTAACGTAATGTCTCGAAAAATACATAAATTACGAATATTATTTGGTACAAAAGTTGGTAGCGTATGATAATTTAATCCGTCTATATAAAAGGCATCAATTTAATATTTTATGAAAAGAAACAGTAATTAGGCTAAATTTAGTTAGAGTTATTGTAGTAATCCAGCTTTTGTAGGATGGAAATGTGTCGAATTGATGTTTTGGTCTCATTTGTTTGGTAGACCATCATAAACTGCACCATTTATGTCCAAATTCACTTCATTTGAAGGATACAAATATATTGAAGCGATTCTGATCTGATACCAAGATTCAACAATTGTAAGTTTGCTTACTATGACTCAGAATAACTCTTGGGTACAAATTTCAGGCTCTAAATAGCATCTTCTTCCTACAATTGTTTTGTCTAGTTGTTTTTGTTATTAAATGAATTACTTATTACTCATAAGTTTGAATCAAAACAAAACGTCTATTACTATTTTTAATCTAAACACCGTATATTTCATTACACAAAAGTACCAACTGATAAAGAACCATAATTCAAAATTATGTTTCAAGCAAAATGAAATTTTTTATACAACTTTTTACAACACTTTTTTAAGAATTAATCTAGTATTTATAAAGCCAGAGGTACTTCATTTGGTTTACATTTTCTGTTAGACTATCAAATATCAAGTCAATTGTTATGAAGAATCTATCACTAGATACGAATTTACAAAATGATGGTGATTTAATATTAGGATATTCACCATTTCATTTATCTACTTTAAATCCAATATCATTTTTACACAATTTTGATTTTTTGAACTTCAATAATGATCAATCATCTGAGATACTCAAATCTCAATCAATTGAAAATTTTCATTTCAAATTTCCACAAGTATTATATTCAAATCATAGTAATTCATTAAATCCACAATTTATATATTATATTTCAACGATTATAAATGTAATTTTTGGTCTATGGTTTGCTTATAAAATAATTAAAACTACAATAAAGAACCGAAAAACTTCATATATTTATACATCAACTCCAATACTACAGACTTTTAAAGTATTTTTGGCTTTAACACAAATAATTTTTATTATAGTATTTTGGAAATTAACAAATATTGTTGTTTTCCTTCCTATACTAGCAGTTACTATATTAGCTTTTATTACAATCATTATAGAATTTAGAAACTCACCAATTCCAACAAATGTATCGTTATTGTATTGGTTAGTTAATACTGCTTTCACTTTTGGTATTTTCATACAAGATTCATTTTCAAAACATAAAATATATGCAATAAATGGGTCATCATATATACTAGAAATATTCATATTGGTCAACAGTTTATCAATTTTTGTTCTTGAAGTTGCATATTATAAACCAGGATTTGAAGATGAAAATTTACCATTTTTAGATAAAATTAATTTATTTTCATATATAACATTTTATTTTTTACAACCAATTATTAATAAAATTTATAAAACTGATGATATTAAATTTGATGAATTACCTAATATTTTAGGTGGTCTCAGTTGTGATGAAAGTAAATCTAAAGTAATTAAATATTGGGATGTTGAAGTTGAACATTCAAAGGGAAAACCAGGTTGGTTTTGGTACGTGTGGGCTTTTATTAGAAGAAAAAAAGTTGGAGAAAATAAACCAAATTTGTTTGCTGCAATTTTTTATGCTTTTTCACCTGAATTTATTTTAAGTTTTGTTTTAAAATGTATTGAAACTGCTTTAGTTTTCACTCAACCATTTGTATTAATGAAATTTATTCAATTTTTTAGTGCTTATTTTTATGATGATGTGAAACCACCTATTATTATTGGTTATGGTTGGGCAGCTACAATGTTTGCTATATCTTGTGCTAATTTTATAACTTTTAATCAATCTTTTAGTTTACAATTTAATATGGGATATGGAATTCAATCAGCTTTAACTACAATTATTTATGAAAAATCTTTAAGATTATCACCTCAATCAAGAAAAAATAAACCAACTGGTGATATAATTAATCATATAACTATGGATATTGATATTATTTTTTGGTTTTGTTGGAGTTTAGGAGAATTTATTTCAGCACCATTAAGATTAGGAGTTTGTTTAGTTGCATTATATAAATTATTTGATAGAGCAACTTGGGCTGGTGTTATTACTGCATTAATTGTTACACCTGTTGCAACTTGGGTAAATACATCAATGTCAAAATTTTATTTACAATTAATGAAAGATAAAGATGATAGAACAAGTTTAGTTACTGAAATTTTAAATTCTGCAAAAAGTATTAAATTTTATTCATGGGAAAGACCAATGTTACAACGTTTAAGTGATATTAGAAATGGTAGAGAATTATATAATATTAAAAAATTAGGTGTTGTTAGTGCTTTAGCTCAATTTTTATGGTCATGTATTCCATTTTTTATAAGTTGTTCAACTTATGCTGCTTATTCATATTTTTATAATGTTCCATTAACTCCTGATATTGTTTTTCCAGCATTAGCTTTATTTGATTTATTATCTGATCCAATGTTATTAATTCCAAATTTTATTGTTGAAGTTATTGAAGTTGCAACTTCTTTAGGACGTATAAGGGATCTATTATGTCTTGATGAATTAGATGATGATCAAGGTGGTCATGTTAAAAGAGATCCTGAAGCAAGTGATAATTCTGAATATTCAGTTATCGTTAAAAATGCTACATTTGCATGGACTAATGAAACTAATGATATTAAAGAATATAAAGATGAAGAAAGTGAAGTTCAAGATACTCCTAAAACTAATATTGCATTAAAAGATATTAATTTCTTAGCTAAAAAGAGTAAATTAACATGTATTGTTGGAAAAGTTGGAAGTGGTAAATCTACTTTAATTCGTGCTATATTAGGTGATATACCAATTAAAATTCCATCATATTCAGATGAAAATAATTCAACTTCTTCTCCAAGTGTTGAAACTTTTGGTTCTATAGCTTATTGTCCTCAATCACCATGGATTTTAAATGGTACAGTTAAAGAAAATATTTTATTTGGTCATAGATATGATTCAGAATTTTATAGAAAAACTATACTTGCTTGTGAATTAGTTGCTGATTTTAAAAATTTACCAGATGGTGATAAAACAGTAGTTGGTGAAAAAGGTATATCATTAAGTGGTGGTCAAAAAGCAAGAATATCATTAGCAAGAGCTGTATATTCAAGAGCTGATATTTATTTATTAGATGATGTTTTATCTGCTGTTGATGCTCATGTTGGAAAAGCTTTAATAAAACAAGTCTTATCAGATGATGGTGTTATTGGAAGTCGTACGAAAATATTGGCTACTAATTCAATTCCTGTTTTACATGAAGCTGCTGATATTTATTTATTATCTAAGGGTTCGATCATCGAACATGGAGATTTCAAAAAGGTAATACAGAATAATGGAGAATTAGCTCAATTGATTAAAGAATTTGGTAAAAAGAGTGATGAACAAAAATCTGAAGAAAATGGTGTGAAAGAAGAAGATTCAGAAGAACATAAACCAATATCTACTGAACCTACAGACAATGGACCAGTTGATCCAAAAGTTGCATTACAAACAGAAGATTTAGTTGATGAAATTGTTGATTATGTTGGAGAAGCAAACAGAGGGATTGTTGAACAAGCTGTATTACGTCGTGCATCTTTAGTATCATATAATCATTCATATGATAAAGATGATGAAGATGAAGATGATGGAATTATAAGAAAAACTGGTCATATTGAAGAAGAATCAAAAAAAGGTACTGTTCCATGGGATATTTTTAAACAATATATTATGGCTTGTGATTATAAATATTTTTCAGTTTATGTTATTGGTACTTTAATTACTTTATTAATTGCAGTTGGTGAAAAATATTTATTAAGTTATTGGTCAGGTTTAAACAAACAAGAGAATAAAACTGTTAATCCTGGGTTTTTTTTAGGTCTTTATGCATTATTTGGAGTTTTATCTGGTTTATTTACTTATTTAACTGCATTGGTCATTTGGAGTTATTGTATTGTTAAAGGAGCTGCTTATTTTCATGATAAAATGGCTGAAAAAGTATTACATTCTCCAATGTCATTTTTTGATACTACACCTGTGGGTAGAATTTTAAATAGATTTACTGAAGATATTGGAAAAATTGATATGCATTTACCTTGGACATTAATTGGATTTATAACTACAGTATTAAGTGGTTGTGTTACTTTTGGAGTTATATTTTATTCATTACCATTTATGATTTTTATTATTGCTATATTATTATTTGTTTATAATTATTTTAGAGCAAGATTCATTCCAGCTGCAAGAGAATTAAAAAGATTAGAATCAGTTGCTAAATCACCAGTATTAGCTACTATTCAAGAATCAATTAATGGTGTAGATACTATAAAAGCATTTTTTCAAAGAGAAAGATTTGTTCACAAGAGTAAAAAATTTATTGATGAAAAAACTTTAATTGGTGTTGTTATTCAAAATTGTAATAGATGGTTATCCATGAGATTACAATTCATTTCATCAAGTATTATGTTTTCAACTGCATTATTAGCTGTTGTTAGTTTAGGTGGTAAATATCCTATTTTACCAAGTGTTTTAGGTTTTGTTATGACTTATTCATTAACTATCACATATGTTTTAAATTCTGTAGTAAGATATTGGGCAGATTTACAATCAGAAGGTGTTGCTATAGAAAGAATTATAGAATATTGTGATTTACCAAGTGAAGCTCCAATGATTATTGAAAGTAAAAGACCTGATTCAAGCTGGCCAGGAGAAGGTGTTGTTAAATTTAAAAAATATAGTACTGCTTATAGAAAAAATTTAGATCCAGTTTTAAAAGAAATTGAATTAACTATAAATTCAAAAGAAAAAATTGGTATTGTTGGTAGAACAGGTGCTGGAAAATCATCATTAACTTTAGCATTATTTAGAATCATTGAAGCAACTGGTGGTGATATTGAAATTGATGGAATTAATGTTGGTGAAATTGGCTTATATGATTTAAGACATCATTTAACTATTATTCCACAAGAAGCACATACTTTCAGAGCATCAATAAGAGAAAATTTAGATCCATTTGCAGAGTATAATGATGATAAATTATGGAAAGTTTTAGAATTAGCTCATTTGAAAGAACATGTTGAACAAATGGAAACTGAACCTACTGAAGATGAAAAAAAATCATCTAAAAACCCTGATGAATTAATAAAGAAAAAAGGATTAGATGCTCAAATAGAAGAAGGAGGTTCAAATTTATCAGCTGGTCAAAAACAATTATTATGTTTAGCAAGAGCTTTATTAAATGAAACTAGTAAAATTTTAGTTGCTGATGAAGCAACAGCTTCAGTTGATCCAACTAGTGATAAAATTATTCAACAAACTATAAGATCAGAATTTAAAGATAAAACAATTTTAACTATTGCTCATAGACTTGATACAATTATGGATAGTGATAAGATTTTAGTATTGGATCAAGGTAAAGTAGCAGAATTTGATACACCAGAAGCTTTGTTGAAGAATAAAGATAGTATATTTTATTCTATGGCTAAAGAAGGAGGATACGTAAGTTAGAGACGATTTTAGATGTTACTTTGCAATTTCAATAAATAATAGATTCACTTTTATTAAAAAACTAAATTAAGTCCTTTTATTAAAAAACTAAATTAAGTCATTGAGTAAATTAGTTAAATCAGCTCTTTGTTTCATTAATTTGATTCTTCTTTCCTCTGTAATAGGTTGTTGCTTCACCAATTTTTTATCAGCAGCTTTACATAATCCATTCTTACCTAAATCACATATATCACAATTTGGTGCTCTTGGGACACATATAACTTGACCAAATCCAACTATCAAAGGATTGATATCACTCCAATAATTTCTAGGTAGCCAACTTTCTAACTCTAATCTACATTTCTCGGGAGTTTTAGCCTTTGATGAGACCCAATGCCATAGTAATGAAAGCCTATGTAAATGAACATCAATTCCAATCCCACTATTTATATTCCATCCACATTGTAATAATAAATATCCCATTTTATGACCAACACCCGGTAAAGTTACTATTTCCTCAATTGTTTTAGGAATATCTCCATTAAACTGATTATTCAATATTTCACATGATTTTTTGATATATATTGCTTTCCTATTATGAAATCCAACTTTACAAATAAATGAATCAATTTCTTTTTCAGTTAATTGAGAAACAGCTTCAATACAAAATCCATTAGGATGAGTTTTATTCAAGCTATTATTTAATTTATTCATTGCTTCAAAATTAACTTCATCTTTTGTTTGTGAACTTAACATTAATGAAATTAATAATTGAAATCGAAATTTTTTGGGATCAGTAAATTTTAAATTTTTAGTGATGGTATTTGGCATTGATTCACAACCTTGTATATCAACTGGTGCAAGAAATTTTGATCTCATTTTCACTATTGAATTATATATTTTGGACCAGTTTTGAGGACCAATATCTTCATCTATAGGATCAACTTTTTTAAATATATTGGGTGGTATTTCATCTTGAGCTATTTCAACTGCAATATGCTCTAATTTCTTCTCTACGACTTTCGACTCCGTCTTGATTTCTGTTTTTTCTATCTGTACCTTCGATGATACTTCTAATTCCTCATCTGTGGACTTTGAGGAAATTTGTTCACACTCCACAGTCTCAATTTTGATCCTTTTCTTTTCTTGATTTTGAACAAAATATTTTGAGGTTGTATGAGTAGCTCGTGTTCTTTTAACCATTTTCCAGAAAGGTTTTCACTGATTTAAGCCTATCATTTGACTTCTCTTAAGTGATTAATGTATTAGTAAGAATAAAAGTTTCTTATCAGAAAAATATTTCAAATGTTTTAGATTTAGCGCTCGTGAATTAAACTTGAAACAAAATACAAAGTATGTATGCACGGATGTCTATAATTGGTGGACCTCTAACTTCTCAACTTCTCATAACTTTCAACATACAAATCAGCTTGACGATCGGAGGTTACGGCTTAATGTCTGACATATGAACAATCAATGTTTGAATTAGAACAATTTTTTGCTTTTTCAAATTCAAACGCAATCTTACAAATTTTTGCAGCAAAGCTTGAAAAGAAGAATATTAATCAACTTCAACTATTCGGTAATTCGATTTTGCAAAAGAGCGGTAAAAAAGTATTTGCAGCTAAAATATAAAGTCCGATTTATTTCATAATTTGTATTAAACGAGGCAAGGGCATCATAAGGTGGGAAATGTAATGTCATAGAAATTCTGGTTTAAGTTGGTTGACTCACATCAAAATTAACGGTTAAGCGGCTTAATATTCATTTTTTTTTTTTTTTTTTTCAATTGTCTCATGAGAAAAAATCTAAAATCTGGAGTAAGATAGGAAGATAACAAGGACTCACAATCATTTACAAGACTTTAAGTCATTAGCACAATACTTTATGCTATACCAAAGGAGATGCAACTAGTTACAGATAATTATAACAATGTACCGAGCCAAGAATTCCAGACCCACAATCATGAACAAATTTTTGTCCAAAATTCAAAACTGAATCCTGACTCACAATCTAATAAAATACCCAAAAAGAAGGGTCTACGAATAAATGCTAAAACTATAAGAGCCCCTGGATCTACAACTACTCGAACGGCTCAGGCGTGTGACAGATGTAGATCCAAAAAGACTAAATGTGATGGTGGAAATCCCTGTTCAACTTGTTCTGCAGTTGGTTTAGAGTGTATTGTATCAGATAAATTAAGTAGAAAAGCTTTCCCAAAAGGTTATACTGAAACGTTAGAGGAAAGAGTTCGACAATTGGAAGCAGAAAATAGAAAATTAGTTGGAATACTAGATATGAGGGATGAACAACTAGTAATGCTAAATAACAATAGTAAGAATAAAAGTTTGCATCAAGATGGATCTAATGCAAGAAATACAGATAACGACGTACTGGAACTAAGTAACCCAAAAATCACCGAATCCAATCTTCATTTACTTGATCAAGCCAACCGAAAAGAATTACATATGCATGATCATGATCATGACAATGGATGCTCTTGTGGATGTGATAACGCATTTCATGAACAACCAGTCTCAGTAGCCGGATCTATTTATGAGTTAGGTGGGCCAATGTCTGTTGCAGGATCTATAAAATTGAGTGATGATGAAGATGACAATGATAGTTTGCTAAGCATTGATGATTTTAATCAATTTAATTCTCCACATTATGGTGGTTCTTCTAGACATCATTTTGCTTCAAATTCAAGTAATAGAGAAACCACACCAGCACCAGGTGCATTTGCAGCTGCAACAGCTATTGCTCAAATGCAAAAAAACAAAGTTTTTCAACAACAACAACAACAATTAGAGAAGGAAACAGATAAACAAAGAATGTTGACCTCCTTAGTTGCAACTTCAATGCCTAGAAGTACAGAAGAGACTTTATGTGTCCCAACTTTATTGGCAAAGATATGTCAAGCATATGGTTATGACTCAAAACAATCAATATTGACGGCAAATACTTTAGCATCTATGAAAGAACAAACACCATCCTCATCTCCATTTGATAGGTCTAAACAAGATCAGATTCTTAAACTTATAATGAATAGAGATGATGTTATGAAATTGGATGAAAATGATTCATTAATTTTTATTCGTGAATTGGTACAATTTCCTATGTCTAGATTGGATATGGATCAGTTAACTACTATTTATTTTCAAAAATGGGGTCATACTTTACCAATATTAACTAGAAACAAAACTTTAAATAACTATATGGAAATAATACAGATAATGGAATTAGGATCTAATGATAATTCCACCAGGCTGAGGAAAAGCTCATATGAACTGATTGAAAAAGTAGCAGCTATCATGGTATTGATTTTAAATTTAGGTTTATTAGCAAATAAAAATGTTTATTTAAACCTGGATAATGCTCAGACTTATATTGCATTGATGAAACATTATGATTATTTGATTCATGAATTTATAAAGCCAAATTGTATAATAACAAAATATTGCTCAATACAATCTTTACAGATACTATCATTAGCACTTCAATATTGTCTTGCAATTGGTGATATGGTCACTTGTTATGATTTAAGAGGTCGAGTAATTAGTATGGCACAACAGTTGAGATTACATAGGTGTCCTGCAGCTGTTTTGGGGTTAGGAGCAAATAATGAAGGAGATTTGAATTTTCAAAATCAAATGCAAGCTGAAAGACGTATTTTATTTTGGTGTATTTATTGTTTGGATACTTATTCATCTTTGAGTTTAGGAGTTCCAAGATTAATGAAAGATTATGAAATTGAATGTGCTATGCCATTCTCAAGTAAAAAAGAAGATGATAATAATGATGGACTTACAAATGATAATGATTGTGATGATGATAATGTAAACATTTTGGTTGTTAATAATACTCAATTGTCTATTGTTGGTAAAGTCACCAAAATGGCTTTAAGCATTATGTTATTTTGTAAAGTATTGGCAAATATATTAGATTCCATTTACTCAAGATTTGATAATGGTGATGATGCTTATCGAAAAGCTTTGCATAGAGATAGAATGTTGGATTGTTGGAGAAGAGAATTACCAAAAGAATTAAAATTCGAATTAGATATTAATGGTTTATCTTTAAAAACTGCTAATGGGAATTATATAGAAGGTGATGCTTGTGATAATTACAACAATCAACAATCAATTTTGATCTTTTTATATTACCATGCTAAAATATTGACATACTTACCCATAATTTCAAAGTATGCAAATCATCACAATGTCGGTTTATCACAAAAGGAGCAATTAACAAAGGGAGAAGCAGATACAACCGCTATTGTTTCAACCATGAGTCTAATTCAACAGTCAGCTGTTCAAATTTTGAAGGTTGTAAAATCTTATTCTAAGCTATCCAATTCGTCCGTTCTTCCAATACCATTAAATATTCCTCGTGAAAGAGCTTTGTTCACACTACTAGTTGCTAAGGGAACATTAGACTATATTAAAGGAGGTCCATTATTCAATAACTCAAAACAATTATTACTGGACACAATTCAAGATCTTAGTAGTGAATCAAAATTCGATATACCTGGAATCTTGAGTCGAAATACAACCAAATTATTAGAATTATCTGTTTTAGGAATATTAGGTGTCAATTTAAATAAATTTACCAATCCTGCAATAAAGAAAAAAATTCCATCAACACTGCCTATTGTTAAAACTGCTGTTGAAAGAGAACCTAAGAGTCAAAACAAAACTAATGGATCAAATTTAGCTTTTTCAAGACATCAACAACAAAACCTTGGGTATGTGCAAGAAGAAGCTATTCCTGCTATTATAACAAGCAATAACTCTACTGATTCATCGTCATTGGATAGACAATACTCAAATGGAGATGAAATAAATAATACTGCAAATAGTTTTAATTATGATGATTTAGAAAGTTTAGAAAGTTTATTAAAATTTGATCCTTTCAGTGTTGGTAATTCAAATAATCAAATGTATATGAATGATTTTGTAACTGATGGTTCTTTGGGATTAGTTCCATTCTTGAATATGTCAACATCTTCTTCATCCACTTCAAATCAAAATTATGAACAAAATCTCCAACAAAATCCAAATTTCGACTTGAATGACGAGTTCTTCAACAATATCAATAAATAAAGAGTATAAAAGAGAAATCAAATTTTTGTAAATTTATATGCTTGTTCATTAATAGTTCATTAAATAGTCTTTAGTCATTATTATATAAAATTTTTAATTCTTGAGGTGTCAATTTTATAGCTGTCTTTGATTCATTCCATAATCTACACATATCAATTTCATCATCTGAATTATATTCATCAGTAGAATCTTCAATTTCATCAATTTCAATTTGATCTTGAAATAAAGGTTTTGGAAATTTAATTTTAATACTTTTTGAAATTGCTTTCCACTCTTGTCGATTCATTAATTTTCTTTCAGTTCGATATTGTTCTTTGGTTGAACCATTTAAGAGTCCATTTGTTGTCGGATTTTTAACAAATTCATCAATTCTTGATTGTTGCTCTGTTTGTATTTTGGGTGTGGGTTCTGTAGATTCACTTTGATTGTATCGATCTCTAACGTTTTTACTCATAGATTGATTTTTAGTCTTGCTCTTGTTAGTTTTATCAACTTTTGATTTTTGCTTCCTAGCAGATCTTTTGACAGAAGTAGTAGCAGTAGCCTTCTTCTTAATCGAGGTTTCATTAGATTCTTCAATATATTTGAATGATAAAATTGACATTATACTTTTAGCTTGTTGCTTTTGAATTTTTTCATTTTCTAAAACTGTTTCATGAGCACTTTGCATTTGAGTACAATTAAAGAAAACTCCATCATCTTCTTCATCTTCTTCATATTCACAATCTTTTTGAGTTAAATCTAGTATATGTTTAATTGGAGAATTTGAATTTTGAAAATTTGTAGCTTTGTATGGCAGCGGCGGTACACTATTGATCTCTAAAATTTCCCCAGTTGAGTGATATTTATCTTGCTTTTGATCTGAAATTGATTCTAATGAACTTGGAGTTACAATAGGAGATGGAGTTCGTCGTAGATGAGATTGTGAAATTATTGAAACAACTTCATCTTCTGAATCTATAATTTCAACATCTTCATCATAATGCATATTATTTTTTTGGCTCTTAAAATCATATATTTCTTATCATGTCCTTTATATTTGGTTTTGATGTTGGTAGTTGTTCTGATGTTTGAAATCAAGATCTGAAAGAATTTGTTTACTTAATTTTACGCGTCTTTTTTTCAATTTTTTTCTTCAAAGTGAAAACATCATCTAAGTTTTAACTTCTTCTTCTCACTTACAAGACTTGATCGGATGAATCCAACCGATAAAGAAGTATGTGCTAGTTCAGTCACCATTTACAGTGTCTTGACTCGTTTTTGGAATGCATTTATTGATGAATTCTAAGCAAATGTGAACTCAAGCTACTAGAGTTGTAACAGGTTGTACTACTGCATTTCGGCTATCTTGATCAGAAACCATACCACTGGATATTTCGAGTATAGCTGAGTCATCTGCCGGTGGGTAGATGGTAGATTGATTTCAATACGATCTTTTTTATATCGAATGTTCGAAGAAGAAATCAATCGTCTATACTCCCATCGATGACTTAACCGTGGTATAACGATTGCAGATCAAGTCGATGATGAATCAAACAATATAGCAGTAATTATTAGAAACTTTCAACAGCTACAAACTGGCTATGAATAAGATGATGATGAATTTGGAAGTGATTCTGACCTAACCCAAAATCTTTTGTAATTTAGCAAGGCAATAACCTCGGTATTAGACAAAATGTTTCAAAAATATTTTACGAAACCATCATAGATTGAAATACAAATCTTTTAGATCAGTTGTTTTTTTTATAATCCATTTGAGGTCATTCGATACCAAAGACGGGACTAGTTTTAGATTTGTGAATTTTACCATTTGCAAAAAGTGTTTAAATTATAGTAAGATATTAATTTACTAATTTATCGGATCCGAATGAAGCATGTTTTTCGAATAACAATTTCATTTCAATGAACGTTTTAAATAAATTTTAAAAAGCAAATTCATTCTTGCCGTTTCATATTTTAACTCTCCCGCTTCGTTCACTCTATTAATTCATCGTTCCGTTGTCGTTGTCTGAACGGCTGCAAAATATAGAATTAAAAATTTCTTGACAAAGTTTCAGAAATTCCGCACAAAAAGGTCCAAATAGATTTACGGAGTTTTCTAAATAGAATCTAATTTTTAGATCCCCCACTTAATTTGAAATTCTATATACTTAGTAACAGTCATTTACAAAACATGTAATTAAAGGTTCCTAACTAAAATCCAAAACAGACCATACCAATTTGAAACTTTGTACTATAAATATTGGACTAATTGCCCTTTCATATGAAGATCAATTCTGTTTAATCAATACCATCCAAAAAAATCAAATTACCAACAATAGTATCTTGATAAATAAACATGTCAACTTTTTCAAAATCAAATTTTAAAACTTTAAATTATAATTCATTTAGACCTCATTATCCACCATCATTTTATAAAATTTTAATAAATTATATTCAAAAAGGTTCAAATCAAACTAGTTTACCAATAAATAAAGCAATTGATTTAGGTTGTGGAACAGGAGTTGCAACTTATCCATTATTAAATTTTGTTAAAAATGTTATTGGATTAGATTTATCTCCTTCAATGATTGAAACTGCTAATTCATTAAAAAATAGAAGATTAGAAGAATTAGGAATTGTTAATGATAATAGTGGTGATAATGGTAATTTAAAAAGAATTCAATTTAAAGTTGGATCAGTTGAAGAATTTGTAAATAATCAACAAAGTGGTATAGAATCAAATTCAATTGATTTAATTACTGCTGCTCAATGTATTCATTGGTTTCAAGATTATCCATTATTTTTTGAAAATAGTTCAAAATTATTGAAAAAGGGAGGTACATTAGCTTATTTTTATTATATTGATCCAATGATTGTTGATTTTCAAGGTCCATTTAAGTCAAGCTTAAATAAAGAAGAATTAATAAAACAAATTTATGAATTATATTTAAAATATGCTTATAATGATCCCAATTTAATTGGTCCATATTGGGAACAACCAGGTAGGTCCATATTAAAAAATTATTGTGAAAAAGTTAATTCATATATACCAAAAAATTTATATGAAAATATTGAAATTAATACTTTTACAACTAATATTGAAACAAAATTGCCCAATGATTTAAAAGATTTAGATATGAAAAAATTAAAAATTTCAATCATGGATTATATTGGATATTTTGAAACTTATAGTGGATTTCATAACTATAAAGAAAAAACTGGGAATGAAAATTTATTAAAAAAGGAATTTTTAAAAGAATTATTAGAATTAACTGGTTGGAATTTAGAATTCACTACTATTGATTTAGTTTGGAATACTGGTTATACCTTCTTAAGAAAAAAATAGGACAATAGAACAGTTATAAATTATAGCTTTTGGTCTAATAGCTTGATAGGACATTTGAATTTTAGCTTTTAATCCAATAGCTTGATATTCAAATATTTATTTAAAATTTTAACTCAAAATAAAAGTAGACAATCTGATTATTCATGCATTTATAGTTGAAAGTAATACTCAGATCGTGTCAAGATGTTCTCTACAAGATGCAATTACCATACTTTTTTTTTTTTTTTTTCAACACAGTATTTATTTAATATACAGACGTTATCTATATAATTCTATAAAACTGGGTCACCTAACGCATTGGTGACTTTTGCGATATTCTAATAGTAGGCAAAAGGCTTGAAGTAGATAAGATATCATATCCAAGCAAAAATCCTGTGGAAAGGTGGAGATGTATTGTTTGTATTGTCTTTGATTCAATAAAAGATATTCATACAATTGGTTGGCTCGTGTTCAAATCTCTCTCTGATAATGACGACTGTTGTCGTCGTCGAGATTTGATCTTTTTGATGAGTCCGCCAATGTATGAGTTGAGCTTATAAATGTCGATTTTGGAAAGGTATTGGTTCCCAATACCCCAAATTCCGTACCGCGCCGCACAAGATCTAGGTCTAAGATTTATATTTGTGTTTGTTTTAAAATATTATCAACATATTACCTCGATTCATCATCAAAAAACCCACATCATTCAGCTACGATACATAAAAAATGATCTTAAAACTACCGTCTTTTCTAATAAAAATCTATATACTAAGTTTTATAACATGGATAATTTTAACAACTTCAATTCCTCAATTTTTACAAAAACAAAAATTTGAATTATCAAGTAATTCAACAGACGTGAAAAATCTAAAAGAATATCCTCAAAATTCAATCATATACCCCAAAAATATATCAACAAGAGATTCAACAATATATATAATAATAGCTCATCCAGATGATGAAGTTATGTTCTTTGCACCAACTATATTAGAGCTACTCAAATTAAAAAATAATAATAAATTAAAATTAATATGTTTTTCAAAAGGTGAAAATATTGGTGATATAAGAGCTAATGAATTATATAAATCTACAAGAATATTGGGAATTGATCAAGAGGCAATGACAATTTTAGATTATAAAGATGGTATGAATGAAACTTGGTCAAATGATGATATTGTAAAAGATTTAAAAAATTTAATAGATCTAAAGAAGAAGGAAGACAATACAATAATTATAACATTTGATGAAAAAGGAATATCTAATCATCCAAATCATATTTCATTACATCATGGAACTAAATCATTTTATAAACAACAAAAATCAAATACCAATAAATTAAAATTATATAATTTAAAAAGTTTAGGATTTTTTGAAAAATATAGTTTTACAATTTTAACAAATATTGAAATATTAATAAATTATTGTAATTTATTAATTCAAAAATTTATTCCAATTATAAATATAAATATAAGTTTATTTGGATCAAATTTAAAAAATAATAAAAATTTAGATAATAATTCAATAGGAAATTCAATAAAATTTTATTCAGATTTAAATATGTTAAGTTGTAGTTATGCAGCTATGGCTTATGGACATTTTAGTCAAATGGTATGGTTTAGATATGGTTGGTTAATGTTTAGTAGATATCTAACTTATAATCATTTAATTGAAATTTCATAACTTTATTTAATAGTTAAATACTTTTAAAACCAAATTGTTTTTGACACCAATTACTACCATGTTCAAAATAATCCTTTTTTGAAATTGATATTTTATTTAAAATTTCATCATTTGATAAATTTAATCCACCATACCAACTCATTTCATCTTGTTTTATATTGGGGGGATTATCATGAATTTTTACAACCCATTTTTGAGGTAATTCTTTAGTTAATTCATCGCTTAATCTTGATTTAAAATTTTTTAAATTTGTTGTTCCTCCAACTAATACAATATTTGAAGTTAATAAAGGTCTTGTAATTTCTGGACATGACATTATACTTGATACTATTAAATCAGTTAAATTTTTTATTGGAGTTGATTGTATTATTGGATTTGATGCAGTTGTAGAATTTAATTCAAATATTATTTCTGGATGATATAATGTTTCTGGGATTATGAATCTTTCATCATATAATTTTAATATTTGAGAATCTGATGATATAGAAGGACTATTTTTGGTTTTAACAAATCCAGTAGTTGTAGTTTTAAAATCAGGTAATACAAATTCACATTTTTGTTGTCTTTTGTTTAATAAAGTTTCATTAAAATTTTCTGCTATAAAACAAGTTGATTCTTTTATCGTATTTATTAATATTGGATCTTCTGAAATATCATAATGTCTAAAATTTATAATTTCTTTTAATAAACCATTAATTAAATTCCCACCAACTGGTAATTTTTTAACACCTTCCCAATAAACTTTTTGATAAATCATTGGTATAATCCAAGTAGAATTAAAACCTGAATCTATAATTAATGTAAAATCTCGATTCACTTTTTGTTGATCAATACTAAAAGGAACTAAAGAAGCAGATATACATCTATAATAATCATTAAAACCATATTCTTCAAATATAATTTGATCAGTATTTGAAGATAATTGAGGTAATTGAAAAGGAGTTTCAGTTAAAATTAAATTTATTTCAGAAGGATCAAACTCTTTTTTGGAATGTTCATTTTGAATTTGATCAAATGTATAATCCCATATTGGTTTTTCTGTTTCCCATGATGTTAAATGACCTTGATCAAATGGTCTTTTAATTTGTAAACCAGTAAATTCATTTGAATGTGATTTAAATTGATTACCTATATGAATTAAACCATCTTTTGTTTTAGTTATTGCATTAAATATTTTTATAGGTTTTGATCGTAATTTTTGTTCTTCAACAGTATTTGTGTTGGTGGTAGTAGTAGTAGTAGTTTCTGTATCTAGATTAAAACCAGCTTTTATATTGTATGATCCATTATCAATTATTAGATGTTGTTTTGACATGAAATTACAAGGTGGTTGCCTAAATTTGAAAATAGAAGTTTCAATGTCTTGTTTTGAAAATCAAGTTTCATGTCTAATTTTTTTTGAACCAGTTCAATGTCGATTTTTAGATTTGGATTACGACACCAAAGCTGACATTGTCTCTTATGAATTCTTCTTAAGCGGCAAAATGTTAAAGTAAATCTCCTATTTCATACAAAATGAATCTGAATCATTTCCTCATTAAAATCACCAAAATTCATCAGAGTATGGGCTATTACTGACTTCGCTTCTTTTCGACAAATTTGTAGCAACAAGTTTACCCGAAGATATTTGATTTCTGACCTTCTCATCGAATGGCATTTTGAATATGAAGTTGAAATGAGCCACAGTATAAAATCGGTTTTAAAAAAAGATTTCTCGTTCTTTCGAAGATGGAAGTGTCAAAATTTATGTGGGGTAGGTTAAATATTAATTCGATTGTTTTTAAAAATTCTACCTCGAGATACGTTTCATTAGGTCCGTGCATCTGGCCTAAGAATAATTTGGCGTTTTGTATTCTTAATTGTTCTTATAATAAAATTTTAAATTTAAATCTTGAGTTATTTTATTTTCAAATTTCAACAATTATTGTAAGATAATCACAATTAAACTAGTTTTGTAGCTTGTAAACCGATGTTCTTTTTTATGACTTACTAGCAACACGTAGTGGAAAGAGGTTTCTTCATAGCCTTTCTTCTTCTTCTTTATGAGGTTTTAATCTACTACATCATCCAGATGCTTAACAGATAGTTACACAAAGTTACTGGTAAATAATAATTCTTTTTTCCCCAGTTCAAATATTTTTTATATAAAGATTTAAGCATTCATATATAAACATATACAATTTCAATTTTACATTTTACTCAACAATATATATTCATAGTCATAACCTATCCAACTACGGTCGCATAATACGAATTCTGTTTCAAATCAAACATATTCATCTTGCGCATTTGAAAAATTCATAAGGTTCATCTACATTATTAAGACGCATCCACAGTTAGATCATTATTTTAAAATTAGGGTATTTCGGACTTTTGCGAAACGTAGTTACATTAGGATTTAACTTCAATTTACAACAAATTAATGGTTTATTTTTGATCAAGTACTTAATTATAAGTAAAGAGTATCATATTTCTATTCAAATATGGCATTTCTATCAAAAGTATTTGGTGATAAACTGAATCTGCAATCAAATATAAATACCAACACAAATATACACCCAATAGCATCATCTCAAACAAAATCACCTGAATCTTCACCAAGATCTTCATCAAATTTGACTCCAATGAATTCATCTACTTCAACAACATCATCAATAATACCATCTAAATCACCTTCAAGTACATTACAACAAAAGTCATCATCAACTAATAATTCAACATTAAATAATTATTCTGTTTCAATAACATTAGAATCACCTCCTATAATTTTATATGGAAATCCATCTGAATCTACTGGATCTATAATATCTGGTTTATTAAGATTAATAACTATAACAAATATTGAATTAGAAAAAGTAACATTATCATTAGTTCAAACAATGAAATATACAAAACCATTTATATTACCAAATACTTCAGGAATAACAAATTGTAAAGATTGTACAATAAGAAAAGAAGAATTAGCAAGATGGGATGTTTTAACAAGTCCATCAAATTTTCAACCTGGTAATCATGCATATCCATTTTCTCATCTTTTACCTGGTTCATTACCTCCAACATCAAAATTAGGTTCATCAAATTCAAATTCATTTATAAAATATGATTTAATAGCAGAAATTATTGCTGTTGATTCTTTACAAAATAAAAAATTAATATTACCAATAAATATAAGTAGACTGATTTTAAGAGGACCAGATCGTAATCTGTTAAGAATTTTCCCACCAACTGAAGTAACAGCAAGTGCAGTATTACCAAATGTAATATATCCAAAATCTACTTTTCCCATAGAATTAAAATTAGATAATTTAGTAAGTAATAATCAACAAAGAAGATGGAGAATGAGAAAATTAAATTGGAGAATTGAAGAAGATATTAAAATAAGATCAAATATTTGTAATAAACATAAATTAAAATTGGAACAATTTGAAAAATTATATCAAAAACAACCTCAAAAAAGAGAAAAAACTTCAGGAATGCATCATAGTACTATACATACTCATATTTCATATATTAGAGATCCAAGTTTTCAAAATTCATCAAATAATATTGATAATAATAATGAACAACCTGAAGATCAAATTATAAATAATGAAAATCATGATATTGAAGAAACTTTAAGATCTGGACCTTCAAATGCTCATCAAAATTTTTTGGAAGATTTTGGAAATTCTAGTGGTCATGAAATAAATCAAAATCAAAATCAAAATCAAACTCAAAATCAAACTCAAACTCAAACTCAAATTCAGAATCAAAATTTAAATACAAACGAGACTAATAATCCACTAACTCCTCAAAACTCAACCACACCTCAATCAGAACAACAAAAACATATATATTTTGAAGAAACAAGAACTATAAGTTATGGAGAAATAAAATCAGGTTGGAAATCAGATTTTACAGGAAAAGGTAGAATAGAATTAGTTGCAAATATAAATGCAAATAAGTTTTCAACTGGTTCAAATAATCATATAACAAAAGCAAATACTGAAGACAGTAATTCTAATAAAGACGAAGATAATGAAACTTTTAATAATGGTGCTAATATATCTTGTGATATTGATGATTTAAATTTAGGAATATTTGTAAATCATACATTAATTGTTGAAGTTGTTGTTGCTGAAGAATTAATTCATAATGTTGAAAATAAAAATAATAAAAATTTAAATAATTTAAGACCTGTGATTTCAAATTCTAGAGGAGGTTCAACTATTTCAACATCAAGAAGAAGATCATCATCTTCTGCTGGTTCCCATTATGGTAACAATTCACCTATTTTAACTCCTCATACATCAAATCCACAAACATCAACAACATCGTCATCATCAAACTCAAACTCTAATAGTAATAATCAACAACAACAATCACAAAATGTTGCAATGGGAGTTCCTACTGGAGCAGCAAGAGTATTAAGAATGCAATTTAAATTACCAATAACAGAAAGATCAGGATTAGGTATAGCATGGGATGATGAAGTTCCTCCAACTTATGAAGATGTTAGAACATTAAGTCCACCAAATTATAATGATCCTTTTAAAATTTTAAATAATACACCAACATCATCATCTAGTGGTGTTCAAGAAGAAAGATTAACTCCTAATATTTTATATGGTAGAGGTGATACTCCATTAGTTGGAAGTTTTGCTTTACATTCACAAATTAGTCATTCAAGTATTGATGGAATAGTTGATAATATTCAAGAATTATCTATATAAATTAAAGAATATTTAGATAGGTACATTAAATACGATTTCATGAATAAAACAATAATTTTGTTATTCCAAATGACAATGACAATGATAATGCTATGATAAATAAAATTTCATTCTTTTCATTTCTCTTTATTTTCGTTTTGATGATGATTGATTAGAACTTGAAAAACTTCCACTTGAATCATCATAAGTAATAGTAGTATCTCCTCTATCACCACCAATATTACCACCACTACCAATACCACTACCACCAATACTACCACTAATACCCTCAACATCTCCACTCCCACCAGTAATACTACTACTTCTACCAAATCTACTTACTTCCAATAATGAACCATATAATTGAGTTAATTCATTAATATCTAAAACAGCATTTGGTTTTAAATCAAATATAATTTGTTTAAAACTTTTTGAATTTATAATACTTATCGGTAATTTATTTTCCATTAAAAATTGCATAACATGTTTATGAAATTTTATTGATGAATATGGTAATTTTTCAAATTTTTTAAATTCTTCTTTAGAGACTATATCTTCTTCTTCTTCGAGGTTATGTTTTTGTTTTTGTAATTTTTTACTGGTTGATAATGTAGGTTCAATTGATTCATCTTCATCAGTAGATTGTTCTTGATGTTGTTGTTGTTGTTGTTGCAGCAGCAGTTGTTGTTGCTGCTGTTGCAGTAATACACTTTCTTTTGTAATTTTATGAGTTTTTAAATGTTCACTTAATTTCTTAGGTGAACCTTTATCAGAAGGTAATCTTTGAATCATTTTTTTACAAATTTGACATTCTGCAAAATTTGTTTCATTTGAATTTGGATTTATAAAAAATTGCCATACCCATGATCTTCTTTTTGCTCCAAATTTTTTACCTGGTTTATTTACTCTTACTTTTTTTATGATATCTGTTGTTGATGATTGTGATTCAATTGATTGATTTGTTAGTGGTCTTAATTGTAATTGACTACCTTGATGTAAATTTAATGATGATGATGATGAAGTTAACTGTGGATTTTGTTGACTTCGTAATTGAGGTAGGAGATTTGATTCATTCGTTCTTAATTGAGAATGTTGTTGTTGTTGTTGTTGTTGATTATGCAATTGATGTTGATGTTGTTGAGCTAAATGTAATGCTACACTCTGTTGTGCTACTTCATTTTCTGCGGTGGTTGTGTTAATACTAGAATCATGAATACTAGATTGACGTTGATGTTGACGTTGTTGATGCAAAAGTTGATTAGTTCTTCGATTATATTGTTGTTGTTGTTGTTGTTGTTGTTGTTGTGAATTTAATTGTATTGGATCTCGTGTAGTATTTGATTGTAAATTTGTACCCAATTGAGAAGTCTGAAAAGTAGATTCATCTTGATTAGTTGTTGGAACAGTAGTTTCATCAGTAGTTTGATTTGTATTTGTATTAGTTGATGTATTTGATGTCAATTCATTTGGTCTATTGTTATTAACAAAATATTCAGACGCGTTGAAATAATTCATGTAAATAAATTTTACTTAATTGATCAAACTATTTGTCTCACTTTTCTCTCTTTAAACTCTTATCTTATCTCTCTCTCTATTTAATGAAAGGGTCGTTTGCTTTTAATGTATGATGAACAATATTCTTCAATTCCGGTAGTTCGAAAGTTATGTGAAAAAGTATGTTTGGGGAGACTGAATTTCTTTTTTTTCTCTCCGTCTTAATTTTACACGAGTAATTCAGTCGATTGATTTCATGAAATTATAATAAAACCAGTTGTAAAGTAAAGTCAATGAAAAATTTCATTTTATCGCATATTCATGCAATTTATATATATCTTATATAAGAAAGATAATGAAAAAAGTAAGACCTATTTTGATTAAATAAGTTTATCTACTTTGTTATTTTGTAAATAGTACCTTAATTCTCTCTTTTGTTTGTTTGTTTGTTTGAAACAATAAAAAATTATTTGAACCGTAATATCCTTATTAAACAGTTTTTTTAAACTTAAGACTAAATAGGGACTTACAAATAAACAAATTTAAAGAGTTTTGTGTTAACTATGGGATAAAATAGAATCTAATAGAAACATATAGAATTTGAAGGAAAATCGTAGTAAAATGTAGAGGATCCTTTATTTTGAAAACTTTAATTATACCTGATCTAAAAATCAAGTTTAAACTTATCTACCACTCTTGTTTAGTAATCTTTTTGACCCAAATCTTACAAATTACGTTAGCTTACTTATATTCAAGGGCTTAAATTACGTTATACTGTAATAAAACAAAGGCTTATTTACAAAAAATGTTTACAGAAATCTCAATTTTCATTTTCAGTCTTTGGGAGCATTACTCCGACATAAGCTAAGCAAATCTTTTTGTTGCTAAGAAACAAGCTTATAAGACCTATATTGATGACTTCATACAATATTATAGCGAACTGATAGAAATTTATTCAGTATATTTTGCAGACTAAGTGGAGAATTAAAAATATGCACGAATTTCCGGAGTTTCGAATTAGCGAATTAGCCTAAGCAATTTTTTTTTTTTGAAAAATTAACTTAAGCAATCCAGTATTACATCACCTTGGCTAGATTCTATACATGACGTATAAGAACAGAAACGTAAAACACCACTTAAAAGAATATAGAGCTTTTTTAACTTTGCTTCGTATATTCATGTTCTTATTCTATTTATTGCATATTAAAAATAATTTCCTAACTAGTTTTTTGCATCCAGCATTTATTTCATTTTTGTGTAATATTCTGTTGCAGAAAAAAAAAAAATCCACATAAGGTTGCAAAATTCAGTAAAAAATAATTTGAATTAGGTATTTTCAACCAGCGTTTCATGCGTGTTGAAAATTACATTGTTCGGAGTAGTTGCAAACTTGCATCAAAGAATAGAATCAACGTAGTTCCAACATTCTTTATATAAAGTCTACATTTCATCTTCTAACGGTTGTCAGTAACTCTTTTTTTAACATACGCAAACTTCATTCATTTAATTTATACCCTCAACAAATTTTGTTTTTTTACAAGTTACCAATCGATACCCAAAATCAATTTTGATTTCACATTCTTTACAAGTTTATTCACTCCTTAATTCCAACTTTAGTCAATCGTTAGTTTTTTTTATCCAACTATAGTCACTCATTTAAATACAATTTTATTCACACAAACATTACCTCATGAAATTTATAAATTTATTATCAACATTAACTTCATTTTCATTAATTTCCCAAACACTTTCTGCACCAACAGGTAAAAAAAGAGATGATGCCTCAAATAATAATAATGATGTTGTTGTTGTAAAACTTAAAACAACCATTCAAAAAACTCAAACAAATACTCATATTGTTAATGCACCAACTTCAACTTATACAAATTGGATTGTTAGTGCAAGTACTAAAACAGTTACTCATTATACTGCTACAGTAACATCAACAATTTGGGGAGTTGCACATACTTATACTAGTGTTGCAACAACTCCAATTTCTGCTGCTGATGTTCAACCAATAAGTGAAAATGAGGTAACCAGTTCCTCAACTGAAGCTGGTAATATCGCTACTACGGAAACCACAGAACAAATTGCGGAGACAACTCAAGCAGCCAATCCAACTACATCATCTTCCTCATCTTCAACAACATCAACTTCAACTACAATTGCTGCTCAAGCTACTACAAGCTCACCAGCTGCTCAACCATTAACTAATAATAATCCAATTGCAAAACCAACAACTTCAACTACTTCATCATCTTCAAGTACTAGTTTAGTCCAACCATCAACTTCAAGTTTGACAGCAGCTCAAACAACTACTTCGACATCATTAGAACCAGCAGGAACTACAGATAATACAGAATCAGATGGTCCAACAATAACACAAGCAAATAATGTACCTACATCAACTGATTCTTGGATAATTGAAAATGTAGAAACTGTAACATCTTCTGGAGTTTGTTATATTAATTATGATTATTATTATGCTAGTGAAGATGCTGAAACTACTGTCACGCTGACATCTACAATTTTTGCTACTGTTACACTTAGTTGAGTGTAATTAATCAGTCAATTTGTGGATTTGGGTTTTTATGATGATATTTTTGATTTCGGTTTCTGATTCTCTACAAGGGGGTTTCAGTTAAGTGGAATTATTCCATGCTTTTTTTATTAACTTCTACCGTTTTGTTTTTTTTTAGTAGTTTAAATAAAGACATTATTGATTTTAGAAATTCAACTCTAATTCTATCTCTAGAACTTTTTTAACTTTTTTTCGCAACCATTTTTGCAGCTGTGTCATATAGACAATGATTTCTTTAGAAATTAGTGTGTATTGTCTTAAGTTAATTGTCAGTGTTTATTGAATTGTGACAACAAGAAATTATTATTAATTTTAAGTGTAATTATTAGGAGTAATAATTACAGAGAGTGAAATATATATAAGAATGAAATTCTTAGTAATTTATGTTATATAGAATTTAGAAAAAGTAAGAATATATTAAGTTTAATTCGTGTTCAATAACTACTATTTCGTCTCAAGTGAATCAAGGTGTTGATTTACTCACTCACGAGTAATCACAACCAGAATCTCCATCAATTCATCACTTTCACTTAAAATATAGACATCAGCGGTCTAGATTGTTAGTGAAACCATTTTATACGAAGAAGGCACTTCTATCATAAGTATAGCACGGTAGTACGGTGGTACAAATTACTGCGCAGTCCTGCACTTAAGGAAAATAACCTTACTGTACGACAAGCTGGTTGGACAACTTCTTCTTTTTTTTCTTTATAACCTCTATTTATTAAGTCTTCTATACAATTCACTATATAAATATACTAACAATATATTTATTTCAATATAGTACACAAAATAATAAGTGTGTAAAAATTATGAGGATAAAGCCCAATGGGAAAAACCTCAAGGGGAAAATTTGTTGGAATCTGATTGGTAAATTGTTGGTGTATTTTATTAGAAAGACATCAATTTAACAGTATAGTATTATCTTTTAAACAAAGATGTTATACCGTAAATTGAAAGTCTTTAAGGACCTTCTCAAGAATTCGAGGGAGAATGTAGTATCATCCCCCAACGAAACTCGTCGTCTTTTACGATAGTAAAAGATTAGGTCCATATATTGATTCCATATATTGATTGATTTGAAGTAGTTGTGTTGGTTGAATTTGTGGATTGCCAATCCACTTTTTAAAATCTCTAGTTATGGAATTAATTTTAAGCATGTCCCATATATACTTTGTCACAGGACATTTTACACTATGATGTAAGAAAAATTTGGATTTCGGAATGTCCTCCAAACATGCTTCACACTTGTGAATTTCATTAGGAGTATTGGTTTCAAAGTGTGTGAAATGTCCTAGAGCAACTCTATGAATGAATTGGGACAAAAATTAATAAATTTGGAGCAAAGAAATAATTAGCACATAGATCAACCATATCCTATTAAATAAGCTTTGAAATCTCAAAGATTGGATAAAGCTTGTTTTTAGTCATTTTGTATAGCTCGGGAAAGTTTGAAAATCATTCGGCCCGCAAAACTTGATTTTATAAGTAAACTCCTGCGTATGTGCACGTAGACTCGTAGAAAACAACCCCTTCATCATTCATTCAACGTGAATAAACTGAATGTGAAAGATTGATTCATTTCAATGTCTAATTTGAGTTTGAGCTCAACTTGATTTCCTTCTATTTTGATGATGATTTGGGTAGTGTCACAAAATCACCGATTCTAAAATTGAAACTATCTATTCTCTCAATGTTCAACGCATCCAGCACACCCTAAACTTCGTATATTAAAAAATAGTCTTATGAGTTCACTGAAAGCAAGCATTTCAAGATTGATTATATCAAATGTCATGGAAAATTGTGCTTTCCCTGAAGAACTACTTCTTTAATATATGGATGCTCTTCCCTAATTTTATTTCGATATTGTAACTTTTTTTTCTCATGTAGAAAACTGAGAAAAAGCAGCTCGATTCTATTAACAAATATCAATAATCATACTTACTACAAATAATACACAATCAAGTAATGACTGATTTTGTCTATCAAGGAGAAGACTTTGAAGATAAAGTTAGAAAACAAGTTGAATTTTATTTTTCAGATTCAAATTTACAACAAGATAAATTTTTATGGAAAATATATGAATCAAATGATGGATGGGTTGAATTAAAAACCTTATTAACATTTGGTAGAATGAAACAATATAGACCTGAAGAGAAAGTTATTGAGGCATTAAAGTCAAGTGATAAATTAATATTAAGTAATAATAATGATATGATTAAAAGAAAAGATCCATTAAAAGATTTAGATGAAGTTAAAAATACCAAAAAGAAAAACACTGTTCATATTGAAGGATTTCCTCATGAATTATCACAAGAAGAAGTTGAAACTTGGTTTAATGAAAAAATAATTCCAAATTTACCAAATGAAAAAGAAATTTGTTCAATTCGTAGAATTAAAGGTAGAATTCAAAAAAACTTTTTCGGAGTAGTTGATGTTGAATTTAAAAATGAACAAGATGCAGAATATTTAGTTAAAGATGATGTTCAATTAAGTTATGAAAAAGGTATATTAACCAAAGAAGAAGCTAAAGATTTAGATAAAAAACAATTATTAAAGAAAATGTCATTATTAACTTTTCAAGAAATGAGAGAAAGTGGTAAAAGATTTGGTCAAAATGAAGTAACTAAAAGAAGAAATAGTTTCAATGAAAATAATAAGAACAAAAAGAATAAGGGAAATTTTCAAAAGAATAAAGGTAAAAAATTCAACAAAAACAATAATAACAACAACAACAACGATAAAGGTAAAAATAAAGATGAAAGTGAAGGAGCGACACAAACAAACGATGATAGCAAACTAGACAAAGTTAATGAAGAAGGAAAAGTAGGTAACGAAGAGAGTTCAAAATCAACTGAACAAGATCAATCAAAAAAGGAAGAACTTACCACTGAGGTTCCCGACTTAAGTGGTCAAAAACAAGACGAACAAGCCATATCAGAAGAGTAAGAACATTTTGTAATAATGAACGTTGATTAATTTTATGTATATTATTTCTCTAATAAATAAGTGTAAATATAGTGTAAGTTTCGCTACATGCATGGTATTAATATAATGTTGAGCAAAACGCGTCCTATTTTGTGTCACTTTAATTTACATATTTTTTATTTACGAATTTTGATAATTACACTTTGGAAAATCAATTACAAAACATCATATTTTATTGGTAAACCTTTAATCGAGCAATACTCATAATTACCACCAAATGAAATGACTGTAACAGAATCTTTCAAAAATGCTGTCGTAAAAAACTTTGGACCTCAGCCCGATTTATCAGATGATGAATATGATAAATTATTTTCATTAACTAAAATTTTTCAAAATGAATTAGAAGATTTATACATTGAATGGGAATCGTTCAACTTTGCTGAAAATGAAGATTATAAATTACAAATGGTAAATCTAACCAAGTTTCATGATTATTTACAAAAAAAGCTTACCAATAATAAATTTACACCAAATATAAGTAAGACTAAAGATATCAATTCTGGAAGAAAACCATTATCAAAACGAAGTATTAATAATGAAAATACTCCATCAACACCTCAGATAAAGAAAAGAAAAGTTCTTGAATCCTCATCACCAGCACCAGCGGATTATGATACAGCAAACAGTACCTTCAACACATCTCCAATCAAACCAGCTAAACAATCACATACTTTGATAGAAACTTTAAATCCACATATAGAAAATTTTGAATTGAATAATACAGACAACAATCCCATTAAATTAACTGCAAATTTTGATCCATTGAAATTCAAATTTCGAACATTACAAATGAAATTATTAGAAAGTGCAGATGTTTTAGATGATCAAATAGATACAATGGCAGAAATATATCAAGAAGAAAATAAAACTGAAGATTTACAATTTGGAAATCCATGTTTAAGTTCTCAATTTGATATTTTATGTTGTGGTAGAATTGTACCAGATTCACCAAGTTATAATCAAGAAATTTTAAATAAAAAATCATTATATTTAGAAACTTCAAGACTTTCTGGAGTTGGACAAAGAGTACCTTTAGATTTATCTGGTTTGAATGGTTATTCATTTTTCACTGGTCAGATTGTAATTTTGAAAGGTAGAAATCCAACTGGAAAAGAATTTTGTGTGGAACAAGTAATGCCTTTGCCACAATTAGGAACATCTGTTTCAAGTAAAGAAGAGTTAGAAGAATTTGAATCTTTACAAAATGGTGAAGGATTGAAAGTGGTTATTGCATCTGGTCCTTATACAAACCTGAATAAGTTAAATTTTACTAAGTTAGAGAACTTAATTGAGAAATTAAATACTGAAATACATCCAAATGTTATAATATTGAATGGTCCATTTATTGATCTTACAAACAAAGAAGTGGAAGAAGGTGATTTCCCAAGTTTACCAAAAGATCAACAACCAAGAAATTTAGATGATGTTTTTAGAATGTTAATAACACCAATTTTAAAGAAAATAGATTCTAAAATTCAAGTCATAATACTACCATCATTAAAAGATAGTTCTGCAAATCATTGTTCATATCCACAAGATTCTTTTGATAGAAAAAAATTACAATTACCTAAAAATGTTAAATGTTTTCCTAATCCTTCAAGTTTTGCTGTAAATGAAATGTTGATAGGTTCATCAAATCTTGATATTTTCAAAGATTTAAAAGAAGTGTTAAAACAAGATGATTCAATATCAAATAATAGATTTGATAGAATAATTACACATATAATTGAACAAAGAAGATATTATCCAGTAATGCCTGGTTCAATTGCTTCAACTGCAACACATTCAGATAATAATATATCAGATCTTGCTAATGGTGCTTCAGGAGAATTTTTAAATGGTTTAAGTATCGGTGGGTCTTGTTTGGAAATTCCATATATGGGATTATCAGAATTAGGTACATCAATACCAGATGTTTTAATCTTACCTTCAGATTTAAAAGCATTTGCAAAAATTGTAAAGGGAGTTGTTGTAATTAATACAGGACAGTTTATAAGACCTAGTAAATCAAGTGAAGTTGAAGATGGTACTTATGCTATTTTGAGTTTGTTGCCGCCAAAGGTTGATGAAGGAGGTGAGAATAACGTAGAAAAAGTGGAAACTGAAGATAATGTATACCACCACAATATTTATAAAAGATCAAGAATAGACTTATATACCACATAACAAAAATAAATCTATATAGTAATTTAGTATAATTAGTTGGTATAATGAATATTCTGATTTTTGTTCATGTGTATCCGCTGGAAAGCTTAAATCTCTCTAATTTCAAAACACGAAAAAAATGTAATTTGCAACACTCTAAATAAACAACTACAGTCAATGTTACATGTCGCTAAGAGTGTACAAACGAACATTACTTCCGAAATATGATAGTTTAGCATTTACTAGTCGATTTACTCGACGTATTCATTCAACTTTTTCAATAAAGCAAGCTAGCGTAAATTCACCGAAAGTAACATCAACAGACCAACAAGATTTCAGAACAAACAAGCTAATACCTGAATTTCAAACACTTTTCAAGAACGTAAATAATAACGCGTTCAAGCTAAGAGATTATCAGGAAGAAGCAGTAAATGCAGTTTTAAGCAGTCTAGATAGTGGGATCAAAAGACCAGCTGTAGTAATAGCTACTGGAGGAGGTAAAACCGTCATATTTTCACATTTAATCAATCACTTAAAACCTTTAAAAAAAGATAGAGGAAATAAAGTATTAGTTTTAGCTCATACGGAAGAACTTATTGATCAGGCAGCAAAGAAAATAAGATTAATGAATCCTCATTTAAAAGTAGATATAGAAATGAGAAGTTTAAAAGCTGAACCAAATTGTGATGTTGTTGTTGCTTCAGTGCCAAGTTTAAAAACAAGAAAGAGATTAGAAAGATTTAATCCTAAAGAATTCAAGAGTATAATTATTGATGAATGTCATCATGCTCCTGCACTATCATATAGAAAAATATTGAATTATTTTAAAGCGTTAGATGAAAATTCAGATATTAGTGTAATTGGTTTTACTGCTACCTTTATAAGATTAGATGGTCAAGCTTTGGGTCATATTTTTCAAAAAATTGTATTTGAACGATCTTTGACTAATATGATATCTAGTAAAGAGTTGGCAGAAGCTAGAGTGAGTGAAGTTGAAGTCGATATGAATTTAGATACAGTGTCTCGACTGAAGGTTGATTATGATTCCACTAGTCTTTACAATACGATGAAAGAAATAGATTTCAATGATAAAATAATATTAGCATATATGAGATTAAAAGAAGATTCAAATTGTCAAAGCACTTTAATATTTTGTGTTAGTGTTGATCATTGTTATGATGTTTGCTCTCTATTTCAAAGTCATGGAATTAATGCCCAATATGTTACCGGATCTACATCAAAAACTGAAAGAGCTGCTATTATCGAAGATTTCAAAGAAGGTAAAATCCCAGTCTTATGTAATGTACAAGTGTTTACTGAAGGTACTGATATGCCAAATATCGATTCATTAATTTTAGCTAGACCCACTTTATCTAAATCTTTGATGGTGCAAATGATTGGTAGAGGACTACGATTACATAAAGATAAAACTCATTGCCATATTGTTGATATGGTTGATATAACAAAACAAGGAATTGATGTAATGCCAACACTCGATGGAGAGAATTTAACAAAAGCTAAACCAGTCGATATAGAGGAAGAAGTGGAAGAGGAAGATGTAGAGGAAGAGGAAGTACCCGAAACATCAACACTTTCTGAGGAGCAAAGAGGAAAAGCGATTGCAAAGATTTTGGATTATCACAAAAAGGAGGTACTAACATTGAAAGAGCAAGACCGAGTATTCACTCCTCCAGCAATCTGGTTTCAAGACACTCAATTGACAAACACGGTGTTGTTAAAAGGGAAATATCCATGGGCTCTTATCACTAGTAATACAAAATGGGGTTTACAAGGTCGAAATAATGATTTCTTTATACTCAACAAAACAATACAAAATGGAAAATGTTTATTTGAAATTCTGCATCACAATCATCTGAATAGAATTAAAAATCCAATTTTTGCTAGTGAAAACTTGTTGGATATTTTTAAAGTTTTAGAATCAAAATACGAAGCTCATATGACATATGCTAAAAAACTGAACACATTTGCAAGAAAAGCTACCAGAAACCAAGTTGCATATCTCATGAAAATAATCGATAGGAAAATAGATTCATTTATGAGAAGGAAAAAGATTGACTTACCAAAATCAGAGTTTTCCCAATATGTTTCCAATGTTTTATTAAATCAAAGACAAGCAATAATTGGTAAATATATTTTTGCTTTGAAGTATGAGGGGCATACCGAATATGAAGAGATAAAAACAGCTCAAGTTCTTAATACCGCATTCAAATCTATATGATGATTTAACGTCTATCTACAGTCATAGACTCTCAGTCAACGGCACTACCATTCACATCGATCAACAAAAATTGAAACTTGAATGATGAATAAAATAATGAAAACATAATTCAGATATTAATAGTGCTTTTTATTTTATCAAGTAAAGTAACGATAATAAATTCTGCTCAATTAGAGGATTAACAAAACTCTTCACATGATCCAACATCGATGCTTCACATTTACATTAAATTTATTTTATTCACTTAATAGTCATTTCTCATGAGACACTAACAATTTACTTAGGTCGATACCACATATATATCTAAAAATTTATTGTTTTTTTCCTTTTCTCTTTTTAACCAAGAAACGTTACAAGAGAAACTAATGACAGGCATTTGAATCCATTATAGAACTCATCAAGGTGTACCAGGATTTTTTGTTCGGACGAGTTTTTAATAGTTACTGGATCAAAGCATGTCACGGCAAATTTCTTACTAGACTTTATAACAACGTAACATTTCCTGGTACTGTGGACATATTCAATCATAATTCAAAGTTGTTGAGATCATATGATAGCGGGAGCACAAAATTAACAAATCAGTTAGGAGCCGTCGATCAATAGGACCATTTGATACAGACAAGAAGATCTGGCACAAGATGACAACATCGATGATTTTATAATGAATACAAATGAGTGTCACTAACTTCTCTTATAACGTTCCTTGAAACCAATTTCATCAGCCATGCTCTTGAACGCTAAATATTTTCAATTTGTAAAAACTTTTGAACATAGTCACTAACACAGACATGGGCAATGTCCTTGTAAATGACTATGTCCGTCTCGTCTTCTCCCAATACGAGCTAAATACAACCACAACTTTCGCACAGTTTAAGAATTTTTAGACTGGACCTGTTGATTCCACTAAGTTATATAAACTTTCTTCCAATTTGATGTGGAAGTTTCTGAATTGAAGGTTTGTAAAGACCCAAGATCACTTGCTTGAATTGATGTTCGTTATCAATTAAATTGTTACAGTGTCCTGCTAAAGCTGTAGTAGTTTGATACCATTGTTTTTCTATCGGACACCCATGAATCAGTGTAAATTGATGAAAAAACTAAGAAAGTAGGCATAGTACTGTTACGGTGCTAATAGTTGTGAACTAATTAAATAAGAAGTTGAGTTCAAGCCATTGGTAAAATCTTCTCCCAAAACGAATTGATAAGTATTTCTTTAGATGATTTTATGTTTTTCACGAGTATCCCTTTCCATTTCTCCTCCTCTTTGAGATGAGAAGATTTGATATCTTTTAATTAAAAAGGATTATTTTGAGTCAATGCATTAAGCACGTTAGTCGAATTTCCATTTTTTCAATGAAAGAGGCATTTTCATTTTTACCTAACTTATCTGTCCTATTGATTTGGCATCAGTGGTAAGATAGTTGAACAATTTTTGAAAATGTTTCGCGTACGAAATTTGTAAGCACAAAAATCATTGAGATTGTAAACAGTTGTACTACTTTCAACAAACTCCTCCAGGCCTATACCATATATATTAAGGATGAAGTTGACGCTACTACCGATCCTTTTGTCAATTATTTTTGCCAGCTTTATTAAGTCAGAAGCAATTGTAACGGATCAACAAGAAGCCTTCAATACTATTGAGAAATCAAATCACACAAATAATTGGGCAGTTCTAGTTTCGACATCAAGGTTTTGGTTTAACTACCGTCATATGGCAAATGTTTTAAGTTTCTATAGAACTGTGAAAAGATTGGGTATTCCTGACTCACAAATCATATTGATGTTATCTGATGATATTGCATGTAATTCAAGAAATGCATTCCCTGGTACAGTTTTTAATAATATGGATCAAGCATTAGATTTATATGGAGATAGTATTGAAGTTGATTATAGAGGTTATGAAGTAACTGTTGAAAATTTTATAAGATTGTTAACAGATAGATGGGGTTCTGAACAACCAAGATCAAAAAGATTGTTAACTGATGAGAATTCAAATATTTTGATTTACTTGACAGGTCATGGTGGAAATGAATTCTTGAAATTTCAAGATGCAGAAGAAATTGGAGCATATGATATAGCGGATGCATTTGAACAAATGTATGAAAAAAAGAGATATAATGAAATATTTTTCATGATCGACACTTGTCAAGCAAATACAATGTATGAAAGAATCTATTCACCTAATATCTTATGTATTGGATCATCGAATTTAGATGAGAGTTCCTATAGTCATCATTCAGATATGGATATCGGAGTTGCAGTTATTGATAGGTTCACTTATTACTGTCTAGACTTCTTGGAGAAAATTAATAGAAATTCAAAAGAGACTATGAATAAATTATTTGATGTATTAACATTCGAGAATGTTCATTCTCATCCCGGTATAAGAACTGATTTGTTTAAAAGGGACGTGAATAACGTTTTGTTGACTGACTTTTTTGGAAATGTTCAAAATGTTTTGATTGACAAGGAAGACGCTGATAAGGATGTATTAAGTTCAATTTCAAATTCCTATAATCATTCGAATCACAATGAATATATATCGATGAAGGAAAATATACAAAGGGTACCTCCACAATTTGGTTTTGAAACTGACAGTAGCTATGAATCTACAGATTTAACAAATTTAGTTTCAAAGTCTCAGGCTAATTCAATCACAATAGCTGCAATAACAATAATTTTGGTGCTATGGTTTTTCTCACCTAAATTCTAGAGTTATGTATTTTGTTTTGAATAGATTAATTTGCATCATTTCATATAGTAGACTGAACTCTGTCTTTTTAGCTCTGTATTATTCATAATCAATCGCGTATTGAAAAAGTATTTTTTGTGTAAGTAACTTGTTTTATATTTGTTTACATTTTTAAATAATATTTTTACAACAAAACTTCAAATATACTTAGAAGTATTCAACATTAGATCCACCATATCTTGATCATTCAGCATAACGTAAATCTGATCATTACACTCATTGCAATACTCGCCCGTCATCTCCGATTTTCAGATTTGAGTCGAGATTGCCATCAATAGATCCGAAATTCAATTTACAGTTCATTAGATATATATTAAAGCAACAATCAACTACATTCACAAACATTCACAAATTTTACATTAATTATGGTGGACTCATATTTAACAAGTGACCTACTAAGTGTCTTCAACTCAGATTCAATTTCGAATGATACAAAGTTTGAAAATATTCAAATTCTTAAAACTCACATAAAAAAGGATTCTATTGATCTATTGAAAGTGCCCATTTATTTACAAATAATAATGAAAGGATTGGAATTGAATGACTCAAGAATTACAAGCGTAAGTTTTAATTCATTATCATACCTAATTAAAAGAATCAGTGTTCAAGATAAATCCGGTAAAGTATTGAAAGATCAAAGCTTTCTTATTCTACCCATTTTGATCAACAAACTTGGCAGTAGCAACACATCAGTTGCCAAAAAGGCTCTTGAAGATTATTGGTTGAGCTCACCAAATGAAGTGGAAAAGGCATTAAATGAAATTTCATTCAATACTAGCAACAAACAACTTTTCGTTGAATCAATAAGATGGATAATTCAAATAGTTCAAGATATAAGTAAAAAATTCAATATAGCATATTTCATACCTGATATTATAAGAACTGTATCCAATAAATTAAACGATGAAGATATTATTGGTACTGTTAATAATTTAATTGAAATCTTTATACAAAATAACGATACTGGTGCTGTACAATACCTACAAGATCAGTACAGTCTATTTAATTTACCAAATGATGGAACCTTTATTACCCAAAATATAAGCAAGCCCAAATCAGCGACCACATCATTGTCCTCGAATCAACCTATTAAAATTAGCAAGTCAAAGTACAAAGCAGCTCCGATGGAGGACATTCAGAAACCCAAACAACAGGATGAAGTCAGTTCACAATCTTTTGAATCAAAATTATCCGAGTTATTATCCAAAAATAAATATGACCTTGAAGTATCAATAGCACCAAAAGATGTTCTAGACCACAATGAATTATATAAAATATTTGAAACGTATAGTAATCATTTCGAAGGAAAGGAGACCGAATCCAATTGGAAATTAAGGGAAAAAAGTATCGTCGAGGTAAGAAGTCTAGTAAGAGGATCTGCATCTATTAAGTTTCTGTCAGAATTAATTCAATGTTTAAAGGCTTTTGCAATCTCCCTATGTAAAGGAGCAAATTCATTGAGAACTACCTTATGTACTCATAGTTGTCAATTAATTAAAGAATGTGCTATAATCCTTGAAACCGAATTCGATGCTTGTGCTGAATTAATTTTTCCTACTTTAATGAAACAATGCTTATCAACAAAGAATATCACATCATCTAACGCCAATATGGCGGTTGCTGCTTTATTTGCAAATCTACCTTACAATCCAAGATTACTAAACAGAGTGTCAAGTTCAATGATAGAAAGAAATCATCAACCTAGATTATTCTCAGCATTATGGTTACAAATTTTACTTTTAAGGTATTCCATGAACAACTCCTTTTTTGGAAATCATTTAACACAAGTTATCGATGTATCGAATAAATTATTGATTAAGTTATTGAAAGATGCAAATCCAAATGTTAGACAAACAGCGAAAGATTGTTATTGGTGTTATTCACAAATCCTTCCAGAAGAGTCAGAAAAGCTTGTCAAACGGTTGGATCAAAACACGGTGAAAGCTTTAGAAAGATCTCAACGTTCGTCTAGGATTCAAACAAATGCTGCTGTAAGATCTTCGAGACCTTCTATGCGGGAAACAATATCTAGTAAACACCGGGATTCACGTATGGAGCGTCCTTCTTCAAGAGCAGAATCAAGAGAATCTTCACAAAATTCAATTGCTTTATCATTACCCAAACGAAATCATAGAGTGGACAGTAATCCGCCTCAATTTGTAACTAGACCTACACCTAGAGCATCAAGTTTGAATCCACAACCCAAACAAAACAATACCATTGACAGGGCAAGGAGTAGAACTGAAGTATTAAAAGCTTCTCCCTTGGAAAATGAAGAATCATACCCTGAATTATCAAAACCTGAATTTAAAGAACCTCCAAAAAATAAACAAGATGTTATGATTGAGTACTTTGCATCTAAAGATGCTGACATAATTTACGAAGCAATTGATATGTTGATTACTGCAATTCATGCTAAAGAAGCTTTTGTTAATTCATATGCATTGAAAAGTAAATTAAGATACATAAGTGAAAAAGATCCATTCCTATTGAAACAATTATTTCCATCAACTAACAATGAGTTATTCAAAAAATCATCTAAATTATTTTCAATTGAAGATTTCAATAGAACTTGTTTTATTTTATTCAATGATATCGATCAAAATACAATTGATTTAATTTGTTCTTGTTTTGAAATATCAGAACTTATTGATACATATTTAAGATTATTAAATTATATAATTGATTATCCAAATATTCCTGGAAATAATAATTTTAAATTACAAATATTAAATTATCAATTCAAAATTGCTCAGCTGTGTTTACAAGCCCTCCTGATCATTTTCATTAAAACTCCAATATCAGATGTTCAATTTGGTGATATTTTCAATGTATCAGTTTCATTAATCATGGTTTTGAAACAACATCAGAAATCATTTTATCTTTTAAAACAATTATTTTGTCAGTTATATTCAAATGATTGTAATAAATTTTTACAATTATTAGATGATATTGAATTTAATTTAAAGGATGAAGTAGAATCAATAGTTGGTATAGACAACAATGTAATGATGATTATTGACAAACCTTTGGATGATTCAGTATTTGAAATGACTGAAATAAATCCTGGTAAAATTGGAAAATTTGAAGTTGATGGTGTTATAAATGGTGGATTCACAATGGTTGTTCCAAATAAATTTCCAAATTTTGAACATAATTCTGATGTGGAACGTATTGAAGAAGATGAACAACTTGAAGACAATCCCGTTAATGAATCTTTTAAAGAAACGTCATTTGAAGGTAAACCTTTCAAATTGGTCAAACAGAGAACATCAAATCATAAAGATGAACATGAAGAACAAACGTTAGCTGAACCTTCCGATTCAATCAAATTGAAAAATCCAAAATCTTTAATTGATGAATTTTCACAAATAAATATAGCTCCACCACCTTATGATAGTCATTCCCATTATAATCACAATCCTATTAAGTCTCCTACTATGGAGTCATTACAAACAATGATTGAAAAGGTTGATCCATTAAACCCAATATCCAATAAGATTCGTAAAATCAGTATTTATGAAGATTCAGACTCAAGTAGAACTAACGATACTAAACACATTAATCATCATAGTGAACTCAAAAATAATCATCAAGAATGGAATTGGGAGAATATCACTTATAATATCAATTCATTCAAATGCAGTAGTTATAATATTGGTAGTATTTCCACTATTGATCAATTTAATTCAGCTTGTGAAAAATTATGTAAATTTATAATTACTAATCAAGATGAGGAAGAAGAAATTAATAGATTAATATTAAATTTATCATCAACTTTAGAAAGTTTAACAACTACAAATTATGAATTTAGAGAATATTTTTTAAAAGATGGGAAATATAAATTATCAAATTCTTTATTTTTATTTTTGAAAGATTTTACAATTATAAATCAAACAAACGGTAATGGTGGTATTCAAAATCATAAGGTTGAGCAACACCAAGAACAAAATGTTTTAGATTTATTATATCTTTTAAAATTAATTTTAAAATATGATGAATTAATTGATCTTGATCAAGTATGGAATTTACTTAAAAAATTAAATTCTTTACTTAAAATTGAAAATCAATTATATTATGCATGGATTGAAATTTTAAAACAAATAAATTTAAATAATAATTTGAATTTAAAAATGTATGAAATAATTATTAATGAATTGGAAATTTTGTCAACTTCGGATGCTACTACCAATCCAATTATATCAAATCAACAAACAAGTCAAGTAATTATAATAAATTTATCATTAATTTATTTAACAAATTTTATAAATGATTTAAAAATTTTAAATTATCAAGATCAAATAAATTTTAAAAAATTAGATAATTTAATTAGTAATTTTTTCAAACTGGAAAATATTTATTTAAGAAAAAATTCAATTATATGTTATTCAAAAATTTTTAAACATGTTCCAATGTTTAATTCTGAAAATCTGCAAATGCTTTTACAATTGAAAAATAAATATTCTATTTCTCAACAAAGATTAATTGAATTTTATAGTCAAAAATAGATGAAAGATATTTGAGAATTAATTATAGGTAAAAATAGAAAAATGATTAGAAAGTAAGTAAGTTAAGTAAATATTAAAAGTTTATAATCTATGCTTTTTGTAAATATATCAATGTAGACTTAAAACTCTAGAGAAAAAGAAGAATGTAATTTAACAATTTATTATTTTTTTAATTTATAAAAAGAATTGAAATATAGAATTATTTTATCAGAGTAATAAAACTCCATTAAATTGATATGAATTAAAAATTTTTATTTTATAAAAAAAGATGAAGAATAATGACAATTAATTGAATGAATACCAGATCCAACAACAACTACCAACTACCTACTAAATCTATTTTTTATCAACAATTTTAGTAGGTTTTGCTCCAATAACATCTTGTATAGAAACTTTATATTTCTTATCTTTATCAATTCCACTACCACCACTTACCAGAGTACCTGATTTTAATTTATTAACATTTGGTGGACGACCTCTACCTCTTGGTTTTTGATTTGAAGCAGCAGCAGCAGCAGCTAATTGTTTTTTCTTGTTTTGCATCTTTGTACTTACTGCTTGTTGTTTTGTCATTGCTGGATGTTGTGCTGCTAATGGGAGTTTTGATTTATTATTATTTGATAAAGGTGTTGTTGATGATGATGTTTGTTTTGGTTTTGTTGTTGAAAGTTTTGAAATTGATGGTGATTGTTGATTTGAAATGGATGAAAATTGTTGTTGTTGATTTATTGATGGACTCTGTTGATGTGATTTCCCATTACCATTACCATTGTTGTGAGTAAATGAAGGTGGTTGTTGTGGATATTGTTGTTGTGAATTTGGATAGTATGGTGCTTGATAATTAGGATCAAAATATGTTGGATGAGCTTGTTGTGGATGTTGTATTGAATATTGACTATAATATTGACCATTTTCTTGCTGTGGATAATTACCTGGAGGGAATTGTTGTGCTTGTTGTTGTTGTTGTTGTGGATAAAAGTTTGGATTTTGAAATTGAAGATTTTCTGGATATAATGAATTTTGAGAAGGTAAATGCATTGGTGGAGGTGGTAAAGTATTTTTGTTATTATTTCCCATTTTATTAAAAGAAGTTTGTAATTTTGCAGATAATGGAGGTATTGGTTGATTAGTATGTTGTTGTTGTAATTGATTATAATATTCTGCATTACTTTGGAAAAATTTTGTTGTTGCTGAAGATTTTGGAGGTGGAATTGCTGAGATTGGAGGTAAAGGAGTTTTTAAAGGTTGAGTTTGTTCAATTAAGTATTCAGTATTTGAAGCAACTTGATTTGTAATTGGTTGTTGAAAAATTTGATTTTCAAATAATTGTTCATAATTATCATTAATCATATTTGAATATTCATTACCTTGATAATTTGTTGATTCTAATGTAATATAATCATCTGAACTATGAGGTTCAAAATAATCTAATGGGAAATCATCTTCATAATCTGAATTATTAGCATTGTTATTAGTTCTATCTTCATTATTAGTAGTAATATTGGTAGTAGTATTATTATCTTCTCCAGAACTTACATCATTTGCACCAGAATCTCCATCATCATCTTCATTATCAGATATTTTACTACTTTTATCAAATGATTTATTTGATTGAATTTCATTTAATTTATTATTATTACCAACATTATTAATTGAACTTAATTGATTACCAAATCCACTATTATTTGAATATTCATCTTTAATTTTATAATTAGACATGAAAGTATTATTTTCTTCATCACTTTCATAAACTTCTAAAAGATTTTTAGTTGTATCCATATGTTTAACCAATTGATTATATAAATTAGAACTTTCATCAAAATTAAAACTTAAAGCAGGTTCTTTATGAGCTATAGTAGTTGGTTTTTGACCAGCTTTTTCCTTTTTCAAATCTCTTTCTAAAGCATCAGCCATTAATTTATCATGAGGTACATTAAACCAAAAAAATACTTTTTGCTTTTTTTGAGTTCTTAAACATGAATTTTTAAATAAAAATTCTAAAAATTCTGATCTTGGAGGTTCTAATATAGCATCAATATTACATTTTAAATTTCTTAAATCTGAAAATATACCTTCTTCAAATTTTTTTCTATCAATAATTTTTCTACCAAAATGTTCAAATTTATAAACAATACATCTAACAATATCTGTACCTGTTACAAAATAAAGATTATTCCAAAATACACAACTAACAAAACCTTCATCATGATTTAAATAATATCTCCTTATTACTTGATTTTCTTGCCAATTTGCTGGTGCAGTTGCTAAAAAGAATTTTAAATCTTCAATTAATCTAAGGGAATCATCAACTTCCTTTTTGGTTCTTTCTCCTATTGGTTGATTATAAGTCAGATTTGCTTCTGTTTGTTGTGGTGGTTGTGATTGTGATTGTGACTGATTTTGATTTTGATTTTGATTTTGATTTTGTTGATTTATTTTATTATTTATATTAGTTGTTGATAATGAAGGAGACGTTATTGATGAAGCTGGAGTGGCAATAGCTCCTTGAGGAACTGGTAATATACTATTATTTAATGGTGAAGTTGTTATTGCAGACATTTGATTGATTATGGATTGTTTTGAGTTTGTTCTAAAGTATTGTTTGAAGTCTGTTTTGAATGCAAGTGAAATATTATATCATATATGTTAAAATACCAATCTCAAATTATGCGTGTTTCAAATGTATATGGTTGATTTGACGACAGGAAAAAAAGTGATAATATATAATTTGAGACTTGAATAATAGTTTAATTGTAATTTAAATGGTACTTGTTATAGAATATTTTAGTATATTGATTGGTTATTGTTGAATGACTTTTGTTCAAGAAAAAAAAATTTATTAATTGATATGAAATGTATGATGATAGATAATAATGATCTATAAGATTTTAATACTGAAACACGTAATAGGTATATGAAATGAATGGATTGATGTCTTTGAGATGTGATGAATTATTTGAATTGGTAATGAGTATGGTTGAATTGTTAAAATGTGTTGTTATAAATTTGTTGTCAAAAAAAAGAATGATTATTAAGTAAAAGTGTTTGTTAAATAAAAAATTAAGGAAATTTTGTTTCAGTATTAAAATTATGAAACTTTGAGAATTTAAAATTTAAATATTGTGTTGAGTTACACTACCCAATAGATTTATGTACACACTAAATAATAAAATATTGATTTAATAGATTGAATGACTGAATGTTGATTACTGTTATAATTAAAACTGATTTTTTAATGAAATGATAATTGAAGTCTTTGGGTTTTGACACTTAGTGGTAGGAATTAGTTGATCTAATCGAAATGGACGTAGTATGACTGATATGAAACAAATTAAAGTATTGAGTAAAACTTTTGAAATATTCGACAATGAAAGAACACAGAAAATTAAGTTTCAAAATTGTCAATTCAATTGGGAACTGTTACAGGTATATATAATTATTTTTTGTTTGTATCTAATTTGAAAAATTTTGAAACATATTGAGTAGTTAGTTCAATTTGTTTCATATTTTTAAACTGAAACAAATTTGAGGCACTTAAACCTGTCTCAAACCTTTTTTTTTATTTTTTTGGGCTAGTACACGTACGGGACAAAATTAATTTCTTAATACCGTCGATCATCAAATTTTACTAAAAATAAGCAAGAAAAAGAGTTAAATTTGACTGCTTAAGGAAAGGTTTAATTTATATATTCTGTTATCTTTAGATATTCAATGATCAATGCATGTATAATACGCATTTGCTTAGTTATTTATCTACAAACAAAACTTTAAATCAAATTATAATTTTAAAAGATACAAAAATATATTATGCATTAAAAATTAGCCCCCGCTCTGAAAGAATCATAGAAAACCTCAATTCGTAAGATCGCTACATTCATGAACAAAAGTAATCCTAACAATGCTTCGCGTGACATCGTAAGTATCAGTGTATATTGTTAACAGGAAATAATGAAGTTCTCCTTTTTCATGTACCTTATCTCGTGATAAAAAAAAGTCTCAAACATCATGCCACAAAAACATAATTTCATCTTATCAATAACGAATCTAGAAACGTCCAGTAAAAAAAATTCATCTGTTTCAAAATAAAATTTTATACGATAGATCTATTTGAAACTTAAATTTATCTCGAAACAACCTATTAGGAGACCATATGACCTAAATTGTATCACTTATACTAAATCGATCTTCACCTACATTATCATCAAAAAAGGATCTTGATTCCAATGAATGAGTAAGGGATAATTTAATAATATGTGCATTTGATAAAATTAGATTTTAAACTTTTATTATAAAACTTGAATCCGATCCTGTATTACCTAAAAAAAATCATCGTCAAAATTTCATTTCTTCCAACTACTAGGTAAATTTTGTATGAGGCGTTTTGGACATTGGTTTAAAAAAGAAGAATAGGTCCTCAATAGAATCATACCCTCATGTAGAACATCTCACTGGTGGCAAAACCGTCAAAATTTGTATGAGTAAATTAATCAGACGTTTCAACATCTTTAAGTTTCTCCACTTTTGAAACAAAACAAAGCTTTTGTGTAACCAATTAAAGTCATACCAAATTTATAAGAATTAGTGAATTAAGATCTTGATTCAAAGACTAAAAAATATTATTTACCAGTAACCAGTTTCAAAACTTACCAATTTGAGTGAAACTCTATACCTCAGATTATGTGTCGATCAATTTTTAACGTATCTGTCAGATCTTTCATAAGATCTCAATCTTGTTTATTTTTTTTGTTGGGGTAAATAATAATTTATTATATTTACAAATTGACTAGAATTTATAATAATTTGGAAAAGTATCTGCGATTTAAATTAATTTATCACACTATGAACGATTGAAAGTTTTGATTTTACAAGATCTAAAATCTTGCATTTATTATTTATCAGGGGTAAAGTTTATTTCAATATTAATAGTCTAATTTTAAAACTTTAAATTCTATTCAAAATAATATAATATTTAAATTTATTTATTATATTAATAATTTCGTATTCTGAAACAAAAAAAAGGATCTGATCTTGCTTTTTGCATGACGTTAGAAACAAAAGTGGCTAAATTGAACTTTAAATATATATCACAGTTAGTTTCAACTATTTTTTTTATTTTGAAACAGTTTAGTTTGACGTGTTCCGTTTCGAAAGTAAAATTGATCTAATTTTAGAACAAATTTTAATACAAGATGAAACTTTAAATAAGTTTAGAGGAACGTATCTTCGTCTAGAAAATTCGAATATCGAAAGAGTATTTCTATAGCTATAAATAAAAAAATCCACATACTTACATTAATCTATCAATTATAAGAACTTTAAAAAATTTTAGTGAAACATATCTTCGTCTAGAATTCGAATACTGAAAAAGAACTTTCAAAATTATAGAGATAAATAGTCATATACTACCAATTCAGAAAATAGTTGTTTTATATTCATCATAAAACACATATTTATTTCTTAAAAGATCTAACTAATTATATCATTATCTATTTTAATCTCTTACACTTAATGAATATTATATGTGTTCCTCCTTTTCTTTCTCTTTATTGTTTGCTAAAAAAAAAAAAAAATAATTAATTAATAATCATAATGATAAAATCTTAATGGTATAATATTTAGTAAGATTGGATTTTTTTCAAGTCTTTGAAGTGTTAAATAACTTTGTTCATATCAGTCATCATAATCACTCCAATTTTTCTTTTGATTCGAAAACCATAAATCATCAAAACTATTTGGTATTTCATTATTTAATTCATTTCTTTCATTATTCTTAAAATTTTTTATTGAATTAATTTTCGTTCCATTTTGATTCTTATTATTATTATTATTATTATTGTTATTATCGTTAAATTTCGTTGAAAGTTCGTTACTATCGTTATTAATTTGCTTTATATTAGTATTAACTTGTTTTGTAAATTCATTCATAAATTTATTAAGATTTTTAGTTGGAAAATTCGAATGTTGTTGTTGACTTTGCATTTGCGCTGAATCTTTCATAAATGATCCATTACCATTTGGTAAACTTGTACCAATATTCATTGTATTTATAGATATTATACCATTTTGTTGATGAGATCCATTTATATTAGTTGTACGTGATATTGATGCACGTCTAAATGGTGGAACATATTTCCCATTATTATCACAAGCCGTAGCACTATTTATAGTAGTATGACCATTTCCATTAATATTATCAAATTTTGTAATTCCTTGAGTTGGTGATGATTTAAAACCTTTAATTGATCCTTTAGGTCCATTTCTATTGTTTAAGTTGTTACCACCACCACCAAAACCAACATTATTAGGATTATTATTCAAAAATTCATCATTATCTCCATCACTTACTACATTTTCATTCCTTAAATTTGATGAAATTTTATTTAATTCATTATTATTTTCAAAATCATCTTCTAAATGGAAAACTTCATCATCAACATTTTCTAAAGATAAATTATCTAATTCTTCAATTAATGGTTCACTTAATGGTGATTTTTGATGAGGTTGTTGTAATGGAGATCTTAAATATGGTGGAATATATTTACCTGAATTTGATAAATTAGATGAACCATTATTATTAATTGAACCATTAATATTTGATGAATTTGGATGAGGTAATGGATGATAATTTGAAGTTAAACCACCACTTGTTTTTTTAAAACTTGTACTTCCTCCATTAAGACCACTTCCAAATTTATCATGATTTGAAATATTTTTATGACCATTACTTCTATGATTATGATTATGATGATTACCACCACCACCATTTTGTTTATACCTATTTTGATTTGCTTTCCAAGTTCTTTTTCTTCTTAATGGTGGTTTCTTATAACCATTTTCATGAATTCCATTACCATTAACATTACCATTAACGTTACTACCACCAACACCTATATTTCTTTTTTTCTCACCATATTTATCCATATAATGATTAAAAACAGATTTTGGTGTAAAATAATCTTCTCTATTAAAATTTTGATATTTGTTATTATTATGACTATTATTAGTATAACCATTTCTATTTATAATTGCTGCTTGATTATATGAAGCAACATTTAATGGTTTTCTAGTATTTCTAATAAATTTAAAATCATGAGTATTTATTGGTATAGGTTTTGCTTTTGTATTTGTTGATAATAAAGCATCAGCTCTATGATTATGAGGTATTTGATATTGAGAATCAGGTGGAGAATTTGATTTATCTGAACCAAAATTTTCAAGTTTATTATTTTCAGATGAAGATTTAATACTACTTGATTCAGTAGTTGGAACTGTTAAATTTGAAGATTGATTTTTTTCATCAACTTCATCATATGATATATAATCATAATCTTCTTCAAGTTCTTCTTCCTCTTCTTCTTCATAATCACTTGCTTCATATTCTTCATCAATTGTAAAAAATCTTAAAGAATTTAATTCTTCAGAAACACTTTTCAAATCTCTATTATCAGGATCAATAGTTAAACAAAATCTTAATACTGAAAATAAATCTCCACTCATTGTTGAAAAAATATCAAATAATGCTTCTCTATTACTTGCAAATTGTAAAAATCTTTTATCTGAATAATTTGCAACTTGAAATGGATTTTTATGAAATACTAAAGTTAATAATATAACTCCAATAGACCAAATATCAATTTTAGAAGCATCATAAGATTCAATATCATTATCAAATAATTCAGGTGCCATATATCTTTCTGAACCAATATCAAATTCATCTTTATCACTTATAAATTTATTTGTTGTTGCTAAACCCCAATCACATAATTTAATACTCCAATCTTCTGCAATCAAAATATTTTCAGGTTTCAAATCTCTATGATAAACTCCCTTGGAATGACAATATTCAATAGCATTTAAAATTTGTTGAAAAACATCTTTTAAATCTTGAGTTGTTGCAGGACCATTACCATTATGAATAGCTTCATATAAATCACCTCTTGAACAAAATTCTAAAATTAAACAAGAATCAAAATTATCATATAATTGAGAAATATGAGGATGTTGACCTAATATTTTATGAATTTTAATTTCTTTTTCAGCTTCATTTAATAAACTTATAAATATTGAATTTTGATTATGTTTATTTGGTGAACCAATTTGAGGAGATTTTAATCTCGCAGGACTCGATGAAGGTCTTTTTTGATCTGTCGAAGTAGTAGATTTTTCTTTTCTCTTTTTATAATCAATTGGATAAATAAATTTAACTGCAACTAATAAATCCTTTTTTTTAGTATCTTTTGCAACTGATACTAATCCATATGAACCTTCACTTATATCACTTACTTTTATATAACGATCTCTTAATAATCCACCCTTATCATATTGTTCAAATTGTTCCATTACTGAACACAATTAACGAACTTTTTGGGTTGTCTCTGGAGGGGTATGGGTGAAAAGTCTTGAAGCTATTGCTGCTATTGTTGTTGTTGTTGTAGTAGGACTGGAATAAAATCAAAATAAAAAAAAAAACAGTGGTATACTATGACTTGATATAAACAGATAAATTACTATATTTCAAAATTGTAAAACGCTAAGGACATAAAATTGTAAATTGAGTTATAAAATTGACTTTAAAATGTTTATTCAATGAATGTATGAATTATCAATTGGATGTATTTGGTTGATGGCGTTGAAGTTGTTGGTTGTTATTTTTTTCTTTGATTCTGTGGATCAGTGAAGATCTAACTTTGTTGTAAGAATTGATGTGTTGAAGGTGTGAGAAAATGAGATTGATGTAGTAAAGACTTATTTGAGATGGTGTATATAACGTGTTACTGAATGATTTGATGATATTTGGATCTAAACTGTGGTTCTTTACGTAATGTTGTTGAATGAATTAGTTAATTGGTCTAATCTTAATAGAATATTTTATTATGAGTCTACTTTTTCTCTCTTTCTCTCTTTCTAATCGGAAATTCAAAATCAACAACAGAAAAAAGCTGGGGATTTGATTCTTTTTTGTGATTAATGTACAACACTAAAGTATGTAGAAATGATGAAATTTAGAATTATTGTAAAAGGGATAAGTATAGAAATTTATAAAAAGGAATAACTTCAGGTCTTTGCTGTTCTGTATCATGGAAAATATTAGGACTCTATTGTTTTTTTAAAGAAATGGTTCTGGTCTACAAGTTCTAATTCAACAAACAATATGTTACTTGTACTTAAATGTAGGTAGTATTAACACTTCTCATCTCTTATCTTATCTCTTCCATAATATAATGAGTTTTTGGTTGTGTTAAGAGTTATTAAAATTAGGGGGATTATATGATGAGATTAACGTATATCAATAGAGTTGCTCCTTAAATATGTTAATGGCTTCACACTATAAATTCATATAAGAATAAATAATCCACCACAGTTGAATTTCTTTTCTATTTATATTAAAACTTTCATGAGACCGGTTTAATTGATATAACACTAGAATTGGCTATCAATTCTTTTTGCAAATTTGGTGAGCCTCGATTAGTTGGGCCAGGCATTTGGTCGCTTCCGCCCTAAAATTTGCTCGCCAACGAAACTACCAAACCGCACCATTCTTGCATGAATCTCAATTTCATTCGACTTCTAATTATTTTTTCTCTCTTGCTTTACAATTTCAATACAAAATTTCAATGTTAGGCTATTCAAATTATTTGCCATTTCAATATTTGCAACACAACTAATAAAGATTCATCATAACAAACAAACAATAAAATTAAATTTAAATCAAATATACTATACCACAATAGTATGGATGAACAAATACCAACATTTTTAGCTGTAACAGGACAAGAAGATGAATCAATTGCAAAACAATTTTTAGAAGTTGCAGGAGGTGATTTAGAATTAGCTGTTACTTTATATATGGAATCAGGTGGCAATACAAATAATAATACTAATAATGGAAATAATAACGAATTTCAAGATGATGAATCTTATGCAAAACAATTACAAGAACAAGCATATGGAGGAAATGGAGATGATCAAGTTAGAGAAGCAGATACAAATATACATAGACATGAGACATTAATTGATTCATTTGGTGGATTTTCTGGTGGAATGCATACAATGAATAGACCTGTTGATATATTTGGACAAAGACAACAAGGAATATTTCATCAAAGTTTTAATTTCAATGATAGACTGATAAATTCTTATAATGCATATGATGATGAAGAAGAAGAGGAAGACGAAGAAGAAGATGAAGATGAATATTACGATTCACATAATAATAATAATAATAATAATGAACATGATATTGAAATACTAGATTCAGATGAGGAAGAAAATAATGATGATATAGAAGTAATAAGTAGTACAAGAAATAATGGTGGTAGAAGAAGGCGACTTAGACAAACAAGAAATTCAGAATTAACATCAACTCAAAGAAGATTAGCTAATTTATTTAGACCACCATTTGATATTATAAATGTTTTAAATTTAGATCAAGCTAAAAAATTAGGCAAGGAAGATAAAAAATGGATATTAATAAATATTCAAGATTCTTCAGAATTTCAATCACAAGTTTATAATAGAGATTTTTGGTCAAATTCAAGAATAAAACAAATTATAAAAGAAAATTTTATATTTTTACAATATCAAAAAGATTCATTTGATGGAGAAAATTATATAAATTTTTATCATGTTGATAAATTACCTCATTTAGCTATATTAGATCCTTTAACTGGTGAAAGAGTTTATAAATGGGAAGATGGTATAGTTCCAACAATTCAAAAATGGATTGATGAAATTTATAAATTTTTAGATGAATTTAGTTTAAATCCTCAATTTAATAATCCTTTAATTAAACATGAAAGAAAAATAGATCCTGATAGTTTAACAGAAGAACAACAAATTGAGTTAGCTATGAAACAAAGTGTAATGGATAATGGAAGTAGTACTAATAATGGAAGTTCAGCAGATAATGCAATTGATTTAGATAGTGATGAAGAAGAAGATGTTAGTGGAGTTCAAGATTTAGAAGAAGAAGACGATGAGGACGTAGACTCAGAACCAAAAGACCCATTTGATTCAATTAAACCAATAGATCATCCGGAATCAACAGAACAACCAATCACAAGAGTACAAATAAGATTCCCCAATGGTAAAAGATTAGTAAGAAAATTAAATTTACAAGAAAAACTAATAACATTATTTGAATGGTTAAAATATGTATTAGAAACAAACTCAAAAGATTATGGATTAGAACCCAAAGATAAATTTAAATTATCTGATAGTTCAAATAAATCATTTAAATTTATTGAAAATTTAGATAATACAATTGAAGGTTCAAATTTAAAAAATGCAAGTATTTTATTGGAAAAGGATTAATTAAAAAAAACTATTTATAGATTAGTCAATTGTTTATAGCATTAATTTTTTATTATAGGGATAAAAATTTATCAAGTGGTGGTATATTTTGCATAATAAATTTATTTTTTTCATCAATTTGATCATTATTTTGTTGTAGCACGGCTTTATATAATGTCCTTTCTTTTAATTCTTCTTCATTCATATCTTCTTCAACATCATATTCTTCATATAAGATTTCGTGTAATGATTTAGGTAAATATCTATAATTTTGAGTTTCTATATCTTCTTCATCGTCTGAAATTAATTCAAATTCTTCACCTGAAGTTATAGGAGATGATGAAGATGATTCTGAAGTAAAATCATTCAAATGTAATACTTCATTTTGATAATTTCCATCTTCATCAAATTCATCATCCAAATTAATTCCATTATTATAATAATGTGATCTTTTTTGAGCTATACTTGATCGTATTAAATTTAAATCATTATCTAATTCATCATTTTCTGGAGATATTTCTTCAGTATTAAATGCATCATGATATGTTCTTTTTATTGATTTTTGAATGTCTATTAGAGTGTTATTTTTTAGTATATCTTGTCGTATCATTGATAGTTCAATTTTATTTTTTGGGGTTTGGTTTGATTTATTCTTATTTGATGATGAATATTTTGAGTCTTTATCATTTTTAAAACAGTCTATTGAGTTTAAAGTTCGATAATAATAATCGTTATATGCGACTTGATTTTTAGTTGAATTAAGTAAATGATGGTCTTTATATAGTTCAGTCAATTTGTGATTTGTTTGATTCATTAAATCAGTTTTTGAATTTATTAAATTTGTATAATATTGTTTCCATATTATAACTGAATTACTTTTATAACTATTTTTTATTAATTGAGATTCATAATCTTTTGAGAAATTTATACTTCTTAATTCATCTCTATAAGGTTTAAAACATTCATTAAATGCAAAAGGAAATGGAATTTTACTTAAATTTTCATTTTCATTTTCATTATTATTATTATTATTTAATTTTTGATAAATTTCATTATTATCATATTTAAAAGTATTATCAAAATCAAAAGGACTTTGTAAATTTTGAAAAATTTCTTTTAATTCTTCTTCATATTCTTCAAGATTTAATAAATCAGGTTTATTTTTTAAAGTTCCATTTTTAATCATTATTAAATCTTCAGTATTTGTTAAAATATTATTTATTGTTTCAATTTCAAAATTATAAATTTTTAACCATGATTTATCATTATCTTGAGTTATTTTTATTGAGTTTTTTAATTTATCTATTATTGAATTAATTCTTGATATTCGATTCTTGATATATTTTTTTGATAAATTTTTAAATTCATTTTTAATTTTATCTTCAATTTCGTTTAATTGTTTTATTGGCATTGATTCAAAATCTTGATTCAAATCAATATCGGGTGATTCTTTTGTGCTGATGTTGATCTCATGATCATTTTGATTCGTCTCCGTTAATGACATGATCTTTAGAATTTAATGGTATGAATGAAATCCTAATTGGTTTTTTAATTATTTGATATTTTATATTTCACAACCATTTGTAAATTTAGGTGCAATTTGTTACTAAAATAATTATTTTGTATAAAGAACACTTGAAACCAATGCTACCATAAATACACTGGATAGCTACCATATGCTTTTGATAAGCCCACGCAACTTGAAGCAATTTTGGCAATAATATTCAGAGAAAAATTGCCGTCCTTCTAAATAACTGATCAACAACCTTCTTAAGTACCCGCTGAGATTATTACTCTGCACTAACCATAATTTCATACACTAATGTCTAATATCAACACTCCATTATTATAATTGTCGTAACAAATTTTACTACTTTAGTGTCATAACTTGAGTACCGTCACTAAGCTCACGTGACCGCGACCTTATTTTGTGTGTCAAATATTGAAGAAAAAAGAAGGATCAAAATAAAAAACGCGTATTAAACTAAATCAATGTTCTTTTTTTTTTGTTTTACAACCAAAACAAACACGTTACTTTCACCTTGAAATTCAACTTATCAGAATCAATAATGGCACCAGTTCAATTATCAAATGGGGTCTTAAGGAAAATATTTTCAAAAGATACCTATGAACAAGTACCGGGTCCAATCACATTACAAATAACTAATATGAAAGCATTAAATGTTAATGATGAATCGAAAAAATATAGAGTTATAGTAAGTGATGGCGTTTATTCATGTCATGGAATAATTGATGAAACATGTACTCAATATTTAGAAAATAACAATTGTACTAGATACAGTTACATTCAAGTTAATGACTTTCGTGCCACCGTACATATAAAATATTTTTTAGTAGTTAAAGAACTTGAAGTAGTTTCAACTTATGGCGAAAAACCAACAAATACATTAATTGCAGTTGATACTTATTTTACAAATCATCCCGAAGAAGCTTATGAACTTGTACAACCTAGAGAAGGAAGGGAAGAAAGTGAACCTCCAGTTGCACCTACTCATGCTTCAACTCCACCTGTTGCTCAATCTACTGCTCAACCTGCTATTCGTAACCCTTTCAATTCCGACTCTACTACCACCACCAAACAAGCCGGAGAACCAGCAATTAGAGTTTCGCCTATTGAAACATTATCACCATATCAAAATAATTGGACTATTAAAGCAAGAATTTCATATAAGGGGGATTTAAGATCATGGTCTAATGCTAAAGGGGAAGGTAAAGTTTTAAGTGTTAATTTTTTGGATGAATCTGATGAAATTAAAGCATCTGCATTTAATGACGTTGCAGAAAAAGTTCATAATCTTGTTGAAGAAGGGAAAGTTTATTATATATCGAAAGCAAAAGTTTCTGCTGCAAGAAAAAAATTTAATAATTTAACTCATCCATATGAATTACAATTAGATAAAGATACTACTATAAATGAATGTTTTGATGAATCAGATGTACCTAAATTAAATTTTAATTTTGTTAAATTAGATCAAATTCAAAATTTAGAACCAAATGCAATAATTGATGTTTTAGGTGCATTAAAATTGGTTAAAGAACCATTTCAAATTACTGCCAAATCTACAGGAAGAGCTTTTGAAAGAAGAGATATTACTATTGTTGATGAAACAGGATTTGCAATTGATGTTGGTCTTTGGAATAATACAGCAGTTGATTTTAATATTGAAGAAGGTACTGTTATTGCTTTTAAAGCTTGTAAAGTCACCGATTTCAATGGTAGAACATTGGGTTTAACTCAATCAGGTTCATTAATACCCAACCCAGGAACTCCTGAAAGTTATCAATTAAAAGGATGGTATGATAGTAAAGGTGTTAACGAAAACTATAAATCATTAAAAGCTGAAACAACTAGTGCTAAAGGATTAGACTTGGCAGCTCGTAAAACAATTGCTGAAGCCAATGAAGAATGTAGTCAATTGGAAGATAAACCGGCTTTCTTCACAATAAAAGGGACTTTCTCATATGCTAAACCCGAAAATTTTGCTTATCCAGCTTGTACGAATCAAGTAGCAGGTACTGACTCAAGTAGACCACCTTTAAATTGTAACAAAAAATTAGTTGATATGGGTGATGGCAGATATAGATGTGAAAAATGTGATATTGAATATGATGAACCAACTTGGCGTTATATTTTATATATTTCAGTTATTGATCAAACTGATCAAATGTGGCTTACATTATTTGATGAACATGCTCAAAAATTATTAGGTCTTGATGCAAATGAATTAATGAAATATAAAAATGAAGATTCAGTAAAAGTTGCTCAAATTATAGGAAGAGCTTATTGTAAAGAGTATAATTTTAGAGTTAAAGCAAGACAAGAATCATACAATGATACTTTAAAAACTCGTTTTCAATGCAATGGTTTAAGTGAATTAGATTTTAATGCTGAGTGTGATTTCTTATGTAATAAATTGAGCAGTATTTGAGTTTGTTTTTTTTTAGTTTTAGTTCTTCTTTTATAGTTAATGAATTTAAGTGTTAATACCCTCTTTATTCAATGATTAATAATCTACTAGCTTATTAATTTTCAACCAAAAATCTTTTAAAACATTATTAGCAATTCTTTGACCTCTTGTAAGTATTAATTTTCCAATAAATTGATTATATTCTTCTTTTGTAAGTTTGACTTTACCATTTTGAAAATTTTCCAATACTTCAGTTAACCATCTTTTGAGATCTATGGAATTTTTACTTATTAAAGTTCTAAATAATGGGTAGTAGTAATCCAAATTCGACCTAGCTGATAATATGAAAGCTACTGTTAGATGCTCAACCAATTGGAAACCTAAAGATTTACCATTAGTTTCGTCTACCATTAGACTTCTTATAAATTCTTGATCTTTTTGAGTACCCTTCCTCAAAACCAATAAAGTATTCCAAAATTTGACAGTTGATTTAATTATTGATGTTTCATTTTTACTGAATGAATTTATCGCGAACTGTAATACATGATTAAATAAATCCGATGAATAGATTAACAAACTTGGTTTCAAGTCAATAATTGAATGAAATACATCTAATGATGATTTGATTAAATCCTCATCTGATTGAATAGTTTGTGCAATGTCAAATACTACTTTAATTAATAATTCCTCAACTTGGACTTGTTCCAATTTTTTAAGGTTTGTTAATATGACACTAATGAGTAAGTTGTGAATACGATCAATGGAAGCTGGAGGGGATCTTAAAGCTTTTGCCATAATATATTGTATAATTAAATTCAAATCAAATGTGAATGGACCTGGTAAAGTTTCATTCAATCCTGATTTTAATATACTGCAACATTTTTCAGTAACTATTGTATTCTGACTTAAACTTGATGAATCTAATGAAAAAATTTTTAAAATTTCCAAAATATAACTTCGAATATTTAAAGGATCAGCTTGCCAATATGTTTTAAATTCTTCTAATTGTGTTATATTAAAATAATCTTCTACTTCTTCTGGTAGTTGACATGCTTTGCTAATTTCGTTAACACATGCTAACAAGCTAACCACATAATCTTCATTTGATCTCTCATCAGCTTGATCTTTCTGATGGATCACGAGATGTAAAATTGCAAATATTTTATCACCAAAATCACGTTGATTCTTTTGCGACCTAAGTATTGAAACATATGAAAAAGTTATACGTTCACGTATTAAACCATCTAGTGCTGGGTCTTTTAACATATTCAGCACAATTAGTTCTAATTGAGGTAAAAAGGGTATTAATTTTTGCTCAGTATTTTGACATATTTTAAATATTGTTTTTGAAGCAACTAAAGCTAAGTTGGAATTAGGATTTTTGTTTATTATATTAAATAGGAATTCAAAACTTGATGAAAGGTATTTATTTCCAACCTCTGATTTATAAAAGAATGGTAATATTGACATGAAGTTTAACAAACTTATTGTAATTTGTTGATCTCTAAAGTCATTATTAATTACATGTAACAATTTATTTTGAAATAAACTATCAAATTGATTGATCAAAGGTAGGTTTTTCGTCTCATCGTCATCATCATCATCATAAAATCTAATATCAACCGTAATTTTATGTAACAAATATATAGCTGCTTCCGAGACTATCAAATCTGTACCTATTGAATCACAAAGTGTGGCAAATAATGGTATACCTAAAATTGTATAAAATAATATAAATAAGTCGGAAACAATTGTACGATATCTGGAAAATTCTGATAGTGGTTCATCAGAATATCTCTGTATTTTTTCAAAATATATTACTGCCACTTCCATTAATATTGAATTTCGTCGATTATTATAATCCTCAATTAATTTTGAATTATTTTGTAACGTTTCCTTTCTCACATCTTCGTCATCAATTAAAGTGTTACAAAAGTCCTCCCAAAATGAGGCAAGACAATAACTTATATTCTCATCAATAAGTGGTCTACCTTTAGCATTTGTTATAGCAATGATTATTTTTATCGTTTCAAAATTTTTCTCATCAAGTAAATTCCTTGTCATGTGTATCATATTCGTCTCTAAAAAATTTACCAAAAGATTTACATAATTATCAACCTCCATTTTATATTCATCCAAAAAATCTTGACTTGAAAAGACTGTGTTAAAAAAGGACATGCCGAACCTATTTGGAGTAAAGAATACCTCTTCTACTTTGGATTTAAAAGGATTCATGACTCTTGGAATGTGATCGATGAATTCTGTTAAAACAGTAAAAGACTTATTATATAAATCCATCTTTTTAATATCAAACCCGTCCTCTAATTCTTTTAATGTAAATTGGATTAATAAATTCAAATCATTGGAATATCTTTGTTCAGATCTTGCTTCAGCTTTGGAAAAATAAACGACCCATGCGCTTAAACACTCCAACAGTAGTAGTAGTAGGTTATCGCTAAGATTTGAGTATTCATGTAACAAAAATGAGTATACTTCTTGAAGGTGTACAAATATGGTTTTATAAATTACTGAATGTAAATCTAATGAGAAAGTGATAAGTTTCTGAATTTCTTCAGATAAAATTTGAAGAAATAGAATTAGTATTTCCAATTGTTTGACATCATGCAAGGTTGATAAAAAGGTAGAAATAGTTTCATTTTCATTATGTTTTAGACATCGAATGAAAAGTAGAACACAATCAAATTCTTCAAAATGTTGGATATATAAGATTGATAAATTACTCATTAACTTCCTTATAATAAATGAATTAGCGTTGTAATTTTCTTCAATCAATTGCTCCAAAATATTCAGTATTTGTACGAACTTGGCAATGAAATCATCTGATCCATATGTATTCAAATAAACTGTAATAGTTAATGCTCCAAAATATCGAACTTGATTGTTCGGATTATGTAATAATTCAACGCCTAATTGAAAACTATATTCATTTTTTTGAAAAACTTGTAATTGTTCTTGAACTATCCTTACTTCTTCTGGGTTTCTTGTTGTATAAAGTAATTCTACGTGCTGAAAAATTTGATTGTTAGTCAAAACTTATATGATTTAGCTTTCTTTAAAATGAACATACTTTAATGACATCGTCGATATTCAATTGTGATGACATAAAATGTAGTCAAGTTAAATAGATTTTACCTTAAATCCATTAACTTCAATCAATCTGGTTGAAAGTAATTGACTTGAATCTTGTAGTTGCGAAATTTAATTCTTTGTGGTTGTAAAAAATTATTTTTGTAGACTTCTTAATTGGGAACTATATGACAAGAATGGATAAGTAATTAGACGAAAGTATGTGTATGACTCCAGTCGTGCAAAATTGTGACTTCTTTATAGCTGGTTCATAATTAGATGGATCAGATAAGCACCTTCAAGCTAATCTTTCTCATGCTGTTTAGAGAAGAAAGTGTCAGTCAGGAATGTATTCTTACGTTGAGTAAACTCAGTATGTTCATCTGTATTTCATACTTTTACTCAAACTAGTTGTTTGACTTACAGTGTGTCATATTCGTAATTTTGTTAACTTTTGATTATTTCTTTTTATACAGTATTTTTTTTTATCTAATTAATCAGTCCATTTAAAAATATTATAATATACGCTTACACGAATATCTCCTTACCAACTTATCCATCACATAAAAATCAATATACATCTTTATTATTAGATTATACTAGTTTATTAGATAATTAATAGAAGAATGTCTAGAGTATCAAGAGCTCAGTGTGCAAATTGTACATGTTCACCAGGTTTATTATCAAGAACTAATAGAAAATCATCATTATTCGCTAAAAGAATCAATCTTAATAGAATTAACAGTGGTTCAAAAGATGGTTTAAATGCTTCTAGAAAAAACTCCATTTTTACATTGGATGCATCATCATTATGTTTACCTGAAGCAAAAGAAGTTAATACTTCAAAAAGATTGGAAAGATTAAGACAAGAAATGGCTAAGAACGATTTAGGAATTTATATTGTACCAAGCGAAGACCAACATCAAAGTGAATATGTTAGTGCTTTTGATCAAAAAAGAAGTTTTATTAGTGGATTTAGTGGTAGTGCAGGAGTTGCTATAGTAACAAGAGATTTAAATAATATTAATGGAGATGATTTTACTCAAGGTACGGCTGCTTTATCTACTGATGGTAGATATTTCACTCAAGCATTGGATGAATTAGATTTTAATTGGATTTTATTGAAACAAGGAGCAAAAGATGAACCAAGTTGGGAAGAATGGACTATACAACAAGCATCACAATTAAGTTTGGATAGTGGTAAAAAAGTAAGAATTGGAATTGATCCAAAATTGATCACATATAAACAATATTTAAAATTTAATTCATTAATTGAAAAACAATCAGTCAAATCTCCAAAAGCTTCTATTGAATTTGTTCCTGTAGTTGATAATCTAGTGAATAAAATTTGGGAAGAATTCGAGTCATTACCTGCTTCAACGTTGGGAGAAATTAAACAATTGGATATAAGTTTTACTGGAAAAGATTCTAAAACCAAAATACAAGAGGTTAGAGATAAATTATTTAAAGATGATGTTGAAGGTGTTGTTATTACTTCATTAGATGAAATTGCTTGGTTACTAAATTTAAGAGGTTCTGATATACCTTCTAATCCTGTATTTTACAGTTTCATAGTATTGACAAAAACTCAGATTAAACTTTTCGTTGGTAAAGACAGACTATCTGAGCCTATAAGGAATGCTTTGGAAGATATCGGGATAACTATTGATGATTATAATCAATTTTATAATTACTTGAACACTATTTCTAAAGAATTCAGTTTGAAAAACAAGAAATTTTTTATACCAAATAATTCGAATTGGGAAGTTGTTAGAAATTTAAAATGTTCATTTGAAGAAGGCTTATCAACAGTTGAATCATTAAAAGCTATTAAAAATTCAACTGAATTACAAGGTGCTAAAATTGCTCATTTAAAAGATGGTAGAGCATTAATTAAATTTTTTGCTTGGTTAGAAAATGAATTAATAAATAATCAAGAAATGATTGATGAAGTAACAGCGGATGAAAAATTAACTGAATTTAGAAAGAAAGAAGATAATTTTGTTGGTTTATCATTTGATACAATAAGTGCTTCTGGTGCAAACGGAGCGATAATTCATTATAAACCTGTAAAAAGTTCTTCTTCAATGATAAATCCTAATAAGATCTATCTTAATGATTCAGGTTCTCAATTTTTAGAAGGAACAACAGACACAACAAGAACCATACATTTTGGAAAACCTACCAAAGAAGAGATTCGAAACTATACGTTAGTATTGAAAGGTAATATTGCTTTATCTACTTTAAAATTTCCAGAAGGTTCAACAGGTAATTTGATTGATTCAATAGCTAGACAATTTTTATGGAAATATGGATTAGATTATGGTCATGGTACAAGTCATGGAGTAGGAGCATATTTGAATGTTCATGAAGGACCTATTGGAATTGGACCAAGACCTAATGCAGCAATAAATCCATTACAAGTTGGGAATTTAATATCAAATGAACCAGGTTTTTATAAAGAAGATGATTATGGAATTAGAATTGAAAATGTAATGTTTATAAAAGATTCTCAATTAAAATATAATGGGAAACAATTCTTAGAATTTGAAACTGTTACAAAAGTTCCATTTTGTAAAAAATTAATTGATGTAAGTTTATTAACGAATGATGAAATTAAATGGATAAATGAATATCATTCAAGTATTTGGACTGAATTAAGTAGTAGTTTTGATAAAAATAGTTATACTTACAAGTGGTTAAGAAGAGAAACTGAACCTTTGAGTGTCTAGAAATAAATAGAAATGATATATGTATGTATGTGTGTATGTATGTTATTTATTTATCTTATTCGTTACTTCGTTAGCATGCAATATTAAAACCTCTACTCTTCAAACAATATTTGAATTTCTTCAATTCTTCTTTTTCTTCTTTCTTCTTCTTCAACTCCTACTGCTTCTCCAATTTGTTTTTTTCTTTCTTGAATTTTTAACATTTTTGTTTCAATACTATTTTCCATTATAAATCTAACAACTTTAACAGTTTCATTTTGACCAATTCTATGAATTCTATCAATAGCTTGATCTTCAATACTTGGACTCCACCAAGGATCCATCATGAAAGCTCTTGAAGCAGTAGTTAAATTTAATCCAACACCACCAGCTTTTAAACTTAATAATAATATAGCAATTTTACCATTTGATAAAGTTTCATTAAATGAATTTAATAATTTTGATCTTTCATTCATATTTAATCTACCATCAAATTTATAAACTATAAATTCATTTGATGTTAATTTTAATTCAACTTCTAAAATATCTAAATATGATGCAAATTGTGAAAATACAATTACTTTCAGATTAGGTGCTTGAGTTTGTAAAATATTAAGATGTTTAATTAATGCTTGAATTTTAGAACTTGTTCTATTTGGATCGTATAAGTATATTTGAAAATCATAATCTTTGTTGGTGGTAGATTGTGTATGAAATCTAATTTCATTACTTAAAACTTTTTGATTTCTTACTCTAAATAATTTGTATTTTGAAATTGGTTCACGACAGTTTGGACATAATTTCGGTCTATTTGAATCACTTTGAAAATCTAGATGTTCCAAAATACAAGAAATACAAAAAGTATGACCACATGGTGTTATTGTTAATTCACTTTGAGGAATTGGACTTGTTGTACAAATTGAACATTCATTCTCTTCTTTAATAACATCATAAAGTTTATACATTGTTTGTTTAACTTCTGTATCATTAAGAAATTGTTTACTTTGTTCTTTAACTGATTTTAAAAATTTTTTCATTTCTTCATCTGTTTCAAGATCAATTACATCATCATCCATTTCATGAGCACCACCAATCAAATCAACATGACAACAAACTTGTCTTAATCTTAAAATATGTGTTAAAATTTGAGTATACTGACGTAACAATTGACCTGACTTAACACCTTCAGAAAAAGATTCATAAGCTTTTGATTTGAACCATTGATATAATTTTGCTTCTTGATCATTGAATTTAATTTCTTCAATTACAACTTCTTTCTCAGGTAATTGAACTAATGGTTTACCATTTTTCTTTTGATTTTTAGTTCTTCTTAAAAATATTGGTTCTAAAATTGATTTGATTACATCTAATGTCTGTGATATTTTCTTTTGTTCAAATGGTAACGTAACAAAAGTTTTCCAATATGAAAAATTATTCCATGGGTCAAGCTCTAAATATTTTGCTAAAGAATATAAATCATCTAATCTATTGACTATTGGTGTTCCTGTTAAAACCCATTTTCTATTAGCCTCTAATTCATAAACTGATTTTGCTGTTTTGGTGTTTCTATTTCTGATATTATGACCTTCATCTAATATGATCCTAAAATATTTGACTGAATACAATCCTTGTTTTGGTAATTCTCCCTTTTGATTTCTATGCTTTGAAATTCTTGTATATTCATTAAGTACTGTTCCATATGTAGTAATTACCACGATTGGTATCTTTGATGTTTCATCCAAATTACATAACGTTCTTGAAAGATCGGATTCAGTTTGATCACCATAATACAAACGGCAAACGTGTTGAGTATTATTATTAGCTTTTTCAAACTCATCTTTCCATTGAGATAATAAGGACATGGGTACAACGATTAATGTTGTCTTTGATGCATATCTTTTTTTATTGTTATCTATATTTGTATCATATGGAACTGAATTAATTAACGCTAATGTTGCAATTGTTTTACCAAGACCCATTTCATCTGCCAATATTCCCCCTTTCACACTTGTTTTTATAATTGGTTCTTGAGTTGATAATTCTCCATTATATAAATTAGCATAAAAGTAATTATCAGATTGACCTTGAGTTGGTGCAATTTGAGTTTGTTGAATATCTTCTTGATTTACACCCATTATCGGCCATTTATATTTCCTCCAAAGGGGATTCATAACACCAGTTTCCTCAATACCTTTTTGAGTTTCAGCAGATAATTGATCTTCTCCTGAACATTGTTTCAAAACGTCGACTTCTTTCTCTCTGGCTAACATCCAAGACAATCCATGCTTTTGATACTCTCTCAAATCTAATTTGAAATTTGTTTCTGGTGGTTTTGTAGTTTCCGGTAAAGATTCCAACAATTTTGATTGATTATTAGCTTGATAAAATTGACGTAATTGGTCTAAATTGACTTCATCCACTGGTTCTTCGGATTCGGATTCTGCATCATCATCTACAATTTGAACATCATTTTCATTAATAGCATCATTTAGGACATTATCATCATCTATTTTTTGATCATTACTTAGTTTCAATGGTCTCAACTTTAACCTATCAAAAAGATTGGATATTGCAAATTGACGAAGTCTCAATGCTGCTTCACCTTCACTTTCAGTAGCAAAATTAAAGTTAGCTCCTGCTTTTTTCAAGTCAGGGTTTGCTATGGAGTCAATGTTTTTAACAAATCCTGTATCTTTTAAATATATTTCAATCTGAACGACAAATGAATCACCAGTTGACAATCTTCTCTTTGTAGTTTCTAGGACAATAACTTGAAATTCAGCAATATTCAAATCGATTAATGGACTGAATATTCTAGTTAAATCTTCAGGTAATCTACCAATTTCCCTATCATTCAAACATAATCTAATAATTGAACTTTTTTGCATGGTAGAGTTTCTTGGAATTAATCTTTTTACCGTGAGTTTTTCCTGATATTGTAGTGGTTTCATAGTTGGTCTTGTCGCCCATGCCTGAACATCTAAAGTTCCAATATATCTACTCCATGAATTTGCCTTCATCTCTTCTTTCATTGCTTCTGATGCTAAATGCAATCTTTTATTCAATTCTTTTAAGTCATCTGAATTTGATCTTTTCAAAGTTGAAATGGTTTTTGATGATTGGGAAGAATTTCTTTGTGTGGTAGTTGATTGTGATTTACTTTCATTATGATGACGCGTCAATTTATCCAAATCTGGTGGATTCGTGAATAATTCGTCAACCGCTCTTCTCACACTTTCTTGACTCGAGGAAAATCTATCATATAAATATCTTAAAATTACTGGTGATATGTCTCCAACTATTGATTTGATGTCACTTTCAAATTTTTTTAATGAAATGCTTTTATTAATAGGACGTGTTTCAGATTTTCGCATCTTCTTTTGACTATCATAGTTTTCATCATCATCCAGATTATCATCTTCATCTGGTACAAATAATGAACCTTCGCTAGTTGGTACTGGTTGTGATTCTTGATCTGTGTTATTTGTTTCTTCTTCAGGAACAAAGAATCTGGTTTTAGTGACTTGCATTCAAATAATAAATTATTGTATATGAAACGCTACTTGTAACCAATAAAAAGTTATATAAGTCATGTATTTTTGGTGTTTTGATAAAGTTGAAGTATGATAAAATAAATTAAATAATGTTGAAATAGATGTTAGCTCATCTATTAAAATGAAATCTGGTGTAAAAGCTAGAATTTCAATGGTGTTTCAAATATAAAACAATGATGGTTGCCTTTTTTGAAACAAAAATATGTGTCGCAAAAATTTAAATGTCCTGCAATTTAAATTTCTGACAAATATTTATTTGTGGACTTAATTCCTTGTCGTTTCCATGAATATTACCTAGAGTAAACTGTGAAAATTAATTGAGTGTCGAGAGTCCGATTGGATAACCTACAAAATAACGGCACTTCATGAGGTCTTCTTTGGATTTAGCAATTCGTTAGCTTCTTTTAAAGCAAAATATATATACATGAAATATTTAAGCGCTAATCATAATCTTAAATCTCTCTCTCGATTACTCTTTGACTCAATTGAAAAAAAAAAAGTTCGGTTTTAGATTTTCAAATCATTTTAGTTAATTATTAGAAATTCCGTTTTGATTTAAAAAGATTTAGGTATTACTAACTTTTTATTCAGTCTACAAATTAGTCATTATATTCCTTATATAAATATTCCATCGATATTAGGTGTCTAACAATTACCAAGAACTTTCTGAAAAGTACCTTTTTAATTTGAAATTGAATTCATACACTATTCCATTGACCAAAAAGCATTATGACTCAAACAAAATCACACAAGTCCAAAGACTTGAGCCACTTATTATCAGCTGAAGCTAAATCAAGACAAAACTCACCATTAAAAGATGCTTTCAAATATTATAAATTACCTGGAATGACATTCTTGGGTGGTGGTTTACCATTGTCAGACTATTTTCCTTTCAATAAAGTCACAGCAGATATCCCAACTCCATCTTTCACAAAAGGTATAGGTGAACCTTTAACTGAAGAAAGTAAGACAACTATTGAAGTGTTCAAAAAAGCTGATTTAAATACTCCAAACCAAGTTGAATTATCTAGATCTTTACAATATGGTTACACCGAAGGTCAGCCTGAAATTATTAGCTTTTTAAAAGAGCATACTGATGTTGTGCACAAAGTACCTTATGAAGATTGGGATTTAATTGCAAGTGTTGGTAATACCGAATCTTGGGATTCAACATTGAGAACATTTTGTACAAGAGGTGATTCCATTTTAGTTGAAGAATATTCTTTTTCATCGGCTTTAGAGACTGCAAATGGTCAAGGTATAAACACAGTTCCTGTAACTATGGATGAATATGGTATCATCCCAAGTGCATTAGAAAAATTACTAGCAAACTGGACTGGTAACAAACCAAGATTATTATATACAATTTCAACAGGTCAAAACCCAACAGGTTCTTCATTAAGTGCTGAAAGAAGAAAAGAAATTTATGAAATTGCTTGTAAGTATGATATAATAATAGTTGAAGATGAACCTTATTATTTCTTACAAATGGAAACATATACCAAGGATAAAGAAGCTAGAGAAGGAAAAACTGTTCATGGACATGAAGAATTTTTAAAAGCTTTGGTTCCATCTTTTATTTCACTCGATGTAGAAGGAAGAGTAATAAGATTAGATTCATTCTCAAAAGTTTTAGCTCCGGGATTAAGATTCGGTTGGATTGTTGGTCAACAAAAATTATTAGAAAGATATGTAAGATTACATGAAGTTTCAATACAATGTCCTTCAGGATTAACTCAATCTATGACAAATGCATTACTTCAAAGTTGGGGTCAATCAGGTTATTTGGATTGGTTAATTGGTTTGAGAGCAGAATATACACACAAAAGAGATGTTGCTATTGACTCATTAGAAGAATATTTTCCAAAAGAAGTTTGTTCATATGTACCACCGGTAGCAGGTATGTTCTTCACTGTTAATATAGACGTGTCTAAACATCCAAAATTTGAAGAATTGGGAGAAGATCCAATACAAATTGAATCATTGATTTATGAACAAGGAATAAAGCAAGGATCATTAATGATTCCAGGCTCATGGTTTAAATCAGAAGGTCAATCAACTCCACCTCAAAAAAATTTACCAACTAATCCTGCTCAAAAAACTCATGTTTTTTTTAGAGGTACTTATGCTGCTGTTCCATTAGATCAATTAGTTCTCGGATTACAGAAATTTGGTAAAGCTGTTAAAATTGAGTTTGATTTGGAGTAAATAGTAAATAAAATATTGAAAAGTTTGTAAGTATTTGAAACATTTGATGTTCATGATTGTCAATGTATTGATGAAATTTTATTTTTCGCGTTAGACACCTAATCATACAGAATATGATTGTAATTATTGTTATTAGCACAAAATATACTTGAGCTATAAGAACTCTTAGAATCTGAATCATACATACAACCGATGTTTATATAGCATGCAAATTTTGAAAATTCCATGGCTTGGCCATAGCAGTATGTAAAATATGTAATCCAGAGGAATGTGATTTTACAAAGTACTAACAATTATCAAGCTGAGAATAAACAAATAAAGTGTTACTCAGTTGCAATTAATCCAAAAGGTACAAGACTAGCTACTGGGGGTTTAGACGGGTGCATTAAAATATGGGATACAAACACTATAAACTCGTTCTTTAAAATACTGGAGTCTCCTCAAAATTTGAAGAAAACTAATGGCACGTTAAACCATGAAAGTACACCTGAGTTACCAGATAAATCATTACAAAGGCCAATGTGTTCTGTTTCAAGACATAATGGTGCGGTGACATCTCTCAAATTCTCACCTGATGGTCGTTGGCTAGCGAGTGGATCAGATGATAAATTGGTTTTAATTTGGGAGAAGGATAATACTCAAAGACCTAATTCTTTTGGAGTTGAACAAGAAGATTTGGAGCATTGGACAATTAGAAAAAGATTAGTAGCTCATGATAATGATGTTCAAGATATATGCTGGTCTCCTGATGGTAATTTATTAGTAACCGTGGGACTTGATAGATCAATTATCATTTGGAATGCTTTAACATTTGAAAAAATTAAAAGATATGATATTCATCAATCAATGGTAAAAGGGATTGTTTTCGACCCTGCAAATAAATATTTTGCAACAGCTTCAGATGATAGAACTGTTAGGATATTCAGATATCACAAAAAATTGAATGAATACAATAATTATGAATTTCAAATGGAACATGTTGTAACTGATCCTTTTAAAAAATCACCATTGACTTCATATTTTAGAAGAATGAGTTGGTCTCCCGATGGTCAGCATATAGCGGTACCTAATGCAACTAATGGACCTGTACCGTCAGTCGCAATTGTAAATAGAGGAAGTTGGGGATCTGATGTTTCATTGATAGGTCATGAAGCTCCTGTTGAAGTATGTTCTTTTTCTCCAACATTATTCCAATGCCCTAAAGAAGATAATTTCCAAACTATTTTGGCTACTGGTGGTCAAGATCGAGCTTTAGCAATATGGTCGACTTCTAAATCTAAACCTTTAGTTGTTTTAACAGATATAGTTGAGGGTGCAATAACTGACATATGTTGGATGCACGATGGAAGAACTTTATATTTCAGCAGCTTGGATGGATCCATAACTTGTATTCATTTTGAACATGAAGAATTGGGACAAGTTGTAAGTGAAGAATTAATTGATCAACAATTAAATAGATATGGTGCTGATAGGGAATCTACAATATTACCAGAGAGTGTAGAGCAGTTACGTTTAGAAGAAAATTCTAAGGATGCTAGAGCTTTGGCAATAAGAAAAATGATGTCAATGGAAGTTAAGAAATCTTCGACTTCAACACTTGAGACAAATCCGAAAGAACCAGAACCTATAGTAACAACAACACCTTCATTGAAACCTACAAAATCAATAGACGCAGCCAGACTACGTAAACAAACCATTACGATTACAAAATCAGGAAAGAAAAAAGTTGCTCCATTATTAGTATCATCATCACAACCTTCGATTATTACACCGCCATTACAATCGACCACAAAAAGGAAAAAATTACAACCTATCTCTAAGCTATCACAAACATCATACAATCTACCGAAAAATGGTCTTGCTACTGCTGTTTGTGGTATTAAAATAAGAGGATCAACGAATAACCTGGCAGTCGATGAAAATGTTATTAAAGATAATGATAATGACGATATAGGAAATACTACAAACGTAGATGACGTTCAATTATCAGAGTCGGCATTAAGAAGGCAAAGAAATAGGGAAAAGAGAAAATATTTAGAATCAAAATATCCAAGTTCCTTCAAATTTATAAGTAATTTACCTGAAACTTTATTTGCTAATAATGCCTTACAAAATATAGAAATTAAGAAAATTTATAAAGCATATGCTAATAATAAAGATATAACTACGGAGTTATCAACTGGTTCATCAATTGATTTTGATGAGGATTTGATGTTTTCTGTTGTCTTTGCCAAAACCAACTTCAAACAACCAGAAATTCCCGAATTAAATCAAGAATCAAAAGAACTTGTATCAACTATTGAAGTTAGAAATGGTAAACCTTGGCACGAAGATCCAAAACAAAAGGATCGAGATTTTGATGATCCAACTAAAGTCATTGTCTATACAAACGAAGATTCGAAACGTAAATTTACATTATTTTTCCCATTTAGAATCCAACAAATTTTACCAATAATTGATAATTCATTACTTAGATATTACGTATTATGTTCATTCAATGGAAGTTTACAAATTGTATCTGCAAATACGGGTAAATTATTTTGTCCCACGATTGAGATATTTGAAAATGTCATATTTATGAAATACTATAATTCAAATTTAGTGATAATGACAGCTTCGGGTTTGATATATGGGTGGAGATTTACGAATAACTGCTTGAAAGTATACATGAATAAAATCTCAATTGCTACAGTTTTAAACTTGATTGAGATCGATCGGAATGTCACAAAATTAGTAACTCCTAATGTGAAATCAATTGAATTAGCTGATGATGGGACTCCTTTTGTTTTGACTGACGTTAGTAATGATATTTACAAATATTCAATAGAATTAAGTTGTTGGGTGAAAGTAGTTGATTCTTGGTATTATAATGTCAATACAGATATTACAAACTCGGAAAATTTTAAAAGAATCTTTCTTAAGTCAAAATCAAGTTTTGAAAAAGAAAAATTACTCAATAAAATCAACACATATAGCTTTGAAAATCCAAATAATATATTAAAAAAAGTAATGATTGAAAGAAATCAAGAAATGATTGAAATGATATAGATTCAATACACAATATATACAATGTAATTATTTAATCTCTTTTACTTTGGTTGATTCCTCATCTTTGCTTGGTGCAATTGGTTTAGAAATTGAATTTTCAAATGGAAATTTAATAAGAAATACTAAATTATCTAAAACATAATTAACACAAAACATCCAACAAGTTAATCCAATTATACCACTTTTAAAAAATGGTAATGCTAATATCCATTCTAAATAATTAGGAAAAATACCAGTTCTTAAATAAAATAATGCATTTTTCCTACAAAATATTCTTAAAAACCAAATCGGTATTGTTGTAATGATAGTAATTGCAATTTTAGTTATATTATCAATTGATGATTTTTCTAATGAATTTATTTCTTGTAATTTAATTAATTCTTGTTTCAATTTGTCTATTGATCTATTAATTTTGGTCCATTTGGCGTATTCATCTTGAGCACTTATAGATTTTTGTTGTTTAATCAATTGAGATAATTCATGTTGTTTTGTTGTATATTCTTTAAATGATGAATTTTTATTTACATGAGTGAAATAAAAATTTGAGATATGATTTTGAATTGTTTGTTTGCCTATAATTGAAACTATTTTTTGTAGAAATAATACTACTATTGATATAAGTATTATATTATATGGATCAATATCAATGGAAAACATTGTTGATATTATAGTAGAATTGATCTAGGATGATAATAATAATTTTCAATCTTAGAAAAATATAGAGGTGAATATCGCACTTTAAATTTTCAGACACAATCATTGTTTTTGCGACACTCGATCAAAAATGAAAACAATAAGGCCACTCAATTGGTACTTCACTTGTGGCTAGATTGATAAAACTAAAAAGTCATAATTCTTCTTCAGTTTTTGATTTTTATACAATTCATCTTGTCTTTATAATACTTATTTGATTCACCAACCAATTCAAGGTCAATTAGATCTTCTTTATTGAATAAACTAGTCTATTTCATTGTAATTTTTAATCTTTAAATTTAACTCGAAGTAAAAGAAGAAAAAAAAAAAATTAAAGAATCATCACCAGAAAAACAAAAGAATTAGAATTTAATAAATATTACAACCCTTTAGTTAAATATTTTAATCATATATCACTGAATTTACAATCAATCAATCGTTTAGAGAAATTCGATACTATTTTTCTCATTCTTATCTAGTATATCAATTTCAAAAAATCAACACATCATATCAAATAATACTACACTTTACATAGAGTCAGATTAACACTACATATCAACGAAAAAAATAAAAAAATTAGTAAATACGAATAATATTCAAAACTGATAAGTAAAATATCAAATTTACATAAAACAATTAACTCATTCATTAAACGATTAACGAAAAATACACAACCAAATTAGATTTGAGCTAAATTACAGTAGAAAATTTTATTTCATAGCATTCACACCAATTTTTGATACTTAATCTTACTTGACATTCATCAGTACTCAATCTTTTTCATAAAATAATAGTAACACTATTGGAGCCTATATTATAACCCATACAATATGCCTAGTGATCCGGAAGACGATTATACTCCTTGGATCCAACAATTCTGTGAATTATTCGGACATGATTATTTTGTACAAGTATCTCAAGATTTTATTGAAGATGATTTTAATCTAACAGGATTATCCCTGCAAGTTCCATTTTATAGAGAAGCATTATATACAATCTTAGATTATCAAGTCGAGACAGCAGAAGATCATACAAATACCACTACAACCACTACGACAACAACCAATAATAACAACAACAATAGCAATAACAACAATAACATAAACAACAATAATAATAACAGTAAATCCAAATCATCTAGCACATCTGAATTACCAAACAAATCATTACTAGCACATCTGGCGGAATTACTATACGGTTTGATACATGCTCGATATATAGTGTCTAAACAAGGACTAACGGCAATGGCTTCAAAATTTGAAAAAAATGATTTTGGTTCATGTCCAAGATATTTTTGTGATGGAATGCATTTAATACCTGTTGGATCAACTGATATACCGGGTCAAGAGACTGTAAGATTATATTGTCCTTGTTGTAATGATATATATATACCTTCAAGTTCAAGATATTTAAATATAGATGGTGCATTTTTTGGTACTACTTTTCCTGGATTATTAGTAAAAATGTTTCCTGAAATAGAAAATCAATGTAGAATTAGAATACAGAAATTTAGTCAGAATGATTTTGGATTAAAATTATTTGGTTTTAAAATAAATGAATTAAGTTCAACTGGTCCTAGAATGAAATGGTTAAGAACACATCCTAAAACAATTGAAGAGAAAAAAGAATATGATTATTGTGAATATAGTGTACCAAAACTAACGTATTCGGATGATGATGGAGAGGAAGAGGATGATGATGAAGATGAAGATATGGATGAAGATGACGAAGAAGAACTAGAAGAAGATGATGATAAAACAATGGCAAGCGAATGATAATTGCATAAAGAATTAAAAATAACATTACCAAAATTTCGAAATGAGTAAACAATAAAATTTGAGTCAAAGTTTCAAATATAATATTAATTTATGATCTTAGGTTAAGTTTATAGAGTTTTAAGATTTCATAAGTATAATAATAATGTTCATTAATTGATTAAAATCATTTTGTTTTAATGAGTAAGATGAACAGGTTTACCTGGTTCCCAATCTTTTATACCATTTTGAATATTTACCCAATATTTTAATTTTATAGCATCAATTATTAATTCATCCCAATTAATTGGAGATTTTTTAAGTTCTTTTTCAATTTTATTACAACTTTCTTCGATTCTTTCATCATTTTCAATTTCTAAATTTTCTAATTCTTTTTCCAGTTCACTTAATTCTAATTGTTCATGAGCTTCCATTACTTGTAATAACATATTTTTATAAATTAATGAATTTTCAGGACTTGAATTTTGAAAATCTGATATATATTTTTTAGAAATTGAATCATCTTGAATATCCTTTCCAGTTTTTAATTTAATTATATGAGCTAATCTTAAATAAGGATTTCTTAAATTTGTAAATGCCTTGTTTATATTTGTTGAACTTACAGCTTCAGATGTCTTATCTGGATGATTTATACTCTGTAGAGTTCTATATTCTTTTCTTAATTGTTTTTCATTTATTTGAAATGAATCTTTTGGTGGTCCTGCGTTGGGAAATGATTTTGGAAATAATTCAAAATATGATTGTGGTACTGATGTAGAATTGAATCTAATTGAGCCGACTGTGATTTGTTTTAAAACTGGCCTTAATAGTAGCCTTCTATGAATCATGATCTAAGTATTGATTTTAAAAATAAAAAAATATGGGGGTGGAATTCGATCGGTGGAAGAAAAATAATTAAATTGTTTTAAATTTGCAACTATTAGTAATTCAATTTGTTACATCATCATATGTTTAAGAAAAGAGTAGTTAAAGATCCTACTTCAACAAAACGAAAATTATTTGATACAAACAACGATGATAAGGAGGTAACAGAAGGATTCAACACAACTTATGATAAGGAGATACCGAACTCAAAAAAGTCAAAACTATCCACTACAAATTCATCATCATCATCCCATACAACGAAAAAACCATCATCATCCATACTATCCCAGATCGAACTTAATCAAACAACCTCAGAAAAACTCAAGACCAATGAAGACAAATCAACTACAGAAATAATCAAATCCAATCCCGAAACTAAAACTCCACAAAATATAAAATTAACAACAATTACTGATTTTCAACCAGATGTATGTAAAGATTTTCAACAAACTGGATATTGTGGGTATGGAGATACATGTAAATTCTTACATATAAGAAATGAATCTAAACAAAAAATACCTATAAAAAAGGATTGGGAAAATGTTATAAATGAAAATGAAACAAAGCTGCTGATTAAAAAATCAAAGACTTCCAAAATTAATAATGATTTACAGCCTTTCAAATGTGTTTTATGTAAACAAGATTATAAAAATCCAATTAAAACTAAATGTAATCATTTATTTTGTTCTTCTTGTTTTATGAAAAGGTATAAGTCGGAAAAAAAACTGAAATGTTTTATATGTGGTGAAGATGTTGATGGAATAATGATACCTGTTAATCAAAAAGAGTTGGATAAATTGATAAATGGAGAGTAGACTTGTTTCTATGTATGTATAAGATATGACCTTAATGAATGTCAAATGATGTCTCTACGACCGGTTATAAAATCATTTGGATCTAAGCCGCATCGACTTGCTACACAAAACTTTATGCGTTTAATTCTGAGTTATATTTAGAAGTTATGATATAGCAAACGATGAAAAGTTAACAAACCTTCGAATGGTAACCTATAGAAAATAAAGCCAACCAGATCGAAAAGCTTATGTTGATTCTATTCGTATCAGCCGTACACTAAATTTTTAAAGACAATTCGTCATCACTTATTTGCTATCATTCCATCTCACTACATTTAAAAAATGTCTCAATTTCAAGAACAATTAGAAAATATTCCTGGATATGGAATTGCAATGGATAAATTTAATGAATATGCTGAAGATCATTGGAATGTAGGAGTTGATCCATATTATGATAAAAAAACTGGTAAAAAATTAAAATTACCAAAAGATATAACTACAAAAGATGAACAAAAATGTTGGAATAAAATTCAATCATTAGCTTGGCAACATGATAAATGTATGTTAGGAAGTTGTGGAATTGGAATGGATTGTGGATTAGGTTTAGTACCATTTGTTGTGTTTTTTTTTCCAGTATTAGGACCATTAGTAATGTATGCAATGCATTCAAGATTAATTGCAATAGCTGAAAAACAATTTAATTTACCAAATAAATTACAAGCTCAATTACAATCTAATATTGGATTTGATTTATTAATTACTTTTCCACCAGTTATAGGTAGCTTTTTTGGTTGGTTACATAGTTGTTCTACAAGAAATGCAGGATTAATATATGCGTATATTGATAAAATGGCAAAACAAAGAGCAGAAAGTGGTATGACTTACGGAGGTAGAGGTGTTACTGCTGGTAATGCTGGATTGAATCAACAACATTTTGGACATGCTAATCAATTTCAACAACCAACTCAGCAACCACAACAAACACAACAATCACAGCAACATGCAAGAAATGTACAATACTCACAACCACAACAACCTCAACCAGCTTATAAACAACAGAAACAACTGACATTTACAGCATTTCAAAAACTGAAAAATCCTCGAGCGAATGTAAATAATACTATTGAAGTTGGTCAACAACAACAATCTGGATTTATATAGAAAATACTATTAAATGAATAAAGTAAGATCCTGATTTTGATTATTATATCTAGTTTTGGTACATGTATTAATGAGAAAATACTACATGTGATGCTTTTGATTTTACAATTACCTATTTAGATGTAAACGTATTTTTTCTTAGGTACTTCTGGGATTGGAATTTCATTGAGCGACTCGCTAATTAAATCAACAGTACCAAGCAAGTAGCATCGAACTATTTAGTTCATTCTGTTAAGCAATCTTGAATCTTGAGAGGTCAATTCGTGATGATAGTTAGAATCTAAATTGTGTTTCAAAACTCGAGTTTAACCTAAAGGTACTATTTGATTTCTTTTTGGTAGCAACGTATTCCTCGTTGTTAGAAAACGAGACCAGAAGTGCGTGCGATTAAAATAGTGACAGTTAACTTATTTATTAACTGATATTGATAGAAAGACTTAATTAACTATTAACTTATTTCTTATCATTTTGATAATGTTTTCAACTATTTTATATTATTCTTTAACTATTCAAGTAGTATTATGTACTCCTTGAATTATATTTCTCCAATTTATCTGTAAGATCTAAATTCATATCATTCATATTCATATTTCATTTTGTGTCATTAATGGATTTTCAACACTTCCCTTTTTGTCTAGATTATCATGAAAGACAAATTCATGTAAATCCATTTGAATTAAATATAATAGTTCTTGATATGAATCTTTTTGTAATAATCTTGTTTTCAAATCTTCAAATTGAGTTTTGCCCATTGCTTTAGTAAAAATATCAGCTAAATTTTCTTTCGATGGAATCCAAATTACTTTTAATATTTTCAAATCTAATACTAAATCTTTTATATAACTTAGATTTGTATCTATAATTTTCTTTGAATGTCTAGCATTAATATTATTTGAGTTTTGAGCTACTACTGAATTATCAGTTCTTGCAATACAATCTTTTACATTACATTCCAATGATATTAAAAATTTTCTAATATTTATAGCTTCTTCAACTGCAAGTGTTAAACTATGCATTTCAGCAGCAGCAGTACTAAGTTCTGTAATTCTTTGTTTCTTTGAATTCCATGATATTAAATTTTTATCAATATATATTATTTTTCCTGATACTGAATGTCTATCACTTTTTGGTGCAAAACTTGCATCTGCAAATATTTCAATTTCTGAGTTTAATAATTTATCAGTATAAACATGATCTCTTTTAATATATTCAATTCCAAAATCAATTGTATGATTTATATATTTCAAACAATAATATGCATTGTCCAAATCTTTTATGGTTGGATTACAACCTTTTGATGCTAATACGAATACAGCAAAACATATATCTGGTCTAGTATTGTTTGCTGCCCATAATAATGATCCTGTTATAGATTGATATTTTCTTTTATCATAATCATTTAATAAATTTGTATCTTGCTCTTTTTCATAAAATACGGAAACTTTACTTCCCTTCACCTTTTCATTATCTTTAATTATAGGTATATATTTCTTATCAAGATGTTTAACATCACAATTATTAATTAATTCTTGTAAAAACTTAGGTTGATGTATTCTAATTTTATTATTTGTATGTTCAAATTGAATACCTAAGAATTCTGAAATTAATCCTAAGTCTTTAAATTCAACAAAATTCTTTAAATTACTTGTAAAATTATTATAAATTTTATCATTTGAATATACTGTAAATATATCATCCACATAAATTGAAATTATTATTATTTCATTATTTTCTTCCCTTAAGAATACTGTTTGATTAACATCAACAATTTTAAATTTTAATTCTTCAATTAATATTTTACTTAACATTTTATACCAACACCAACCCAGCTGTCTTAAGCCATATACAGCCTTTTTCAATTTCCAACAATAATTTGGTCTGATGGAAACTCCAATTGGTGCATACATATAAATATCTTCTGGGCTTGTAATTTTTGAATTTAAATAAGCACATTTTATATCTAAATGATTTATTTTATAATCTTTATTAATTGCTAAGTTTAATAATATTCTTATATTAGTTAAAGTAGTAACTGGAGCATATAGTTCTGTCCAATCAAATTCATGATTTGCTCTCTGTGTAAATCCTCTAGCAACTAATCTTGATTTATATTTCATTTTCTTCAATGAATCATTTTTAATGGTATTTACCCATCTACATGTAAGTATTTTCTTATTAGTTGGAATTGGTACTTCTTCATATACTTCTAGATTTTTAAATCTATCTAATTCTTCTTGTCTTGCATCAATCCAACATTTATCATTAAAATTTATTTTATCAGCAATTGTATATATTTGTTCAATATACATTTCATCTTCATATTTTTCTGGTGTTTTTATTTTTCTTCCTGATCTAGTTATATATTGTTCAGAATGCATTTTTGGCGTATGAAAATCTCGTGGATTATAAGTCTTCTTTTTAGACTTGCTACTACTCTTTTGTCTCTTCGCAGCTTGCTCCATACTTTTTTGACTTATATCTGAACATTTTTCATCTTCTTCAATCTCTGACTTTATAGGACGTATCCCTGCCTCACCCGTAGAAGGTTGATCATTCTGAATATGCTCTCCATTAGATTTCCTATTATCTTCATTACTGGTATTTATATCATTATTGATATTTGATTTATTTATATCAATTTCCATATTATCTAAATTTTTCTGATTACTCAATGTAACCTCATTATTTTCTATACCATTAATTATCTCCCTCTGAAAATCATGAGTTGGAGTTGAGATAATATTATCATCTAATGGTGGTACCTGAGTCAAATCAGCTGATGATGCTAAAGGCGCTTCAGTTTCATAGTCACTAGATCGTAATGTAGATTATGTAATATAATTCTTCAATATGTTTAGTGTCATGAAAGTTTCCTTTAATTGGTCCAACATATAAATTATTTTCTTTCTTTGCAACTGGTATTACAGGATGTGTGCGGTACGGATGTGTGCGGTACGGATGTGTGCGGTACGGATGTCCATAATATAAAGATATGTATCAGTTATTAAAATTAAAAGTTTTTGACTAGTTAGTTGTGATATTGATACTATATTTACTCCAACTTCTGGTATGTAATAAACATTAGGTAACTTTATTGTATAATCATTAATTTTGATATTTAATGTACCAGATAATTTTGATATAAGTTCCAAATTACCAAATTTAAACTTTTTCTCTTCAGTTTTTTCTAATTTTTGAACAATCTCTTTATTTGATATCACTGAACTACTTGCACCTGAATCATATATTATATTATCTTCACTTGACTCATTTGTTGGTAAAAGAAACATTTCATGAATTTTATTTCATTGATTTTTATGTTCCATAGATTTAGTTAATGATGAAACATTTTTAGCTAACTCTTTGATATTTTCATTAACTTCAGCATTAACATCTCTTTTATTTTTATCGTATTCATTTGATCTTGAATGTTGAAAAACTTTTGAGACATTAGGATGAATTGTTTTTTGATTATATGACGATTTACGATTTGATTGTTTTTGATTTCTTCTATTATTGATATTAGTCGGTTTTGTAATTTTATTCGTATTTGTATCAGATGTCATATTTTTTCTTCTATATTTTGAAGCTGTTGATTTTATATAATCAATACATTCTGTGTGATCTAATCTTTTGGGAGTAAATTGAACATCATTTTTCACTATGGTTAAAAACTCATCAATATTTGGAATTTCTGTAGTTTTATCTTGTTCCCAATTTTTAAAATATGAAACTAATTTTTTACAAAATAATTTATTGAAATCATGATTAATTGCAGTTTGATATGTATCAGTAAAATTTCCACTGATTTGTCCTTTATTTAAATATAACACAAATTTAATTAATTCATCTGTTTTAGCTAATTCTTCAAATTTTCTTCTTCTTTCAGTAAATACTTCATAATCAATTGAATTAAGCTTTATAGCTACAGCCTGTGCTAACCTATCATTTATAGCATTAGATAAATTAGGATCAACATATGTATCTAAATATTCCCATATAACTTTTAAATTTATTTCATCTCGATTAGGAAATTCATCATGTATTGATAATAATTTTCCATCTTGTAAATTAATACTTAATTTTTCATCAAATTTTTCAATTAAATAAACTATTTGATCTGGATTTTTGAAATGAATTAATCTTATTTTATCTATCTCAGGATCAAACTCATTTGGTGTTGTAATTGCTTTTTTAAGACCGCCATAATGATCAAATATTTTCATCATTATTGATTTCCATTTGATTATACTTTCACCATCTCTTATATTCAAAGCTGGTTGATCATTAATAAAATGTTTATTGAGATCTTCACATTCTTCATTTACCCAATCTCTTGCTGCTTGTATAAACTTGAAATTATCAGCAATTTCTGAATAATCATTATCTTTCGAATAAACTCTATATTCGTTTTTACTTATTCTTTCTTTCTCATGTCTTTTTGAACTACTTTCTGTATTTTCAACTGATGGACTTCTTTCTTGTTGTCTGGAACTTGATTCTTGTAATCTTGAATTTGATTCTTCCAAAGGTTCTTCATCAATTGTTCCTGAATAAAAATATTTGTTTAATGATTCTCGTGTAGAATCTTTTTGTGCTGATTCTTGATAACTCATTTTTGAATTATAATTTTATCAATGAATATTTTTGAAAATTCTCAATTGAATATAACTATCAACTATGAAATACTTGATTAACTTATCACTATCTGCGAAATGGTTATCGCTTTTGACTTCTAATCTGTTAGAAAACGAGACCAGAAGTGCGTGCGATTAAAATAGTGACAGTTAACTTATTTATTAACTGATATTGATAGAAAGACTTAATTAACTATTAACTTATTTCTTATCATTTTGATAATGTTTTCAACTATTTTATATTATTCTTTAACTATTCAAGTAGTATTATGTACTCCTTGAATTATATTTCTCCAATTTATCTGTAAGATCTAAATTCATATCATTCATATTCATATTTCATTTTGTGTCATTAATGGATTTTCAACACTCGTGTGTTTCAAATTTCTATTATCTTGATTTATTTTTTGACAAGAAGTTGTGTTGCCAAATTTTAAGTAAGATTCATAAAACGGTCATAAAACGGTCACCTAAATATTCCCCTTTTCCAACAACCACCAGCACATAAAATGTATGAAAGACCAGAAGGAATAGAGAATTGTCGAATTTGGATTGATGGATGTTTTGATTTTGCACATCATGGTATGTTAAGAAATTCAAAAGAAAATTGCACGGCTTATCAAAAAATCAAAATCAATTGATCACTAACTAAACTGAAATTTTATAGGACATGCAGGAGCAATGTTACAAGCTCGTCAATTAGGTAAAGAATTATATGTTGGAGTTCATTCAGATGAAGAAATTTTAAAAAATAAAGGACCAACAGTAATGAATCTTGAAGAAAGAATTACAGCAGTAACAGCATGTAAATGGTCAACAAAAACAATACCTAATGCTCCATATGTTACTGATCCCAAAATAATGGAAGAACACGGATGTCCTTATGTTGTACATGGAGATGATATAACAACTGATGCAAATGGAGAAGATTGTTATCAAATTGTAAAAGATTTAGGAAAATTTGTTGTTGTTAAAAGAACTCCAAATATAAGTACAACTGATTTAGTTGGTAGAATGTTATTAATGACAAAAACTCATCATTATAAAGATTTAAATAAAAATTGGAAAGATTTATTAAGTGAAGATAATTTAATTAGATTTAAAAATTATTCAACTGATGAAACTGGATTAAATAAAGGTTCTGGAGTTTATTTAAATATTCCAGATGAATCAGAATTGAAAACTATAGTTGAACCAAATTTTAATTTAAAAGATCAAAAATTAGTTTATATAGATGGAGGATTTGATTTATTTCATCCAGGTCATATAGAAATTTTAAAATTAGTTTTTGAAAAAGCTAAAACCGCAAATGCAAAAGTTATAGTTGGTATACATGATGATTTAACAATAAATAAATATAAAGGTTTAAATTATCCAATAATGAATATTTTTGAAAGATCTTTATGTGTATTACAATGTCGTTATGTTAATGGAGGTATAATATTAAATGCTCCTTATAAACCAACAAAAGAATTTCTAGATAAAATTGGTAATGTTATAAAAGTTTATCATGGACCAACTGAATTAGCTAAGGGGGTATATGAAGATATTGATTTATTAGAAAATATTCCAAAACATAAATTTGATAATATGAATACTGAATTTATTGTAAATAGAGTATTAAATAATAAAGCTGCTTATGAAGAAAGACAAAAGAAAAAAGGTTGGAAATCTGAAGTTGAAAAGGTTTTAAAAAGTAAAGAAGCAAGAGATGTTTAGATGTTTAAAGGAGGTTATAGAAAATAAGTGAGTTAACGACAGTATGTACAGAAAAAGATCAAGAAGATTTAAGTCAATGCAAGATAATTAAATAATGTCAGTTTCTGATGTTTACCTCCGGCATTAGTTTGTATTATTGGTTCAATAGGTAATAGATCATAATAGTTAATAAATAATTTGAACAATTTAGTATTTTTTTCAAGAATAAGAAATCATATATTTATTTACAAATGTAATTCAATTTATACAATAAATAAAACCATATCTTCATCAATCTCATCATCTCATCATCTCATCACACATAAATAGCATCTCACATAACTCACTCATGAATTTTCATCAACATACATTTAAGTTCTAATAACTCCTCTAAAATCTAGAATCAATTGCATCATTTAATCTATTAAATTTCATTTCATTTAAATCATGATTTGAATTTCTTCTACCATTACCTACAGAATTTCCATTATTAAAACTATTAAAATTATTATTATTTTTATTTGATTTTAAATCAATTTCATCACCTGGTTGACCCCAATTATTTTTTCCAGCACCATTTTTTTTAATTTTTGTTGGATTTGTATTTGAATAACCATTATGAGTAAACCATTTTGATTCTTGTGGTGATTTTTCATGAATTCCCCATTTTTTAGTTTTTGACATCTTTTTTTGTTGTTGTAAGTTTTATTTTTATGTTTATTAGTAGTTTAGTTTATTCTAGATCTAAAGTGGTTGTATAAATAGATTAATTGAATATATCAATTGATAAATCTATAGTATAAAAAAATAAAAATGAAAATTAAAAAGGGTTGTAAAATGTGTAAATCAACTTAAAACAGGGATATTTTTGGTTGTATTTATAGTTTTCTACTTAGTAAATTTAGGGGTTAACAATTTTTAATAAGGAGAGTAAATAAAAATTATAAAGATAAGAAAAATAAAATAATAATTGAATCCACTTATTTTTATAGAAAGGAGTAGAATTTTATATTTAGAACATTTCTTAATGATGTAATTGAAACTGATAAGAACACAACTTAAGTAGTGGCGTTATATAGATTTTGTTTAATGTTGACTCAAAGAATTAAATATAGAGCGGAAGAATGACCTGATGACTTTAGTTGATTACACATAAATGAAACATCAAAAAAGTTAGTGAGATTAATAATATTTAATGCAGAATCAATAAAGTGAAGTACTCAGAAAAAAAATGTATTTACAACGACCACAGACCAAATGATGTAAGAAATTTAAATCTCACAATGTCCAAAATACTTGTAGTAATACGATCTGAAATTAAAATTGGATCAAATCTAATTACAATGTAAGTTACAGCTGAAAGCTAAAACACTGAAACCAGTAAAGAGTCTTTATTTTGTTGAGTTTGATTCAACAATTTTTAAATGATACCCTGTTTGTTGTTCAAACAAAAATTAAAAAATGTGGGGAAAAAGTCACGCGACTAAAACATTAATTTTGTGTAATATTCTCTTACATTTTGTAACTTGAATGATCTTAAGTACTAATTAGGAAACTTGGTTGTTTATATACCTTACAAACTAAACAAAGAGTTAATCCAGCAAATGATTACGTTTGGCCCTTCGCTGAAAGAATTAGATAAAAACACGAATTAGTTGCTTTGTACATTGAATGAAAATTTAGGCTTCTTGTCACAGCTTCGATTTGTTGTTAATTTTTTGCAAGATAATTAGCGTAAGCACAATCATAATAGGTCTAGTGTCCTATAGTCATTACAAACTGTTTTCTACTTGACACTGTTTAGCTCCTGATCTGTTAATATGGTCAATTTTTGGATCAATCTCCCTACAATGCATTTTAATAGATCAGATCTTGAGATCGAGAGCCTAATTGTGTTATGTCAAACAGCCACTGGTCAAATTTTTTGCAGCCATAACCAAAAAAACAAAAATCGAAAGTTCCAAAATAAAATAGTAATCTCGATTTGTTTCAATACCAACCATTGTTTTAATCTCAAATAAAGAACAGTCTAAACTTTAGAATAAATCATAATTATTGAAAAAGGAGATAAAATGATATTATTAACAACAACAACTTTTCTTTTCATACTTTTATTTACCAAATTATCAATTTCAAATAAGGCACCAAAAATCAAGAAAAATCCTCAAAATATAGTTGCCATTGCAGATTTTCCTTTTGGTGGTAATAGAGAAATTCAAGGAAATATAGTTTTCACAACTCGTGGTAAATATGTAAATGTTCATGTTGATATGACTGGGTTTCCCAAGGATTCAGGTCCATTTTATTATCATATTCATGAAAGATCAGTACCTGAAAATGGTAATTGTGAAGCTTGTGGATTACATTTTAATCCATATCATGCAGATACTAATTGTTTAGATCAAAAACATGATGGTTATTGTCAAATAGGAGATTTAAGTGGTAAACATGGATTAATTAATTCAACATGTTTTGAATTTAAATTTACTGATCCTTATTTAAGTTTAAATAAAAGATCAAAATCTTATATTGTAGGTAAAAGTATTGTTTTCCATTATCCAAATATGACAAAAATAGCATGTGCAGATATTGAATTAGCAAATGATTTAAGATTTCAAAGTTTAGTTGATGAATATACTCAAACTGATGATACTCAACAATTAATTGAATTACAACAATCTTTAAAACCTGATTTTACATTTGATGGATTAGAAGCTTTAAAGAATGAAGTATATGAATCTGATGATGATGATAATAAGCAAAGTGATGGTAAAGAAATTGAACATGGGTCAGTTATTGATCCAATTTTAGAACCAATTGATGAAGATCAACAAGATGATGAAACAATATCAAGAAAAGAAAATATTAAACAAATTTTAAAAGATGCTAAAATTTTACCTCAAAAATTAGTTAATAAAACTAAAAATCATTGGTCAAAAGATGATGAAGATCAATTTAAATCAGGTCATAAATATCTTGATAATCAAAAAAAGAAAATTGAAAAATTTTTAAATTTCAAAAGTGATAGTAATAATAGAGCTTATTATCCAAAAAACAATAATTCAATTATTAATGAAAATTTATTAAATGGTGGTGGGAATAATTTAACAAATATAACTCTTCATGGAATTGCAAGTGATTGTGCAAATTTAGGAGTTGTTGGAGTTAAAGGTATTTTTATGAATTTATTATTTGGAATGTTACCTATTTTGGCATTTTGATTGGATTGGTGTATCTCTCATTCTATGGACATATTACCACATTTTTCTTCCATAGATAATTCAATAGCTTTTTAATATTACTCATATAAAACATTATATTACAATTGTTGAATTTTTAACCCTTTCTAAACCAAATACTCTAATACTATCAATTATTATTGATTTACCTTGTGAATTTAATTCATCAAATCTATACTCCATATCATTCCCACTCAACAGGATATTTTGTGAGTATGAATTACTTATCTTTCCTTCATCTAACCACATTTTAATTTTCCAAAGCGGTATTAGACCAGGCATCACATTTGGGATTTTATAAAAATTATTTCCTTTAATTCCATATTTCTTGCTTATTATATGTGCTATTTTTTTAGCCTCTACTTCAGTTTCTGGTGAACCATATATTAACTCACTTACGTTTACTTCATCATTGAGCTTTTTTGATTGAACATTTCCATTTACTTCACAATTCAACTCTCCCCTTTGATCTTCGTCTCCAATAACAAATAATCTTCCATTTTGTAAAAATGGTTTAATATCTTTCATTGGATAATAAGTTTCATTACATACATCTAATATTTCACCACCAAAATTTGCTTTATAATTCATTTTTACACAATCTTCAACATAATAACCTAAATAATACCAATCAAAACCTAATTTTTCACACATTACAATTTCATTAATACTTGAAATTACACCAAGTGATAAATGTGCAAAATCTGTATCCCATATAAAATATATGGATGATATTCCACTCGGTAGAAAATCTAATATTGATATAGCTATTAATTTATCATTTAAATAATAACATACATGAGTAGGACCAATTCTTTTGGGTTTTTCTTTAGACCAATTATGAATATCTAAATCAACCCAATCTTCTTTTTCACCTTCAATTTCATTTTTGGGAAATGGAGCATCACATAAAAACCTTCGAAATCCAACTTCACTAACATCTTGGGGATCATCATTATGTACACTAATTTGATATTTTTTATATAATTGATATTTTTCTTTACTAAATTTTGAAGGTTCAAATTTCACTTTAAAATTTTTTGATTTTAATTGAGCTTCAAATAATCTATTTAAATTAAATGAATTTTTAGGTATTGGATCAAGTAATTTTTCATCAGGACATATTTCTTTTATGAATTTATTTATTGATTTTCTTTGTTTTTTTGAAATTTCTAAATATGATTTATTGGTTCTAATGGTATATAATCTACAACAAGTTCTTAATAAATCTGGTTTATATAAGAAATCACCTGATCTTCTAAACCCACTATTAATTAAACTATCATATTCTTGACATGTCATTTCAATAATTGAAGTACCTAACGTTATTGATTTTTTAGTTGATGTTTCCTTATGTGGTTTATCTTTTAATAATTTTGCTTTACTCTCCAATGCAAAATAATCAGTTTTGGAATCATTGCAATACCCACAATGTCGTTCCTCTATGTACAATGGGGCTGAGAATAACATTTTGTTTAAACCATTTGAGTAATTGTTCCTCTTAATTGATACGTTTATTCACCGAGTTTTGGTTGCCAAATTTTAATTGATAACAACGAGAGAAATTTAAAACAGAATAAAATAAAATGTATATCAAGTTTATTATTACATCATCATCATTTTGATCAAACAATTGGATTCCACATAGAGCATAGGAATCATCACATATACATCACTGGTCTATATCTTCCACTTCTATCAAAATACCATATATATGAGTAGTTCAGTAAAGACTAGTCCTGTTAAAAAAGAACAACCAGAAATTAAAAAGGAGATAGAGAATGGCAAAGATGCTTCACCAACTCAAGATTATGATGAAGATCCTTCAATTTTATCTGATCCAGAGGATTATTTAGAAAAAAATGAAAGTTTAGATATGAACTTATCAAAAGCAGATCAAAAAGTATGGTTAGTTAAACTCCCCAAATATTTAATGGAAAATTGGAATAAACCTGAAATAATGTCAAGTGGTAAACAAATTGGAACTGTTAAAATAAGGAAAGATCCTAAGGGTCAATTACAAGTCAAATTAGTATTAAATGAACAAATACCTGATTTACCAAAAGAATATGATATAAGAATGTTAAATACTCAAGTACGAAATTCATATGCATTTACTGAAGAAAACCTAAAGAAATTTAAAAAGGAAAACACAGAAGTTACTGAACTTGATGAAATACCTAATCAACCTAAAATAGAAGAACCAGATGATAAAAGAAAAAAATTCCAACCAAGACGAAAATTTAAATTTTTTAAAGTAACTAAAAATAATGAAAATGGTGAAAATGGTGAACAAATTAAAAAATATATACCATTTGTTAAGACTATTCCTAAAAAGACAAATTTAGTTGGTAAAATAGTTCATGATTGTCAAATAATACCTTCTAGACATGATATTAATTATAGTTCATTAATAAGAAAAAGAGATGCAACAATGCAAGGACCACCAAGACCTAAAGTTACATTACTTAATGAAATTCCTGGAGTTATACAATCAAATGCAGGACCATCTATACGAGGTAATAATACTTCTATATTTTTAAAATCAACTCAACCAAAGAATAAATCAGAAGGAAGAGCAATAAGAATGCCAAAAAAGGATTTATTAGATTTATTATTTAGATTATTTGAAGAATATGAATATTGGTCCATCAAGGGATTAAAAGAAAGAACTAAACAACCAGAATCTTATTTAAAAGAATCTTTAGATTCAATTGCAACTTTAATTAAAAAGGGTCCATATACTTCAAAATGGTGTTTAAAACCTGAATATAAAAAATTAAGAGATGCTGAAAGAGCTGCAAGATTAGGACTTGATGATGAACAAGATAAAGAAAATGAAGAAGATGAAAATCATGATGATGATGAAGATATGGAAGATGTCCTATAGTTTTTCATAGTTGAACTAATGTATGTCAATTTCTAGTCTGAATATCCAATTTGAATGAGTCTTAAATAAATTGTCAGCAAGTTGTTACATCAAACGCTCTTGTGAACTCTTGACGTTAAAATAAAATCGAACGTGATTGATTGTTCAAATAAACTCAGACCTTATTTCGTCCCCATCTCATGCATTATAAAATCATATATTTCTTTTCAACAAACTCCAGAAACTCCCATTCATCTTCAAAATCATTAATCTTCAATCCCATTTACAAATTATTAATCAATGAATATCCCTGTATTTTTTATATCATTAAAAGCTATTTATACAAAAATCAAAAAAAAAAATTAAACGTTATAATAAATCCCCTACTCTTCTCTCCAAACTTATAAGTTTTTAACATCTAAAGTTGGTGGTAATGATTGTTGTAATTTTTTAGCTTTAGTAGCATCGTTAACTACTAAAGTATATTGATATCTAGCACCTCTTACTTTAAATTTAGTTTGTTTAAATTTTTTACCATTAGCATTAATTTTAGTGTTTACTTTAACAACAGCTGATTTGATATCTGATCTTCTTGCTAATTCAACGAATTCTTTTATATCTTTAATTTCTCTAGCCATTTTTAGTTATGTGTGTATGTATATGTGTTGGTTCTAGTTGATTGAATCGTTGTATCAAAGTGAAAATTTCATTATTTTCGTATGTAAAAGAAATATTACTGATACCCAAAAACGCGTGCGTAAAATAGGGCTTTACCCTATACTGAAATAATATTGATCAAATGCATTTCGACTACAGAGGCATCTTAATCTTGGACTTGTTCCTACTATCTCGATTCATAATTAAATTGTGACCCTTGCGATGATAGCCTTGTTGATTCTTTATGATATATCTGTCCTATCTGTTCATAGAGAATAAGCAAGAATATTATCGTAGGGTCATAATTTAATTATGTTGTGAAAACACTTCGACTGGAGTTAAATCTATGGAGCATCAACGATTTTGGCTTGTCATAGATAAAATCTATAGTGCTAAAGTTATTTGGGATAAACTTGTAGAATTGCCACTGAATAAGTTTATGGAATTAGCAAAGCTATAAAGTTTGGGTTCTTAGCAAAGTCATCAATGGGTTTGCTAGGCACATAAACTTTTTGACTTTGCAAACAACTTAACTGTAAACAAGAGGTTAGTAATGCATTAGCGGAGGATGAAGTAGTTGATGAAGACTAATAAATTAACAATATAAAGTAATATTGCTACTGAACAGCTGCTTTAACATGAGATAAATGAAACTGATCAGAAAGTAATTGAATTTTGATCTGGCAACCAACCAATTTACTCTATAAATTAATTGGAATTTCGTTTATCACCCGCTAAACTGATAAAATATCTGTCTACCATTGGTTTGTCCTTGAACAGACAATATATATTCAATTATTCGCCTTACTTCAAATATTTCAGATACTGATTGTGTGCAAATTTTGAAATAGCGTTGAGAGTTATTGATACCTACAAATTTGCCTCACGTCAATCAGCAATATTTTTAAATTAGAGCTATTCAATAGTAAGCTGCTAAGTTTCACTTTATCACGTCGTTAAATTCTTTGAACTAAATAAGATGTTGCTATGAGCTAATCAGAGTTCATAATAATGTCAATTTGTTTGAATATATGCTATTAAATGAATCACAACAATCACTATTTGTCCAAATACTGAAACCTATGTCTGATAATTTTGAGATTCCTTATAAATTTTCTCTTTATAATTAATTAATCTTTTAATTGAAATAATCCATCGTCTAGTTGATTCATTAATCATTATATTACTTACATTTTTAATACCTGTAATTCTTGAACTTGAACTTCTTGCATGAATACCAACATTTACAACACCAATTGGCCAACATACATTCCCAATACTTAATTTCATATAACTTTCATTTGCTTTGTTGAAACTATTAGTTTGTAAATAGTAGAATATTGTGGACAATGAAACTAACATATCTGTTGATAATTTGTCTGTCCTTAATTTGTATAAAAGTTTTAATAATCCCTTTTTAGTTTCTTTGAGTAATGCTTTGTCTTCCTCTGTTTTTGCATTGTTTTCCCATTCTTTGATGATTGTTTTAATGCATATTCTGATTTGAATCCTTAGTATCAATTTCTTGGTTTCGGCTGCCAAAATTGACTCGAGCGTAATTAATTGCTTTGTTGGATCTTGATAATATTCTTCTTCCTTGTCCAACCATGCTTTATACTTTTTATTTTGAATATCTAATTGTAATAAATATTGTAGTCTCTCGAATTTTTGGTCTTTTGTAAGGTTTTCATCTAAACCATTCAATTGTTTTAATCTTTCATCTATTTTATCTTCTGTAAGTTGAACTTCTTGATTTTCTGAATCTTTAGAAGTGACTAATTCAGCATTGTTATTCTCGATGATCTCGGGATCCTTGTTTGTTAAGTCTTGTCTATCCACTTTGGCATTTTCCACAGAATTCAATGTTTTATTCGACTTTAATTTCTTTGATTTGGTTTTATGTGATTGTTTCTTCTTTTTGATTTCCTTATTTAAAAGGTTTGTGAAGTCCATTGCTATATACTCATTTGACTCAGGATTAGGATATGAGTTATAATTATACTCTTTGGGTGTAGTTCGAAGGAAGTCGTAGTAATGGTCGTTGTGGTTCAAGTAATTGAATGAGTTAAAATCAAGGTAGAGTTATCTTCAGTCGGTATTATGCCTCATATCTTCCTATTTGGGATTTCTTAATGTTTCAACTTTAGCTTAGAACTTAATACGTAAATTCTATCGCATTTAACAAATTTAGTACAAATCCAAAGATCCCCAACTATTTCCAATTTAAGATCACTGGATTTACACGGGAACAAATCAAATTACATTCAGAACTAGATCAATTGAGTCAAACTATATACATAAGGTATAATTGAGAATAACAATTATGTCTGAGAATCCCAAACCAAAGCCAAGAACAACAAGTGAATCTGAATTTGAAACACATCATGATAAAAATGATCTGAATTTAGCTTCAGAATTTAGAGCAAACTTTGCCACAAATGATCCACCAAATGCAACTTCATCATCTTCATCTAATAAAGTTAATAGAAAACCACAATCATCGCCGTTATTATCATCAACTCCTCCACTGGTTTCAAAAGCACTAATAAAAGCATATCCTTATTTATTAATTATAAATAAAGTATTATCAATTGCAACTTGGACTAATGAAGATTATTGGGTAAATGTAGTAATATTATGTTTATATTCATTTGCAGTTTTATATTTTGAAAATATAGTTACATGGTTAGGTCATATAATAATAGTTTTAATCATAACATTATATGCTTTATTAAATAATAAAATAATAGAAGAAACTAATTTACATCCTACATTAGATGATGTTGTACAAGCATTAACTTCAACACGTATTAAAGCTGATATGTTATTGATGCCTATAACTTCATTATCATTAACAGCTTATGATATTAAAAGATTATTATTTACAACTTTATTCCTTACACCAATCTATTTAATTATAACATTTTTATTAATTAAACCAAGAATATTATTATTACTTACTGGATTATTTCTTATGACTTATCATTCATCATATTCCATAGTTATACGTAGAATAATTTGGAAAATAAAATTAGCAAGATTAATATGTTTTTATTTAACTGGTCTTGATTTATCACAAACTAAAAATCATTCATTATTTGCTGCAGCTTTTGCAAAAGTTCAAAATAATACTACTGATGGCAAAACATCATCAAAACCTGTTAGATTTACTTATGTTATTTATGAAAATCAGAGAAGATGGTTAGGTATTGGATGGACATCAAATTTATTATCATATGAAAGAACTCCATGGACAGATGAATTTTTAAATGAAAGTAGTTCTATTGAAAGTTTTAAATTACCAAATGCTATAGATGATGTTAATTTACCAATTGATTCAAAATTACATGGAGCTGATTGGAAATGGGTTGATAAAACTTGGAGATTAGATTTAACAAATGATGGAGCAATAACATTACCAAATTCAAAAAGATCTAAAACTACTGCAAATCCATCAATTGATGAAGGATATCTTTATTATGATAATGTATGGAAAAAACCTTCAACAGAAGATACTTTTTCAAAATATACAAGAAGAAGAAGATGGATTAGAACAGCAGAATTAATTTATGAAGATAATAATAATAATAGTAGTACGAATACTAATAATAGTATAAATACCGAAGAAATTGAACCAAAAAAGAAAAATTTAAGGTTTGCTGATACTGAAACTGAAGTTGTAGATATAAAAGAAATTGAAGAAAATGAAAAGGAAATTGACCATGAAAATGAAAATGAAAATGAGAATGAGAAAGATGTAAAAGTTGAATCAGTTGATATTGTTGATAAGAAGAATGTTTGATATAGAGATCAGCTGAGAAAAGTGTTTACTGGTATATATGAGGACTTAATTAACTAATTGCATATAATATCTATGTCTGAGCCTTTGAAGAGTTGTAACATAGTGAAACAAAGATATCGCTCATTTCCCTATATATAAATGATAAGTAAGTACATATTATTGTCCTGCCTTTGAGATCGTATCTAAGCATGAATTATACTTAATCTTATGCAACTTGACTAAATAATGATCTGATTTTCTAACACCCTTATATTTGATAAAGTGCGTAAGTAGTTTGTGATCTTTTTTTTCTTTTTCAGATCTGCCTTTGTAGATAAATTAAATTTTGTATGTCTATCGGTAAATTCCGAATCAGCTTAATATGATTAACATGAATCTCTTATCAATAGATCAATAATTTATATAAATTGAGTTGAATTTCTCATTTGATCTCATCACCTCCAAATTTCCTTTGTTTCTTTCAATCATTAGAATAAAACTTATAGTTATAACTCCAAATCATCATCAAATTAATACAATAAACATGTCAGAAATAATTGAAAGTTCCTACGGTAAAGGTAATGTTAAATTTTTAAAAGTTAAAAAAGATTCATCAAATCCTAAAATTCAAGAAGTTTTAGAAGCTAATGTTTTAGTTTTATTAAGAGGAAAATTTGATGCTTCATATACTGATGCAGATAATTCATCAATTGTTCCAACAGATACTGTAAAAAATACTATATTAGTTGAAGCAAAAACTCAAAATGTTTGGCCAATTGAATCATTTGCTGCTCATTTAGCAAAACATTTTTCTAAAAAATATAATCAAGTTGAAGGAGTTGAAGTAAATATTGTACAAACAAAATGGACAAAAATTCAAATTAATGGTAAAAATCATGAACATTCTTTTAAACATGATGGACCAGAAACTCGTCAAACTTATTTAAATTTTGATAAATTAACACAATCCTATGTTTTAAAATCTTCAATAAAAGATTTAACTGTTTTAAAATCAACTGGTTCAATGTTTTATGGTTATAATGTTTGTGATTATACTACTTTAAAACCAACAAAAGATAGAATTTTATCAACTGATGTTTCTTCTACATGGAAATTTGATTCTAAAAAAATTGGTTCATTAGATGATATTATAAACAATGGGTCCATCTTTGATAAAGCTTATAATGAAGCAAGAGATATTACATTGGAATTATTTTGTAAAGAAAATTCTCCATCAGTTCAAGCAACAATGTATAATATGGCAACAAAAATTTTAAATAATGTTCCACAAATTGAAGATGTTACTTATATTTTACCAAATAAACATTATATTTTATTTAATTTAGAATGGAAAGGTATTAAGGGTAATGATGATTTATTTTATCCTTCACCTGATCCAAATGGTTTAATTAAATGTACTGTTGGTAGAAAAGATTCTAAATCTAAATTATAAAAGAGATTAGATTAGATTAGAGGAGTAGAAGTTTTAGTTCTTAGAGTACTTATATATAAATCTATAATACATTTTAATTCATAAGACATCTTGGTTGTAAAACTTCATATTTGGTTTCTTATCTCTAAAAGTGTTGCAAAAAAAAAGAAGTGAATAAGCGGCTTTTGAATCATCGTGAAAAATTGTAGACTAAGAATCACAACCAAATATGTCTAGAAACGTTGTGCTATCGGTTATAGCGACAGCTGCAATAACCACAATAGCAGTTGAATTATATCATAAATATGCATCCAAACCACCATCAACAACATCAAAATCATCATCCAATGCATCACAAACTTCACGACCAAAACAACATTCAGAAGAACTTATTCGAGAACAATTAGCAAGAAATTATGCATTTTTAACAGAAGAAGGAATGACAAAAGTTAGAAGTCAAAGAATAATAGTTGTTGGAGCAGGAGGAGTTGGATCATGGGTAGCAACAATGTTAGCAAGATCAGGAGTTGAAAATTTAAAAATTATTGATTTTGATCAAGTTTCTTTAAGTTCTTTAAACCGTCATTCAGTTGCTAATTTAGAAGATGTTGGTATATCAAAAGTTGAATGTTTAAAAAATCATTTGATTAAAATTGTTCCTTGGGCTAATATTGAAATAGAAAATAAATTATGGAATTTAAGTTGTAGTCAAGATATAATAGATTATAAACCAACTTATGTTATTGATTGTATTGATAATTTTGATACAAAATGTGATTTATTAACATTTTGTTATAATAATAATATTCCCATTGTATCATCTGGTGGAGCAGCAACAAAATCAGATCCAACAAGAATTAATATATCAGATATTTCAAAAACTGAAGAAGATCCATTATGTAAAAAAATTAGAATTGTTTTAAGAAAAAGAGGTATCACTACAGGTATACCAATGATATTTTCAGCTGAAAAACCTGATCCAAGAAAAGCAAAATTATTACCATTGGATGAAAATGAAATTGCAAAGGGAGATGTTGATCAATTAAGTGCTTTAAAAGATTTTAGAGTTAGAATTTTACCAGTATTAGGTACAATGCCAGCGATGTTTGGTTTAGCAATTGTATCATTTATATTAGCTAAAGTTTCAAATTATCCAATAGAACCAATTGAAGGTAAAAATAGATACAAGATATATGATGATATATTACAAAGTTTAGCAGGTCAACAAACAAGAATTGGTAAAACAGATCAAAGAGTTCAAATATCAATGAATGATGTTATTTATTTATTAGAAGATGTATTTAGAGGAAAATCTCCAATATCAAATTATTCAACAAGATTAACTTTAAGTAGATGGGATCCCAGGAAGGAAATTAGTTTACAAAATGTTGTTTTAATGACAAAAGAAGAACAAAGAAATCATGAAAAAAGAGTATTAAATGGTGGTGAATCTTTAGATGTGGTGTATCTGAAAGATATTATTGATTTAGTAAATCAAAGGTTTAAAGATGAAGCTTATTTTTCTAAATTTTTGTGATAAACCTACGTTAGAAGTATAGGGATGATGAACAAAGAATCAGAAGAAGGCGTTGAATTTGTGATTTGCAGCTAAACTATATGAAACAGTATGATTGTAGATAGCTTCTGATAAAAGAGTGCATATAAATTATTGGTTAAATCCGCACCCGAAAAATCAAATCTTTAGAATAAATTGCAATTCCATTCTCTCTAACATCTAATCATCACTTGCTTGATCGATTGACAAACCTAACTACATCATCAATTATTATTCAAATGTTTCAATTCAATCCAGTGATACGAACAATGTTTGGTTTTAAAACATCACCATTTTTCCCAAAAATAAATCCAACTTCTCGATACATAAACTACCTAAAACAATCTTTCAAAAGATACCAATCAAATATAGCTAATTCTCAACATAAAATTACACCACCACCTCCTCCACCAAAACAAGCAAAAGGAATCAAAGCATTAATGAAAGAATATGGTTATCCAGCATTAGGTGTATATTTAGGATTATCAATGATAGATTTACCAATATGTTATATATTAGTACATTCATTAGGTCAAGAAAAAATTGAAATTTATGAAAATAAAATAAAACAACAATTTGGTTATGGATTAAGTGATGAAGAATTACGTCAAAAGCAATCTATAAACAAGATTGAAAAAGATATTGAAGCAAAAGAATATGAAGAATATACAAAATCACAACCAAACAAGGAGAAAGATAATTGGTTTACATATATAAAAAATCAATTTTCATGGACTGAATTTGCAATAGCTTATGGTATACACAAAAGTTTAATATTTATAAGATTACCAATAACAGCAGCAGTAACACCAGGATTAGTTGTTATATTAAGAAAATGGGGTTTTAAAATTGGTACTGATAAATTAAGTACAACAGCTTCAATTGCAAAAGATTTAGCTAAATCTGGTTATAAAGATATTACTGCTTCATCTCCTAAATTTGGTACTAAACCTGGTAAAAGAAAATGGTGGTGGTTTTTTTAATTGAGAGACGTTGTGGGACAAATGTACATAGATTCTTAGTAGAATTAATTTGATTTTTGATAAATATAAATAAATTCATTCATTACTTCCTAAGTGTACGTTATATTTATTCATTACTTCCTAAGTGTACATTATATGTCTATTTAATTTATTCATTACTTCCTAAGTGTACATTATATGTCTATTTAATTTATTCATTACTTCCTAAGTGTACATTATATGTCTATTTAATTTATTCATTACTTCCTAAGTGTACATTATATGTCTATTTAATTTATTCATTACTTCCTAAGTGTACATTATATGTCTATTTAATTTATTCATTACTTCCTAAATGTATATAATATGTCTATTTAATGTCATTCATTATTTCTTAAGTGTATATATAATGTCTATTTAAAATTTCATTAAAAACATTAAAAATATTTATCTTATATTCCTAATATTTTTTTCATTCTTTCATAAACAAAGAATGAACATGCAACCATTGGTACAACTTTCATATAACCAATACTTAATCCAACAAAAAACCCCTTAATACCATTTTCTTTATAAATTAATTTTGCAGTTTGTTTAAAAGTTAAAAATTGTCCTTGATTTATTGCTCCTCCAACTTGCATTCTTCTTCTAATAACTTCAAATGGATATGCTGCTGTTTGGGAACATAATCCTGCTAATCCTCCTGCAAATAATTGTGCATATGCTTTTAATGGAGGTCTTGATTCTCTTGTTGATACTGATGAATTGGGGTTTGATGATAATTTTATATTTTTATTTGATTTATAATTTTGTACAACTGTATATTTACTTAAATATTTTGATCTTAATATATCATGTAATAAATCATGAGTATAAAATGATACTCCAGCATATGGTATCATACCTAATATAGTTGGATAAAATCCTCTATAAAAATTACTGATTTTCAAAATGGGTTCAGGTAAATGATTTCTCATAAATTTTAACCAATTTGGATCATTTAATTTTGAAGGTTTTGGATTTTCCTTGAAGATCATCATTATAGTTGTCCAAATTTTACCTTTATGATTTATCATATATTCATAATGTTTTGGATGTTGAGTTAAATGTATTAAGTTCTTTGTTTCAAAAGCTAATCTGACTCTTATTAAATCTAATGGGTAAGTGAAAAAAACAGATGCTAATCCTGATAATGAACCAGCTAAAAATCTTCTTCCTGCTGTTTCATAAGAATCATTTGGTATTAATATAGTTCTAATTTGTTCATATGCAACAAATTTTATAGCAGCATATGGGAAAATTCTTAATAATGTTATAGAATGTCCTTGATATAATCCCCATATACCATCATTTGACCAAATTCTTTTTGCTGCTAATATTAAACCATGAAATGTACCTCTATATTTTAAAAATTCAGGATTTGAAGTTTGGAATAAAATTTTAATTCTATCTAATGGAGCAACTAAAGTTTTTGCTGCTGATCCTGCAACTCCACCTGCAATACCTGATAATAATACATATTTAAAACTTTGTTTATCTATAATTTTATGACTTTCTATTGGTGTTGATTGATCATTTGAATAATGACCTGATTGTGGAATGGTTTGATTTGAATTGGTTTGTTGATGATAGTTGTTGTTAAGGTTTGTCGGTATTAATGAAGTTAATGGTTGTTTTTGTAGTTTATGCTGTTCTTGATTATTTATGGTGGTAGTATTATTTATGGTGGTGTGAGTATTACTGTTATTATTATTATGCGATAATAAATCTTTTGATGTTGTTGTTGTTATATGATTCTCAGATTCATTTCTTTGTAGTATTGAGTTATTTGACATTCTATGGGTATATCAAAGTATTGACCTTAGCATTTATATTCTCTAGTATGACTATATGGTTGTAAAATGAAAGTATTTATTGTAATTCTATCTTATTATTAATATCTATAGTTGTATAGGCTATATAAAATCATATTAAATTTTTCTCTCTCTCTTTTGGTCTTTTTCTTTTTTATGTATTTCCCCAGAAAATTTAAATTTCTTTGCATTAAAGTCGTAGATCTATATTTCTTGACACGACAAGCATGAATCATGTTATTATAAATATCTAGTCTATCATTTATTTAATGCAATCATAATAGAGAAAGAAAAAGTAGAGAAACAAATTTTCAATAAGGGACGTCAAAGAAGAGACTACCACCTTTACCAAATCAAACTCCCAATATGAATCTGAGGATTACTTTCACATAAACTTATCATGTTTTTTAAGAGAGAGAAATTTAGAAGGAAAAGTTTTTTAAATCAAACCCAGTTGGGTTCAAAGTGAAATCAAGACGACCCGGAAATGATATTATGTTAATTGCTCCGTCCAGAATTTAAACATTATGTTTCAAATACTTTGATTTTAATTTGTTGGCCATTTGTTTCTCTTTATAAACCGTTTACAAATATTCAATATCTATTTTTTATAATGATGGACACTATATATTAAGAAACGGATTATAAAGAAGGACAAATGGTAAACAAAGTTGGAATCAAATATGTTTTTCAACTTCAAAAAGTTTCATCAAGGATCAAGGAGATAGCTGATCGCCCAGGCTCAAAGATCTTAGAAACCGATATATTCCATATAATTACTTCAAATTTAGACAAAGAGCAATACAAAGTTAGAGTTTACATTGATGAAAAAGAAATTGATTCATTAGACGAACTATTTAAAGCTATTCATATATTTCACACAAAGATATCAAGATCTTAAACAATCTAAGATCAATCATTATTAATAAAGCAATAGAAACAAACCTAAGACTAAGGAGATAATTTAGAAGATGAAGAAGACATTAAACAAAAGAAGAAGTTTTCAAGCAAAGCCCAACAGATTTTCAAGAAAGAAACAGAAACAAAAGGATCTGGTCTTTAAAAAATTGTTCTGTTGAGCTTTGTAATTGACAACTTCTTCGTTTGTTTAGTGTCTTCTTTGAGTTAGAATTTTTTTGCAGACAAGATCCTTTTGATCGTTAAGTCTTTTCAATTTGTACTAGTCTATGAGATTTCTGATATTCCTGCCTTCAGTATGCAAAGATTTGGCTACTATTTCACATTACTTACTAATAATTGGACCTTATTTGGAAATGGAGTTTTCTTTTATAGAGATAACGGCAAATGAGTAACAAGATTAGATTGAAAGAACTTCGTCATAGGGTTTGTAGTTTAGATTAATTAGCTGTCTACAAATGACAAGATTTAAATAGAAGTTTTCAACCTCTTTGTCGATTACAAAAATTCATAAAGGAAAACTTTCCAACGGTACGATCAAAACTCATTTGGTCCAGCCAATCCCAATCAAATATATTTTAATTATTAATTCATTTATTTTTTTACAATTATATAGATATTCAAAAACTATACTAGTATTATTATTATATTTTTCTTTTTTTTAATTTTTGCAATTTTAATTTCATCTGATTTTGAAAACCAAATGAAATAAAAATTTAGTAACGAGATTGGGAAGTAGTACAACAAGCAACAAGCAACAAGCATCAAATAAAAAGTATTATTAGCATTTAACAAACCTTTTTTTTTTATCCCTCTTTTCCTCTCTTTTTTCAATTTAGTGACTTACTGGTGAAGCACTAGTTGGAGCTCTATAACCTGAAGTTTTATCTTTATGATAACTTGAAGGAGATCTACCTCTAATAACTAATGGAGGTGATTCAACTGATCCTAATAAAATTGGTTGAATAGAATTACTTTCATCAACTATACCTAATAATTCACAACTTAAAGTAAAATATCTTGTTGCTGAAGAACTTGATTTAACTCTTATTGAACTTGTAAATTGAATTCTTTCAAATCTTGCAACTTTTGAAATTGATGAACTTGGATAATTTTTTAAAATTGAATTATCTTTATCTAAAATATTATAATCATCATAATATTGATTTCTATCAAAATAAAATATTTTATTCATATTTTCAATTTTATTACCATTTCTTTTATTACAACTTGCTTTAATTGTTTCATGATCCGGTAAATCACCTGGTAAAGCAGGATAAATTGGTGGAGGAAATTGTGGACCTTTATCTCTTTTTGCAGTATGTTGAATTAATGATATAGCAATATCATCTTCTGAACATTTAGCAACTAATCTAATTGCAAAATAACTAATATTTAATCTTGTTTCTCCTGCATGTTGTTGATGATGAGGATGATGAGGATGATTTTGTGGTTGACTATGAGTTGGAATTTTATTAATTGATGAACCATTATTTAAAGATTTATCATAAGTATAATATTGATTATTAATAAATCTATTAAAATCAAAATCTTGTAAGTTAAATGAAGCACATAAAGTAAAATAATTTCTTTTATAACCAATCCATGTACCAGTTTCTCCCATTTCAAAACCTCTATCAATTCTTGCATTTAATATTGGAAAAACTTGTAAATCATTTGATTTACAATATAAATTATGATGTTGTTTAAACATTCCAAATGGTGGTCCAACTTTAAATAAATCACTTGATCTTGGAGCAACTTTTCTATTAGCTGATTCTAATAAATCATTTTGACTCGCTCTTGCTAACATTTCCATATGATGTTGTTGAGCTAAAGAATGAGCATCAATTGCATTTTGATCATGAGTTGTTGAAGGATCAACTGAATTATTATTTGCATGTAATGCAGCTGCTGCTGCTGCTGCTTGTTGTTGTTGTTGTGCCTTTTGTTGTTTTTTAGTTTGTCTTGGTTGTCTTGTTGTTGAGGTAGTGGTTGTTGTACCAGAAGTTGTTGAAGGTTGAGGAGTTGGTTGAGGAGTTTGATGATGAGCAACACCTGTTGTACCAGCACCACTTAAATGATGATTTAAATGAGGAGGTAAAGGAGCTGGTTGTTGAGGTTGATGACCTCCAGCTTGTTGATTAGGCATTTGATGACCTAAATGATGCAATTGTTGTTGCTGAGATTGTTGTTGATAAGCCATTGGATTAAATTGCATATTTAAATGATCATGAGTACTATCATGACTACCAGAACTTGAAGTATGTAAATGAGGTAACATTTGTTGAGCAGCAGCAGCTTGTTGTTGAGCTTGTTGTTGAGCTTGTTGCTGAGCTTGTTGATAATGTTGTTGATAAGGGTTTGGAGTTAATAATTGATGATGCATTTGTTGATGCAATTGTTGTTGAGCTTGTTGAGCTTGTTGAGCTTGAAATTGTTGTTGTTGATAAGGTTGAGGAGTATGAGATTGAGAATATAATTGTTGTTGAGGTTGTTGTTGATGTTGACCAGTAATTTGATGAATTCCTTGTAAATGATTTTGTTGTAAAGGTTGTAAATGAGAACCATTAACAGAATTATTATTAGCTAATCCATTAGTTGAACCATCATAATTATAAGGATGATGAGTTGAATTTGATGGATGAGTTAAAGGATGTTGTTGTAAAAGTGGATGATGTTGTTGAGATTGTTGAGATTGAGGTTGAGAATATTGAGAATGTAATGATGAATCATTTACTCTTGGAGTTGAATTTGAAGTATTATTACCAGTAACATTCCCATTATTTGTTTCATTTTTTATATGATGATGTAAATTGTTTAATGGAACTGGAGTATTTGATTGAGTATTAGTTGCATTTGTGTTATCATGAGATAAATGTGAATCGTCGTTTGACAAATTCATCATGAATATTTTTAAATCACAAACTTATTAGTATAAAAGCTGATTAGATTTACTCTTTTTAATATTACAGATACCCCACTATTCAAATATCTATTATGATACCTAACTAATGTGATGAAAATTAATTGTAGTGAGCGTAATGAAAAATATTATATTTTATACCAGTAACAAATTAATACCTCCTATTTGTTACTACCTATAATATGTGTTTTCCCTTGAAATGAATGGATTGGTTTTGCTATTGATTTGAATGATATGACTTGACCTATGAGATTTGTTTACTACTACTCTCTTTTCTTTTTCTTTCAAATGAACTCTTTTGATTGATTTTTGATTTTGTAATCTTCCAATGAACACAATAACAAAATATGTATTGACTTTGATTTATAAAGTTTTTCTGAAAAACTTGTTTTGTGAATACTTTAGTGGTAAGATGATTTATACTTTATTTTACTTCAAAAAACTCAATACAAGATGAATTTATTTGATTGTTGTTTGTTAGAATTTTTTTCTTTCAATAAGACGAGTTAGCCTTCAAAAATTCAAAAAAAAAATTCCCTAATTCTTTTGTATATATTTTGCTGTTATACTTAAAAGTTAAACCAACAAATTCTTAATAAAGTGATTGATATTGATTAAAGATTTAATTTATTATTGAACTAACGATTTGATTAATCCTTTTATTTGTTGTGATTTTATCAAAATTTATTATGAAAATATTGAATGGTATCAACAAAAAAAGAAGAAGATTTGGTTTGTGTAGCAAAAAAAAAATATAAAAAAAAAAAATTACAAAAACCAAATTTTAAAAAATTTTTATGAACAAGAAGAGACAGGGTCGTGTACTTGTTCAACAAAAGATATTTATAATACATAGTAAGTATAGGTGGTATGTAGTAGTAGTAGTAGTAGTAGTTAGAAGAAGTTAATGAGGTAATCATTTGATTGGAAGATATTTAAATAGAAAAAAAATTTGATATTAAAAGGGTTCCTATATTATTACAGAAATATCCAGGTTCTGCTTTGAATAATGGAACACCCAAAATGTCATAGGTAAGTTAGTTATAGATCAGACATAATTTTCAAAATTAACATAGACGTGTTCGTTCTTTTTTAAAATAATAGATCCACTTAAGATCAGTACTTACAGTACACAGTATAACAAAATAAAAAATAGGTGTTCTAAGCTATTACTAAATCCTCTCTAATACTACCTTTTTGACAAAAGAATTTGTCACCTACGTCTTTTAGCTTATAGGTTTTATAAATTCTCTATAAGTTTCAGAATGGACTTATGAAACCTAGCTTAAATTGGTTGTTAATTGCTTTTGTAACCATTCTTAGATTTTGAATTTTTTTTTCAACGGTTTTTGGCTTTGTTTTATTTGGTTACTACTAAGTACTTACCAATTAAAATTTTTCTGATTTAGTGTCCATTAAATCCACTATTGGAATTGGTTGTGAGACAAGTTCATAATACAAAATAACTAACTTTATGCTGTTGTGCTTTTCTAATAATTCTCGTTAATTCCACTAAGTACTACACTACACTCTCTCCTAATTTCTCTCGTATAATTGAATAGACAAATCCGTCTTTTATTAAGTATTTCTTTCTCAAATTAATCGAATATTGAATAAACTGGAAGTCAAAGTTAAGTCAAAGCAAGAATTGAAAGGATCTAGAAGTTGATTGTAAACGTACTATTTAATTTATAAATCAATTTTCCTTCTTCTTCTCCATCTTTTTTTAATTTTTATATGTGTAAGTTAAATTGGTTAATTCCGGTATTTCTTTTATTCATAAAGTCTTAGAATTGCTTCAAGTTTTCAGTAAAAATCATTTCATTATTCTTAAAATAAAATCGACAAAGTAAAACCCCAGCTTTCATAAAAAGAAGTGGCCTTTCAACTAGACTTTAATCAATCAAGTGGAAAGGGATGACGGAAAATTATGTTCAATCATATGATAACTTGAACAGCAGCTTCCATCCCAAATTTATCAAATATGCAAAGGAGATGAACGAATGACTAAAAATATAAAAAAAAAGAAATTTTTTAACAAAGCAGCTCGGAATTATTGCCGTTTGAAGAACTTGAAATTTCATGTTTGGTTTTACTTTTACTTTAGCGTGTCTCTTGTTACACAAAAGTTGGTGCTTTGTCTTCTTTCCCGTGCCGAAAAAAAAAAAAGCTTTTGGGAAGCAGCGTTCAAAAATCTGAAAAATTTAGTACGAAATCACACAGTGGCTAATTGTATTACCTAATTGTCACACAATATTGGCTATTATCCCGGTTTCTGAAACGATAGTTTTGAGTTGAAGCACAATTATACAATTATCAAGCTGGTGAAACATATATGTAATGTGGTCTACATCTATTCAATAATGCGTCTGGGCCAAAGAAAAAATTCTGTCCCTACTTTTGCGTTGTGTCAATATGCACTGCAATGGAATCTGAAAACAACTCTGCTAAGAAGTTTAAGCTTTTATATGTAAGATGTTGGTGCCAGATCTATAACACAAACTTTAACTTACTTACTTTTCGATTTTGATTCAACTTAATTTAATTTTGTGATTGAATTAAACCGTTGAAACTCTCAACACTATAATATCTAAATATGAAATGAAACTTGATCTATCTACTTCATCACGAGATGTAGCGCTCGTCAGTGTTGTCCAGTATAATAGCATTTTAAACTTTGATAACTTTTCAGCTCTGATAATCACTTTTTAACAACAAAATCAGATAGCTCAGAAAATGAATATAATAAATGAGAATCATTGAATTTTGTTGCAAATAATTGGTATTGAAACAAACAAAATATTCTGTCGATGAGTTCGAAAAGAAAGAAGAATCATGTTTTAGATTAAATAATCATTGAGCAGATTACTTTGAAAGATTGCAACGATTTAAGTTCTACAACTTTCTTTAACTGGTCCTCCATAATCATCACCAACATTTAAATAAGTGTCTGCTTTAGCAATGTTATGACAATCAGAAGTCGCGTGACAATCTGTCAAATTTTAATTTTACGAAATCAATTTACTCATATTGCTGTTCGGATGTTGGTTTATTACTCCTATTAATTCTTACAAGAATTCAAATACTAGATGTTTATACCTTAAATGACTCCCAAACGATACTTAAACTGATTGACTCCCATCAAACGCAATGGCAGACACCATACTTTCACTCAAAATATTTCAATTTTATTACCGATGATATTGTTCAACTAATTCAACGGTCATAATAAATTCTTGTGTCATAATTTTTTAACGCTATAGAAGATTCTCATACAATTTTTTTTATATTTTAAGAAACAAAAAAAAAAAAATTTACAACCAATTTTGCATTTTAAACAAATTTGCTTTTCATATGAATTTATTGAATTAAATTACAAGTACCATTTTATAATTAAAACGGTCGAAGGATAGTAAAATTCATATTGTTACCATCACATTTGTTTAATTTAAAATTGCAATAATTGATAGAAAAAAAGTTTGTATTCATAAAGATTTTCCAAAGTTTCCACGAAATTTATATTCAATAGACTATATGATTTTAAATAAATGCAACAATCACTGACACCTTCATATAATAAAAAGTCAGGTTCTATTTCATCAAACTCATCTACTTCTAGCTCATTCCATTCATCCACAACAACCATGACATCAACAGTCACTCCAAAACATAATAAAATTCCACATCAACAGCAACAACATCATCAAAATCATCAACAATCTCAACCAACTTCTTATCATCATCATTATCACTTGAATGGTAAAAATAACGCTAATGGACAAAATTCACAACATACTCAATCCCAACATGAGAATGAAGAAAAAGCTAGTAATGGAGCAGTGGAACATCATCATCATTATCATCACCATCATCATCATCATTCCTCACCATCATCAATTTTCCCAACTTCATCTAGTTTAAGAGACATTTTATCATTAGTTTTTATAACATTATCATTTCCACAATCATTATCATTAGTTATTTGCATTTTATATTTGATATTAGGATCTAATTTTATGGGTGGGAAATTTTTAATTAATTTTTTACTTCCAAATGAACATAAATCTGTCTACAAGGGGTTCAAAAAATTATCATTTTCAGCAATTAAAATTACAGTCTTTGATTCAATAATATATTTAACATTAATTAAATTAATAAAAAGAAAAAATTATTTTAATTATTTTATTGTTTTATCAAAATCAATTGTTGCAAGTGAATTAATTGGTTCATCATCAATAAATTATATAAATTCTATCTCAACAAAAAAAATCACAACTAAAATACAATATGATGATAAAAATAAAATGTTATTCAACAACAATTTAATGAATGCAATTTTTTCTTTTATAATCATTAATTATATTAATTATTTACTAAATTGGTTTCATTTTACAAATCGTTCTTCAACAATTGCAAATTTTATTCCTGTAAATAATTTATCATATATAAACAATATTAATTTTAAAGAATATAAAATTCAAATTTATTTATTTTTATCAATTCATATTATTAATCAAGCATTTTTTTTAAAAAAATCAACAATTATATCAAATTCAATACCAAATATAAGTGATGAAATTTCTGTAAATGTTGATGAAAATAAATTACTAGACATTGAAATAAATCTTGATAATAAAAAGGACACTAGAAACTCATCAACATCAATTGCATTTAAAAATTTTGAAAATTTTATTGTATCACCTTTCAATAGTAAATTAACAAACCTAAAGAATCGAATGAGAGCAAGTTCAATTACTGCAAAGCCTATAGTATTATCTAAAACTGCATCAAGTACTTCAACAACATCTTCAATAACTTCAACAACATCTAAATCATTAACTACTACAACTATAGCTCCAAATGTTACTATAATTGAAAATACAATTATAATTCAACCTTTTTGGTCAATAATTGCTGCATGCAAAGCTATTTTGAAAAATCCTAATTTATTTAATGGAGAATCATCATTTCAAAAACAAATCATTGAAGAAAAACCAATGGCTGTTTTAGTGATTGATTCAAGTAAAGTTATTTTGAAATTTTTAACATTAATAAAGGGAGAAATTACGATTAAATTGAATAATATTGAATGGTCTTATTTTAAATTAATAAATGAAAATGATGAACAATATTTGATTATATATGGATTAACTCCTTTATTTCAATATGATGTTGAAATTTCTGAAGATAAAAATTTAATAAATCAATTATTAATTAATACTACTGGTGATAATGAAATTATTAATAAATCATTACCTGAAACATCATCATTAATTACTTTACAAACATCCTTAAATTCATCAATGAGTAAATTAAATAATGTTAAATTAAAATTAAAAAAATTTAAAAAGGATGAAAATAAGAAAATTCAAGATATTAAAAATTCAATAGATGTATTAAAGAATAAAATATCAAAATATAATTCAAATAAACCAATAAATGAAAATAGAGTATTTGGTAAAATTAAAGGATTAAAACATTCAGTTATACAATTAGAAAATGAAATTACAAATATTCAAATTGAAATTGAAAATTTACAAAAAGAAGAAATGGAATTAGAATCAGAATTTAAATTAAAACAAGAACAAAATGAAAATAAAATTAAGGATTTAGAAAAAATTTATCAAGATTATGAAATTAGATTAAAAGATGCTAAATCAAATTTAAATAAAATTAAACAAGATCAATCACAATTTGATTTAAAATTAAATAAATTAATCTCAAAACAATCAACAAAACAAGAAGAAATTAAACTGATAAATTCAGAATTTAAAAATTTAAAAAAGCAAGAAATTTTAAATAAATTTTCAAAAAGAATTAAAAAAATTAATGAAAAATTTGATACTATTATTCCAAAAATTATTCATGAAACTGAAATTTTAAATCGTGAATGTTCAAATTTAATTAATAATGATATTGATGATGATTATGTACATGTATAGATCAAAAAATATAAAAACAAACATTTCTAAATCTATATTATTTTTCCAATTTTATGAAATCCTCTATTATAATATAATAATCCACCAGTTTTATCATTTGAAAAATTTAAAATTTTTAATACTTCAATTACCCAAATTTCATGATCATGAACAGGAAAACATTTATCTGTTTTACAAATCATTATAGTTTCTACTCCATTTTTTAAAATAGGTATTTCAACTTCTCTATTCTCTGGTAGTTTAAAAAATTCATAATCCATATTTGAAATTTCATTAAATGGAGTAGTCATTTCATGAAAAATTTCACCATCTTCATTTTCTTCCAATTTTGGCAGTTTATTACCTCTAGCGAAAATTTTAGCCATTTCAGTTGCTTTTGTTGTAGGTGACATTAAATGAATTGCACAATATTTACTTTGTTTTAGGGATGTTGAAGTATATGAAGGTAAATGTAAATTAAAAGATATATAAGGTTTTGGATATACTGATAATGATACACATGAACTTAATGTCATTCCATGTAATTGAGATATTTCTTCTTTTGTAGTTGATGATGTTAAAATCATTGCTTGTGATGCTATTTTTGACATTGTTAGTCGAAATGAATCTGATATTTGTGAATGTTTAAATTCATGATGATTTGATCGTAGTATGGATATACTGAATTGACGTAAAGATCTTATTTGCATTTCATTTGTGGCAATGCGTTGTGATGGATGAAATTTGGTTGCAATTTCAAATGTTTGATGTATCAGATTAGTTTGAAAATTTGATCGAGATCTCGGTTGTTTAGCTCCGTTTCACGTGATAGATTTTGCTCGGCTATAAGATATTGTTTCAAATCTCATTTTCAAACATAGCCAAGATTTAATATGTATCAGATTCCAACAATCTTGTGTAATAACAATATTGGAGAATGTTTCAGAATTGAGATATGAAAGTATGATACTTTCATATCTGTCTTATAGTTTGATCAACCCTTATTTTTCAATCTTTAATTTATAGATTACAACAAGGCTTAAAAATTAAATTTTGATTTCAATCTTTGCACCATTAATTTTCGGACTTTATTTGTTTTCATTTTATTCAATTTCAGTAGACCAACTATGTCATACTTCAATCGAATAATAAACCATGTGTTACGCATTTAGATCAGATTCCAATTAACTAAGTAGAACCTAAAAAATTAAGGTTTTCAAGGGTTGTTTACGAAAATACCAAAATTAGAATATTAATTAGATTTTGAAAATCAAGGTTCATAACAGTTTTTCAAATTTTAGTAAATTAACATAATAAATTTATTTTTAATTTTATTTATATGGAACCAAATTTGATCAATTAAATTTAGATAAAAAATGTTTTAATAATATAGAATTATCTTACATCCCTCTTTTCTCAAAATCAATCACCAATGTTTCAATCGTTTCAATTAATAATTTTTTTACTTTCACTAATATATGCAAAAGATGCAGTTGAAGTTTTACAATTTGAAAATTTCGGATATTCAGGATCATATTCAAGAGTTGGTGAATTAAATAATATTTATGAAGATTCATGTTCTTGTAAACTAGATTCAACACCTATTTCATTTTCAGGTCCAAATACTCCATTAAATGAAGAAGTTAGTGTACATTTTAGAGGTCCTTTAATATTAAATAAATTTGCCTCATATGTTTCAGATGGTTTTAAATATGGGGATGATAATTCAGGAAATTGGGAAAGATTAAGTTATTATGATGCTGAAGAACAAACTTCTGAAAATGTTACATTTTTAACTCGTGCTGGTAAAAATTCATCATGTTTAGGTTTAGGTTTAACTTATGCTGATAAAGATGGTTTATCAAAAGCAAATCAATCAACTATTTTAGCTAAAGATACATTAATAAATTCAAATGATGAATATGTAATTTTTTCAAATTTAACTTGTCAATCATCTGGTTTAAATAATGATTGTGGAGTTTATAGAAATGATATACCAGCTTACAAGGGATTTGCAGGAACAGTTAAAATGTTTTTATTTGAATTTCAAATGCCAAATGAAACTCATACATCAAATAAAATTTCAAATTATAATATGCCTGCTATATGGTTATTAAATGCTCAAATTCCAAGAACTGCTCAATATTCAAATAATGTAAATTGTTCATGTTGGAGATCAGGTTGTGGAGAATTTGATATTTTTGAAATTATGAATACAACTGAATATTTAAATTTATATAGTACTGTTCATGATTATCAAGGAACTGATCAAATCGAAACTGGATTAGCTATAAGTGATTATATTGAAAGAGATTTAATTGGAACTATGGTTGGTGGAGTTGCATTTGATTCAAATGGTGATGTAAGTGTATGGATTTCAAATTCAACATCATTTGATTCAACAGTAAATGCATCATCTGTTAATTCTTGGATTAAAAATGTAAAAGATTCAGCTGCTACTACATTAGCATCAGCTTCATTAGCTAGTACTACAGGAGGAGGAAGTTCAAGTAAAAAAGGTGATGGTATAAGTTATCAACCTTCAATTTTATTAAACATTATGGCAATATTGACAATGTGGGTTTTATAATCTAACGGTTTGTTAGGTTTAGACCTTTATAGAGAGTCAATAAACGTTGGTTATTTTTTCAAACTTACTTTACTTGAGTATATTTTGTTCTATGTTTGCTGCTTCTTATCTACAAAAGTTTACCCTGCTACTCTTCTACTTGTCATACAAAGGTTCAGTGATATGACTATCATAGACCTTTATAATCCATGTATTTAACAATCAATTGAGTGAGTATCGGATTTTCCTTAAAGCTTATAAAAACGTCTTCTTCATAGTTGAATAATGACTTGTCAACGTTGAGTCGACTACTATTCCATCTAGTAGCATTGCCTGATAGTTGTATTCCTTCTCCTTCACCGTTGGTGTAAGTCTTTAAATGCTTTTCGATGGTGTCTTTATACAACTTATCTATATCCTGGTGAAGATTCTCAATTGAAATATTTTTCCCTTTTGACAAGTTAATTCTCTCCGCTTGGAATGGCCTATATGCATTAGCTAGTTTTGGTGTGGTATTAAGTGATTGTATATATTTTTCATTATTAGAAATTAATCGACTTGGTCCATTACATGTAAACAAATGTGGGTTGAATTTTTCTTCATGTTTATCATCTTCCCCCGTAGTTACTGATAGTCTAATTCCATTTCCTTCAGGTAATACAGTATCAATTGAATTAGAATCTGTTTTGATTAGTGATTGAACGAATGGATTTGTATCAAGATCGTCTCTATTATAGCAATGATTTTGGAGTAAATTACTACTATGCTTTTTTGGAACGTTTTTTAACCATTTATTTGGATTTGTGAGTAATGGGTTTTTGAGTATTGTTTTGCTAAGGGTCATTGATTAAATCATAGTTTCATACATGTGTTTCAAAATTTTCTTATCTTGTAGTTAATTAAGTTTCAGAAATTTGTTTCATATTTTTTTTTTTCTCTTTTTATTGTTCTAGAGTTTGTTTCATAATTTATTTTTTAAACATAATCTGAAACATTTAATAATGAAGATGAAAAGATTAAGAATTTGACATGCCGATTATAATTTTAATTAGTTAAGCATAGGCTATATAAATGCAATGGTTCTGCTTCTATTTTTTTTGCAAAATCTAGCTTTAACTCCTTAAATTACTAACTACATTCACTCATTCATAATGATCCAACTTTTACTTTCATTAATAATTTTCAATTCACTCACTTTTGCTGCTCCAATAATAACTCAAACTGTAATTGTCACAGCTCCAATCAAAATTGTTACTATTACAATAGGTCAAACTGAGGTTTTAGATGCTACTACTATAAATTCTAAACCAATAGAGACAAATACTGCAACTCACACTTTACAATTTGCAACAGAATCAACATCATCAATTTTTAATCAAGAATCTTCAAGTTCATATATATCCCAAATCCCTAGTTCATTATCACAAATTAGCTCAACACCTACTACAACCTTAAGTCCAAGTTCATTCATTACTTCAACTACAACAGATACATCTACATCATCAGAATCATTTCCACAACCATCCGTTAGTACCATCAACCAAATATCAAATTCTAATCCAATTCTTTCAAAAGCTGTCTCCTCAACTCCTCAATCTGGGTATGCTTATATGTCTACAATAAACAAAATTTGGCAAAGATTTTGGCAAAAAGGTAACTGGAATCAAAATGATGGTATTTGTGAAGGAACATCATTTGTCACTCCACCAGTTTGGAGTTTAGCAGTATTAGGTAAAGCTATCACAAATACTGGTGATTCAAGTGGTACTAATACCATTATATCGAGTATATTAAAATATTTTGATGAATCAACAGGTGCATTTTTTGATTATCCAAATTCTGGTAAAATTTATACTGATGATAATGCTCAATTAATGTGGGTTTTCACTGATGCTTATAAAATCACTAATAATCAAGAATATTTGAAATATGCTGAGAACATATTAAATTATTTGAGAACACAGAATTTCAACAATAAAGGTGGTATACTTTGGACAACCAATGGTAATTATATTGCCTCAATATCAACAGTTGAAACTGCTCTAGCTGCTATTAGATTGTATGAAGTCAATGGTGACGAATCTTTAATTGATACAGCTAGGGAATGTATGGATTTCATGTTTGACTATTTTCAAGATCCCAATGATAAATTATTTTATGATGGTTTGGATAAGACTGCTTTTGATTCAGTAAATAAAGGAAAATTAACATATACAGTTGGATGTGCTATTAGCACATTATCAAAATTGTACCATTTAAAGAATGACAATGAAGCTTTATCAAGGGCAATAGAATTAGCTAATGCTGCAACAAAAATTGATGGTGCTTTTTATACTGTTGAAAAAGTTTGGAATAATAGTTTGAAATATTCACATCTGTTATTTGCAGGATTTGGTGATGCTTTTAAATCTAGTTCAGAATTTGACCAATTCAAACCAGAAGTTATAAGACAAGCAAATTATATATATGAATTTTTGAATGATCCTCATGATCAAAATCTTTACTTTGATGCTGCCAATGATGGAACCACAACTGTATATAATAAATATGCCCTGGTTTTTGGGGTTAGCTCAGACTATACACCAAGCAATAGTATTTTTTGCAATAATAATTCAGGTGGACCTACAAGTAAAGATTTTTTGATCAATGCAAGTGCAGCTCAAATTTTATATCATTTGGCTAATTATTAGACAATATCATGTTTATTTCAATTCTGTGTACTTTATAAACTTAATTATAAAAATTTAATCCAATGAAGTAGAAGTTCAAATGAAGCTCTATCGTTTCAATAAATGCAATTTCCATGGTCTAGAATGTTATTAATTCTTCGCAGTCAAATTGTACTGTTTCGAATCAATTAACTTCCGGAACTTGAGTTTAATAACCATAAGTTTTCGCTAACTTAGCTTGAGTGTGTTGATTTGCCGTTATGTAATTAACATCTTTTGAAACACCTCTTCCCATTCTATCTTTTAGTAAATCACTAGGTACTGGTTCCAACAACGTATCATGACTTGGATGACTGAAAAATACAATGGAATATCTATCCTCTCTCTTTGAATCATTAGTAAATTTCACTCTATGTATAGTTGATTTTAAATATCCAGATGTCCAGTAACTCATTAAATCACCAACATTCACAATAATTGGCGGTGCCATACCTGATTTAGAGCCACTTATAAAAGGCACTTTTTCCCATTTTTTGTTCATTGAATAAATTTCTAACCCTTCTTGATTTTTTCTTTGAAATAAAAGTGTCATACTTCCATAATCTGTATGAGCTCCTGCTCTTATTGGTGAAGCATCTGGTGACGTCAATGCTGGATAATGCAAAAATCTTAAAGTTGAACCAGATTTTGCATTGGGAACATATCTTGAAGAAAACCATTCTAATCCTTTTACCTGATCATCATCATTAATTCCCAAACCAGTTGCTAAAATCTTTAATAGTTGAATTGCTAATTGGTTTAACTTGATAATTGAGTTTTTAATCAATTCATCCCTCTCAGAATTATTCTTAAACCAATCTGGAATAGGACCTGACGATTCACCAGTTGCAAGATTTAAACCACAAAAATTCATACCTTCTTTCATATCATCTTTTTGAGAAGGATCTAAGTTTTCTCTATTGAATTGGATGTACCCGCTATTTGATTGGTCTTTTGGAAATTGATCTTTATAAGACGCAGGTAGGTTGAAAAATTCTTTTGAAATGTCGAACAACTTATCAACTTCATTTTGAGTAAAATCGTGGCCCTCAATGAAAACGAATCCTTGAGTAGTCAATGACGCAAGTAACTCTTTAGATGTGATGTTTATTGGTTGTGATATGTCGATAGTTTTTAATGGATTTGATTCACTCATGGTTCAATTTGAAAATGCTCGAGATGCTATATGTTGTATATGGAATTAGTCAAGCTAAAAGCTAAATATATAAAATTTCATTGATTATCCTGGATCAGATGAATGTTTGTTAGATTTTTCATTTCTTCAAATACTCCAACGGAAAGATTCAAAATTTAACCATTTAAAACAGTAAGATGTGTAATTTAATGATTTCAATATATTCAAACCAAGCTTGATAAAGCTGCATAATGATATTACTTCTTATCGTAAGAACTTAGATAAGATAAATCAAATTTTCAAAACTAAATTGAACTGATAAGCGGAATTTTTCAAATAAGCGAGTGTAACATCAAATCTGAAAATGCAACGTCCTAGACTTCTCTACATTCAATTCTCTTGAAGGACATCCCTGTTGGAATTGTTAATCGGGTTGAGACGTTCCCTTGGTTCTGAAATGAATAACTGACCAAATTGCAATTCTATGATTGAAGTACTCAAAGGAAACTAAAATTTACGAACTGTTCAGGAACAGATTACTTTAAATTACGTTCAAATTTTAAGCGAAAAATTTCCGTTGCATATCTAATTATGCAAAAATGGATCAAACAATAAGATCGGAGAAGACCTCATAGACCTTTCAGCATGATATGCATGAAACAAATATTCTTCTTCATTTGCAATTCATATAAGATACAATTTCAACAGCGTAAACAACACCAAATAACAAAAAATGCCTTTGAAAGAACAAAAAACATAGGTCAAATACCATGATTGACTTCACCTCAACAACGAAAAAAATCTATAGAAAATGGACAACAAAAGAAGGTTTATTAGGTGATTTTGATTATGCTTACTTATTTGTTCCTGAAATACCATTCTTAAGTAAAGAACCTAAAACACAACCATTTTTTGGTTTGAACTCAAATATGCCATTAATATTGGGTGCTTTATTAGGTTTACAACATTGTTTAGCAATGATTGGGGGTTTAGTCACTGTTCCAAGGATAATTGCAACTTCAGCTAACTTAACACTGGAAGATCAGACTTATTTAATCAGTACAGCATTATTAGTTGGTGGAATTCTATCATGTATACAAATTTCAAGGTTTCATATTTGGAAAACTCGTTACTACTTTGGTTCAGGTATATTGACTGTTGTTGGACCAAGTTTTGCAACTTTACCAGTCACTTCTCAAAGTTTCCCATTAATGTATAAAACAGGAGTTTGTCCTGTAGCTGAAGATGGTACTTTTCTTCCTTGTCCAGATGGATATGGTAAAATTTTAGGAACTGGGATTGTATGTGGTTTATTAGAAATTGTTTTATCATTTTTACCACCTTTGGTATTACAAAAGATTTTTCCTCCAATAGTTACTGGACCGGTAGTATTATTAATAGGTGCACATTTAGTTAAAGATGGATTTAATGATTGGTTAGGTGGTGCTGCTTGTCTAGGCGAAACGTGCCATATTGGTGATTTTTCAAATCCATGGGGTTCTGCAAACTTTATTGGCTTGGGGTTTTTGGTATACGTTACTATTATTTTGTCAGAAAAATTCGGCTCACCTATAATGAAGAGTTGTGCAGTAATTATTGGAATGCTTGTAGGTAGTATCGTTGCTGCAGCTTGTGGTAGTGGTTATTTTGATTCAACAAAAATTACTGAAGCAAAAGTTGTAAGTTTTATATGGGTCAAAACTTTTAAACTAGGTATTTATGGTCCTGCTGTACTACCATTTTTGGCAGTTTATGTAGTGTTGATGATGGAAGCAATCGGAGATATTACAGCAACATCAGATGCTTCAAGACTAGAGGTAGTAGGTGAGTTATATGAATCAAGAATTCAAGGTGGAGTACTAGCTGATGGATTGAACGGAATTTTAGCAGGATTAATGACTATTACTCCAATGTCAATTTTTGCTGAGAATGTTGGTTTAGTAGCAAATACTAAATGTGCAAATAGAAGAGCAGGATTATGGTGTGCTTTCTTTTTAATTATTATGGGAATTTTTTCAAAATTTGCCGGAGCTATATTATCAATACCAAATCCAGTTTTTGGTGCTGTTACTTCATTTTTATTCTGTTCAGTTGCAATTTCAGGTATAAAAATCATTTCATCAATTCCATTTACAAGGAGGGATAGATTTATTTTAACTGCTTCACTTTTACCTGGGTTGGGTGCTAGTTTGGTTCCTTCTTGGTTTGATAATTTTTTTACTTACTCTGGTAATAATAATAGTCTTTCTGGATTTTTAAATGCTATTACGTTGATAATGGATTCTGGTTTTGCAATAACTGGTTTTATCGGAATAATTTTAAACTTGTTAATACCTCAAATTGAAGACGAAGTTGAGGAGATAAATGAACTAGTTTTGGAAAGTGTTGGCTCTACTGATCAACATGCGAGAGAAGAATTTATGAAAAAAGAGGGCATGTCGTCAGCAAAAAAAATTGATATTGGAATTGTAAGAACTATAGATAATGGTTTGGATGATTTAGTGTAAATAGTTTAATGTAGAAAAAGGGATTTAATATTGCCTAGTGTGACCACATAATGAAAATACTGTATTATTGCTACACTTGAGGTTTTGAGAAATGTAGAATATTAGTATCAATGATCCCTGTTTGAGAAATTGAATTTCGACTGTGGTAATCAAGCAATTGCGATTATTTTATATCAATTTATCATTAATGAGTGAAAATATGTAAGGAACAATTGCAATCGTATTCCAAAAGTGTTTTTAATCGGAAAATTAGTAAATTTACTAATCAAGTAAATTAGATCGGTTCAGAAATAATTGATCCGAGATAAGGATTAATTAAAGTATAGACATTTGAAACAATAAACCACAATTCGTTTTGTGTAAAATTAGGTACTTCTATTGTTTTGAAAGTTTTCAATTGATTCCGAATATTGTGAGATGGTGTTTGAACTATGGCTTCTTGAGTCAGCATTTAACATGATCTTCGCTAAAACTGGTGAAACCTTTAAAACTGGTTGATAAAGGTGTAATTTGTTTCATCTTCATGAGTTAAACTCAATTTTGAATCATTGCAAACATTCAAGATGGAACCATCATTATCAAATGCTACTGGGTATTGTGTTATCATACTTGGAAGTTTATTTTTCATTATTTTGATGAATTCAATCACATATATTCAAAATAAGTATAGTGGTCATAATTCAAGAAAAGTAGAAGAATTTGTGAATGCATCAAGAAATGTCAATTTTGGATTAATGTTATCCGGTATTGTATCAAATTGGACTTGGTCATTGACTTTATTAATGTCAGCAGTTAAAGGTTATCAATTAGGAGCATCTGGTGGATATATGTATGCAATAGGAGGAGCTATACAAGTTTCAATCTTTAGTTTCTTAGCTTCTTTAATTAAAGCAAGATGTCAAAGTTTAACAACTTTTGTTGAATTGGGATATTTCAGATTTGGAGTAGCTGGTCATTTAAGTTTTTTATGGGTTGGATTTGTATGTAATGCTATAGTAAGTGCATGTATTTTACTTGGAGGTTCAGCTGTATTTAATTCCATAACTGGGATAAATGTTTATGCTTGTTTATATTTGATTCCATTTGGATGTGCTTGTTATATTAGTTTTGGAGGCTTAAGAGCAACATTCATATCAGATGCTACTCATACTTGTATTATATTAGTATTTATCATAACATTTGTCATTAAAGTGTATTTTTCAAATGAATTTGTTGGAACACCTCAAAAAATGTGGGATGCTTTACAATCATTACCTCCAGTTGATGGTAATTATAAAGGACTGTATTTAACATTTAATTCTCAAGATACAGCAGTTTTCAGTGTAATATCATTAATAACAGGATTTGGATTGACAATATGTGATCAAAGTTATTTTGCTAGAGCTGTCGCATCTGATAAGAAACATACTTCAAAGAGTTATTTCTTTGCAGCACTTTGTTGGTTTTGTATTCCTTTTGCTATGGGTATGATTGGAGTTGCAGCAAGAGCACTTCTGATTTTTCCAGGATTTCCTTCATTAAGTGCTGAGGAAGTTAATGAAGGTTTACCAGCAGTAGCAGCCATTGAATTTGTTATGGGAAAAGGTGGTGCAGCCATGATGTTGGTAATGATATTTTTTTCAGTAACATCTTCATTTTCAGGTGAATTGATAGCCACTTCAACTTTAATATCATTTGATATGTACAAAAGATATTATAACCCAAAAGCTACTCCGCAAGAAGTAGTTAAAGTTGCAAAAGTTGGGGTTTTTGTTTGGGCAATATTTTCATCAAGTTTAGCTTCAATATTTTATGGTCCTGCCAAAATATCAATGGGTTGGTTATTTAATTTCTTGGGGGTAGGTACAGCCTCGGGTTGTTTTCCTATTGTTTTGTCTATAACTTATAAGAACTTAAACAAAGCTGGAGCAGTTGGTGGAAGTGTAGGTGGTATGATTTTGGGACTTATTGCATGGTTATGTATGTGTAAAGGATACCTTGGAGAAATTAATGTTGTAAATTTATCTGATCAATGGGTTTCATTTACAGGGAATGTTACTTCGTTGGTTATGGGTGGTGTAATTTCTTTAACTTGTTCATGGATTTGGCCAGCAAATTTTGATTTTGAATCTATTCGAAATAGGACAACCTTGTATGATAATAAAAATACAGTTGAAATTGAACCAGAGCAACAATTAGAACAACAATCAGAGAAATCAGCAGAAGATGTTAAAACTGAAAAAGATAATACAAAAATTGAAGTTGAACCAGAGACAGATACATCTACCTCAGATTTGGAATCGAAACTGAGTTTTGAAATTGAACAGAAATATTTGAATCGTCAATATAAAAAGTATTGTGGATTGGTTCTTCTAATGGCATTTGTGTTAGCTATTGTTATTCCAGTTCCATTATGTTCTTCTCCTTATGTATTCAGTCCGAAATTTTTATTAGGTTTCATGATTATAATTTTATTATGGTTATTTTTTTCATTCAGTTTTGTCATTGTTTTACCTGTTATAGAAGCAAGACGAGGTATATGGAGAATTTTTAAAAAATTAGTGTTGCATAAGAGTTAGTTTTATAGAGAAATGTAGATAATAGACATGATAGATATTAGCATTTTCAACTTTTTAGTGCTCTTAAATTTGGTTGCAAAAAGCTTTTGTGTAAGTATCTGAGGACAAAAATAAATTTAAAACAAATCATCTCATAATGTCTTGATACTAAGAATAACCATAAGCACAACCATTAACACTACCACACACAACATGAGCACGACAATACTAGCGAATCTACTAGAGAATCCACAAGATATATTTAAACTACTGAGTGGAGATCCAACAAAAGAAAATATATTCAATGAATTAACTAAAAAAACAATAGATCCAATAGTAAAGAATTATTCAGTATTAGATGAAATATATACTGATGGATTAGATTCATCTCAAGTATTTGGTCAAACTAAAATGGTACTTGATGGAATTGGAAGGCAGTTGTTGGGAGAAGAGATTCCAAAAATTAAAGAAACTATTGTAGAGGAAGAAGAAGAGGAAGAAGAAGATGAAGAAGAAGAGGAAGGAGAAGAGGAAGAGGAAGAGGAGCAAGAAGAGGAAGAACAAGAAAACGACGAAGATGAAATAGACGAAATTGATTCAGAAGAGGAGGATGAGCAAGACGTTTCAGACCAAAATGGAGACTTTGACGACGATAAAGAGACTCTAGTTGAAAGTGAAGAAGAAAATGACTCCCCTCAACATAAGAAAGATGCATTTGGATTAAATGATGGATTTTTTGATATAGATGAATTCAACAAACAAATATTAGCATTAGAGAATGAACCAGAAGATGATGTAAATGAAGAAGAGATAGATTATTTTGGAAGTATGGATGATGAAGAAGAAGATGAACAAATGGATTATTATGATGATTTTTATGACAAACCTGGACAATTTAATAAAAAATTACAGAAGAAACAAGAAAGAGAAGAGGATGAAATAAGTGAAAGCGAATTTCTTGACGATGATTATGATAAAGCTATTGATTCTGCAAGACTTGATTTATTTGCTGAGGAAGAAACCAAACACACAAGTGAAAATTTATCATCTTTTGAAAAACAACAAAGAGCATTACAACAAGAAATTGAAAAACTTGAAGCTGAATTAGTTGCAGATAAAAGATGGACATTAAAGGGTGAAATAACGTCAAATCAAAGACCAAAAGAATCATTACTTGAAGAGAATGAATTATCATTTGATCGTACAGCAAAACCAGTTCCAACAATAACAGAAGAAGTAACTGAAACAATAGAAGATCTTATAAGAAAAAGAATTAAGAATGATGATTTTAATGATTTACCTAAAAGAATAGTTACAGATTTATCAAGATTTCACAAGGGACCACAAGCAGAAGTTTCAGAACAAAAATCATCAAAATCATTAGCTGAATTATATGAAGATGAATATAATCAAATAGATTCAAAACAAGAAGAATTAAATGAAGAAGAAAAAAGACAACATAATGAAATATCAGAATTATTTACAAATGTAATACATAAATTAGATGCTTTAAGTTCAGCTCATTTTATACCTAAACCTCATCAAAGTAAAAATATCGAAATTAAAGTAACAGATTCTTCACCTGCTTCAATAAGTATGGAAGATGCTCAACCATTACATGTATCAAGTGAATCAAGATTAGCACCACAAGAAATTTATAAAATTGGTGATGATTCAAGAACTGCTGGTGAAAAGGGAAAATCGGAAGTATTGTTGAAATCAGGATTATCATATTCAAAAGATGAATTAGACCGAGATGAAAAACAGAGGCTTAGAAGAGCAAATAAAAGAAAGAAATCAAAAATCTTTAAAGAAAGAGAAGAGACTAAAAGACAAAAGATCAAACAAACTCCTACACCAAAAAGAACTTCTAATAATGATGTTATTGATACTTTATCTAAAACTAAAAATATTACTGTTGTTGGTAAAAAAGGTGAAAAAACTGATGTTAAAGGTAATTTGAAAAAATCTTTAGGTCCACAAACATCAAATAGTTTTAAATTGTAAGGGTAGTTCCGGTAATAATGCAAATAATTGAGAAGTAAACTCCGTACGTGTAGGATAGTTTCTTTAGCCGTTATCTTCAAAGGACACGCGCCTGCGTCACCCTCGAAACTTGGACCTAAATTATACGATCCAATTTTTTCTTAAACCCGGTCGTTATGTTTCAACTCGGTTATAAATTTTACCAATTATCTTTTCGCGTCTAAATTATCAATTTATATATTAAACAATAGAATATCCATACTTTTCAACTGTTTCCCACCCAAGGGTTAGTAAAGAATGCTTTCTTTACAGTTCTTGTTAAAGATTTTGACATTACCTTACCCTATTATCAGAGCTGTCCTACAATATTATACAACTGGTACAATTTATTCAAAAACGAATAAAGAATTTAAAAATTCATTATGGAAAAATATTTTATTATCAATTGAATATCATGTTTCTGGAAATTATCAAAAAAAAGATATGAGAACAATAGTTTATCAACCTATAAATAAAGTTATTTCAAAATTTAAAAAACATCCATTAGCTTCTCAATTAAATTCATTTGGTGAAAAATTTGATCAATATAGTTATTGGATAAATAAATGTGATAAACCAAAAAATAAACAAAATGTATTGATATATATTCATGGTGGAGGATATTTATTAAATTTATTTGAATCTCAATTTGTATTTATTTCAGCTTTACATTATTCATTAAATGATAAAGCCGCGGAAAATACTTCAATTTTAGTTATTGATTATTCTTTAACTATGTTTAATAATGAATATCCAACTCAATTAATTGAATGTTTAACTACTTATTCAAATTTAATAAAAGATGGTTATAAGAATATTATTTTATTAGGAGATTCTGCTGGAGCTCATATGTCATTATCAATAGCGAGAGCTATTGCTTATCCAGAAGAAGTTTTAAAACAATTTGAATATGCTAAAAGAACAGTTAATTTTGATATTTCAACTTTACCTCAACCAAAAGCTTTAATTTTAGATGCACCATGGCCTGAACCATGCACTAAACGTTCAGTAGCTTCAAAAAGAGGTATTAATTGTTATGGAGATTTAGGATCAATGGAAACAAATATGGGTGATTACTATGCTGGTAAAAATGATAAAAATTTTATAAATAATTTTTTAACTTTTACAAATACAAATTGGGAAGATCATTGGAAAGATGTCAACCCAATAAATAATGGAAATACTTTAATTATAGTTGGAGAAAGAGAAGTTTTAAGAGATGGTGTTGAAGAATTTTATAATATTATTAATAAAAAGGGAAGTATTGATTATCATGTTGAACCTGGTGGAATTCATGCTGGTGTTGTTTATGTTGAAAGTTTAGATTATGTTTCTAAAAAAGGTGCAAAAAAAGCATTGAAGGGAGATTTTAAAGATAAATTTGGTTATAATTTGATTTCAAAATTTATAAATGATCGTATAGATAATTAGATAAATGTTTGCTTAAAATAGCTCGATATCGCCTTATTTTTTAAAACAAGCTCGTCAGATTGCCGTGGCAATTTTTGAAAAATTTATTTTGAATTTGGTCCAGTGGTATAGTGGTTCATTATATCCCGCTCACAATTTTTAATTGAGAACCGGGGAGGTCCCGAGTTCAAACCTCGGCTGGATCATAGCAGCACTTTTAACCTGTTTTTTTTTTTTTAATTTGCAGCCATCATTTCTAATAGAAGATCATAACACTATTTCTTTCATAATCAATGGTTGTTCTTTCATCGTCACTAGAGTCATCAATCACTATCATCTTCATCAATTCAACTACCACTACTAGTAGTTTCGAAAAGAGTTTTCATCGAAGAGATAGGTCTAATTCAAAATCATAATAATCATTATTTATTCATCGTCACTTGAGTCATCACTGCTATCGCTATCACTATCATCTTCTTCATCACTACTTAACTCTTCCTCATCTTCATCCATTCTACTACCACTACCAATACTTTCATCATCATCTTCTTCCGGATTAACTTCTGACCATTCGACATAATTTTTAGATATAATTTTTTTACTCTTTGGTAATACTATAGGATCAAATGGGAAATAAGCTTCTAAATCTAAAAATTCTTGTTTTTGTTTAAAATTGCCCACAGATGATGGTAAACCATTAGTTTGTAACATTCTTTCTCTTTTATTATGTTCAATTATTGAATAACAATAACATACATTTAATTTTGTTGCTAATTTTGCAAAAATATAAACAACAGTTTCATCACAATATTTTAAAGGATTAAATTTAACAATTATAACTCTTTGAAAAAATTTATCTAAATCACATTCCCATTTATCATTTTCTTTTTTTAAAATTTCATGACGAAAACAAAAAATATATAATAATGCTTGAAATGCAGAATAAAATAATTTAAATCTTTCCATACCTAATGTTGAAGTTGATGGATCTTCTAAAGTTTCTTGTTCTCTTTCTAAAATATATTTATTAAGCCATCCCATTAAATAACTTACTATAAATATAATTTGATGCTTCGACAAGTTTTTTGCTCTTGCAATATATGATGATAAATATTGCATTGCTTTTAATCTTTTTTCAATAATTTCATTTGGATTAAATGCTACATCAATTAATAAAACTAAAAAAGAATCTGCTAATTCTTGTTGATATTGTGTTATATGAAATAATATAAATTGAATCAGTTTTGTAAAATGAGTTGGTAAAATATGACTTTTGAAAATGGAATTTATTGTATTAAATAAATTAACTCCATTCCCATTATTTAATTGTTCTTCAGTAAAAGATATTGAAGTTCTTGTTAATAGTAAATTTACAATATTATCTAATTTTGATGATAAGTTCTTAATACTTCTTGTTGTTGTTGTTGGATCCCATTCTTCTGGTAATAATTCTTCATCTTCATCTTTCCCATTAACTAATCCTTCAATTTCATCATCATCTAAATCATCCAATTCATTTTGTAATTCAACATCCAATTTTATACAACATTCTATAACTAACTGCCATATACTAAACTGTAATTCTGGAGCATAATTTAAAATATTTATTAAATTTGTAACATAATTTATAATTTCATCTGTGGTTGAAGAAATATGATGAGGGAAATTATTTTGTAAAATTTGAGGAATTTGATTTATACTTGTTGGAATATATCTTAAAATTTTTCGTATTATTTCATGACTTTTGGGATTTATAAAATTTTCAAAATCCAGTATAATTTTATTTAATACTTCATTTAAAAATTTTGGTAATGTACTTACCAAAACAATTAAAAAATGAGAATATAAATCAATAAATGTTAGATCTGATTCATTTGATAACCAATTAAACTTAAGTATTGCAAATATAAGATTATTACATGATTTATTATCTAATTTTGAAGTATTATTTATTAAACCTTTTAATATTATACTAAAATGAGATAATGTTATTTCTTTTTGATTGATTCTATCAGTTAATGTATCAATTTGTAATGAATCACCCTGAGAGAGTTAGTATTATATCTATTGTTTGCTGATGTTTTAAATACATACTTTCTCTAATGATCCAAAAGCTGATTTTACATAACTTATATACATTTTTTCTGTAAATTCATTTTGATATAGTTGTTGTTGTTGGTGGTGTAGTTCTTCTTCTTCCCCTTTCATTCTTTTACTTATTTGATCAGATTCCATTCCATTTCTTTTCCTTGTTTCTATCATTATTCTGATACTTGATAAAGAAGATTGTAAGAGTAAGATGAGACAAAAAAAAAAATATTTATTTCCCTTAAATTTTTCAATCTTTAGAGAAGAAAAAAAAGATCCACACTAAATTTAAACATCGAGACAATGATTCTAACGCATCAACGACATCCAAATTTATGGATGTAAGCAGTATTAAATTAATTACTGATACTCAAGATACATATTGGAGATAAATAAGATAGAATGATCTTGAACTTGTTTGAAAAATTTAAAGTGTGCATTTGGTAGTTACTCCAAATTTCGTTTATCTTCTACTTTACTAAAGCCTAGTCAAAAACTGTTTTTTATCTTATCGCGTCAGTATCACAACCTTATCCAATGTCAGTTGTTACCATATCATCAACAGTATTACTCAATATATCAGATATATTAGCAAGAGGTATAAAACTAGAATATGGAGTATTATTAGGATATCAAGATGGTGATGATTATACAATTGTAACGTCTTTTGAATTTAGTATAGATCATTTATATGCTAGATTTATGCAATTACAACAAACTCATCCTAATTGTACAATAATTGGAATATATCATATTATAGATTCAGATATAAATTCTTCAACTATTGCTAAATTACATGAATTAAATCAATTATGTCAAACTTTTGAGTTACCAATTATATTATCCCCATTATATTTAACTTATTCAACCACCACGAAAGATAAATTTCCATTTAAAGCATATTCCCTCAATACAAATACAAAACTTGATATAAAATTAACAATAAATGAAACAGAAAATATAGTTGTTTCAACAATTGATAAATATAAAAATTATACATCAAATAAAGTAGATAAACAAATAGATTTATCAAAACATTTAAAAGAATTGAAAAAATTAAACAAAAATTCAACGAATCAGGCGTTAACACCTAAAGACTTACAACAAATTGAATACTCCAAACATCTAAACTTACAATTTATTCAATTAGCTTTATTAACTGAACAAAAAATTAATTTAGATAAAGTTAATCATCAATTTGTTAAATTATGGAGATTAAGTTAAAAAATATAGAATCTATGATGAGTAACCTTTAATGAATATAATGATTAAATTTATATGTAAGTGGAGATGATTTTTAAGATCTTCCAATTAAGATTTTGTTTTTGACATTGACCACCTCTGATATCGCAGTGTATTCGTTTCTAGTCTTGTCTTTTGATTTTTATTTCGAATACTGCTTAGATTTCCGAAGATAATCTGATAATAACGTTGCATTGCAATACTAATGTCTTTTTTTTCAACAAATCTAAATATTACTGTAAAGTTTTTCGACCAACATGAGAATGAAAAGTTATCAAAATACAAAAATTTCTGTTTCAAAATTGCAAGGTGAAGTTGAAAAATACTGAAAAAATTAGCTATTGATCTTGTGAATGTTACTTATTTCTGCTTCTGACTCTAATCAACAATGATAATTATTTATTTCGTTTCATGAGACGAAAATACAATTAAATTACGAGAGCAAAATCAGAAGCGTATTAAGTTCGTGTTTCATATTTTGAATTATTGTTAAAGTCTGAAACATAATTAAAAATACTCAAGTATTTATTTTACTTAACTTCCGTAATAGATCGAGATAAAAAAGGTATTGTAATGTATTTATTATGTTTCATATATTTGTTTCATAAAATTCTTTCTCGAGATAATTATTATTGATTTGTTTCAGATTTATTAATAATTTTTAATTTGTTTCAGATTTGCTCGTTTGTTTCTTACCCCATTTTCAAGTGTTTAAAGGAAGAATGCAGATGAACAAGCTTGATCAGTGATAGAGTGAAATAACTACTACAAATCGTTCAAAAATAATTTGTATTAATAGTCTACAAATTTGTGGATATTTTGTAGTGTGACAAAATGCAGATAATTACTGGCATACCAAATTTTATTATTTTTAATTTGCAAATATTATTTTTTAATTTTTGTACTTCATCATTTGTTTCACATTTAATCGGTTAACTACAAATTCAAACAACTTTCAAATTAACAACAATATGCCTAAGTTTTTGAAAATATTTAATAAAATAAAGAGTAAATTCCAGAAAAGTCATAACCTACCTCATAATTCAGAAATAATGAAACCAAAAATGTCAAATTTACCTCATAATTCAGAAATAATCAAACCAAAAATGTCAAACCTAACATATAATGAAGTTGTATATCAATGTAAATCATGTTTTAAAGATGAATTTGAAATTTCAAAAGCTTTAAAACATTTAAAAAAAGTTCATGGAATAGATTATTATTCATTACCAATTACAAATCCAATTACTTCAGGAGTTACATGTGGATTTTGTTTAAAAAATTTATTAAATTTTAAAGAATATTATTTTCATCATTGTCATATTCATAATATTGAAAAAATTTTAAATTTAAATTTTAATATTATTGATGCTAATAATTGGTTTAAATGTTTTAAAAGTGATGATTGTTGGTTTAAATTTAGAACTGAAGCTGAACTTGAAAATCATTATGAAACATCACACCATTAAATTTGACTTAATAGTATAATATGGTACTTAAATTTTATAATATATTGTTGGCATGAAATTTCGAATGGAATTGACGCAAAAATTAATGAAAACATCAGTTGGTATTACATACTTACGATACCTAGTTGTTTTTTATTTTAAATACTTTATAGCAAGAAAGTCTCAATTTCAAAAACTTTCAATTTATTTAGCGAAACTCTCCAAATTTATATTAGTGTTACAGTATCTACCTACCTAGATAATTTTCGAAATATTTATCTTTGACTTGCTTCAGCGGTATAAAATATATAATTGGGTGAAATTTTTTCATTTCATTTAAATTTGGCTCACAATCGCAACTATGTATACTTCACATCACATTCCATCATTCTATTCTACTCAAAAGTAATGGTACGCGCACCAAAAGGCATGCTAATGAAGTGGTTAGATGATCTTCATTGTCGATACACAGGATCACCGAGTAAATTTGACATACTATAATATTATATGATTATTCAAGAGGCACACATCGAACTTTCAATACCTATATTCATTATAAACAAATACTTCAAATCATGTGCTGGAGCAGACTGAACTATCGCCGGTATTCGTTGAATAGGGTTTTCCCATGGACTGTAGGTAATCGTTTGATTTTTCATTTGGATTCAAGATGGTGGAAAAATTCGTTATCTTATACGGTCGTTAAGTGATTCTTCAAATCTTTTCAAATGTTTTATAAAATCAAGATAAGGGACAGTAGCCAAGTTGTCCACTCTCGTGCTGCTCGCTGTAGCAGTATTGCTTAATATATCAGATATATTAGCAAGAGGTATAAAATTAGAATATGGTGTATTATTAGGCAATCAAGATGGTGAAAATTATACAATTGTAACATCTTTTGGATTTAACAAAAGTCATTTACATGCTAGATTTATACAATTACAACAAGTTTATCCTCAATGTATAATAATTGGAATATATCAGATAATAGATTCAAATATAAATTCTTCAACTATTAAATTACACGAATTAAATAAATTATGTCAAACTTTTGAATTACCAATTATATCGTCTCCATTATATTTAACTTATTCAACCACCACAAAAGATAAATTTCCATTTAAAGCATATTCCCTCAATACAAATACAAATCTTGATATAAAATTAGCAATAAATGAAACAGAAAATATTGTTGTTTCAACAATTGATAAATATAAAAATTATACATCAAATAAAGTAGATAAACAAACTGATTTATCAAAACATTTAAAAGAATTGAAAAAATTGAATAAAAAATCAAATCAAGCTTTAACATCCGAAGAACTAAAACAAATTGAATATTCNGTTTCAACAATTGATAAATATAAAAATTATACATCAAATAAAGTAGATAAACAAATAGATTTATCAAAACATTTAAAAGAATTGAAAAAATTAAACAAAAATTCAACGAATCAGGCGTTAACACCTAAAGACTTACAACAAATTGAATACTCCAAACATCTAAACTTACAATTTATTCAATTAGCTTTATTAACTGAACAAAAAATTAATTTAGATAAAGTTAATCATCAATTTGTTAAATTATGGAGATTAAGTTAAAGAATTCAATTGAAAAAGGAGGTAGTATATTAGAATAGCTTGGAATATATTAAACTAATTCATGCAAATTTATTTTTAATTTATTAAACTATGTAATTACTCTATACAAAATTTTAAACCAAATTGATTAGGTATAAATTGAGCAGCAGAATAAGTAGCACTATGAATTATTTTGATTTGGTTTATAAAGTGTATTCAAATAGAGCTCACATTTTTCCATGTGACGTTCGAAGTCACCTCTTGTAAGGGATATTCTACATCCATGACATTGACGGTATTTGTGTCTTGCACGTAAGTGGTCGAACATGGTAAGTGGATTGATACAGTGATAAGAACAGCCTGGACTTTCGCAATACAACATATTTACGGTGTGAACCTCGAAATGATCTGAATATGTAGTTTTTAATTGATTGATGGTAATATTATTATCATGATCTTTGTTTAAGTGATCAGCAGCGTGGCGTAAGGTAATATATTCAACATCATGACTAACACAGTAAAGCACAATGTCCATTCCTTGTTGATTTTTTAAGTGACTTGGTGGCATTCTTGATTCTATTGTAAATTAGTGATATTAAATTATATAGTTGCAAAAATGCGGAAGCAAAAAAAAAAGAACAAAATATTTTTCAGTTAAAAAATCAAGGGGAAAATTTATCTATATTTATATTATTTATTTCAGATTATTCGAATAAAAATACTATGGTTGAAAGAAATGTAAGAAATAAAAAATCTGACCACAATAAGTTCAATACAACTCTATAACTTTAATTGGATACAAAAAAAATTTTAAATAGAAAGAGATTACTAGTAATCAAGTTTTAGATTCTGAAACATTATTCATTATATTAAAATTTTATACAAATCTAATTTAGTTTGATCTTACAATGAATGAAGTATTTCCTTCACCTCTATGGTGAACTCTAATGTGGTCCAGTTTTCTATTTCCTGCAAATCTTTTATTGCATTTAGTGCAATTAAAAAAAACAACTTCCTCACCTCTATTGAGGGTGCACTCAACTGTGTTAAGATGGCTGCGATAGCTACTATGACGGTTAGAAAACTTGTTGCAAAATTTGCAGTAATAATTTTTGTTTGTCGTATCTAATTGATGGTCAACTTTGAGATGATGAATAAAATCGGAATCTCTTAAAAATTGGGTGCAGTTTGGTTGATTGCATTTAGTATATTGTGATCTATTAAGTTCATTTATTGCTAAATCTGATTGATCATTATGATGATTAACTAAATGATTTTTGATTTCTTCTCTTGATTCGAAGTGATTGTTGCATCTAAGGCATTCAAATAATTCTTGTGTCATATTGTTGAAATTGGTTGTGGTTTTGTTGAGAAAGAAAAGGGATGAAAAAAAAAGTAATAGTATAAATAATAATCAAGAAAGAGAAAATAGATTAATTTTATACTAATGTTTCAGATCATATGGTAGTTCAAACTCTGACACAAAATTAATGGCATTTTTTGTAATATGAAATTCATAATGAGAAAGACTAGTTATAATTCATTACCTAATTTTATAGCAGGACATAAGTAAAGAGTCTATAATTTACTATCTAAATGATCATACTTCTTTTGTAAGAAAAAAATCCCCATTTAGTTCGAGTGGCGATTTTTTTTATCAAAAAGGTAGTACAAAATGTAAGGTAGATAATAAAATTGGCTTACGTAATCTCCATAGTAAATTAATCTTGGCTCTCACAATTACGAAAATCTGAAACACACTAAGGCGTCTCAAACTTTAAAAATTAAGTTTGGCTAAGAAAATAAATATAATATTTTATTATATAACAGTTAAACTAGTAAACCAAAAATCCAAATATTGTAATAAATGGATTTGTGTGTTAAATCCATATTGAAGTAAAGGATATTTAAAGAATATATAAAGCATATAAAATTTCCTCAAATTTTTTGTAGTCGATTTTATTTATTTTATCTTTTTTTTTTTCTGTTTAATTATATCATTTTTAGCTAATCAATCATTACAACATGGGAATTAAACATCAAGGTAATGAATACTCATTTACATGTCACAAACACGACAAACCAAAATCTTATTTTAGTTATCGTTTTGCTTTGGAACATTTGAGAATCGAACATGGTATCGACTATTATTCAGAAGGAACTACAATTCCTGAAATAACAAGCGGTGCATTAGTTGTTTGTGGTTTAGATGGTTGCAAAACGAAGGTTCTTAAAACTGGTATTACATCACATAGAGCCCTCAAACATCCCAGATTTGAATTTTTAGTGCAAAATTATGACCATCACGGCATAGCTGACAACTCCTATCACTGCCCCGAAAATTTCTGCACAAAATTTTATGATACTAAAGAGTTACTCAATCAGCATTTAACTAGATGGCATCAGTACAGTGCTTGCTTTTTTTGTGATGATATATTATCCGCTATCGAAGCCCCAAATCATTATTGTTAGATAAATCCAAAATTAAATTGTATAGAAAATATCTTAAGTTAATATATGAGGTAATGATAAATAAGTTTTTCCTTCGAAGATACATAAATCACCTTTTTATACGTACTTCTTTTTTCATTCTTTTTTTTTAAAAAATACATTAACGTTTGTTCAATTCGTAGACATACTTAAAAGTTGTTGATGAAAATGCTATAGCAAGGTTAAGCAAGCTGACAAAACGATGTTGTTACTGCCTTTCGTAACATAAATTATATGCTTGAACGAGTGAAAATAGATAATTGAAGTAACGATCTGAAACAAAGAAAAACTGAGGTTATGATTTATAGATTAAAAACAATAAACCAGATATAGTTGTGATCTGCGAGAAAAATATCAACTGTGTAATTACAAACAAACTTACCACCAGTTTTCCAAAAAAAATAAAAATATTGCATGTACAATAAATATTAGGATCGTTGTAAACTTTAGCTTTACATTGGTTTAACAATAATTTATAATTATTGAATACAAGTAATTGTTTGAGTTGAGTATTTATGATCTAAATCTAATAAACAAAAAAACAAAAAAAAAAATATGGTTTCAAAATAATGCTGTCACTTACAAATATTAGGCGGTATTGTAATAAAAAAAAGCTACATTACAATCCAAATCTAGTATTTATGAATAAATGAATAGTGTATTACCGTTGTTGGTTTTAAAGCACCATAATTTGAAAGAGTAAACAAAGCAAATCAATCTTTCAAAGGAGATTAAAAATTACGGAACTAACTCTACCTCAGGCTAACATTATATAAAAGTACAATCAAACTCCTTACACGTCAAAAAATTTGACAAACAAAAGGTAATATTCTAATGGTTTTTCTTTTTTTTAAATTCTATAAATTTTTGGTGCATATATATGATTTGTATGTTAATCGATCCATAAATGAAATTAATTAATGAATGCAAAAACAATTTTGGAGTTGCAAAACTAAAGACTTCAGTACTTCATTCAAAACAATCAAATATAAACCTAGTTTTTATAGACTTCATACGTTAAATTTATTTCATACAATATTATTCCAATGCATTATGTATTTGTCGAACAAACAACACCTTAAGAAAATATAAAAAATATACAAAAAAATGCAGAGGTTTCTAGCTAGTAACACAGAAATCCTAATTCAAGATTATATTACAAAATAAGTATATAAATTTTATTACTTACAGATCTTTTCTCTATGGATTAAATTTATTCTTTTACAGTTTAGCCAGCTAGACTATCGATATAATAAAACAAACAGTGGGTTGCATTATTTGAACCCATGGTCTTTCGACAGAAGTTAGTAACTTTTTTTTTTTCAAAACTAATTAACTTTGAGAAAAAATTAAGAACTAAAAAGCTAAATTGAAAAAACCTTTTCAGAAACCTTCAAATCTAAGAAAACAAACACAACTGATTTAAAAGGTATACAATTTAGGTAGAAAGAGCAATGCACCTTAAAAGTTGGTTGAAGCAGAATATTTTGTAAGTAAAAAAGTAGAAGTACTTTTTTTTTTCTTTGTGGATCATAACTAAGGATTTCCAAGTTTTAACCTCTTTTAGTATAACAATTTAACAGTCAATCTATTTGTCCTTCACTAGAATGTATCACAAGATTTTGCGTATAATGTAATCTTTTAATTATTTACTTTAATTCTTGGTTTGTCAAAGGATAATAATTCAATTATTTGGTGTACATATTTGTTACGATCCGGTAACTAAAGGTAATTAATTTTCGGACAAGAGGTGATTATTTGATCTTTGAAGCATTTTTCAACTTATATGTTGACAGTGTGTGAAAACAATTAGATTTTTTCTGTTTTGAGTTTAGTTTTTTATGAGTCTAAGATGGTTTACTTTTCTTACTTACTAATTTTTATATCTTTTTAATTGCTTATCTAACTGTGTTATTTAAGGACGTTGTTTTGCTGACAAGTCCATTAACTTATGTAAACTTTAGGACAGTTAATTCATACTATATGAAGTTGAGTACATTAGTTATTTTAAATAAGATATGTTAGTCTGAGAAGTTATTTCTTCAAGCAATGTACACCCTTTGGTTGATCCAAATACGTTACTTTTTCCAACTTTAAAATGTTGTTTTTACATAGATTTCAACAAAAGCATGTCAAATTTTCATTATCACAGGTTGTCAAGCTTAAACTGCTCAAATTCGTTGAAAAGATTTGAGAAATTGAAGATTTACGAGTAGATAGCAATGGGGTTCAATAAACGTTGATATGTATTGAAATAAGAAAAAAAAAAACAAGAAAAAACAATCTCGTTATAAATCCTGCCTTCTCAATCTAGAAGTTATACTATGGATCGGTACTGAATTCATTTTGTTGAATATAGACTTGTTTATTTACCTCATGATTATGAATAGAAAACGTCGTCGAGTATAATTCCATGAATAATTATGTGAAATATTATTTAATGTAATTAATCAATTAGTTTTTAAATTCTATGATTTTTCACACTTTTATTTGAGATTATTTTTTTTTCTATTTCGCAAATTTTAGCTTCTCAAATTACTACATGTTAAATATCGGTTTGTTAATGTGTTTTGTTTCGTTGACCAGCTAACTGAAATACAGAAATGTTTCAAACCTTGAGAGATTAGTGAAAAGGTTTCATTATTATTTTTTTTTGTCTCCACTTTATAGACTATAAAGACATTCTATTTTGACTGAATATTACAAACTATATAAGGCTATAGATTCACAAGAGCTTGTTTCTATTGAGGAAACTTTCAATGAATAATCAAAATCAGTTTTTAATTAAATAAAAAAAGCTTTCAACAAAATAATTGAACATGATATTAATTATTTAGTTATTGGTGTATTAATTATCCCTAGCAAACTAATTATTATAATTTTAAAGTGATGTATAATACTAATGCTTAAGCTTGTATATAAATGTTTCTAGCATTGTATTGAGAAAGACGTTCAAATTTTGTCTGTGCTTTTGTTGTTGTTATTTGATATTGCTTCTATGTTGGTTTATCTTTTATAAATTTATGGTTTTTTTTTTTTTTTTGGTTTTAAAACTTCGAAAATAAAAGTCACACAAAAATGATGTAACACTAAATTCTTTAAGATACGGCTGGATACATTTTGGTTAGTATGTGTAGTAATTTTGAAAGTTATGCATTGCATAACTGAAAACGGAGACTAAACTTCTACAATTAGACCGACTTAAAGATAAATTGATTAATAAAAGTGGATGAACAAGATTTTACAAGTAGACTTATGAACTTATCGATGACAAATATGTTATATTTGCATAAAACTTTTTGTGTTTTCTTTGAACTTTAATTCATGTTCACACGTTAGGTTTCTCAAATCTAGTTTCAAACGTTTATTTTCAAAAGAAAGAGTGTATATTGAAGACCAACTACTGTTTTTTTAAACACAAAATTGATAGAGTGTATATTGAAGACCAACTACTGTTTTTTTAAACACAAAATTGATCATTTTAAAGAGTGAAAATTTATATATGATAACTAACTCTCATAAAAAAAATTAAGCTTTTGCAATTTCATCAATCCACGTGCATTTGAGTTATAGTGATTATGTCTTTCGACTTATTAATAATTAAGAATTAAAATTCTCTTTTGTTGGGGCATATTTGTTGCTGCCGTAAAAATGCTTTAAACTTGGAACTAAATCCCGGTAACCGATTAAATTTGATGCAGAAAAATAATAGATTAACGATAAAGCTTATATGTACCTTAAATAAAATATGACAGGTATCAATCGAAAGTTAAAACAAAAACTTAATATTTTAATTCAAAGCAAAATGTTACAATTTACCGTAGAAATTTTCAGCCAATTCCTTTTAAAATCACAGGATCTTTCAAGAAATTTTATATATGGAATAATTGCAATCTCCACTTTTTTTTTCAGTTATTTTAATATGCTCGTTTTCCATAATAAAATAAAATATGTTGGGAGTTTTATATAAATGACACTAAACCTAATTTCGAAATGCCTTACGGTGATATATCAAATTTGATTTTTTAATTATTTTAACTTTAAGGTTTTTTATTTTGTAACACAAAAATAGGCAAAAAAATAACGGAGTAAACGTAATTATCTCTCGTGCGAGCCTAAACAACTCCGGTCTAATTTTATACGTACAAATACCGCTTAAACCCACTTAATTTGAAACATTGGAACTAAATCTCATTTAAAGATTTGAACTTTATAAATTTTATATAATGATTTTTTCACCCTTATTCAACACAAAAATATAAATATCACTAAAAATTAGCAAAATTTTTGATTCTATTGAAATTCCTTTTCAATTTATTTATGCTAATCATATCATATCAATATGTCAAAATGTTCCAATCAACTTACACTTAAATGTAAAAGATGCTCGAAACAATTCAATAATTCAAAAAGGGCCCTTGAACATCTAAAAACACACAATATTATCGACTATTACGCAGAAAGACAAACTAATCCAATCACACTAGAAGTAACCTGTGGATCATGCCATGAAATTTTACCAAATATGGCCGAATGTAATTACCACCACTATAAACAACATAACCGTAACGAATTAATTTTAGAATATTTTGCAATAGTGGATGCCTCAGGTTGGTTTTATTGTTCAAGCGAACGTTGTAATTCGAAATTTAAAGTCCAGAGGGACTTAGACCAACATTATTATGAATTTCATAAACTCCAACCATGTCAACAATGTGGCAAAAAAGTTCACGATCTTAGAAAACACATGTTGTCAAAAAACTGCATAACCGAACAAAGATTGAATGAACAAAAAAGAAGAAAGCTTAATGAAAAACCAGGCAATCAAAATTGATTCAAAGAGAAAAAGTATCGGGGAGTTAGAAAATTTGAGGAGGTAGTGTTAGTTAGTTTTTGTATATTTTTTTTTTGTTTTTTTTTTTTTGTCATTTTGTTTTTTTTTATGTTATAGTTTTTTTTTTTATGTTTTTGTTTTTTGCTTGTCTTTTAGTTGTTTTTCACATCAATATAAATCAAAATTTAAATATCCAAAAATACAATCATAACTCTATATCTCTGTTGTTATTGTATTAAGCAAAGCTCCAAGCTCTCTCTATTGCGTATTTTTAATACGTTTGAAGTATATCTTCGTAGCAATTTAGTTTAGAATTTATGTTATCCCATCGCCAAATGCTAAATTGAGAGTAATTTGATTGAGAATAGTTAAATCTGGTTCACATTTCCAATCATTATATTATGTTTCACATCAAACTGAATTATTGATATTTTAAGTTCTAGTCTATTTGATAATTTTTATAAATTCGAGAACAGCGATATTTTTTAGCAACAGATCGTAGTCATCAGATATCTAAATTTTTATTCAGCAGGTAGATCAAATTGAGTGTAAAAATCTATAGTTACTTTTAAACTATCATCAGATAATTAAGCCATGGTATAGTCCAAAATTTAATCACGTATAGATTAGAAAGCTAGTTGAAATTTTCGTATCTTACAAACTTTTTTTTATTTTTTAGTTTTCAAGGTTACATTGATTAGATTTTGATTGATACTTAGTTGAATTGTATTATGTAGCTTAAACTGTTATGTCAGTCTATGCCTCTGTGATGCAATTCGGTGGATTGAGTCTAATAATATTTTAAAAATGTATGTTTTATCATAAGTCTATTTATTTAGTATATGATTTAGTTGTTGATATATAAAACTATAAACATCGTTGAGTTTAGTAAGAGATATTAACTGTTGTTACGGTATTACACTACTATCATTTACTATTGTTAAATCCCATTTGGGAATTAAAAGGCTTCATATATGAAACATACGTACGGTGTCATAAAGTCGTAAGTCGTATTAGACTAGACTTTATACCCGTATTAATTCATATGTCGTACTAATTAAGAAGTTAGACATAAATAAAACAATATAAATATGACTAAAGAAGTATGTAAATTGTATATTTAAATAAATAAGACTTTTCAATAATAATATCTATTTCGTATGATGCTTAATCAATATAATTTCAGTTATTTATTATCATATTTGCCATATTCATTCTTTTTTTTTTTTCTCTTTCAAGCAATTCATTAAGTAATTTACCTATACATATTTAAACCTCCATGATTCATTTATGTTACGATTCCATATTTATTTCCTTTTCTTTCTCTACTTTATTTGTATTATTTATCACTATTACAAGATGAACAGATCCTTGTGCATAGTTAAGTATGTGAAAAAAAACAATGCTCTCAGAGAATGTTACTTAAATTGAAAGTGATAAGCAAAAGTAAAAAAAGTAGTGCAGACAACGCGAATCGAACGCGTGCGGCTTTCGCCACTTGTGTTTTCAACTTTTTAAATTGAAAGTTTAGAGAGTTGAACTCTCGTCATCTTGAAACAAGCACCTTAACCACTCGGTCATATCTGCCATCACACGACCTTAACTAGTAAGCTAACCACTAGGCCACATAATCCAATTTCAATAATTTATAAATTTAAAATGCCTATCTTAATTTACTTAACGACCCTTTTTAGGATAGGATTTTTATACGCTTTGATCTTTACTTTCCAAGTAGAATAGCTTAAGATCATGCTATATGTGAGGTTTATAATCAAAATTCCTTTGGTAACGTAGCACAAGTAGCAATTATATAGCCTTGGAAAGTTGGTATAAAATGTGCTCGTTTATGGATCTAGCAACAACAATAAGAATATGGTTTTGATCATATTCAGGAGAGCCACCAATAAAGTCCACTTTAACTGAATACCATCTTGATGTAGGAATTGGCAATGGTTATAATAATGCCATGAACAGTTTTAGGATATCTTTCCTATCAGATATTCCTGAAAACTAGACATAAAATTTTATTATGCGAATTGTTATACGAAAAACAATTGATTAAACTAATATATAAAATATTTACATATAGTGGAAAACTGTTCACATAAAATGAATATGTCTCACTTACTTGGTTAATTGTATAGAATAAATATCGGTGTTGTAATTTCGATATTTGCCACATGATTTATCAGTAATAATTTTGTATGTACGATTTACATGGTGATTTTGTATATCGACAATATGGTTCTCTTCTTTTTAATCAAAATAAATTTTGTTTGACGAATGAGGAAATGTCTTTTTTGGTTACGATTTAATCAATTCGCCAGCAACTTGAATTTTAACATCTTAGTGTAAAATAATTTTGTTGTGGAACTGTCTAATGAATGATATTGTAATATTTTTATGTCTACTTCTTTTTTGAAATCTTCCATTTTGACCATATTCATACCCGAAGTACTATTAAAATATATTAGTGTAGGCTCTAATTGACTGTCTGAGATGTATTCCATAACATTCTTTAACCATATTTCTAGTTTTAAAGCATGAGCAATAGCAACTACTTCTGATTCACCTGGTGATAATGTAACAAGTTTATTTAATTCTGAAGAGCATGCTACAGGAGCATTACCTTATCTAAAAATAAAAACTAATGTCCCTCTGAATTTTGGAGTAGCATTGCAAGTGGTATCGGCATACCCACCTAATTTATCATTATTCTTTGACTTTTCAAATTTGATTCCCATACTTGTAGTTTTCTTTAAATATCCTAAAATTCTTTTCAAATAGTGAACGACTTTATCTGATGGTTTGAGTTGATGGTGTGAAAAATGTAGTTGATACGGTATGTCAAATCTGGACGAGTGTTAGTCGAAAGATAAATTAATTTTCCAATGATTTTTCTTGCATTTTGAACTCTATCTTCATGATCCTTTTCATTTGTGATGTTGTATTGATGAGTGATGTAAGTGGTAGGAGGACATGATATAACACCTACTTCTGCACCTAAAAACTTTTCAATAACACCTTTCGTATATCCTTCTTGATTTAAAGTTATATTTTCTTTTCGTGTAATTCTCGATTCTCAATTTCGAGAATTTTTCTTTTGATATGAAGCTTTTACTATCCAAATCTTCTCTAACTTTATCAACTATTTTAATTTTATATTTTTAATTAATATTGTTCATAATATCTAATCCTTTTTATTTGCTCTTTGGTAATATCAATATATCATCAACGAAAGTTGAAATAATGATCTCTTTACTTTCAGATGTATATATACACGGGAAAGATCTATTACAGTTGAAACCTGTATCATGGAGTTCTTTTCTCAAATGTTTGAATAAATTTTCATTTGATTGTCTTCAACCATATCAACTTTTGTTTCATTTCAATAATATGGTTTTGTCTGGTGATGAATGATCAAGTTTACTGAATCTCTTATAAATTGCACGCATACTAACATATCTTTCTTTATCAATTTTTGATGGTGTATAAGCAGTTTTACGCGAATTTGAAATAAATGATCGTCCTTCATAACACAATTTGCACTATTAATTTTCAATAGATCTGAAGCTAAAGTTGGGCTGTAAATTTTTTCGTCTTATTCCACCTTTTATAAATCACCACTAGCGCATAATCTTGCTTTCATGCCTATACTAAAGTTTTGATCTTTCTTTTCATTTAGAACCCATTTTGTTGGATTAACATTATATTTCTTCTTCTGATTTGATGGAATTTGAATTTCTGTAAATGTATGATTTTCAATAAATATCTCCAATTCTTTATCTATTGCATTTAACCATATATCCTTATCTTTAGATTGTAACAAATGCTTGATATTATTGATGACAATTTTTCTACTCTTTGCTGTTGAGTCCCATACAATTTTTTGAGCTCTTTCAGATAAAACTAATGGTTTTCAAAAAATGGTCTTTTGAGTTTTATTGATTTCCATATTACTTTGATCTTGTTTCAAATTTTCATCTTCAGTTAATGAACCTTGTAGTGGTCTTTTATTTGGGTTTTCAATATGAAGTGCTTCTTCCTTATCATCTTCATCAACATCATCTGTTTGATTTTCTAATACGTCTGATTCTTCTTCTTCATCAGCCTCTGCTTTTTCTTCAACGTATTCAACATTTTCTTCACTTCCAGATTCTTGTTTAGCATATTAATCATTTTATTCATCTTCAGATTCTTCTACAGTATCTTCAGGTTGATCTTCAGTATCTTCTATTTCTTCACGTTCCTTAATTTCTAATTTCAAATCTAATTTTACTTCAGTAGTTGTTTCATTTCATAAATATTACTTTCTCTTCATCAAAATGAGTGTTACTTTCTTCCTTTTCATAATCACTATCTTGTTCATTTTCACCTTCATCAACTTCGTCTAAAATTAATAATTCCTCTTGTGCTCGACATTTTGAAGTTTCATCTTCTACTTCAGATGTATAAATTGAATTGTATTCCTCAAAGTCAACATCAATTTCTGTATTTTAATAAACTTCATCTTCAACTTCTTCCTCTAAGTTTTGTGAATACTGATCAATTGAAGTTCCAGCTTCAAAATATCCTCTTCATCTTCGTCAATCCTTTCTAATATAACTGGGTCTTCAATATTCATTGGATAATCATTGTTAAGTTCCACAATATTAGTATGATGATCTTTGTTAGTTTCCACTTGAATATTTTCATTGAATGTCATTGGATCTATAGCCTCATATTCTTCCATTGGATTCACATCAATTTCCATATTAATTTCCTCAGTTACTTCTCCTTTACCTTCATCATCACAGTCGTAATAATATTCACTGGATCATACTCGAAAATATTGGTTTCAGTTGGTAAATCTTTATCTGTTTTTTGTGAATCTAAAATTTTTTCTCTTAAATTTTTTGTTTGAAACTAAAAATATGCTAAGATCCTTTTCAGAACTGACAAATTTCACAGCTATGGCTTTATTTGTAACCTTTTGCTCGAATTTTTTAATGTTTGGATTCAATATATAACATGTTTGACCAAATTCTGGACTGACATCCAAATTTTTATCAAAAAAGTTAAACAATTTTGAGTATTGATTGATTGATTTTTGAAGATAGTGAAGTGGTGAATCTTGCATACTACAGTGATATGTGACATTGTAGATTGTTGTTGCATAATCTATAGCTTTGTCTAAAGTTGACTTTATTGGTTGACGACTGGTGTTGTTTTAACAGCATCTTAATTTGATTCCAATGATGCGGTGAAATCTTTCAATTGTTGAATTTTCTTTTGGTTGTTGAGCTGAACTGGTAATGTGAATAATTCCTTATGTTTTAAATAATTCTTGAAATAGGTTGATTATATACTTTGATCCTATGTCAATATGTAACGTTTTTACTTTTATGTCAATTTGAGTATTTATTAAACTTAACACATCCTTGAATTTTTATAAACTTCCTCTTTTGTTGTATTTTTTAAAGGAATGATGAAGGCATATTTACGTCATATGATGGAAAGATACATTTTGTCATTAATAAAAAATATTTCTGAATGTAAATGATTGAAAACTTCATTTTCATTCCGTCTAAAGTTTTCTCTTGAACCCTTTGCAATTGGTCATTCAATTTGATTTTTAACAAAATATTCTTCACAATCTGCTTCATCTGCTGATTTTTCTTTGGTTTGAATAATCTTATTCAGGATCGTTTTCTTTAAGTATTCAGGTAATATGTGAAGTAATGTTTCGTGAATATTATTCATTGATTTTTTTTAATGAGGTGAGGTATTGGAATGAAGGGATAGTTGTCTTTGATTTTAAATTTTATGATATCCCCTTTTTAATGTAATGATGGTTGGTTGTTATAAATGATTTCTATTCTTTTAATTCTGAATCATTAATTACTCTATATAAGTATAAGACCGGTAATTGTTTAACAGTTTCTGGACAAAATCTTATCTTAAACTAAACCTTTTCCTGCAACATAGAATTTGGTGTTGCTGGTTGCATAGCAGTAATCAGTAGATGGTTCCAAATCGATTACAACATTTTGCTGAAATTCCTCTTACCACACAATAAAAAATGAATGTGATATGAAATTGGGTCTTACAACTAATAGAAAAGATGTACAAAATACAACTCTGATAATTGAAGTATATAAAACGAGCGAAAAGTTATCAAAATCAAAATGAATAAGCTAATAGTTAATAATGTCTTTCTACTAATAACAATAGTTCAATTCATTATATTAATTGACCATTCAAGATCTTTTAAATTTACATAGGCTACTGTATAATTATTATAATAATTATTTTTTTATTAGGTTAATCTTTTCTATATATCTAATTACTACTTCCAGCGCTGCTTCACATTTCAAAATCATCTTCTGCATCAATTTCATCATCGAAGTTTTCACCTTCTAATGTTCTTTTACCGCAAAACTTAAACCAACTTGTAGCTAATTCTTTTTCATTATAGGTTGATTTATTACTGAACATATTTTGATAATTGTTACTATCAAAAGCTTTATCAACTTTGATCAACTTTTTGAAAAGCTCCAATCTCAATCCAAAATGAGTTCCAATTGATTTTTCTATTCTTAATGATTTGACTTGATTAGCAATGGACTTTGAAATATAAATTCTATCCAATCTTCTGCAATTAGTATAATTTGTATTAGTGAATAAAAACCGATCATCTCCGTCGATGCTACGTTGTAAATCAATTAATTCTAATTCATTTGTTATTTCATTCATTATCTTTTCAATATCCTTAGAATCACTTTTTGAAGTTGTTGAATCTTTTTGATGAGTGACAAAGTTGAAATCACCTAATAAGATGATTGGTATTCCTGGACTAGCATGAGCAAGAAATATAACAGCTTTCTGGAATTTTTGGAGCATTGTAAGTTTAAGTTCAACGTAACTATCACAGCCATAATAGTTGATAATGATAAATTTCCAATCACCCAATTGAACCAACCTTGATTGAACTCTATTAGCAAATAAATCATCAACTCCTGAATTTTGAGATTTCATTAAATCTTCAATGTTGTTACCATTCACCTCATCCAAAATAGTATCAGTAAGTTTCAAATCACGATATGACATGAGTACTTGATCGTTGTGAACAACATTCATGCTCTGTGCTGCCCTGTAAAGAGCATCAGTTGCTTCTTGAGTTACAACCAAATCTGAGGTGGACATTATACGATTGAATGCTAAATAACCATGATTCATATTTTGTGAACTTACTGTAATGGCATTTTGATCTTCATTGAAATTGTTGGTGTAGTGGTAGGTTGGGAGTATGAGATTTTGTAAAAGGATTGATGAAGATGGTAACTGTTGGTCCAAATTAATAGCATACTCTAATATAGCAAATTGCTTAAGTAATTGATTTATAAGTCTGATATTTCTATTGCAAGAACGACCATCATTTTGATGAAATTGTAAAAGATCTTGATTTTTCACAGTGGTATGGCAATTGTCACAAGAAACATTTTGAAATTTTTGAATTGATTTTTCTGTTGGTTCTATGTCTTGTGGCTCCTTCCACAACATTATCATATAATCTTTATAATTTGGGCAACCAGCAGTAGCTAAAAGGTCTAGCTTGATAAATTTATCAATAAATGTAGGATATAATTCTGGGTATTCTGCATGAGAAGCATCGGGAATATCAATTCTTAACCTATTGTCGCCTTCACCAGTAATATGTCTAGATAATTTATCAGGAGTTGGAAATTTCATATCTCGAGGAAATTGGAAATTTAAAGCTTGGCAACACCCGACACAATTGTACTCACATGCATTTGTTTTATTGAGTGCATGATAAATATATCTAAGTTTTGTTGAAGGATTAACTGCATCAGCATAATAGTAAAATTGATCTATGCTTTCAACCACCGCTAAGATACATTTTGATTGCTTAAGATGTCTTGCCAAAGCAAATGAGTCTCTGAATAAATCCTGGCAACAGATACACAAATGAAGGAGATTTTTTTTCTTACCTTTTGCTTTATAGCATTCGAAAAGATGTTCCACCAATGTTTGAGCATCATCAAATTTTGTACGACATTTTTTACATTTTAGCTCTTCAACCACTTTTTCGAAATATTTTGATATAAATGTTGTTGGTTCATTAGTAGCAGGTGTATAAGGATGTTTTTCAAAGATCAATCGATCGTTAGGATGATTAATTAATTGTGATTGATCAAAATCATTAGACAATAAAGGATGATGATTGTAAATGTGCAATTTGAGATCTGAATCATTTGAAGTTGAATAATTACAATTAGGTGATATGCAGATAAATGAATTTGGGATAGCAGCTGAAGTCTCCATTTGTTATGAAATTATTGGATCATGGAAATTGTTGTATTATTAACATTCAGTAAATTAATACTACTAAAAATTGCATTTGAATGGAAAATTGTACAGTTTATATAATCTTTTATTTCAAACTTTTCTTACTATGTATCTAAAATATTTTTGTTAAAAAGTTTACTGCGTAAAGTTAAACGTTTGAACTAGAAAATTATGTTATACATTTTTGTATCGAGTATGATTTACCCCCTAAAATATTCTTAATTTGGGGTGTCGTGTTAACTCTAATTTTTTATTTTTTATTTTTTTTTTTTTTGATCAAAAATATTTGGTCGGCTAGATTTTTGCAATCACATTATTTTTTCAGAATGATTAAACTATGCTTTCTTAGGATTTTTAGGGCTACATAAGGTCTTAGTTGATTTAATTTAACCTATATACAGTTAATGGTTTATTGGCTACTTAACTCAATTTATTGTGAAAAACAGAAAACTACAATATAATATTCAATTTCTATATAAACTTTAAAAATCATTTTTCAATTAATCCTTATCAAACGTTTGCAGTACTGAAAGAAGTTATTAAAACTTTATTTCACATACTAAGTTTTGTTTTGTATAGTAAAACTCGAAATATAATAATTTTCTTTTATTGTATGTGAGCACATTAAAATTACTAAAATGAGAAGAAGGGATGGCTATTTGTTTTATATGTTGATTCTTTAAATGATCCTGTGATTATATAAGGATTGAGTCAAAAAATTCTCGTGAAAAATGAATAGTATTTTATTTAATTAGATTCTTTGTTTAAACCTTCGATTATCTGTCACATTTAAATTTCAGGTACAGATTATTTAGATTAAACTTTAGTATTAAACTATTGTTTGATCGCATCGAATTAAGTCGATTACGAGGAATTAATTTAAACAAACGAGAAATTTTACGACAAAACAATATCATCCAAGCTGAATATGATTTACTCCAATACTATTTAAAAAAATTGAAAGGGATGACCCAACAAAATCAAAGACACAATAATTTGTTTGTATTGATAAGTTTAAATTCCCAAAAAGTTAGAGGTTTGAACTTTAGACGACGATAACTTATTAATGATAATTTTTGTACAATTTATAGTAATTGGTTACCATATAAATTTTCAAAACAAGGTTTTGTAACTTTAAAATAAGCTTTCTTGCAAATTCATATACAAAATTATTAGTCATTTATTTTACACTCAATATTTATATTTGATCCAACTATATATCATTCATGCTAAATCAAATGACTTGGTAAAGATTTTATTTGAATATTAAATAGTAGATGTATACTTTATTGAAAGTATACCTTGATCAAAGAAAATATAAGTACTAAATGTTTACGGGTCTTATTTGAGATAAGATTTAAAAAAGAAAATAATATAAAATGCAGATACGAAGATTTAGAACTAGACCTTTCTTAGGACACTAAGTATTATATGTACATTTTTAATATAATTAAATTTATCAGACTACTTTTTTTCTTGAATTTTTTCGGTGTAATTTTTTCATTAATCAAATTCAATTTGGTTGTAAGAATGTATGAGCTTCTTTCATTGATCATTCATCAAGATAAACGATAACTGAACACTAGACTCAATCCAATCTGAGGTCTTTAAGATAAATAAATTGCATTATTTCAAGGACAGATAATTAATACTTTTTATGAAATATGAAAATACAATAGATATTTTTAGGCTATAGATACTTATCTGTTTGTGTATCCAAAAAACTTTAATTACTTTATCACTGATAATTATAGACTCCATACAAATTTTCAAATTGCCGTTCAGTTCAACCCTGATTGCGCCTCACGGATAGACATCCGTACAATCATAGCAAAGAATCCTTTTAATCCTTACCGCAGTACTAAATGAAAACATGTACACTTCAATAAGGGTTGAATTGAATTCTAACCTACTTATATAAAGATAAAGCATGATTTCTTTTTCGAAACCGGTAGTTAATTCAATCAGTGGCTAGATCGCTAAATAGTAAAGTTAAACTTTGAAAGAGCAAGGACTATATACTATATAAAAGAAAAACTTTTAACATAGGAACACAGAATTCGCTACTATTTTTTTTTGTACAAATTTCATTCCAATTTTTCGCTACAAACGAAGGATTAAACGATAAAATACTAGACTACTGATCTAATAAACAATTAATATTGAAAAATAAAAAAATAGACTATATTTATAATATACATTAGTTATAAATCAATATCAATGGTTAAACAAAAATGCATAAGACCAGTTTCGTTGTTCAAAATGTTCAGAAGGTAGAGCTTATATGAGCACATCTGGTTAATAAAATTTTCGTAATATGAAATGTGGTACCATTGCTTCTGCTGGATAGTCAAACTCTAAACCAAGGTAATTTTTCCAACTCATTTGATTGATATGAAGTGTTATCTTTTAAAATTGCTCTACTTAAAGGTTCGACTTCTTTAGTGTAATGGAGATCTAAACGTTCTGCTGGCAAGTCTTTGGTCAATCGAAAACCTTCATTCATCTTGACTAATGCAATGTATGACATATTTTCTTTGATTTTAATTTCGTAGCTATTGTTGGCATTATGATAATTTTTTATTTCAGCATTCATTTTCTCCATAGATAAGTTCTAACTTTGATGTGTTCTTAAAATTTTGGTTCATCTTGCTTGTAAAACTCAATTTTATTCTGTTTATTTGCTTCTAATGTAGCATATTGCTATTCGAGAGTTTGAATTTAATTTTCTAGCTCTTCACGTTGTGCTAAGTTTGCATTTAAAATTACTTCTTTCTCATCTAAATATTGATTTAAGCTATGTTCTAGTCCTGTTGGAGGCCAAACATATATCTCATTTAAACTTCTCGCTACATCTTTCAACGCTGGCATTTAAAATTTTCTTGAATATTAGTTCGGTCAGCTTATTCTTATCATGGTTTTGAAACGGATATGAAAGTAAATCCTCTTCCCCTACATTTCTGTAAGTTTAATGTCATGGTCGAGACGTTGAGGTTCAGTCAAGTCTTGTGTGAACTTGATCCACACATAAAGCTTACTGTATTTCGCAATTTTATTTTCATTACAGCATGATAAATTCTTTTGAAAGTATATAACAATTTCAAAACCGGGGTTTTGTGTACAATCACAATCTGAGTATATTCTGATTGATTTAAACGTATAGTTTGTAATGATATTATTTTAATCCCAGACAATTTATATAAACGAAAAGGATCATTATATTTAAACCGCATTATATTTAGATCGCAGAGTTCAAAGCTTTTATTATCCTCATTTTTACATCTATATTTGATATCACTTGGTTAAAAGTATTACTCGTTGTATGGTTGTCGAATTTCTGCTTTAGTAATTTCATAATAGTCATTTTTTTTTTCAAAACTAATTGTTTATTAAATCAGTAGTCCCAGCTTACTAAACAGTAAAGAAATAAACTTAATTTAAAGAAAAAATATTCAGTTTCAAAAATTTTGAAACTCATGTTTCAATTTGTTTATCTTCTCAAACGCTTGCAATATTACAATTGAAATTAACAAAGCTTTATCCCATACCGAAGTATCTTAGACTTATCAAAATTAAGGTTTAACTAATAAATCTCAATATATAATAATCTTCTTTCATAGTAAGTGACGGATTAACATTATTACTAAAATGAAAGAAGGGAAGTTTATTTGTTCATATGTAAAATTTTTAAACGATCCTGTGATTTCAAAGGAAGTTGCTCAGAAAATTTCGTGAAAAATAAATGATATTTTCTTTGATTATTGATTCTTTGCTTTAACTTTCGATTAATACCTGCAATCTTTAGAAGTATTTAAATTGAACTTAAACGTTTATCTATTGTTTGTTCTCCTCGAATTAAACCGTTTACTAGGATTTGACTTAAACATTCAGATATCTAAAAACACTATCATCCGAGCTTTACTCCAACACTAAGTAAAAAAAATTGAAAGGGATGATTATGTAAAAGCAAAAACACAATAATTGTTGATATTGAAAAAGTTTAAATTTTTTAAAACATTAAAGATTCGAAACATTTTGTATCAGATTCCTTATAAAAGTCTTTTATGAATCTTACAGTAGTTCGTTACTCATATAAGTCTTACGTAGCAGGTGTGGGGGAAAAGGGTTTGTCGACCTATTATTTTATCTACTTTAGTATGTTAGACTACTTATATAGATTTTTAATAATAATATTTAAACGAAAAAATAAAAGTAACATTCACCCTTTCTAAATCGTATATAAAACTTTATTATTTATATTCGATATTAATATTTGATCCATCTACAAGTCGTATGTTTTTTACATACTCAAGATAATTATTCCAATAAGATACAAATACATAGTCAGTAGTAGAGTATACTTTAAGATTGATTAATTAACTTTACTATGATCTAAGAAAATATTGAATATTATTTGAAATAATGATTTAAATTGCAAATCAAATTTGAGTAAAAGGCAGATACGAAAAAATGAAACAAATTTTGCTTATCATCAAGTGATGTACTAATGTATGAATAAAAAGAATGACTATTTTTATCTCGCCTTTCGATTTCACGGCTAAGTTTTATATTATTGAAATCTTCAAGTTTGTGTAGAAACTCTTGATCTTCAACTTCAATACATATTTTGCAAAATGTTTGACCGTTATATATACAACTATAATTCAGCATGAATGTTTTTCATAAATTATCGAAAGAAACTAAAATAAATCAATTCAATATGTCCAATCATCAACCTAAAGAGTTCATTTTCAAATGCAAACATTGTTCAATAGTAATTGATAATTTTTATAAATCATTAGAACATTTAGAGCTTCATAGTATACATTATTACGCAGAAGAAATTGTGGATCCAGAAACTTCAGAAATAACATGTGGTTTTTGCTTTGAAAAGTTTCAAGAAGTTAAAAAATACAATTGGCATCATTTCACTGATCATCATGATGAAACAATAGTTTTGGAAAATTTTGATGCAATTGATACAACAAACTGGCTAAAATGTTCAGCGGGTTCAATATGTAAAGCCAAATTTAAAACAGAAAAAGAGCTTGAAAATCACGACAAAGAATTTCACAAAAAATAAGTCTGTCAAAGATGTTCAAAATTAATATAAAATCTTGGAAAAACATTTGCAAACTAAAGCTTGCAAAGAAGCAAGAAACAAATGATCAAATAATCCATGGAACTCATGTGATGTCTAATTCCAACAAAACTTAAATCTTTCAAAAAAGTTAACTATTTAGATTTCATATAGTATCAAAATCATATAATCCATTCCTATTTCAATTTCAATATTTCTAAAATTTGTTTCCAAATAAATAACTTGTATTACCAATACAATTCTTACCCTACCCTAACTGATATCAAAATACATAATAATCTTTATAATACCACATCCAAAATAAACTTAAACTACTTACAATTAAAGGTCCGGATAATCCTTTACCTAATTTAGTAGTTTTAAAAATTAACCATTCACTTAAAAAATGAAAACCAGCTATAATAAAAGTGAATTGAGTTAATTGATAAATTTGATTGTTTGTAATATTATAAGCTCCATATAATCTAACAATTGATGTAATTAATGTCCAAGTTCCAAAAGTTCTTGCTGATAAATTTGTAACTTGTTGAGGTTTTGAATTATATACTCTTTTTGTTAATGATAAATCTTTTTGATATGATTGGAAAGAATTGAAAATCGATACAATTGAAATGAATAATAACCAGTAAGGGAGTTTACCACCTCTTGTATATGGTAAAGTTAATGGAAACATTGATGATTGTTGATGAAAATATCAATTGCGCGGAAATTCAAATGAAAACGCGATTGTAGAATTTTTTGAGAGTAAGAGATCTCGGTGTTAGTTTACCAAACTACAGCACACAAATTTTACAAACATAATATTTATTTAACAATTGTAGCATCTTGAACCTTTGTTGGATCTTTATCTTTCAATACTTCAACTACAGGTCCTAATAATCTTTGAAATCCAGATTTACCTAATGTTGCAACAATTACATTATCTAAAGCTTTAACAGTAGCTTGTCTTGGTAATTCTTTTATTAAAGCTAATTCTCCAAAATAATCACCTTTACCTAATTTTTTTATTTCACCTAATTTTGTGTTAAATACTTGACAAGTACCACTTTCAATAAGATAAAAGTTTTCTCCTTTTTCACCTTCAACAACTATATTATCACCATTATGATACATTTCTGTACTTAAAGCATCAGCTAACTTTGATCTTTCTTGATCTGTAAGTGATTTTAATATTTCAATATCCTTGAGGAAATCTTCATACATTAATCTTCTATTAAAAGTTCCCTCTAATAATATACGACGGAAAGTTAGACGATCTAATGCCCATACTGTTACATCAGAAGCAGCAATTGCAGTTGCAGCTCTTGGAGAATTATACATTAAAGCTAATTCACCAAATGATGATCCATCACCACTTGAATTTACTTTTGAATCATTTACATAAAAATCAACTGTACCTGATTCTATTATATAAAAAAAATCACCTTCATCTCCTTGTTTTATAATAATTGAATCCTTTTTAAAATTTTTAGATTGTAATGCAGATATAACTGTTTTTTTAGAATTTGCATCTAATTGTTTAAAAAGAAAATTATTTTTTAAACTTTTTGCTAAAGATTCTTCTTCTGTTGATGATAAATTATTTTGAGGAGGTTTCCAACTTTCTGATTTTAATTTTGCTGGATTTAATGCTTCTGCTGATACTGAAGTTCTTCTATTTATATTAAAAGTTTTAGGGATTTTTTGTGGTTGTGATGAGGAAGTAGGTGTATCAGGATCAATTTCTTTTGTTGGAGGTGCTTGATCAGTTTCATCAACTTTATAATTAGATTTAAAAATTGAATTTTGATTTGATGATTTATTTCCATGAGGATCATTTAGACCAAACGGTGATTTAAAACTTGGTTCTCGATTCTCTATTATATCTGTTGGAGGAAATAATTCTATACCTGCTTCTTTTGCTTTTGATTGTTGTAACCATAAATTAGATCTTTGACTTTGTAATTTATTATTAAAATAATTTGCACAGAATTGAATTATATCTTGTGGATTTTTAGCAAGTATTTCCTTTTGTAATTGAGACAATTCATCTGTCACTAATTGATTAGACATGATGATTGATTGAATTGTTGGTGGTGATTATAGCAAATGTAACTTAAAAATGGGGATTGATGTAGACATTTTGAAAGATAAAAGAATGGTGAGAAATTACACTACCTCAATACTGGTAGCTCTCTGTAAACACTACCAATTGCTTTTCCACAATATTCTTAAGTGTATAACGTGTTATATAATTTTTGACACGTAATTTTCAATAGAACGTAATTTATATATAATAAGATTTACCGAGATTAATTTTCACTTTTTTCATCCATAGATTTTGCACAAACAAATCAATCATGAGATCTTGGTTATCACGTTTAGGATTTCTATATGTGGCATTAGTCATTTTAATACCATTTTTAAATAGTTTTGTACAAGCAGAAGATGATATAACAGATAATTATGGAACTGTTATTGGTATTGATTTAGGTACAACTTATTCTTGTGTTGGTGTAATGAAAAATGGTAAAGTTGAAATATTAGCAAATGATCAAGGTAATAGAATTACTCCTTCATATGTTAGTTTTAATCAAGATGAAAGATTAGTTGGTGATGCTGCAAAAAATCAAGCTTCATCAAATGTTAATAATACAGTTTTTGATATTAAAAGATTAATTGGATTAAAATATAATGATGATACTGTTCAAAAAGAATTAAAACATTTACCTTATAAAATAGAAAATAAGGGAAACAAACCAGTTGTTAAAGTAGAATTTAATGGAGATGAAAAAATATTTTCACCAGAAGAAATTTCAGGTATGATTTTAGGTAAAATGAAATCAATTGCTGAAGAATATCTTGGTAAAAAAGTTACTCATGCAGTTGTTACTGTTCCTGCTTATTTCAATGATGCTCAAAGACAAGCAACCAAAGATGCTGGTACTATTGCTGGTTTAAATGTCTTGAGAATTGTTAATGAACCTACTGCTGCAGCAATTGCTTATGGATTAGATAAAACTAATGAAGAAAAACAAATTATTGTTTATGATTTAGGTGGAGGTACTTTTGATGTTTCATTATTATCAATTGAAGGTGGTGTTTTTGAAGTTTTAGCAACTGCTGGTGATACTCATTTAGGTGGTGAAGATTTTGATTTTAAAATTGTAAGATATCTTGCAAAACAATTTAAAAAGAAACATAATATTGATATTACTTCAAATGCTAAAGCTATTTCTAAATTAAAAAGAGAAGCTGAAAAAGCTAAAAGAACTTTATCTTCACAAATGTCAACAAGAGTTGAAATTGATTCATTTGTTGATGGTATTGATTTTTCAGAAACTCTTTCAAGAGCTAAATTTGAAGAATTAAATATGGCATCTTTTAGAAAAACTTTAAAACCAGTTGAACAAGTTTTAAAAGATGGTAATGTTAAAAAAACAGAAATTGATGATATAGTTTTAGTTGGTGGTTCAACAAGAATTCCAAAAGTTCAAGAATTATTGGAACAATTTTTTGATGGTAAAAAGGCTTCTAAGGGTATTAATCCAGATGAAGCAGTTGCTTATGGTGCAGCTGTTCAAGCAGGTGTTTTAAGTGGTGAAGAAGGTGTTGATGATATTGTTTTATTGGATGTTAATCCATTAACTTTAGGTATTGAAACTTCAGGTGGTGTTATGACTACTTTAATTAAAAGAAATACTGCTATTCCAACTAAAAAATCACAAATTTTTTCAACTGCAGCTGATAATCAACCAACTGTTTTAATTCAAGTTTATGAAGGTGAAAGAACTATGGCTAAAGATAATAATAGATTAGGTAAATTCGAATTAACTGGTATTCCACCAGCACCAAGAGGTGTTCCACAAATTGAAGTTACTTTTTCATTAGATGCTAATGGTATCTTAAAAGTTGAAGCTGCTGATAAAGGAACTGGTAAATCAGAAAGTATTACAATTACTAATGAAAAAGGAAGATTATCAAAAGAAGATATTGATAGAATGGTTGAAGAAGCAGAAAAATATGCTCAACAAGATCAAGAATTAAAAGAAAAAATTGAAGCAAGAAATTCATTAGAAAATTATGCTCATGTATTAAGAGGTCAATTAAATGATAAATCAGAAACTGGATTAGGTTCAAAATTAGAAGAAGATGATAAAGAAGCATTAGATGATGCTATAAAGGAAACTCTTGAATTTATTGAAGATAATTTTGATACTGCAACTGCTGAAGAATTTGAAGAACAAAAACAAAAATTAATTGATGTTGCTAATCCAATCACTGCTAAATTATATGGTGGAGATGCAGGTGCACCAGGTGGAGCACCAGGAGGAGATGCTAAATTCGGTGACGATGACTCTGATGATGAATTAGATCATGATGAATTGTAAATAATTGAAGTTTTATAGCTTTTCATAAATTTTTATAGAAACGACTTTTTTTAAAAAATAAAATATGGTACGTTAATTCTACGAGGAATGCCTAAAAAGCAAATAAAACTATTCAAATTTCCAGATAGTTTCATTAATCTACCTAATTCATTAACGGAATATAATTTCCCAGAACCTGAATCAATACATGAGCAAATAATAACTATTCCAAACTTTTTTTCAAAATCATTATGCACAGAACTAATTAAATCATTCGAACATCAATTAGATTTACAAACCACTCCTCTTATTAAAAGTAAAGATTATGCTGCAAGATATAATGATAGAGCAAATACTCTTGATTTAAATGCTGCTCATATTTTATGGCTTTATTTACAAAAAATTCTATCACATAACCCTTATAATGATCCAGATCTACAACTCATTTCAAATCAATTCAAGTCGGCCATGGGATTGAATCCAAATTTGAGAATTTATAGATACGTAAAAGGTCATCATTTTGGTGCTCATTATGATGACTCGGTTATTTGTGATATCCCACCTTTGGGAAAACAAAAAGGTGAAACCAAATGGACTTTATTAATTTATTTAACTGGTGGAGATGAATTTATTGGTGGTGATACAATATTTTATGAAGGTAAAAAAACTATAAATGTTCATCCTATAAAAGGAATGGCTTTGCTACATAAACATGGTGACTTTTGTTTAAAACATGAGGGACAATTAGTAAAGAGTGGAGTGAAATGGATACTAAGATCTGATATAATTTGTAGTTAAATAGACTAGACTAATAAAAAAATGTAAAATTGTATGTTTACGTAGAAAAAAATGTAACGAGTTGAAATTTCATCAGTAGACAACCCCATACAACACAACCATGGCTAATAGAAAGCTACAGAAGTATGTACCACTATATCTTACTATTCTTTACCACAAATACTAACTACTCAACAGGGACATAGACATTATTTTCAAGAGAATCCAAGAAGGGTTGCAGGACTTTAATTATCATTATGAAAGATACGAGAGTCTAACGAATACAGAAGATGATTCGGATAACCAAAGAGAGAAAGAGAAACTAGCTAATGATTTGAAAAAGGAAATAAAGAAGCTTCAAAAATATCGTGAACAAATCAAACATTGGCTACTGAATGATGCTGTAAACACTTTAGGACCAGTTGGAACATCTTATAGCACCAAGTTGACTGAGAATAAAAGCTCAATCGAAGTTGCGATGGAAACATATAAATTTGTTGAAAAACAAACAAAACTTAAAACTTTTTCAAATCAATCTATAATGATGACTTTTATTGATAGTTTAAATGGAGATGATGATGATGATGAAAGTGATGAAGATGAAAGTAGTGATGAAGAAAATGAGAATGAATATGAAGATTTATCTCAAGAAACTGTTGATTCCATAATATTTTTCAAAGATGCCATTAGTCAATTAAGAGATCAAACTGATAAATACGTTCATGAATATGAAAAATTAGCAACAAAGAAATTAAGAAAAAATAACCTTTCTACAATCGAAGCTAAAAAGGAAAAAATCTCTTCAACTATTGCAAATAATAAATTTCATAAGAAGAAACTACGAAAATTGATCAAAACTTTGAAAAATGGTATGATTACTGAATTTAATCTTATATTTGCATTAAAAGGAGATTTAGAACAATATTTGAGTACAAATGGTGATTATGATTTTACAAAAGATACAGATCTTTATGATGATATTTTCAATCAAATTGTAGCGGAAGATGAAGATTATTCAGAATTATATGATGATAATACTGCTCCAACTGAAGTTAGTAATGGAGATTTGAATGGTGTTAGTAATGGTAAACAAAACCTGCAATCTCCTAAACCTATCAAATCCCATCAGGAAACCAACTCAAAACAAGCTGTAGCGTCTGCTCCTCATCCTACACAAGCTCAAACTGCACAACCTACACAACATCAACCACAACCCCATTCACAAGCTCATCCACCATCACAGATACCGTCAACTCAATCACAACAACAGCTACCACCACAATCCGCACCAGTCCAACAGAGCCCAGAGATTGCATCTCCTGCAATAGTTAGAACTTTGAAACCTGCAACAACACCTTCAAAACCAGTTGGAGGACTTAAATGGTCAGCCGCTGCAGCTGCAGGTATTCAAGAAGCATTAGAAAAAGAAGTACCAATTGAAGAATCAAAAGAAGAAGAAGAAATAATACCTTTTAAACCTTTGGAACTTGAAAATATTGATTTATTTAAATATAAAAAAATAATCTCAAATTCACCATTATCTAAAACAGAACTTAATTTGTTTTCAGATATGAATTTAGTAAGAGTTCCACCAGGTATACAAGATTTAGTTATATCATTTGCTTCAAAAAGAAATAATGATGAATTTAAAGTGCTTGTAGAATCAGACGATTTTAATCAATATACTTCACCTATTTATAAACCATATTTACCTAAAATAGTACAACCAAATTATTATTCCCAATTCACAAATTTTAGTTTTAAACATCCAATACAATTATCTAAATTTCAATCACATTGGAATAAAGTACGAGCATTTTATGGATTTGAAAGTTTAACAAATGAAATAAAAAATTTAATAGCATCAGATGAAAATTCCAATTTAATATCAGAATTAACTTTTGTTTTATTTTATGGATTTTATTATGGTTTAACTCCAGCTGAAAATTTAATTGCTGAAAATTGTTTATTTGAATTAGGTTGGAAACCATATCAAATCCAATTAGATAATCTGGAAGTTTCTGAAAATAAATTTGCTTATTGGTTTAGAAGAATTAAATTAATTAGTGAACGTACTGAACAAACAAATTTTGAATTTGGTGATTATCAAGTATTTGATTTAAATTTTTGGGAAATATTTGTCAAGTATGGTTTTAAATTTAATTTTGACTTGAGTCAATCTGAACCTTCTAAATCTTTGTTTTGATAAAGAAAAATTAAATAAATGGTTTATTTTGTGATGATGAAAGCATTAATGTAGTTGTAGAATCAGACTCTAATATTTGAGAACTTGATGTAAGTATTTCAGGCTCTTTGTTGGTCAAATTGTAAGTTTTGCCATTTTTTGCAACCAAATTTGGAACATTGGTATAAGTTGACTGGTTGGGAAATGTTCCGACATCTACGTAACTGTTTAGATCATAAATATCCAAACCAAACTCTTTCAATTTCTTTTCTGTGATTTTGTTATTGATGATTACCTCTTTTAATGAAATCATTTGTTTGTTGCAAATAATAAATTACTCCGCAAAATTCTAAAGAAAAAAAACAATCTCAATTTGAACTTGGTAAGATCACGAAACTATATTTTAATCAACACACAACAATGGAGTATTATTCATCATTAGATGCATCTCAACTAGATTCAGAAAGACCTACTCTTTTTGAATTAATATCAGCAAATCAATTAGAAGCATTACTATCTCCCTCATTAAGATATATACTAGTTCACTATGCAAGCAGATATCCGAGGTATCTTCTAAAACTAAACAATCATTTTGATGAAATAAACTTAATACTACGAAGCTTCATAGAATGGTACTTTTTGAAATACTGGCAAGGATCATTTACAGAAAATTTCTATGGGTTGAAAAGAGTAAATCAAACACCTTTATCACAAGGTAAATTCAATAGTGGGAAATTAACACAATTAGTACCATCAATGATTGAAGATAGAAGAGAGTTAACCACTTTACAAAAGCTCATATCATTATTTGAAATCACAGGTGTATCTTTCATATCTGAGAAAATAAATTATTGTTACGAAGTATGGTATACAAAATATATCACCAACCAATTGAATACCCATGAATCATTATCAAGGAAAGAAAACATCAAAATTCAAATAAAAAGAAAATTTATCGAAATATATCCTTATATTCAAAGTGGGTATAGACTAGCAAATTTCATTACAACTTTACTTTATCTTAGTGGTTCTACTAAATCACCAACTATACTTACATATTTGTTTAAAATGAATTATTCAAGATTAAATCAATACGATTATGATAAAAATGAACCACGAGATAAGTTGAAAGACTCAACCAAGAGACAAAATAAAATTGCACCGCCAACAACAATAGAGTTCCTTTTAAATTTTTTGAGTAATAAAATCACTCATCCATCTTGGAAATTAGTTAAATTAATACTTGGTACATTTTTCCCAGTTGCAATTTTTACTTTGAAATTTCTTGAATGGTGGAACAATTCTAATTTTTCACAAAAATTATTGAAAAATTCAGGTAATTCTCTTGATTTTACCTTACCACCTCCATCAGCCTTAACGTTATCGTTAAAAAGTTTAGGAAACAAGAGTAAATCACTAGTTAAAAAACCTTCCAAAAAGCCGTATAAATCAGGTAAATTATGTCCATTATGTAAAAAGGAAATGACTAATCCAGCAATAATTGAAACAGGTTATGTTTTTGATTATTCATGTATATATAACTATTTAGAGAAATCACACATCATAGTAGCTAAACAAAAAGATGAAATTGAAATTGAGAAAGAATATATAGATGATGATGAAGAAGAAGAAGAAATAGAAAAAGTGGAAACAACCATAGATATTGATAAAGGTGGTAGATGTCCAATAACTGGTAGAAAGCTATTAGGATGCAAATGGAACCCTTTGAAAGAAGAATGGCAAATTGAAGGTGTAAGAAGATTAATTTTTTAATTTGACATATTCCTATTTAGTATAATAGTGTAGTCAAAGCTAATCTCTAACAAACATATTTTTCTCTGCCACATTTTTTTGTTGCAAAACTTTATTTTTTGATCCAACAAACAACCCACGAGGTCAAATTATGAGTGAAGGTAAAACCTTACAAGCTATCAAATTTGATAGAGACAATGTTAAATTAGAAATACTAGATCAATTGGTATTGCCATATACGACTCATTATATTCAAATCAATTCAATTGATGATGCATATAAAGCTATAAAATCAATGCAAGTACGAGGAGCTCCAGCTATTGCAATTGTTGGTGCTTTTGCAGTTGTTGTTGATATTTATAATCATTTGAAGGATTCACAAACAGTGGGAGATCTTCAGGAGTCATTAAATCATCTTGTCAAATCTCGTCCTACGGCGGTCAATTTGAAAAATGCAATTGATGATATAAGGAAAATTTTAACTGACTATGATACTTCAGACAAGATTGATGAGAAAATATTTAAACAAATCTTTGATTATTCCACTAAATTATATGATGATGATTTAGCAAATAATTTGAAGATAGGTGAAAATGGTTTAAATTACATTAAGAAATCATTAGAAGAGGAAAATTTTGAAGGACCATTTTCAATTGTTACTATATGTAACACTGGTTCATTGGCAACTTCAGGACATGGAACAGCATTAGGAATAATCAGATCTACTTATCAAGCTTTAGCAAAAGACAAAACAAATGAGAAATTTTATTTAGATAATATTTATCCATTAGAAACTAGACCTTATAATCAAGGAGCTAAATTGACTACATATGAATTAGAATATGAAAAAATCCCATCTATTTTAATTTGTGACAATATGGTATCTTCTTTAATTGAACATTTGAATGTAGGTAAAGATGTCCATGAAAAAACATCACCTGTAAAATTCATAATTGTTGGAGCAGATAGAATAGTTAAAAATGGTGATACAGCAAATAAAATTGGTACTTTTCAATTATCAACAATTGCAAATTATTTCAATACAAACAAGTCCACAAATATTAAATTCATAGTAGCTGCACCAAGAACTACAATAGATTTAGAAACAGTTCATGGAGAAGATATTAGAATAGAAGAAAGACCAAGAAATGAATTAACTACATTAGTAGGACCAATTTTAAATGGTTCAGAAGTTGGTGAAAAAATTACAGTAGGAATTGCAACTCCAGGAATTCAAGTTTGGAATCCGGCTTTTGATGTAACTCCTCATCAATTAATTGATGCTATTATTACAGAAAATCCAAAACCTTACATTAAAAATCATGATGGTGAATTTGACTTATCAAATTAGTGTATATTAAATTGATATAAAATTGTAAGAATGTTTTATCTTTTTTTATTCTTCTTCTTGTTTTTCTTTTTTTGATTCTTGGATTTGTTGGTGGCTTGATGTTGATCTGATTTATTAGATTGTGACGATTCGGATTTTTGATCATCATGAGAATTTTCAGTTTTTCCATTATTTTCTGAGTTGGTAATAGAATCTGTATCTTCAGAATTAAAGTTTGAAACAGTGATTGGCTCAGCTTTAAGCTCTGTAGATTCTTCTACATCAAGATCATTAGATGAAGAAGCTAACCCATCAGCTACGTTTATGTTGGAGTTAGATGGATCTTTCTCAGTGTGATTTGGGTCTATAATTTTTGTGTCGATATCATGAACTTCTTTGTCAGCTACTTGAATCTCTCTTAATGTAGTGCCTTCACTGTTCATCACGTCTTCATTTGGGACCGCTTCAGGTTCATTTTCTGCATTATTTGAGTTCTCGTCGTTAGGTTGATACGATTCTGGTTTTTGATCCTCTTGTAGATTTTCAGTTTTTCCGTTATTTTCTGAGTTGGCAATAGATGGTGTATCTTCAGAATTGATATTTGAACTAGTAGCAGCTTCAGCTTTAATTTCCGTAGACTCTCTTACGTTAAGATCATTAAATTGTGAAACTAACTCATCAGCTACATTATTTTCGGACTTAGGTTGTTCTTCCTCAATGTGCCCTGGGACCTCATCTTTTGTGCTGGTGTTATGTGCTTCTTCGTCGAGAACTTCAACCTCTCTTGACAAAGGGTTTTCATTCTCAATTTTGTCTTCATTTGGAATTGCTTTAGGTTCATTTTCTAGTTTATTTGATTTCTCGTCGTCAGCAATAGATTTTTCTTCATCGATATTTGTATTTTCTTGAATAGTTGCTGGAATGTGCTCACTATATTCGGCTCCATTCTTGTTCCCATTACTGAAGTCGGATTTTTCAACATTTGTGTGCTCAAGGTCATCATTTTTGCTTTCCTCAGTATCACCTTTGTCCTCGTTATTTTCAAAGTTCCCATTCGATTGTCCATTTACCTTATTGTAATGATCTGATACAGCTTCAATCTTTTCCTCTCCATTTTCTTTGTTATTATTATCTAATCCATCTTCAATCTTATCCTCGTTGGTAATGACAAGTTTTTCTGGTTCATTTATCGAATTTGAATCATGACCATTTTCATTTTCTAGCGTTTTAGTTTCGCCGTTCGAGATCTTTCCTTCGTTTTCAGTACCATTATTTCCATTCGTCGTTACTGTTTGGTTCCCACTACCTGCAGATTCATTACCAGTTGAAATGTCGGGAACAATTTCAACAACCTTTTCGGACTCTGGATTTGTTGAATCAAACAAAATTTCACTTCCAGGTGCCTCGGACTTCTCCTGCTCATTATTAGCTTTTACATTATCCACATCCTCAGGTTTTGGAGTGCTACTTTTCTCAAATGAACTTCTAGCTGAAGATACCAATTTCTGGAATGTATTTTGTGATTTAACAGATGGTTCTGCAGATTGCAGAGTAGAAGCTTCTGCTTTCTCAACATCAACATTTTTCCTCATTTTCTCATCCATTTCAATATCTTCTAATGTTGGCATTGAATTAACATTTTCCCAAATAACAACTCCTGAATTTCCATATCCTGGTAATTCACTCAATTTAACTCTAAAATAATCAATATCTTTTAATAAATTATGTTTTTCATTAAAATCTTTAAATGATGGTAATTTTGTACAATAACTTTCAATAAATAATCTTTTATAACTATCAAAAATTTGCAGAAGAACTAATGAATATTTGAGTTCTGGTAAATGTTTCATCAATACTTTTGCGACGGTTATTGTGTCTCTAACAAGATTTTCCATGTATTGATGACACTGAAGTGGGTGTTTTACTGGTTCTGACCAATTAATATCTGGTAATTTATTACATGCAGCAATTGTTCTTTCTTGCATTATAGTGATGATCTTAGCAAAAAGTTCAGTTTCATGATCCTTATAGTTACTAATCATTTTTGCAAAAGATAATTGATCTTCTGTTCTTACATCTTTAAAAATAAGTTGTAAATGCTGTATAAAAGCAATGTTAAATTCAATAAACCTTATGCAAATAGCTAAATGTTTTGTTGTTATATGTTTTAATCCTGCAGTTCTTGTAGCACCAGCCGATAATACTGATTGTGACGTTTTAGAATTTAATTCTTTAAAATAATTGAGTATATTGTTTTCAATTGTGTTTGTGAAACTGGGGAATGCTTTGGTCGCAATTAAATAATTTTTGATATGATTTATGACTATTACTGCTAATTTGGGTGATATAAACTCATTCTCGTCTATTTTTAACATGTTGATTGTATATTCTTGTTGCTTCTCTGTATTTTCCATCTCTTCATCCTCGTAAAAGTCAAATGATGAAAGCCATTCGTCACCCGATATTCCCTTAGAACCATTACTTTGTATATATTCAGCATATTGAATTTGTTCAGTCAATGAAATTTGAGCAGGTCCTAAAACTTCAGGATCATCCACCACTCTCCAGGTTTCTTTCGAACAACTCAAAGACATCAGTTTAGAAGCATTTGTATGTAATCGATGCAAAAAGTATGTGATATGCTGTTGGAACCATTCTTTTAAAGCGTTTCCGGCTCCAATTGATTCAAATGTGGGGTTAATTAACTCACATTCTTGTAAATATGCTGTTGTTATTGAATATAGTCTTAAATATAAATGTATTGGTAAATCTGCTGTTTGTTCCAGTCGTATGTTTATGATTTTCATTAATCTAATTTGAGTTAATTCTATTGCTTTATGAATCGCTCTGGAAATATCTAATGACATAATGTTGATGTTTGAAGTTTGTGAAATTGTGGTCAATGCTATATCTAATAATAATTTTTGATGAACAGTCAATCTTCTTAAACATTCAGATAATTGTGCATAAGTTTTTGAAATCATTGTTTCAAATTCTTTTGGTGTAAGTACTTTTAAATTCGTACTTAATACATTTGACTGTGATGTAGTAGATGAATCTGGCGGTGTTGGTGAAGTCTCGGATTCTATATCTTCGATTTTTTGAGACGTTGGTAAATCCAGTTTGATAATTTCTTTGATTTCTCCTATGAACCGATTTTGATAAAGAGTATATGCATTTATCAAATTTCCTCCTTTGATTAAATTTGAAACGTAATCTTTTAATTTTGATTGGAAATCTGGATCTAAATTCTTGAATGATGTGTTTATCGGCTTTGTTGAATACTTTTTTGATTTATCTTTATTTACATATAGTCTGTTCAATGTATCTTTTGTAGGTACTGTCTTATAATGGTTACTCAAATCTTTTAGTAAAAGATCAATAAAATCATTAATGTATTTTCTAGAACAATCTGTTTTCAAAGTTTGTAAATCATTGATTAGATGGATTAATGCAGGTAAATTGGTTAAATTAATAACTTCCAATTTCGGGTATATTTTTTTGATTTCTTCATCAACAATTTCATCTCGTGGAATTCCATTGATTAAACTTTCAACAGCCACTATTTGGTTTAAACATTTGAAAAAATCATTATTATGGAATGATATATTTGCTAATTGGAAAATCGAGGTTATATATTGTAGTTGAATCACAGTAATTTCCAAGCTTTCTACATTTTTTCTTTCAATCATTTTTTCCAATATTTTTAAACCTTGTTTTGCTTGATTTTGTTCAATTTGATCCAATTTTTGAACTATATTTTGATAATTATGAACACAATTTTCTGATTTCTTTTGAATATTTTCTATATCACCAATAGTATCAAAAAATGAGTCTGAAGATTTTTCAATTTCCCCAATAAGATTCATTTCAACAATGTCTAGATAGTTGGAGAACTTTTCTTGTAAATCTGTATCATTTATAATTTGGTCTTGTTCTAATTTTAAATTTGAATTTTCTAATACTTTTTTAAATATTCTTGGATCATCTAGTTTAAAATTTGGATCAAGAAAAACACTAGGCACTTCATTCAATAATGGTTGTTCTATGTTTTGGAAATTTTCAATTGATGATGATGTTGATAATTCACCTCGCTCGTTTGGTTGTGATAACTTTCTTAAAGAATCTTCAGTTAATTTCTTCTGACTTTCTTCAAACTTCTTATATTCCTTTGCTATATCATTAACAAATTTAGCTTCCAATTCATGATTCGATACATTCTTTTTAAGTTTCTCCAATTGTATTCGAGGTATCTCTTTATTTGTTGGTATGTTTAAGTTGTAAATAGTGGTTGTACCACCGTTTAAAGTAACTGATGCTTTTGGAATTCTATTCCTTCTAGCTCTTGCATTGTCTGATCCAATTGTTAATTCATAAATCGAATTTGGTCCAAGGGGAGAATATTCTGTTCTATTAATATTTTCATCAAAATTGTATAGTGTTCCAGACAGTATATAACTTTCATTATCTAAACTTAACCTACTTTTTGTAAATGAATTTGTAGATCCAGTTCTTTTATGTGTTCGTAGATGATTTCCGAAATTATTATTATTAAATGAAGGAGATTGTTCTATTATAATTGAAGAATGTTCAGATCCAATTGGTAAATCATCATTCAAATTGATTGTACTTTCATTCACAGATGACAGATTTAGTATAATTGATGAATCATCTGACATAGGTGGATAGTGGTTTTCAATGATTGTAGATACTTGATATTTTCGGTTGTCAATGTTTCAATAGGCTGCAATATTATTTTTCTTTCAAACTCTCTCTTTCATTAAAATTTAAAGTTTGTTCTTATCACTTTGGAAAAGAAAAACAAGGGTTGACATGAAGATTTTGTCAACAACCTTTGGACCACCGTTACCTTCAATCGAGCTCTAGAGTTTAACAAAAGCAATTATTTTATAATGGAAGCAAAATATCTGGAAGTTTTTAAGTTAGAGAAGCAGTTGAAAATTTACAGGATACCGTGATGGATCGAATTACGGAATCAAAGAATAAGACAAGAAATTAAAGCTTTTTCTGTGATTTAATGAATCCAAGATTCTGGTAATTTGACCTTTATGTGCAATGAATAATGGGTGTCTAAGCTGTAGTATTACTCATTTATCTATGCAGTAGTCGATCTTCAGAGATGTAGAAGTAAATTCTATATTTGGCCAAACCAGAATCTTGATATAATAGTACTATATTATCTGCGTCACTTAACTTGTTCAGGTGTATAGCTATATCAGTTCAAAGTAAGAATTGACTTATCCAAGCCTTGTTTTGGAATATATTCACGAGTTGTATGGTATGAGATTTTCGATTTGACGAATCATGAACAATTCTTAACGAGAATACTATGATGATTATCAAAAATTGATTTATGATCATTCGTACATTCTTTTCTTAGTAATTTTGACATTTGGATCCAACTCGATTTTTTCGTGGTTTAGTATTCTGTGAAAGATGAATCTCAGGAAAATCCGAATTTTATATCAAGTAATTTCATTTCGGTGATCTTTATTGATGGTTCATTTGTAATTTGTTTGAGATATAAAATAATTGGCTTACTCGATCGAACTGTCTCTAATTGTATTTGTATAGACTGTTAGAAGTTTGTTACCACAGTTCGTGATAAAAATTAAAATTTCTTAACCGTAAAAATCGTACCGAATTTTTCAATTTTTTCCTAATGTATTACTAATAATAAGAACAACAACTACTTGTCTACAACAAAATGTCTTCAAATAAAGAATCAAAACCAAAACCTTGTTGTGTATGTTTGGATGAAAGAAAAGAAAGAGATAAATGTACTTTGTTTCATGGTGTAGATAGTGATGATTGTAAACTGATTTTGGAGAATTATAATTCATGTATGAAAGGATATGGATTCACACCTAATCAACCGGTGAAATCTTAGAGAGTGAGAAGAAATCTTCAGAGAAATGGAGTTACGTCAGAAAAAACTTGTAAATAACAGAACTTGTTAGGTTCCATCACTTGTATATATCTTTTATTAAATATTATAAATATGTTTGGTTCATTAATTATTATTACTATTCATTAGTAGATCCATATTTTTTAAATAAATCAGAATTATCTTCATTATCATCACTTGATTTGGAATGAGAAGAATAATTTTGATTCTCTATTCTTTCTTCATCATCAAATACTTCATTAATTTCTCTATTTCTAACACTTTCACTTTCATCATTAAAATTTGGATATTTTAATTTTAATAATTTATTACTATTAAACCAAACTTGATTTTTTAAAAAATTATCAATTAAAATTAATTGTAAACAATTTAATAAAATTGGTATTATAAACATAACAATAAAAATTTCAAATTCATTTGAATATTCATCTAACCATCTTAATAAAATATGAGAAGTTATCCAAATCAATTCAACTTCAAAAATTTCAACAAATAAATATAATATAATTTTTGTAATCATTAAACTTGTAAAATATATAACTAATTGTTTTAACCATGCTTTAACACTTGGTTTATTAATATTACCATATTCACCACTTTTAATTTGAGTTATATGAAAATAATTTTTACAAATATAATTTAATAATTTGAATACCAAATATAATATATAAACTCCAATAGTACAATCTAATACCATATTTAAAAAATACCAATCACAAGCATTATCTTCATCATCATCTTCTTCTTCTTTGGTGAATACTTCAGGTGCAGTTTTTAAAACAGATAACATAATATTAAAAATATGAACACCTAAAGCACCAATTAATTGTTTACTTACATCAAATATCCAAACTGGCCAAGTACGTCGTATTGGATATTCATAAAATCTTTTTAAAATTAAACTTGATAAACATAATAATCCTAATAATGCTTGAGTTAATAAAGAAAATGTTCCAATTAATTCACATCCATTATTTTCTTGATGATTATTTTTTGATGAAGTATATAGTATATTCGGTATTATTGTGTTTATCATTTTTTTTGGGTCGTTGAGTTATATAGAAATATAATGAATGAGTAAATGGTTGGTTGTATATAATGATATCTAAGTAAGATTAATTTTAAAGTTGCCTATCATTCAAAAATAAATTTAGATTTACGTATACACGTCTTTGTGTAACTTTCTAGAGCTGGTTTGTTTCTATTAACAAATTTCTTTTTAAACAAAGCATCAGCCATAACATCAAATTAATCAAAGTAAAAAAGCAAAATCTTAGTTTTACGTCAATTTCCAATCCTGAAGAGTTCATAAAAAACAACATACTTATCCAGTGAAAGACACTCTACCCTCTTTTATTATTTATCAATTTTAAAGATTGATAAATTCTTTTTTATACAATTTTTATATATAATATATAGTTTTAATTTCATTCATAAAGTCATCATTATAATATCAAAATTCATTTAAAGCCCTTGTCAATCATCATCTGACTCTGAATCTTCATCAAATAAGAAAGTTTTCTTAGGTGGTTGTTGAGGAGATTGTGATTGTTGTTGTTGTGTATGTGAAGGTGACGAAAAAAAAGCATTTTCTGAAGTAGTTTGAGGAGGTGAAACAGATGATTTTGAAATTGGATTTGAAAAATTAAATGATGAAGAAGATGAACTTTTATTTGGTTTTGAATTGTTACTGTTAGAATCACCACCTAAAAATGATCGACTTAATGATTTATCTTCTGATGTTAATTCTCTTGTTGGATTTCCAAATTGTTCAGCTAATGAATTTGAACTTCTTGTCTGTTTTGATATTGACCCTGATCTATGGTTAGGATTGATCGATGAAATATGTTGATTTTCAGGTTGTGTTTGTGTTTGTGGTTGTTGCGTTGATTGTTGATTGTTTTGATTATTATTTGATTGAAAAATCAGCTCTGCTAATGCTTGACTTGATCTTCTAGTTCTTATACTCAACCCATTATTTTCATCATCACTATCATCAGATTCTGAGTCACTGAAATTAAAAGGTGATTGACTAACAGTAGTTGAATTAGTTGGTTGCATAATTGGAGAAGTTATAGGACTTTCTTGACGATTTTCATCATGCTCTATTGAATTTTCTAATGAATCATAATCAAAATTTGATCCTAAATTTAAATTTTCAGGTAAATCAACAACATCTGGAGTTTGATAAGTTGAATGATTTGGATCACATGTATATACTGTATTATAATCATAATAATAATCATAACCTCTACTTATATCATTATTAACATTATGAGATAATGAAGAAGTATATGGATTATCTTCATCACTTGATTCTTCATCTGATCCATAATTTAATGATGTCGGAGGTAATAATTTGATAGAACTATAACTTCTAGCACTTGATAATGATTCATTATCAGATGACGCAGAATCTTTAATTAATTGTTGTTGTGATTGATGATTTCCCATTTTTAACGGCACATTAGACATTGATTTCACTTTTAAAAAAAATCCACCTTCATCATCCTCTTCTTCATCATCTTCATTATCTTCATCACTATAATTTTCTTCATTATCTCCTTCATATAGATGACTTCTTAATAGATTATTATTGACTTGATCATTATAATCATCATATACATCTTCTGCATCTTCATTATCACTATAATCCTCATATTCATCAGAATCAGAATCATAGGCAATACATTGTTGAACTTCTTCATTAAATCGAATATGTCTATTAGGTGGGGTTGGGTTTTCAGTAGTATGATTATCTGATTTTTTCAAATCAAGTTTATTTGATCGTTGATTATTTGCATCATCTTGTTTTATAGTTGATAAACTTGAAGAATTTGAATTTAATAATGTTTGTAACTTTGCAACATTTGAATTATCCGTAGACGATTTATTCGCATATTGAGCATTTAATTTATTCAGTAATGCATCAAAATTAAAATATTCATCAGGTTGTTGTTGTTGTTGTTGATTTTGTTCATTTTGTAGTCTTTGTTGTTCTTTTTTCTTTTGATATAGACTTGTAGCTAATTCTAATTTAAATAAATTTGAATGACTTATTATAGATTCTTCAACAGTTCTTTTCTTTAATATTGGTTTCGGTTTTTCTTTTGTTGATCGTCTTGGTTTTCTTGCTATTGATATATCACCAGCAACTGCGCTTGTTGCAGTTGATTCATCATCTATTGAATTACCATCATCATCATCATTTTCATCATTACCTGTATTTGCTCCATCTTGACTATTACTTCTGGTGTTATTTTTCAATATAGGACCATATAACCAAGTCACATCACTTTCTTTTGACCAATTTACTACTTCAGAACTAATAGTTTTCAAATTTGATCTTCTTTGAGCCCAAGTTCTCCATGATGCATTTTCTAATCTTGCAGCATTTGCAACATCTCTCTTTTTTGAAATGACATATCTCCAAGATTTTGATATATCAGATACATCCCATTGATATGATAAATAATCCACATGACGTGAAGGTTCAGCTGTTAAATCTGAATCGTCATGAGGTATCAATTCGGGTGATTGTAAGTTTAATGTTGGTGTAGCTGTAGGTGATGCAACGGGTGATGGAGAAGAAGATACTGATGTTGATTGATTACTATTATGTTGTGGATAATTATTATTATCTGAATTACTTGAATAATCACTATTATAACTTATTATATCATTATTATTATTATCTTTTGAATTATTTTGAAGTGATCCCTTTTTAAATTGTTGATCTATTGTTGATGATGATTTGGTTTTATTCAGATTAGGTTCATTATTTGAATCTTGTTCTTTTAATTTTTCAGGTATAAATTCATCTAATAAACCCAAAGATCTTGTTCTTTTTAATTTAAATGTGGTATTGTTAAAATGATCATCATCTTCGGCATCAACGTGTTGTGAAGTTGTAGCTCCACCAGAAAATACTTCTCCAGACATTTTGTGATTTTTAATTTATCTGTGGATGCAGTTCTCGAAGGAACTCGTTGTTTCTATTATTTCTAATGGATTGATTAAACTTATAAATGGATATGGTTGATTCCTATTGAATGATATTAGGTTGTCGATGTATTTGTAAATAATATATATCTTACTTTTCTCTTTCTATTTTTCTCTCTCTATTTTTCTTTCTTCTTTATAGGAGTATAATTCTAGCACAATCAGATGATTGATTCTATGTCCCGTATAAATATATATATGTTTACTATTATAAATGAATGAATAATAAGTTCTGATTAGTTGATGTTTTACTTATTAAAATTAATAATTTATTATTATAAGTATAAAGAATATATTTGGTTTGCTGTATTTTTTTTTTTCTTTACATTTTTTTAAATTTCTCTCCCATGGTAATTTTTTTTGACTTTACTTACAAAAGTCACAATGTCTTATATTTAGATAATGAGATATTAAGGGTAAAAAGTAACAATATCGATATTATTAAGGTATCAAGTAAATGAATTAAACCGATATATGAAGTTTTATCTGATTTAAAGCATTTAACTTCATCTATTGGCTTAATCAAGTATCTTAAAACACTCAATACTTACCGTAGATATGCGAAAAAAAAAACTAATCAGCTTCGTTTGAACACCCCGAAAGATCTCAAACGTGTTCCTCCCTAGATAAAGTAATAGAGCTTAAAGATTCAAACTGGCGTTAGAGGTAAAACTATAATTTGATTTGTGTCTCAGTGGCTTAAGTTCAAATCACCCTTCTTTACATGTGTTTTAATAATCAGAGCTCTAAATTTGTTCAAAAAAAAAAACGCAAAACAAGCTAAGAAAATGCAACACCTTCAATTGAATTCTCAACAACAATCGTGACTCTCTACTAAGATTTGAGAATGAAACAGATTGGTTCATAATGTCGGTGTTTGATCATGAAGTAGCTGAGATACTGAGTATAGTTCAAAACTTGGTAGCTATTGAAACATGGAGAAAATCGGAAATTCTTGATGGATATTAAAGTCCGAGTGAATAATCTCTTGAAGAAAGTTTATGAGATGTCTTAGATACTCACGAGGCAGTACCCTTATTTAATTTGAGTGCATATACTTATGATTGTACATACATTCCCCTAAACTTTTGTAAAACAATGCTGGTGCAAAGTTCTAAGTTCTTGAGCAACTTTCCGATCCAGAATTACAAATTTTTAAGCAACATGATCGGTGTTATTTTTTCTAGCAATTTAACCTTAGAATGTTCGTAGAGCGGTGTCTTCCAACGAGATGATACGTGGTGAATTATACTGAAAATCCTGTGACAATATAAGTGACATTATTATTAAAATTTTGCAATTTCCGCATCTTTAACAGTTCTGTTAATTTCAGAATAATTAGCATACTCAAACTCTTTTGATACTCTATGTATGTAATGTCTCTAGTTCAATCAAAGATTGGCTGACTTTTCACAGGTATATGGCGTTTGTTACCTAGTGTAGTTGGGGTTGACAAATTTGTATCGTGAATACGTTCTAGTCTCGGATAAACTCGTGAAAATTTTGAATTTGACTTAAACTCAAAATTCTAAAGTTTGATAAGTACGACACATAGCATATCGAGAATTTCAACAAGTCAGTTACAAAATAGCATTGTTTTATCACTTCAAGTCAAGGCTCAGACTTAGTGACTAATCATGTTTCCTTTGGCTTCAACGTGATCATTCAATCATACTTTTATTTGTAGTTTCTTTTTTCTTTTTTTATTTTTTTTAAATTTTGAAATAAAATAATTTATCCGATATGTGGGGGAATGCACACTCTAAATTAAGATTTATTGCAGTTACGTTTGTGTAATTCAGGATTTTAATAAACCCGGTTGGATATTTAAGTAGAAGATCAGATAATATTCAATAGAGCTATACATCAATGTAAACATAATCAAACTTTTAATTAATATCATAAATTCTATTTCCACTAATATAACAAAAACCAATACAGTTTACAACTTCTTTCATTATTACTGCATCATTTTCACTTAAATGTTTAAATTCAGTATTTAAAGAAATATAACGGAATTGATCAGATTCATCTAATTTATTATTCATTCTAATTAATGGATAATTGGTTAAATTACATATACTCCATCCATGATTTGATTTTGATGTTATCATTTTATCTTGTAATTGTGATTGATTAATTGATGGAATAAGACCAATATCAAATGTTTCTTCTAAATTTTTTGTTTTTATTGTAAAATGGGCGTTCGAAGGTAATTCATAAGCTTCTGAAGTTGGTGTTTGATAAGCTAATGTTATCAATAAATATTTATCTATTTCATCTGTAATTGATTTTTCATTATATATTTGTAGTATTAAATCTTTGAGATAATTGGCAATTGTTTTTTCAACATCTGATTTATATTCATCAATTTGATGATATAAAACTTTTGCTGTTGTGTCGGCTGATGTATAATTTTTCAAAGCACTTTGTAGTAGTAAACAAAAAGTTTGAAAAAACTGTAATTCAATTATTTCTTTGAGATTGATGAAATTTTCACTTATTATTTCATCAAAACTTGAACCTGGATCTATTGTGACTTCATTCAATCTTGGAATTGGTTTTATAACTCTATTGACGAATTCACCAAATTCCGTTAAAAAGAACTCCAATTTTTGTTCTTGTAATACGGAAAAATCATCCATTATTATTGGTATGTTTTCAAAATGATCCAAATAATAAGCTGTTAATTTTGATATTGAAGTATTGGCAATAGATGTATTTTTAATCTCACCAATTGATGAAGATAATTTAACAAAAGAAACGTTGACGTATGCAGTAGATGGAGGTCTCAAATGAATTCCATTTTTAGGTATCACTTTATAAATTATGGCAATTACATTATTTGTTATAGCAGTCATTCCATATAAAATTACTGTACCTTCCGTTGTCTCTGTATATCCTTCATCATTCGATTGAGAAAAAGAAATTGCCTTTTCTGAAAATAAATAAAATGCAATATCATTTGATTCTAAAGAAAGTTTTTTTGAGTTGATATTATAATAAAAAGTTTTGAAAGTTCCATCTTCGAAGGATAGTAATATTATCAATGCATTTCCTTTAATTGCTGGAATAATTGAAGTATTATAAGACCAAGTCCCTGTGTCATACTCAACTTTCTCATCCCCGTCAAATACAACAAGTTTTGATAAAAATGTGCTGATTAAATACACTTTACCATTAATAGTCACCAATTCATTCTTCTTATTTACAAATCTATTTGCTGGATATATCTCATCAAAGGATCCTGTATCAAGATTCAAAACTGAAAATGAGTTATCGTATCCAATTATCAAAAACACATCTTTTTCCCATTTTATTTTAGCTATATTTTTAGGAAATTCGACTTCCTTTGATACAATCATTTGATCATTGAATATTATGATCTTATTGGTAATATCTACTATAGCTAAATTAAGCTTCCCTTCAACTAAATTGAATGTAAAATATTTAATTTTTAAATTTTTAAATCTTTCTGCTGTAACGTAATATTTCCCTTCATGTTCAATTATATCGTCATATGATTTAATTAAAGTATCAAAGACGTTTACTTTAACTTCATAATTATATAACTGACCATGAAGCTTTCTTCCCATTATTAATAATTCTCCTGTATTGAACAAAACTCCACACAAACAATCTCTTGTATTCTCTAATAGTGGACTCCATTGATATTCTACAACGTTTGGATCCTGTACAATAAAATTTAAAGGTTCATCACCGTCCTTGAAAATCACATCCTGAAATTTATTCACTGGTAGATTTTTAATAGCTTCAGTATGTAGAAGAGACCCAAAACTGAAAATTTCTTTAGACTTCAAAGTTTTAGTAGTTTGAGTTTGAACTATTGAGTTATGATATGTTGGAAATTTAGGTTCAATTATATGTAATTCATTGAATGAATTGATTGTAATTTGTAAATTATCCGAAATTTGAATAGGATCATTTCTTGATAGTGCTACGTCACATCTGTTGATCTTTAAATCAGTTATTGATGACATTTATGGATCATTTCTTTGTTGTTTACAAATTCTGAAACAAACGCGTATACGAATTTTTATTTTTTCATTCTTTTGATCCTAAACTTACAAACAATTTTTGAAATCTTTAATGCTTATCGGATGATAGATTATGGTATCAAAATGTCGAGACTACCATCATCCATTCAAACCATATGACATTCAAAGGCAATTAATGGATGCTATCTATGAAACAATTGAAAATGATTATAAAATAGGTATATTTGAAAGTGCAACTGGTACGGGAAAGACGTTATCAATTATATGTTCAACAATGACTTGGCTTAGAAATTACAAGAAAAATAATATTTTTGATCAAAAGAATAATACTTTAGATGTAAACGATGATGAAAGTGATGAGGATGAGCCAGAGTGGGTCAAAGACGAGTATAGAAGAACTATTGTTGATAAAAGTAAAAATAAATTGAAAGAGTATGAAATACATTTGGATGAAGTTGAGAAGAATTTTATGAACAATAAGAGATATGATACAATAATTGAGGATAAGGTTAAACGAAAGAAACAAAAAAGTCAGGAACAAGAGGACGACGAATCTTTTTTACCAAATGACTATAATGATTCTGATTTAATTCAGTCGAAAAATTTCAAAATTAATCAAGAAATTAACAAATTAATCAAAAATTCTGAAGGTGAAGAATCAATTGAACATGTAAATAATTGTCCCACGAAGATATTCTTCTCATCAAGAACTCACTCACAACTAAATCAATTTTCAAGCCAACTACGACTAACTTCATTTAATGCATCATTTGATGAAATGACGGAACGGACAAAGTATTTACCGTTAGGTTCAAGAAAACAACTTTGTATAAATGACAAAATCAATAAAATATCCAACAAAAAGGGAGATCAGTCAATTAATGACGCCTGCATTGATTTACAAAAATCTAAAGATGGTTGTTCATACTTGACTAAAAATGACAAATCATTGGTAAAAGAATTTTCAGATTTAAGCTTAGCCAAGATTAGAGATATTGAAGAATTAGCTGAATTAGGATCGGATTTAAAAACTTGTCCATATTATTCAGCTAGAGATAGTATTGAAGCAACTGAAATTGTATCATTGCCTTATCAACTATTATTTCAAAAGGGAAGTAGAAAAGTATGGGATTTGAATATAAAAGATTCTATTATTGTTATTGATGAAGCTCATAATATTATTGATATCATCACTTCATTATATTCAGTGAAAATTACAGTCACTCAATTAAATCATGTTATTAAGTCATTAAATTTTTATCTCAAGAAATTTGCAAAACGATTGAATAGCAGTAATCGAATACAAATCATGAAATTAACAAAAATATGTAAAATTTTAATGGAATTTATAAGTCAAAAATCAGATGAAAAAATAGGGAAAGAGGTTACTGTAAGTGAAATATTCACAGATTCAACAGGAGACTTAGTTAATATTCATAAACTTGATGAGTTTTTGGTTAAAACAAAATTAGCTTACAAAATAGAATCTTATATGTCTAAGATTGATGAAACTTATAAAAATCAATCAACTCCTTTACTTTTTGAAGTTATTAAATTTCTTCAATGTTTTAATAACACTAGTAAAGAAGGGAAATTGTTTTGGGATAAATCAAATAACGAAATTTCATTAAATTATATGCTACTTGATCCAAGTTTTATTTTCAAAGAATTAGTAGATGAAGCTAAATGTGTTTTACTTTGTGGTGGTACAATGGAACCAATGAATGAATTTATGGATTATTTATTTCCCTTTGTTCCTGAAAATAAAATTAATAAGTTTGCATGTGGACACATTATACCTGATGAAAATTTGAAAGTATTCACCATCGATAGTTATCATGGAGAATTTGAATTTCTGTTCAATAAAAGACATGATCTAAAACAAATTTCAAACCTTGGTCAATTTATATTACAAGTTTGTAAAAATGTTCCATATGGAGTAGTTGTATTTTTCAGCAGCTACAAATATCTAGAAACAGTTATTGAGTGTTGGAAGAAGACACCTGTTTATTCACAGCTATCAAATATTAAGCGAATTTTCCAAGACTCTTCAAACACTTCAAGAGTTGACAATGTTTTAAATGATTATTCAGAAGTAATAAACAATCAAAGAAAAGGAGCAATATTATTCTCAGTGGTTGGTGGTAAAATGTCAGAAGGTATTAATTTTTCAGATGATCTAGCAAGAGCAGTAATGATGATTGGATTACCATACCCCAATGCATTCAGTGGTGAAATAATATCAAAACGAAATTACATCGAATCACAAGTTATTGCTAATGGAGGAACTATTGCATCAGCTAAACAGAAATCTTCAGATTATTATGAAAATTTATGTATGAAAGCTGTTAATCAAAGTATTGGAAGAAGTATAAGGCATGCTAATGATTATTCTTTGATATATCTTGTTGATAAAAGATTTAAAAATACAAAGATACAAAATAAGTTAAGTAAATGGGTGAAGGATCGATTGGTAGATAGTTCAGATGTGATGAGGGATTCAAAAGAATTTTTTAGTTCAAAAGAGTTTGGTTGAGGATTGATAGCGTATTTCGAATTTTGTGCCGCCTCACAATCTCGAAAAATACAGGTTAAAAAGACGAATGGTAACGAATACATAAATATTTTCTTCAATCAAAAACTTTTATTGTCTATAAAGAAGATTCTAAATTAATCAATAAACTATAAACTTCTCTAGGCATTTTATATTGAACCATACCAGCATATATAATACAATTTTTAGCAATTTTTCTCCAATGTAAAATTTCATCTTTTTCATTATTTAAAGATTGATATCTTTGAGATAAAATATTATAATTTAAATTAGTAACACAAGTTAAAACTAATATTAATAAAGATGGAATAATTTTTATAATATCTTCATTTAATTCATTATTTTCAATTAATTCTGAATATATTTTAATTTGTGATAAATTATCATTGGAATTTGCAGGTAAAATTTTTAATTTATTAATTTTATCTATAACTTCACTCCAATTTCTTTGAATAAAAATATTTCTTATTTCAATTACTGATATTAATACTTCACAAGTTTGTTTAACTTGTGATGTTATACTACTTAAAATATGACTATTTTTGGAAAAATTTTGCCAAATATGTTCAGATAATAATATTATATTATTATCAATTGTATTTTTAGAATTTATATCAATTGATCCACTATATAAAGTATCACAATTTCCAAATAATATTATTGGTTTATTTAAATCACTTGTTGAAATTAATTCTGATAATAATTTATTTATTAAAACAATTGTTGTTTCATAATCACATGATAATTGATATAATAATAATGCATCAAATATTCTACCTTCTTCTTCACATTTATTTGCAGTTACTAAAACAATTTGACGATGAAATGAATTAAGATCTTCTAACCCAATTAATTTACGTTGAGTTTCTAATACTCCTGGTTCAATAACTCCTGTAATTTGATTTAATTCTCCTATTAAAATACCAAATTCTCTTGATACTAAAAGTAATTCTCTTAATGCATCATGACAAACTTGAAGTATTGATTTAGATTTACCACCTTGACCTAATGCAATAAGTATTAAATATTCACAAGCAACTTTTGGATCACTTAATTTAAAAAAAGTTGTATATGCTCCTAAAATTCTACTATAATTTATTTCATATTCATTATTTACTACTGATAATACACCATCTTTATTGAAATTTGAACAATTTAATAATCCAAAATATGCTAATCCAATTGCTAAATGTACTGCATCTGCTTCATTCATATTTTCATAACAATATTGTACTGCCAATTCATATAATCCTGATAATATTAACGTTTTTAAATATAATGGATTATTAGAAGAGGATAAAAAATATTTTGGACCTAACAGCACAATTTTATTTTGTAAATTTTTTAAACTATAATTTTCAAAAATTAATGAAGATTCTTCTGATGAATCTTCATTTATAATAGATGATTGAAACCATAACCAATTTTCATTACTTAAATTTATTGAAGGTGGAGGAGATTTATTATTTAAATCACATTTTCCAATAATTTTATAAACTGAATATTTATATGGATCATAATTTACATTTGTTTCAAGATCATTTAATATATATTGAAATTGTTGATTAAATTCTTGATGAATTCTTTCTAATAAATCTGAAGAAAGTTTGGAATTTTCAACAAAATTTTTAATATATATGGGGAAATTTTTATCAAATTTATTGAATAGTTGACGATTTTTGTAAACTAAGTTATCTGCATCTTCGTATAATCCTGCCCTCATAAGGTAATATATTAATGCCCATATAGGAACTCCATTTACTAATAATGTCTTATTAACTAAATCTGGTTCATTTTTAAGAATTATTTGATGAATGAAAAAGGAAACTTTATTAACATTTGTAGCAGGTATGAAATTTTTTGGTTTATCAACAACTTTAATATAAGTATGATCAACAAAATTTAAAAATTCCCATTCTAAATATTCTTTACTTTTTGAAACAATTATATCATTTAATTTTGGATTTTTAAAAAATTTTTGTTCTTGTGATGTTTTAGAATTTTTTTCATCAACTAAATTTTGTAATATTTTCCAAATTTCAGCAATTTGTTTTGATTTAAAATCATCTTGAAATTTATTTAAATCATAAAAATTTAAACATAATGGGAAATTTTGATTTTCTAATCTCGCCTCATTCAATGAATAAATGATTCTTGCATAATGTTCAAATTTGGTTCTTGTTATTTTAGTTGGTGATGTAGATAATGGTGTTAAAATATTTGCAGAAGCTGAATTTGATTTCCATACAACTGAACATTTTAAAGCTTCTTCTTGAAATTTTGAAGAATCTTTTAATCCAATGGCTTTTTGTAATTTTTCTTTTCTAATTTTCCAATCAATAGATATATTTGAATTTATATATTTATCAAAATCTTGAGATGCTAAGTTAAAAGTTTGTTCAATGGTATTTAAGATATTCTCTTCTTTTTTATTCTTTAAATAATTCTCTATATTGTTTTCAAGATTATGATTACTTTCATGTTTACTGGATTTAGGTAATTGAATCCTGTTCAATTCATCTTCTAAATCTCCAGTTTTCACTCCTGCATCTGCTAATAAATAATGAGCTTTAGTATGATGTTTTTGTTTTAATTCCGATTTTCTTAATTCTTGTGTTTTACGTTCTAATTCATTAAGAGTTAAATGAATAGATCCAATTTGATCACCAATTGAACTTTTTGGTAAACTTGAGGCAGAATCCAATAGATCTCGTAATAGTTTATTTGAATCTGTATTATTTAATGAAGCTGTGATGTCAATATTTGTTGATGAATTTATATTTGAAGTTGGTGGATTGATTGTTGTTTGTGTTGTTGATCCAATCGACGTCGTTGGCTGTTGCTGTGGTGGTGGTTGTTGTTGTTGTTGTTGTTGAGTATTTGCTCCAAAGTTGAACCCACCACCAAATGATGTGTTGTTCAGTTTGTTAGCAAACATATCTGATTGTTGTCTTCGTTACTGTTGATATTTTTATGAAATGTAGCTTGTTTATTTTGGTTGTAAAAATATAATATTCTCGATTAATTATTGTTGTATGGATGTTCAAGCCTCATCAGCTTTCGATCGAAAAAAAAAATTGGTTCAACCAAATTTTTCACTTCTTCTTCTTCTTCTTCTTCTTCTTCTTCTTCTTTTCTCTTCAACTTTGTCCAAAAGTTATTCCATCACTTTAGACAGTGCATTATACTTGTGAATTAATGGAAAATATTAAATTACTATAAAGTAGAGATTTCATGGTCGATTCATATTTTAGAGTATCAGTTTTTGATACACTATTGAATTGTTTTGATTTTTCAAAATATAGTAATTCTCTATTTTGAATTCTTTCAAATTCAATCAATATTAATTGCGATGCGTTGATGGATAGAATAAATTTGTACCTTTAAGAACCTGTCTGGAGTAAAAAGATGAAAGAGAGGTGTCAGATGGTACAGATATTTTTATGAAACTTGATAAAAAATTTGAAAATATGCATCTTGAAAGGAGAATTTAGAACACAGTGTTTGCAATTTGATTGTCTAATATTGTTGTCTTCACAATCGAATGGGGAGGAATAGATAATTCTGTACCACATGATTGGACGTTAGGGTCAAATTGATAAACCAAGAGAAGTTGAAGTGGGTTTTTAGTGTTTAAGTACTCATGTAAATTCTGAAATCAATACATGGAATTTGAAGCAGGTGTTCTAGTTGGGAATTCTTATACAAGTCAACGAATATAAGTATTTCCGCCCAGAATACCTGCTTCCAGGCACAGTTTGATAGTATAAGTATTGTGCTCAATGGAAGTTAGCACATGGTATGACTGAAACTTCACTTCTTGATCATTTTGGCCGGTTTAGTTAGCAGTTCCTTATATAGTTTTCACAAAAAGTATAACATGTAAGAAATACAGGATTCAACAACATCGTGTATGCGAGATTATTCGATAAAGTCTTAATGCTTGTTGAGAATTGACATATCAATAAAAATCTGACCAAATGATCCAACTTTGAAAGTGAATAAGCCATACTTTATGGATATGATGGCATGATGTTGAACTTCACTGTATGCTTAATCTATAGTCTGGATCATGTATTGCAACTTCCCAATTGCTCCTTTTCAATAATTCTATATCTCTCCATTAGTGTCTAATGTAATTGGTATAGTTATGATGATAAATAAGGTAGTACTCAGTAGAATTAAATTATTTTATACTAGTCGAAGTAACTGCCCTTGATCCCCATAGTTGAAAAAAAAAAAGAGCCGCTCGCTCATGTATAAATCTTTGTGATGATCTATAAAACTGGTAGCTTTATCGTAAATTTATATTCGTTTATCCGTATTTATAAACCAATTAGATTTTAGAATTTTATTTTTATAATTTTGTTATCGTGTGCATCAATTTGTTCTATGATGCTTTCAAAATGAATTTATAATACTTTCAAATAAGAAAATAGAAGTTCTTGACAAGACAGATTTTGAATGATAGCTTGTTTCTTCGTAAATTCTTTTATCAACAATTTGGACTTGATCTTTATATTTACTTAAAAATACAATTGATACTATTATCAAATTTAAATTGCCCTATGATTTTCATGTTTAGTTTATAAAAATTTCAAGATATCGTAATTCATGACTATTTACTAAGGCAAATTAATTTTAGTCTAGTAAAAACTGAAAAGAAATTAATATTAGGGGTAGTGTAATAATGTATCAGAAGGAAAATCATTAAAAAATTTCGTTTAAAACTCTTCTCATTCTTTGATGGAATGCAGCTATGAGTTTTATTCAACCATTTAAGTTTGATTATGTTGAAACTTTACTGATCTGGGGAATAGGGAGGATGTTAGATAAGCATATATATTTATTGATAAGGTTCATCTTCTTTTTCAGTAGCTTTATATGTATGAAATAAAAGATAAGCAAAAAGAAATTCTACATACTAAAATTTATATACAGTACTTGTAACAAAATATAACACAAACTTTGAACAATAAGATTTTGAAAAAAAAAATTTTATATAAATTAGGAACATAATTCCAAAGATATCTTAATTTATTGTTTGATTTCAGATATTGTACAACTTATCTTGCATTTTATACTTTTCAACCGTTTTTCTTTTCCCATTTATATCAAAAAGTCAAACTTCTTCAGGTCGGATTTTTTTTACGAGCATCTACCCTTTCTTTTTTTCAATTCCATCAACATCATCTATATATTTTGGAGTTTTTATAGACAATACTAAGAAGCATACTTATACCCAAACAGTTTTGATCAATAGATTTTCTACTCCACACAAGCATTAACTTATATTTAATTCAAAGAAGACATTTTTAAAAGACTTATTCAACTTTTTTTTCATTTCATTTTAGCAATACTACTTTCCTTCCCCATATATCAAGTTACAAAATTCCAAAATGAGTAAAATAGACAATTCTGATTACGTTACAACTAAGTCAATACCGTCAAATGATAAAGTTTCAGATTTAGAAGAATTTTCATCATCATTTAAAAATGGAGTAAAAGATAGTGATTCCTCTAGTGTTGGAACTAATCAAATGAAGAAAAATTTTTCAAATGTTGCATTAGCAATGATTGGATTTTCTTTAACTAATAGTTGGTTAGGTATATCTTCAAGTTTAGTTACTGGTATTCAATCTGGTGGTCCAGTTTTAATTGTTTATGGTATTATAATAGTTGCTTCAATTTCATTATGTATTGGTTCAACTTTAGGAGAAATGGCTTCATTAGCTCCATCAGCTGGTGGTCAATATACTTGGGCGAGAATTCTTGCTCCAAAAAGATATGCTAATTTTTGGGCTTATATAACTGGAAGTATAAGTTGGGGTGGTTCAATTTTTACTACAGCATCAATGTGTTTAGCTGTTTCATTACAATTATTAGGATTTTGGAATCTTTCTCATCCAAATCATGTTACTCAAAAATGGGAAATATTTATTATTTATAATATTATGAATTGGTTTTTATTTTTATTTAATATTTATCATAAATTTTTACCATTAGTTGGTAATAGTATTTTTACAATAAGTATTTCTTCATATTGTATAATTTTAATTACTGTATTAGTTTGTTCAAGAGGTAATTATCAAGATGCTCACTTTGTATTTGTTGAATTTACAAATGGTACAGGTTGGCCATCAAAGGGAATTGCATTTATAGTTGGTTTAATTAATCCTGCTTGGTCATTTTCATGTCTTGATAGTGTTACTCATTTAAGTGAAGAAACAGCACAACCAGAAAGAGATATTCCAAAAGCTGTTATGTCAACTGTTGTTATAGGATTTGTAACTGCATTTACATATTCAATTGCTATGTTTTATTGTATTACAGATTTAGATTTAGTTATTAATTCAACTACAGGTATGCCAATTTTAGATATTTATTATCAAGCATTAAATAATAAAGTTGGTGCTATATGTTTAGGATCATTAGTATTTTTAACTGCTTCTGGATGTACAATTGCTAGTCAAACATGGCAAGCAAGATTATGTTGGTCTTTTGCAAGAGATAATGGTTTACCAATGTCAAAATATTTATCTATAATTGATCCAAAAACTGGAAGTCCTTTATATGCTCATATTTTTTCAACTGTAATTGTTTCAGTTGTATCAGTATTAGTATTTTCAGATGCTGCATTTCAAGCTACTGCATTAGCTTGTGTTTCATTTTTATTAATTGCTTATTCAATTCCAACTATATTCTTGTTGATGAGAAAACGTCAAGTTAGACCAGGTCCTTTTTGGTTAGGTAAATTTGGTTATTTTTGTAATATTGTTTTATTATGTTGGACTGTTTTTGCATTAGTGTTTTTTTCTTTTCCAGCTTATTATCCTGTAACTGCTGAAGGTATGAATTATTTTTGTGTTGTTTTATTTGTTTATGTTATTTGTATGTTAGTTTATTGGTGGTTTCCAATAAAGAAATATGCTTGTAAATATAATTTTAGAGGAGGTGAACAATTTCAAGAAGAAACTGAATTTCCAAATGTTTGTATAAATGAGTGGTAAATAGAGTTGCATTTAATATATTATTTATTTATTTAGATCTATAACTTTTGTAAGTGTTGTTTTATGTACTTAAATTGTCTACAAATCGTTCATGTCCATCCCATAAACTTTCAGTAATACACCAAGTTGCCAAACTTTTTGAATTATCTGGAATTTCTCCGGAAAATTTTGTAATAAAATATCCCATATTAAAAAATGCATTTGAATAAATAATGAATGACATTAATGGAAATCGTTGTATTAAAAGATAATATACTAAACCAATACCAAATAAAACTCCCTTCCTTGTATTTAACCATTGATTTTGTTCAGATGTAGTAAAATGAATTTTATTGAAGTAGTATATTAGTAGATCTTCTGCTAGGTTCCATGATCCATAAAACGTTGTGATTACTAGAACTGTATAATGATAGTTGGACATTTGAAGTATAGTTACCAATATTAGTGACAAAACTGTTCCAACCTTATCAACAAATGTTTGAAATGATATAAATCCCAAGATTAATGAAGTGAATCTTTCAGGTAAGTATTCAATTGATAGGAACAAAATACAATTTAAGAAAAAATAATTAGTATACCTTTTGATAAAATATTTAAATTCTCTTGAAAATTTTAATAAATCAGTAACATTTTTACTCCAACTTTTCGAAGAATCTAATTTATAATTTGATGAAAGTTTTAAATAATTTTCAAAATTTTGTTGATTATTTTTTAAATCTTGATATTTTAAATTACAAAGAAATAAAGTTTCTAAATCTTGATCAAAAAATGAAATTGTTGACATAATGAATATATTTATATTCAAAAAATATTTTAAAAAATATTCAAATTTCATTAATTTTTCAAATTGATTGAAATTGACAAATCCATTTTCTGATAAATATTGAATTGAGACTTTTAAAATTAGTTGTGGTCCATTTAGTAGTATATATAGTATGACTGATAATTTCAAATATTTGATAAATAGATATATGTTATTTGTGGTATAAAACTCCTTATTGATTAATGAATTGTATATTGTACTCAAAGTTAATTCAATACTTCGTAGAACTATTCTTATTGAAAAATATTCGGACCTTGTGGAGATGAATATTGGTGATGCCATGATGAAATTAAATCAATATTTCAAGATTTAAAATGAAAATATGATGTCCTTTTTAAATGATTTGCTTTCCTTAAGGTTTGTTATGTGCAGTGTAAACAATTAGATCTTTGAATGATGGCGATAACGTGTTTTATTATGACTAAGTTCTTTGCTTTGAATAGTTCTCTATCTTAAATACTTGACGTTATTATAACTCTTCGCTTGTTAATTATTATATTTGTAGATTTGACATGACTACTTTAAAGATAAAATGACATATTAAAACGATGCCAAAACCGTTTCTTTAAAATTTATTTTTTTTTTTCATTTCAATGTTTGGTCTTCTTTGTGTTACTTTTTCTTGACAGTTTTTCTTCTTTCTTTTTACTGTTGCAATCAAAACAACATATTTTATAAAAACCTCATTCCAAGTATGATATTTGGATGCTATAGTGTTATTTGCAGGTGTGTACACGCAATGCTTTAAAAACAAACACTTCTTAAACTCTATGAGTTCAAGGATTTAGTAGTGAATGAACCAAAACAAATTGTTGATGTTTTTTAAACGAATTGGTAGCCTTGAATGGTCCAAGCCTAGTAAGATATAGATCCCAGATCTGAATTTGATATCAACCAATATGAAGATGGATTCTATCCACTTAACTAGGATCGCAAACTTCAACGGAGTAAAAATATCCTTCGAAATTATGCATCAAGATTGACTTTATGAGAATAATATCACGGATTTATCAAAACCCTGCAACTATCAACACATGTTGGAAAGTTTTGCTCAAAATTTTGCCAAACCCTTCGTTAAGAAGGTTATTCTCTTTAAACTTAATGAATAAAGTTCGGTTATATATGGCATAACTATGAGGAGTTTTATCTCGGACTTTTAAATCCAGGCTTATTTTTAGTTACAATTTTTTTAGCAGAGTCAAAATTGCACAAAAATGATAAGCCTTCAAACAGAACAAGTCAGAAAACAAAACTTGACTTCTAATTTACAAATGCCTCAATTCTCGATGCCATTCCTATCTACGTTCATTGTGATTTATGCAATGATAAACTTTTGGAAATAAGGGGGATGTAATTCAATTGTGCTAACTATATATATGCAAATGCTTTTCTTGTAAACAGTTGACATATTTTTCAACTCACTAACTTACTTTTCAAAATTCAATTTTAGACTTCAACATGTCAGAAATTTTGCAACCAAATTTAAATACATATTCAAAATTAAAACCAAACACACATAAAAAACTTCAGTCATCTCATTCCAGAACAAGTTTGATTGATGTAACAGATAAATTACCTATTCAACCACCATGTAGAATTTTATTTAAAAATGAAATGGAACATGCTTCAGGTTCTTTCAAATTAAGGGGTATTGGAAATTTAGTAAAAACATCAATTGAAAAAGCACAATCAAAAGGTATACCATTAAATCAAATACATGTGTTTGCATCAAGTGGTGGAAATGCAGGATTAGCAGCTGCTTATTCAGCTAAATTTTATAATGTATCTTGTACTGTAGCTATACCAATAATTGCAAAACCAATAATTCAAACAAAATTAAAAGAATTTGGAGCAAGAGTAATATTATTTGGAAATTCAATAAATGAAGCAGATCAACATTTAAAAAATATAATAAATTCAGCAAGTCAAGATATTTTTCCTATATATTGTCATCCATTTGATAATCCAGAAATATGGCATGGTCATTCTACATTAGTAGATGAAGTATCTCAACAAGTTGAAAATAAAGATAAAATAAAAGGATTTGTTTGTTCATTTGGTGGAGGAGGATTATATAATGGAATATATCAAGGCATGGTTCAAAATGATATATCTGGAGATATCTTATTACTAGAAACAGCTCAAGCACCAACATTAACAGAAACTATAAAAGCAAACAACATCATACAATTAAAAAATGTTAATTCATTAGCTACTTCTTTAGCATGTTCATATACTACTAAACAATCATTACAATATTATCAAGATAGAGATAATGGAATTCAATCACATTTAGAATTAATAGATGATATGGATGCTTTAAGAGCTTGCATTGCATATAATAAATGTTGTAAAAAAACAGTTGAACCAGCTTGTGGTACTGCTTTATCTGTTTGTTACGACAAAATAGATTTATTATTTAAAAATTTTTCCCATTTAAAAAAAGATGATATTTTGGTGATTGTCGTTTGTGGTGGTTCATGTACCACTGATGAAGAATTGAAACAATTCGAACAAATATTGAAGAAGTCAGAAACCAAACTTTAGTTTGATATAGAGTGGTATAGATGAATAGAAGTAATGTCGTAATGTTTGTAAAAATTGTTTGTCTTTTAAATAAAGGATATTTACAATAAAATGTTTATGAATATTCCTAGTATTTTCTTTGTTTAGGTCGAGAATTACTAAATTGAGCCAAACCTCGACCAATATTATGTTCTAATTTTTGTCTAATCTACGAAGAATTTACGCCGTAAATTACATTATCATATAAAACCGCAAATAAAAAAAATTTGTAAATGGAGAGTTGACCGAGTTGGTTAAGGTGACAGACTTAAGCGAGAAGGTTCAAACCCTTCGTATAAGACTTAGAAATCTGTTGGTATGTCTACCGCGCGAGTTCGAATCTCGTACTCTTCACTACATTATAGTCACCCATGTTTTTTTTATATTCCAAAATTTTTTATTTTTCAAAATGACCAGTTCATTAGATCAGTGGCATAGCTTAATTAACAGTAAAACAACGTTTGGCTTAGTTCTATCGTAAAAGCATGAGATCGATGTATATTCGTGTGTGCATGGACTCAATCTAAATGCAATATACAATCAAAGTTGTTACTGCTATTTTTATCACGTCGACCAAAATCATTATAGTCAGTTGAATAGGATAAACGCAATTTGTATCCAAGAATGTGACACTCTATGGATTGTGTGTGCTTCAAAATTCAGGTTGGACCTTGTTGTATGATATGGTTGCAAAAAAAAAAATCAGTGAGAAATCAGTTCTCACTCTTATGCCTCTTGATGAGAAAAAAAAAAAAATTTGATATATAAATGCATCAATCTTAAAAATAATCAACTGTTTCAAGTTCCTTCATGTTTCAAGTTGGAAAAAAATCAAGTTGCAACGAAGAAGTTTTAAATGAAATTGATTGTTGAAGTTTCACAAAGGATTTAAGCTTGTAAAATGAACACGTGACTTTTTTCCCACTTCTGTGTTAAATCTTTCAGAAGAAAAAAAGGTAAAAAAAATATGTTCATGAATGCATCATCATAACATATAACGACCATTTGATTATTCACTGCTGACCACCAATCATTTAACGATCCAAATCAATACATCTTGTCGTGGATTTAATTAGATTTATACGTTCTTATTCCTTCGATTTATTTGAATCAAGGTTGCAAAATTAATATTTTTGATACTTCGCAGTGAGAAGAAAAAACTTGCAACACATACCACAACCTGAAACATCAATCATATCAGTCTCACTATTCAATAATTGATTAATATTGTTAAAGCACAAAACAGATTCAATGATGGAGAATATGAAGGCAGAAGTAAGACGATGTCGTCGATGTAAAAGAAAAAGAATAGATGATGAACCGATGGAAGTTAGACAATTTAAAACTTGTGCAAAATGTAGAATTATTGAAAGGAATAAAAAAAATCTGAGAAAACCACTAGCTGAAGAAACCATGTTGTATGGATTGAAACAATTTCGAGAACAACAATCAACTGAAAATTATATTGAAGAAGAAGGATTATTAAAAGATGAATTTTTTAAGAGATATCACAATAAACCATTTAATTATGATGTTGAAATTAGAAAAGTACTAGGCGATCCAAACTACGTTGCTCCAACGATTGTAAATATGGATGAATCAGTTATATCCGCGGATACTTTATCACCAGGAGGTACAAGATATCAAATGACACTTAAACCAATTGACTCACAAGCTCCATTAAAATTAAAGATTGAAAGAATAAAAAAACCTAAACCTGCCAGCATACCAAGAGCCACCCATGCCAGAACTCACAATTATCATCAACAACAGCAAAAGCAGTTACAGCATCATCAGTCGATTCAAAGTCTGAATATCCCATTAATCTCGAAGCCTTTACCTCGTAGTGAAGATAAATTGTCTCGAAATCATAAAGAAGTTTTTATTAGTGACTCAGAAGAACTAGATTCGTTCAAAAAATACTTGAGAGAATTAGGTGGTGAATTAGCAGATACTACAAATGACACGAATCCTTATTCATATCCTAATGTTTATGGTGATCTCGATAAATTTTTATTAAAGATTACTGAATTAATTGATAAAAAAGAAAAATTCAATGATCTAGTGTTTTTAAAAGAATTTGATAAAAATTTTTGTGATGAAATGTCTGAGGATTCATATGGTGAAAAAGATGTAACCAATACTCAAATTTTCAAGTCTAATGAAAAACAAGGAAGGATCAATTTATTAAGTAATTTGAAAGTTTTATTTATTAACACAATTGCTGCAGCAATACGATTAGATTTTGAACAAAAATCTACGAATTTACACGATTACAAATATTCAAGTAACATCAGAAGTTATTATCAACATAGAGATTTACCAAAACCAAATGAACCAAATCAAGAATTGAAAAATTCATCCATTAGTTTATCATTTAATAAGAAATATCAAATACTAACAATCAAAGTTAGTTATGAAATTAGTATACCTGGCTCAATTGAATATTCCCCAGAGTTTAAAAAGCTAATTTATGAAGTTTTGAAAAAGTTTGCTCAATCTGGCAATAATATCACATTTGACAAGATCACTGGTATTAAAGTATATGAGCAATTGAAATTCAATTTGAGCAATTACAATTCGAATCTAAGTACATCAATCGGAAAATTGAATAAAGAGAAGTTTATCAAAGATTTTGTTAATTTTGAGAAAGATATGAAGGAGTTGAAAGATGAAGAAGAAAAAGGTGGCAACAATAAAGAAGATGAGGAAGTAGAAAAAGATGAGGATGAAGCTGACGAATTAGATGATGTTGATATGGAAGATGTGGAAGAAAAAACACATCCTGAGAGTGATGATTCTGATGAAGAAAGTGACGATGAAGGTGGTAATGAAGTTAATACTATAGAAGAAAAGCTAGAAAATACGTCCTCCATTGGCCGATCTGATACAATCACAGGAGGAAATAGAGGTTCAACAGAATCCGTCTTTACCAAGAAAGAAGCTACTGCAGAAATATTGGATCCAATTTTTAAACCTTGATATAAGCTATTTATTTCGTATCTTGTCTTTAATTATTATATCTTTTGGATCTGAAAACAACCCCTTTAAATCTCGTAAATTATTTTTTTCTCTTTTTGCAAATCTAGGAACTAAAAATATTAAAACAGTAAAAAAAAAAGGTTCATAATACGTGAAGCACTTACCATACTATAAACCAAATCATCTATAAATTTCGAAACTTCATACAAGTTGATATTTTGTTCAAAAACCTATTTTTCCACAACTACATTTCATTTTACATTTAAGTTGGTACCATAATCAATCACTTGACTTAAAATATAATATGAGATATTATTTATCATATTATTATATATTATTATTATCAATTACAACTACCATCTATGGTATACATCTAGATACAAATAATGAAACGTCAATACGAGAAAGTTGTGACATAATAGCAAAGGGTTTATTAGACTATTATGATGGTACTAAGTACGGAGGTACAATTGGAGAATTTACATGGCCATATTATTGGTGGGAAGCCGGCGGAGCTTGGGGAGGTTTGATCGACTATACTGCTTTCTTTGAAAATGATACATTAGTTCCGTTAATTAAACAAGCATTACTATATCAAACTGGTGACGATTTGAATTATATACCATTAAATCAAAGTACAACCGAAGGTAATGATGATCAAGGATTTTGGGGAATTGCAGCTATGGGAGCAGCTGAAAGAAATTTTAGTAGTCCCGATGATGAGAAATTAAGTTGGTTAGGTTTAACTCAGGCTGTTTTCAATACAATGACAGCTAGATGGGATTCTGATGATTGTAATGGTGGTTTGAGATGGCAGATTTTTCAATGGAATACTGGATATGATTATAAAAATTCTGTTTCAAATGGTTGTTTATTTCATATTGCTGCTAGATTAGCAAGATTCACTGGTAATGATTCATACGTTGAGTGGGCAGAAAGAGTTTGGGACTGGATGTATGGAGTTGGTTTAATGACAGAGGGGGATTGGTGGTTCGTATATGACGGGGTTAAAATTCATGATAATTGTACGGCTATTACTAAATATCAATGGACATACAATCAAGGTATGATGTTGGCGGGTTGTGCTTATTTATATAATTATACTGAAGAGCCAAAATGGTATAATTATACTATGAGTTTGTTAGATAGTGCTCAAGTATTTTTCAAAAATATGTCAGATTATGGTTATCCCGAGAGTTCCGTTATGTATGAAGCTGCTTGTCAACCATCATATACATGTAATAATGACCAGAGATCTTTCAAAGCTTATTTTTCAAGATTTTTGGGTTTAACATCAGTATTGGTTCCTGATACCTACCCGAGGATACATAAATGGTTAGTTGATTCATCCAATGCTGCTGCAGGTTCATGTTCAGGAGGATCAGATGGTGTTACATGTGGATTGAGTTGGACGAACTGGACTGTAGGTTGGGATACATATTATGGACTTGGAGAACAAATGTCAGCTTTAGAATGTATTCAAAATTTGGTAGTAAAACCACCTTTAAAAATGTCTGATTTTGAAGTAAAACCAGAATCAATGCCTTGGTTAGGTTATCCAAAGCATCCAGAAAATGCTAAGTCCCTTGATCTTCATACAAAAGATTATGGTGGAGCAGGTGTAATTACAGCTATAATTGGAATTTCAATAATCGGGTGTTTTATATGGTTAATTGTTTAGATTATTTAGAATGGGTTAATAAAAATATAGTATTGTAGATTTGATAAATTATTGCCATGTCGGAAAACTCGGTGTCGGTTTTTTTGTTTATCAATGTCGAAAACTTGTTATCTGATAAACAAAAATTCAGGGAAAAAATGTGTAATCTGTCTTCATAAAGTTATTACTTCCCCACCAAAAAAGTTAGATAATAATCCTTGTTCACCTCGCCATCAATCAGTTACAGTTGAATCAGATATAATCATTACAATTTCAATTATTCAAACAATTCCATTATTAATCAATGAACCCAGAGGATCAATTCACATCTGTTCGTTGGGATAGAGACGAAATCAATAAAAACAATAACAATCAAGTGGAGTCTACTGAGGATCAATCGAAGGTAATTAAACCTGATATTAAGACTCAATCGGTTGATGAAGAGCCCATTGAAGAAGAGTATTTGTCAGTGCCAGTTACTGATGCTAACAATGCTCAAAAATCAAATACAATAATTCAGGAAAATACGGATGAAGCTGAAAGTTCCGATCCAAGTAATTCATTATTGATTTCTCAACCAGATAATAAAGATGAACCTAGTCAGCAGCCTAAGATCAATGAAGAAAGAAGAAGTCTGAATTCACAACCTGAGTTACAAGAATCTTTACATGAATCAAATTCAAATGAGGCGGAAATTCCATCACAATCAAATGCTGAGCAAATAGATACGTCATTTTTTGATAAATATTCTATCAAAATTTCAGCAACTAACCCAAATCGAGACTTGGATGCATCATCAAAACCATTTATTTCATACTTAGTAACCACTACTACTGATAATCCAAATATTAAAAAGTTGGGCAAGGATAATCATAGTGATGAACAATATGTGACCTACAGTGTTCGTAGAAGATATGGTGATTTTAGATATTTGCATGAAAGTCTTACCAACGATTTTCCGACCACAATGATTCCGCCTTTACCTTCAAAACTGAATATAAAATATTTGACTGGAGATACATTTAGTCACGAATTTGTGCATAAAAGATTACATTCATTGGAAAGATTTTTAAGGTTTATTGTTCAGCATAAACTTTTATCTCAACTGTCAATTTTCCATTTGTTTATAAGTGATTCAAATGATTGGAATACTTTCACAACATCATTGAAATTGAAAGAATTGAATGTTAATGGGGAGCAACAAGGTGGTTTGGTGAATAAAGTAGTCAATGAAGATTTGATCACTGAAAAAGTGATGAATTTTCTTACATCATCAAAGCATAAAAAGGAGACTAATCGGGAAATTTTGGAAATAAATGACAAATTGAACAAACTTTATGAGAATTTGTTGAAATTGGATAGAATATTTTCCAAATTAAATCGCAAGAACAAGGAACTTAGTAATGATTATTCTCATTTTTCAAATCAAATATTAAAATTGTCCACTATACAAAGTGAGGAGGATAGTTCCGTAATCTCGAACTTTAAAGTTTTTGCGGAATCGCTTGACTTTTTCCTGAACTCGTGGTCTCAGTTGCATAAATATATGGATGAATCATTCTTGGTGTCATTGAAGGATTGCTCAAAATACATAATAAGTCTCACCAATCTCATTGAACTACAACATAATAAAAAAATTGATCTACAAGTTTTACAAGATTATCTTATTAAAACAAGAAATGAATTAAGTACTGCTAGCGGTGGTCATCCTTCATCTTCATATCATAGTAGTGGTAGCGGAAGTGGGATTGTAAATAATACTACTCAATTAATCAAGGACACTATATCAACGTCAGCTACCCCATATATAGGATCAACTTCAAAAGAACACAAAATTCAAAAATTAGAAAATAAGGCGGCTCAATTGGAAAATGAAATTAAAGTTCAGACAAAATTAATTAATGACTTTACCAACAAAATCATTACAGAAGAATATCCTAATTGGGACAATTTTAACAAAAATGAATTAAAAGGCTCAATGATTGGTTTGTGTGATAAACAAATTGAATTTTATAAGGGATTAGTTGATAAATGGACTGATGTTGAAATCAAACTAACTCAAAGACTAAATAGTATACAATAAGTTCATTTCTTAGAATATTAGGTGGTATCTTTTATATAAGTTTATTTATATTAGTACAATGAGATGAATTGAATAGTAATGCTATAAAATTAGATCGATTTTTTTAACATTTTGAAACTTTGATAACGCGATCTCTAGTTTCTACAATCTTGTAATTGAAATGCTCTGAAAAATCCTTGTGATCAAGAAACCAATCAGACCCTAAAGTTTTCAACAAATAAGCTGTGATATCGTCACAATAACCAAGTAAACTTAAATCAAAATTTTTATCTGGAATTGGGTCTTTATTTATGAGAACCTTTTTCACATTCTTAGGTATTTGATCAATCATACTCGACACTGGTTCAACCTTCAATGATGATCCAACAACTATAACCAAGTCACAATCAATTGCATCTTTACTCAAACAACTGTAAAATTTCTCCGGTAAATCTTCCCCAAAAAATGTGATGTCAGGTTTGTATACACCATGATTAAAAGGTGCGTTCTCTATATTTCTCCAACATTGAAAACAACGAGGAATTAGACCACCACGAATACTATCATGAATACGTTTACCATTAATTTTATTTTTACAAGTAATACAAGTAGCATTAGCAAATGATCCATGACATTGTACCAATTTTGTTTCATTAATACCTGCCGCCAGTTCTAAGTTGTCAACATTTTGAGTGTATAATCTTCTTAATTTGTTTTTATCCTGTAACAATCTAATGAAACAATGAAACAAACTCAATTTTTCATCTGGTGGTAATATCATATGAGCAACTGAATAAAAGATTGATGGATCAAGTCTGAAAGTCATCAAATCAAATACCATTTGAGGATCTGATAAATTGAGACTTTCCAATTTACTATAAAGACCCTCGTTTGATCTAAAATCTGGAATACCTAATGATGTCAGGATACCTGCTCCCGTTATAACCATTATCTTTGACTTCGTTTTCAAATCTTCAACAAAATCATCCAAAAAATATTGCTGCTCAAATGCCTTAGTGACAGACAAAAGATCACCTTTTTCATCCCACATCAACAACTTGATCAATATTCCTGCCAACTCATCAATAGTTTGAGACTTATGATCTTTGATAGCAGCTTTTGGATATCCTAAATTTAAAATCAAATTACAAATGTCAAATTTGGTCATTGAATCACTTAAATGTTTTTCTAAAAATCCAGCCACTCCTTTTACTCTTAGTTTATCTTTATATCTTTTTCTAAGCTTCTTATCTGCTACGAAATTTTCAATATAATCATCACTCAAAACTTCTGATTCCATCTCTTTGATTCGTTGAGCTGAAGCATCCATAAGACTTAATTCTTCTGATTCTGACTCGGAAACGCTCGTATCCGGTGAAATATGTAGCTGGTTTGAATGATCTGTATATTCTTCCTTCGATTTAAGGTGTGTTGATAAAGATATTAGCGGTATAGTGTCATTTATCAGTCTTGTTGGAGATATGGTTGGACTGACGTCTTTGGAATTACTATTTGATTCTTTGAATAAACTTTCAATTTCTTGATTGTTCGGTACGTTAGACTTGGATTCCTGTACCTCACGTATTTCCTCCTGACGCGGTTGTACCGTTGAGAATGGTGGAGAACGGATTCGCTCTGGTTCTGGTGAGTATTCTTGACTTTCAGTAATTCGCTCGGGTTCTTGTGAGCATTCTTGACTTTCAATAACTTGAGGTACTATTGAAAGTTCCGGCAAAGTAAATTCATTAAGATCGATTTTTTGATCGGGTTTATCAAAATCAAAATTTATAGCGTCAAGGTCAAATTCATCATCGATTGTGATTGTATTCTCAAGGCTTGTGTTTTGTGCAGGAATTGCGCTATCATGTGAGGGGTGTGCTGACATCGATTCCAAAGCTTGAGTCTGTGGCAAATTTTTAGTTGATAAGTTTAAATGCGACGCTTCGTGTGGAAAATTTAAGCTATGATGTGAGGTTGGTGCTGAAGTCGACTCCAGAGCTTGAGTCTGTGGCAAATCCCGAGATGTTAAGTTCAAAAGCGACGCTTCGTGTGGCAAATTCGAAGTCATATCAATCGTGGCATGTCCGCTTACTTCTTGCGATTTTGAATGAGTTTGGTCCCTAGGAGCTACATCTATATCGACTACATTTCCAAGGATTGGTTGATTGGCAGGTTGAATGTTGAACGCTATGTTCTTGCTCGGTGTAATCGGTTGTAGATTGAAATCACCCGTGGTATTATTGACTGGTGGAGCTTGACTCGAGTTTTCTGTCATTAAAGTGGCAGTGGAAGATATGTTTTCAAATATTTTGCTGAAATTTTCGTCTGACAATCGAAATTTATTGATGTTTTGCACTGATGATGGAGCGCTCGAAGCAGCTGTTGGTTTGAAGATTTCTTTCATGGTGGTATCCGATACTCGAAACTTCTTGGTATTTTTTTGAATCTTTGAAAAAGCTTTTGGTCTATAGAATGAACCTATGTTTATTCTTCCATTTGAAAAGTTAGGGCTCCGCTGTGGAACAGTTGCTTGATTGACCCGGTGACTCACTGGCACATTGGTACGATTTATGGCTGGTGTTTGTTGATAAATACGATTATTTCGATTTTGAATTTCTGAGTTTTCAACCTCGTTCCCTTTTGTTCCATTATTAATATAGTTCAACGCGTTGATGGGTCGTGGATTCGCAGTTTTTGATTTTTTTGAACTATTTTGACTTAACATACTAAATCTTGCTTCATTCAACTTGAGTGGCTTAACAACGGCAACCGAGTTGGCGGGGACTTTCCAAGATAAACAACCATCATTTCTACTCAATTCAAATCCATCTATGAATTCACTTTCCAACTCTTTTACTATTGTTGGTGGTGTTTTCGATAAAGCTAACACCGACATTGAGGAGTTGCCACTATAAGTATTTTGACTTGAAATCATGTTCTCCTGATACCGTTGAAAATTCTGAACAGTGAGACTCATATTAATGTCATTTTAAATGCTTTTCTTATGCTGACCGATAGGATTTATGTATGCTGTAGTTGTTGTAAAGTATTAAATTTTTGCCAATATTACTAATAACCCGTAGTTTCAACCGAATTAAAACTATATTATAATAATTCTGAGACTTCAATAAGTAATAAAACTCCGTAAAGTTGGTCGGAAGTATTGATATATGGTTTATGAGTGAAATTCACAATTTTGTTATGAATGAAAAGATTAGCCTAAAAGAAAAAAAAATAATTTTTGTGTTTTCATTCAACGTTTTTTATCAAATTAATTAAATAGTAGATACGCGTTATCAGGAAGTCAAATTTTAGTTTCATTGGAACTAATTTATACTCAAATCATCACCAGTTTACGACACAAATGTTCTTTATTGAATACCTTGTTTCTGATTTCAAACTCTGAATGACATGTTGTATTTTCAATGCAGTATCGTTTGCAGTGTCTGTAATTCAGAGAAGATGTAGTTTTGGTAGGGCATGCCAAATTTGGACCTTGACTGTTATATTAGGGTTATTGAAAAAGTCATTCACTTATTTCACAGAGCAAGTATCAAACAAATTAATTGTAAGTTATCAACTATTAAATACAAGTCATTCATTGTAAAGAAAAAAAAAATAGAAAAAAAAAACTATCCAAATGTAAATTAATCTCAATCTCTATCTCTTTCATTTTTTAATCTATCATCCTCTCCCACATCACTATCATCCTCTTCTCCTAAATCAAACAAAGTTCCTCCGTTCTCACCATTCTCGCTTGGGGTATTGTTATGATCAACTTCTTCATAAGTAGGTGGCGCCGGCTGGTTTTGTTGTTTCTTCTTTTTAATTTCATCATCTTCTGCTATTTCAAAACTATCTCTAGCAACATTTCTATGCGAACTATTCACAAATGTCTCATCATCACCATTATTGTTCTCTTCATCATCATGACTCATTAATGATAAGTCGTCTAATTCAAATTCATGACCTCCCGGTTGTTGATAATCTGGATCCTCATCATCTGCATTTGTTGATAATTGTTGAGATACTGCCAACATATAACTTGTTTCAGTTGGTCTCCATAACCAAGCAACAATCAAAAATACCACAAAAAATACAACACTTGGCCAAAAATCAAAAATGAAAAATGCACTTTTCCAATGTTGTTCAAACATTTCAGTTGTTGACATACTAAGATAAATAAATGAACTTAAAGTTAATCCAAGGAAAGTAATAACAATTGCAAGAAATATGATTCTAAATAAATTTTGATATAATTGTAATTTAATAATTTGTCTTTGTTGATGTAATGCTTGAGTAGTTTTTCTGATAGAAGATAAGATTGTAATGTAGTATATTGATAACAGGATTGATATTGGTATTAATGGAAGTAATAATAAAAAGCTCCCTGCTGTTCCTTCATCAATACTATCTGAACTTACTAAAGCACTCGATGAACCTCCTAAATAATTGAAAATAAGATAAACCAAAGCTGAAACAAAATTAAACCCTGCTAATAATTTACAATATAACATTGTTCTTTTTTTCAATTTTAATTTAACAACCCCATAACCTAAAGCGATACATAATAATAAGAAAAATGAAAAAGTTATCTTTATTGCATTACAAATAGCCATGAAAACCATATAAGCAATTGCAAATCCTCCATTACCTTGTCTATTTAAATAATCATAATAAGACCAAACAACTAAAGTATCAAAAGTTAAAAATCCCAACATTGCTAATAAATATCTTTGTAAAGGTAAAATTTGATTTTCTTTTCTTTTTTTAAAAAATTGAAATCCAAATAATGCTAAAGCAATTGCATAACATAAAGTTAATATTCCATAAGCTGGTAATTTCGGTATTTCACTAGCATTTAATTGACCAAATGCATTTTGAAAATTTATTATTCCCTTATATGATGGATCATTATCATATTTTGAAAAAGTTGAAACACAATAATATCCTGTTCTATTTATTGGATAATGAATATCTGCTGGACCTAAATGATTTAATTGAGAAGCTAAAATAGTTGAATTTGTCAGATTTGAATTGACTATAAAATTATCTTTTTGATCTTCTGAACATATTTTTAAAGTATTTATGGCATAATCATCACAAATAAATTTATATTTCCCATCACCAAGATCAACTCCAATATTTATAAGATCTTTATATTCAAATATTATATATGATACAGAAATATCATCATGATTATTATTTTCTTCTTTATTTTTAGAATTATATTTATAATCTTTAAATTCTTTTAAATTTAATCCTATATGAGGTTTTAATGATCCTCCCCAATCCTTTTTTGAATATACTCCTGCACAAACTTGAGAATGTCTATCATCATCGAAATTAGCTAGATTTGCCAATACTAAGGAAAGACAATATAAAAATGATATAAATATCATTTAGCTATTAATGTTCAATTGATTATTAATCTTTTGATCCTCTACGGTTATAAAGGCTATTGATTCTGTTTGATCAACAAAATTATTTGATTTTTCAAGCCGAGAAATATTGGTTCCAGTTGGTAGCAATATCCGAATTTATTATATTAACATATTCTACAATCATTGAGAAAGAAGAGAATAGTTATGAAGAATACTTACTATGAGTAGTCCTTTGAGTCGAATAATTTTATACATTAGATTAAATATATCTAAATTTATAGTCCTGCCCAAACTGTTCCACCACTTTGGTATACAACTTTACCCAATTGTTCTACTTTATTATCCCAATCAACTAAATGAGTATATAATGAATGAACTTGATTTAAATTTAATATTCTTGGTTGTAACCATGTAACTATTAAAATTTCATCAATTTGATTTATATAACCTTGAATTAATTTTAATGAAAAACATTTTATAATTAAATGTTCTACATCATTTATTGGAGTTCCAGTAAATTCAGTAATTTCTTTGAATGTTAATCTTTTATTTGTTGTAGATTTTAATGATATTAATTCTAGCAAAGACATTATAATAATTTTTTGATTTAAAAATAATTCATGATTTTTCAAAAATGGTGATTTTTCAAAAGCTATAATTTTCCATTTATTAAATTCTTTTAAATTTCCAGAATTTAAATTTTGAATTAATTGATATAACCAATAATAATTTGAATTTTCATTATTAAATTCTTGTAAAATTTCATGTAATATTAATTCTCCAAAATTATATACTTTATCACCTAATAATGCCGATATACATAAATCATAACATAATTTAATTTTTTCATCTTGATTTAATGATGATACTGATGAAAGATATAATAAACCATTTTTATAAAATTCATTATAATTTTTTGTTAATTTATATAATTGACATTTTGTTAAATAATATGCTGCATTTATTTTAGAATTATATTCATTATTTAAACTTTCAAATTTTGGTTCAATTCTTGATAATGTAATTTCAGCTTCTTCTAATTTTTCAAGATATAAATTATAACGAGCAATTTGTAAATCAATATAAATTAATGATTCATCATTTTCTAATAATTTTTTATATTCTGGATCTTCATCATCTTTATAATTATTCTCTTTTTTTAAATTATCAACAAATTCTTTTCTTAATTGAATTAATTTATCTAATGTTTCATTTGTTGGATAACTTTCTAATAAAAAATCAACAACTTTAATTGAATTTAATTTGGATTGAAATTGTTGAATAAATAAACTATAAAGTTTATTTTTCAATTCTTGATTGATTTGTGTTTGATCATATGTATAATAAAACTCATCTAATATTTGAGTTAATTGATGCCATAATTTACGTTCATAAAAATCTTCTAATTGATAAAAAATATTGATTAATTCAGGTGATTCTAATTCCAGCCTTATACTAGCTAGTAATGTAGATATATCTGAGTCTATATCCATTGCCGACATCGTTTTTTGAGTTTAGTTTGGGAATAATCGATGGAATATGGTCTGGTTAGTTTGTTAACTTAAGTTTTGAGTTGAAATTTTCGAACTATTGGTGGCAAGAGAGAAAATCAAATCTCAGTTCCAAAAATGGTAATATTTGCGGCTTTTGTTCCACATAGAACTTCAAACTTTGCAACATCAAGCATAACCTTATCGATGGAGAATCCACGTAAAAGTGAGGAGCTTAAGTAGTTCTAGACTGATACCTACTTGTTGACTATGCTTTCTGAAATTTTTGTGCTCTCATAATTTTTTCACCTGGGTATTTATTAATTTCGATGAAACCAAAAATATTTAAAAAAGCTAAACTCAATCGATTTTATAAATATATGATATGATTGACTTATTGTGAGAACCAGACCAATGTTATAATTGGATATTTGATTTGATGGTATAAAGAGTTACAACCGATGAAGGATTTTAAGAAAAATTGGATAATTAATAGGGTTAACACTTATTAAAAACAGTCGATAGATCAGTTAAAACAAAAAGTTACTACAAATTTTTGGGGCGCATCAAAACTACACTGATACTGTCTAAACCTCAAAAAATTTGTAAATGGAGAGTTGACCGAGTTGGTTAAGGTGACAGACTTAAGACGAGAAGGTTCAAACCCTTTGTACAAGACTTAGTAATCTGTTGGTATGTCTACCGCGCGAGTTCGAATCTCGTACTCTTCATTATTCAAACTGAAACCATCAATTTTTTTTTTGCAACCATTGATATTTATATATATTTAAATATGGTTTTTCCCCATTCATGATCTAAATTAGTTTAATTCATTGAGCAGTCGAAACATCAAGTCCAAAGATTCAACTTTGAATAATGAGAAGTCCTTGTTTATGACTGTTCTTGAAGAGAGGTTCGTGCAGATGGTAATGATAAATTGTTTCTTAAAAATTGTCTATAAAATTTTCCTTTCAATTATATAACCCCTTATATCGCTCTTTCATTTAAACATATAATCTGTGGTCCAAGTCATTTGTCTTATTGTTCATGAATTTTCTAAAAATTCTTTATGTAATTTAATATTATTACAAATTTCTTTTCTTTTATCAGATTCAGATTTAGGTACATCAATTAAATTTATCCAAGGAGGTAAACACCAAATTTCAAAAAGATTTTTAATTATAATTAATTCAAAATCAGAATCCTTGTCGTTATCATTATTATTTTGTAATTCCAATTTTAATTCATTTCCATAAAGTCTTCTTCTATTTCCATTCTTATCCTTAGTTCCTCTACCACTATCATTTGAAAATAATTCATTTATAAAAAATTTTGGCCAATTTGCATGTAAAAAAATTAATGATGATGATTTAAAAAAATGATAATTATAATTTGAAATTGATTTATCATTTTGATTAGTAGCGAAATTTGTTGGTGGTTGAGATTTATAATTTGATTGATTTTCATTTGATCTTTTTGTTATTACATTTCTAACTGTTTTGGTAGTACTAGTTTCATCTTCTTCTAAAGATTTTGATTGAATATAATCTATAATTGGATCATATTGTCCCATACCAAAAAAATCAATTTTTTCAGTTTTTTCAGAAATTGGACCAAATTCTCTATTAAATTCTTTTACTTGATAATATGATAAATTTAATCTATGAGCTGCGAAAATAAAACTTTCTTTATCTCCTTCTCCTGCTGCTCCTTGACTTAATAAAGGATAATAAAATTCAGGTCCATAATAATTATAAAAAAATGATAATATTAATGTTTTAAAATGATGTTTTTTATTAATTAAAATTTGACCTGTTTCTGAACTTGCTTCTGGAAGTGATCCTTCACAATCATGAAATGATATCTTTTCGTTATCATTGTCATTGTTTTTATTTAAATATGAATTTCTTACCTTATTATTTGTATCTACTTTTATATCAGCAATATCATATAATAAAGGTGATGTCGATCTTCTCCATAAATCTGGCCATATAATTAAATGATTATCAATAAATGGTTTATTAACAAATAAATTATCTGGATTTTTTATAGGTAAATTATCAGCATCAAGATATAATACATTTTCAAAAGATGATAGCAAAATAGCAATATTTTTTAATAAATAACTTCCAAATTTATTATTTTTAATTAATAAATCAGGTATAAATTCATTCATTATTATACATTTCCCATTTAATGATGGTATTATTTCATTACAAAATTGTAAATTATAATCTTTTTGTGTTGGTATCATTATTTCAATTGGTAAATTTGATCCTAATTTTCTTAAAATTTTTATTGATAATAGAACTAATTGATCATATTTTCCACCTGCTAAATAAACTATTCCATCACCTTTTAAAAATTGATTTTGATTTATATTATTATTTTCGATTAGGAGATCTTTTGGCCATTCATTAGGCATCAGATTTATAAATTTTTCATGAGATTGTTTTAAAGAACTTATTTCACTATCATTCAATTGTAAAAATAATGATAAATATTCTTTTGTTCTTACTGGTTCATTTATATATTGTTCTCTTAAATGACCATCAAAAACAGGTATATGACCCAATTTATGAATATATTCTTGATTTTCAGGAATTTCTTTCATTTGTTCATCACTTAATTTATTTAAATTTTGATAATATTTTTCAATTTTAATTTTATTTGAATAATGTTCATTATTATTTATACTACCGATATTTGGTTTACAATCTTCAAGCTTTTCAACTAAGTTTAAAAAAAATTGCTTGAGGCTTTCATTAAATTTTAATTCTGTTTCATATTCTTTTGATATTGAGTTTTCGAAATATGAATTTATTTTGGTTTTCAAATTATTTGTATAATCTTGATAGTTATATCCTTCAATTAAATGTAAATCATAATTTTGTTTTGAATCTGAATTTATATATGTTATTAAATTTTCTTGAGAATTTGTAGAAATTGATGATTCTGGTGAATCTTCATTTAAATTATGGTTTTTTTCAATTATTAATAAATTAGTTGTATTATCATAATAAAAATCTATAAGGTTATTTTTAGCATCGTTTTCAGTTGAAGAAGATTTAATATATTTCAATAGGGATTTAAATGATAGTGATGAAGATGAAGATTTTAATGAAGACGGTAGAATTTCATCCAAATCTTGGGTGTTTGAGGTTGATGAATTTGACAAATTTTCAAAAGTTATATAATATAATATCAATAGTACATTTGAAATAGTAAATAGTAGTATACCAATTTTAATTAATTGATTTAATCTAAATTTTGAAGAATTTGTTGATTTTGAAAATAACGATTTGAAACTCATGATAAAATGGAATAGCTTTTTTTAAGATGAAAGGGAAATTACTTTGTTTTGTAAGGATTGCTGTATAGGCGAACGGCTAGTGTTTGGTATGATAATTGTTTGATAAAATTTTGAGTTTTGGAAAAAAAATTACACCAACTTTGGTGTTATAAAGAATGAAATTGTAATGAATGTATGAAATGAAATTGTAATGAATGTATGAAATGAAATAGAAACAGTTTATAGAATCAAAGATAAGATAGAAAAACATACAAAGAATCTGAAAATTTTACAAAATTTAAACTCCATCAAAATAAAATGATGTAACAAATCAAACACAAAGTTAAAATAAAAAAAGCTAAAAACAATAGCATTTAAAAAGGACAAGAATAAAAGAGATAAATTGAAAAAGGAGTTATGGTGGTACGTGTTGTATGAGAGGATAAAAACCATTCCAGTCATCTTTAGGACTTATTAAAAATTGTTTATCTATTCTATTAATAGTTTGGGATAATTCCATGTTTATAATTTTATATTTTTTTTTTATTTGAAACTTAGCAAATCTTTTTTCTTTGTTTCAGATCTTTTCAAAATTTTTAATGATCGTGTGAGTTTTAACCATTTTTAAAAAAATTAGTAGGATTTTCGACTAAAAATTTGAACAATAAGTGGGAAACGTAATTGTTGACATGCCGTATTAGTAATTATTATAATTAAAAGATTTTAGTTGTTAGGCACAACTAAACTTTAATACTAAATTTGTGTTTATCTCATACAAATTTTAATAATAGAATGTAAATAGAAAATAAAAATTAAGTACGCAAGGCTAATTCGTACTTCAATTCCGTTTTTATTTAAATGTTATTGATCCTGCTCGTTCCTTACAATTTCAATGATAACTATTATAAGGTTTAAACTTCCGTATATCATCGTAAAATCCGTTACTAGTAACAATATCTATAAGATGAGCAATTTATTTTAATAAGGGCTTTTTTAGTTTCCAATCCTTATCCCAGTAAAAATTCCGCATGATCCAATAACTCTTGAATTATTGATTTAAGAGCCTCTGTTAATTAATGTGTGAAAACCTTCATCATCACTCGTAGACATTTTAATAACTCTCATTAAAATATTTAGGGAGTGTGGCTATCTCGTACAACTAAATTCATTTTAATATTACACGAAAAATGTCAAAAATAAAAATTGCACATCAACTTTTCAGTTAACATTACCACAAGATTGAGTAGATCTTTATTCGATACCAAGATCTGACTTATTGATCATTGATGGATTGAACCCAGGTTAACTTTACTTTAGAATATCTCTCACCTCAGTTTTCAAGTGGCTCCCAATCGGCAATAATTAAACATCCGTACCGCCATATCAAGTCTTTTTTTTTTTTTTTTTTTTTTTTTTTTTTTTTTTTTTTATATTTTATTTGTATTTAANTTTTTTTTTTTTCATAATTCAACATGCATTAAAAATCTATACATAAACTATAAACTTATTGACAACAGTACCGCACCAATTAAAAAAAAGATCCAGTTGGGGGTCGATTCAAATTCTCGATGTCTCACTTAAAAAAAAAATTATATTGCTATCAATGTCATTAAATTATCAATTACGATAAGAGTGACATTCACATTTAAGATGACAATATTTACATTAAGTTCGATGGAATTTTGCTTCAACTTATAGATATTTATCAAGGTTATTTTTTATATCGATCAGAGTGAAAGCTAGGTATGACTAGTGAGTGTGATCTTTACTTGTTTAGAAATGCCAATAAAATGGTGGATCTGACAGAATAAAACGCGACATAAATTATTTGATAAAATGTAAAGAATGACGAGAGACTTTTAAAGTTAAGTATTATCATCTATAATCAATCTTCCATTTTCAACTTCCTGTTTATCTTCATTTATTGTTTAAAAGATAAGAATAGAACTTTCAGAACCTTAACATAATTGTGTATTTATTCTCTTTACTTTGATAGACAGTCAGTCAATTTAATCTAATACTGATAGACAGACAGACAAAAAAATCATAATTATTATGGGAAAGAATTAACTAAACAAAATAACAAACTTAATTTAATTCTCTCTTGTTATCAATTCAATAATACTAATATAAACTTTACAACCAATTTTGAATTGACAACCATCAACTTATATTGATTATAAGTTGTATATAGAGTCATATAATTCAACTAGAAAACAACACACTATAGCATTAACCATATAACTCAACACGATATACTCATCTTAGACAAAGATAATGTCAAATGATAATTTATTTTATGATTTAGAACAAGATAATAATCCTTCATTTTATGGTAATACTTCATTATTAAATAATCCTTATAATATACAATCACCATCTTCATCACCATCGTCACCAGATTTAGAAGCAGAAGAAGAAGAAGAAACAACTGAAACAAAAGAAACAACATCATCAACAGCAACTCCACTACAACAACCACAACAACAACCACATACACCTAAACAGCCGAAAGAAAATGGTAAACAACGACATCATAATTCTAATTCACTCGACAACAAACTTCAATCCCCTCAACTAAAACAACAACAATCAACATTACAAAAATCAAGACAATCATCTCCAACAGCAAATCCATTAAGTGATAATGAATATCCTAATGAATTAGTAAACAGTACTATAGGGTTATCTAATAAAATTACTCAATTATTAGATGATCCTGATTTACAAATTGATATAATTAATTCTGAAAAATTAATAAATTCATCAATTATTGTATATACAATACAATTATTATCAGAAAAATCTCAAAATAAAATAGTTGTTAAAAGAAGATATAGTGAATTTAAATCACTTAGAGATAATTTATTAAGATTATTTCCAACAATTATTGTTCCACCAATTCCTGAAAAACATTCCATATTAAGTTATTTATTAAATTCAATAAATAGTGATAATGAAATTAATATAATAGAAATGAGAAAAAGATATTTTAAATTATTTTTAAATGATTTAATATTTGATTCTGATTTAAAATTAAAAAATTGTATTTTATTACATAAATTTTTTGATCCAAATTATGAATTATGTTGGTATAATGCTTTAAATGAACCTCCAATAAGTTTTTTACCAAATAACTTGTTGTTAGCAAATCCTGTAAATCCTGCTGATCAAAATGGTTTATATTCTATATTACCAATTGTAAATGGATTTGATATAAGTTCAAAAACTGATAATTTATCAAATTTAAAAAAGATAAATGATGAATTATTTAAATTAAATGATCAAATTAAATTATTTGAATTAAAAGGTTTTGAACAAGATTTAAAATTTAGTATACCACAAGATTTAATAACTTTTGAAATGAAATTTCACAAGATTATAAAAAATTTAAATATTTTAAATAAATTAGATATAAAAACAACAAAAGATTACAAAGGTTTAATAAATATTTTAATTGATTTAGGTGGAAATTTAAATAATTTTTCATTACAAATTTATAATCAAAAAATTAAAAAAGATTCAAATATAAATGAATTAAGTGAAAGTATTGAAAAATTTGGTTCAACAATGGATCAATCATTTTTAAATTTTGAAAATTTTGTTTTTAATCAATTAATTCCTCAATGGCAAGAACCAATAAATCAATTAATTCAATATCATCAAACTTCTTTAAATTTAATTAAATTTTATAAATATAAAATTATACAATTTAAAATACTTTATAAATTAAAATTTAATAAATTTCAACAATTAATAAATATTAATAATTTAAGTGGTGGAAATAATCTTGGGTCAAGTAGTGTAAGCTCAGCTCCACCACCAACTCCAAGTTTTGCAGAAGCTAAAACTCAAGAAGAAGAAGATGCAGTAATTATAAATTCATTAGATCATTTAAAAGAATTAAATAGTCCAACATTAAATAATGCATTAAAAAATATTTCAATGAAAAAAATTACAAAAAAATCTTCATGGTATGGATTATTTGGAGGAAATAATCAACCAAAAAAATTTAATTTTCAATTACCTGTTGATAATACAGATATAATAGAAGAATCTAATTCACAATCAAATTCACAATCACAATCTAATCAAAATAATGGTCAATCAAATTCAATACCAAATTCATCAACATCCACAACATCATCCTCAAATTCATTAACTCCAACAATTTCACAAACAACAAATTTAAAATTTAAATTACAACATATAGAAAAAGAATTAAATAAAATAAATCAATTAATTGAATTATGTAATAATGATATGAAAAATTTAACTAGCGAGTTATTAACCACGTTTAAAAATTTTTTAAAAAATTTAGAAAAAAAATGGTTAATTATAATGATTAATTATTTAAAAAATGGTCGAGGGTTATTTGAAGAAAATTTAATTAATTGGATTAATTTTAAAGAATCGTTTTTTGATAATAATTCAATAGATGAAATTGAAATAAAATAATGAAAATGAGAATTATGAAATTTTATGGTTGAGATTAATTATGTTTTTTACTGATTGTATTTCTTTAAATAAACGATATTTACAATAATAATAATAAAATTTATACAAATATTCGTAGTATTTTCTTTGCGTAGGTCGAGATTTTCAAATTTACGCCAATTCTCGTACAAAATATCGTCCAAATATTTGATCAGATCATTGGATTTTTAGGGCCCAAAATGCATCAACATATTAAACCACAATTAAAAAAAATTTGTAAATGGAGAGTTGACCGAGTTGGTTAAGGTGACAGACTTAAGGCGAGAAGGTTCAAACCCTTCGTATAAGACTTAGTAATCTGTTGGTATGTCTACCGCGCGAGTTCGAATCTCGTACTCTTCATTGGAAGATTAAAATCACCTGATTCTTTTTTTATTTTACTTATATACATTCGAGTATTCTTTTTTATTACATTACTTTTTAATAGTTCGATTTAGGACTGTAATTGAGTTTATAAACTCAGTTTAATTTGAGATAATTTGTTTTTATGGCTGCAAAATCAAGTTTCAAGTTGTAAAGCATGGTCGAGGTCGTGTAAATACTGTTGAGATTATTCCTACTTATTAATTAAACTCGTTGAAATGAATTAAACATACAACTCGATAAGTAACAAACATGTTGATGGTTAAATTTGTATAGTCTAGTGATTGAAGTCGATATATCTCAATCAATCATTGAGTTTGAAATACAACGCCTTAGAATAAAAGGAGTTGATGGTAAGATTTGAAATTATAGCAAATTTATTTTTCCTGACTTTCTGATTTCTTCGGAACAAAAAGATTAAAGAGAATTATCAGTTAATCAGTTTCTATTGAAAATTAACGCATTGCCGAATATATTAAACCTACACAAGTTCATCAATTGACTTAACAAACCCTGAGTAACACACAATGTCTAAGATAGTACGTTCATTAAAGAATGTAGCTGGTGGTTATTCATCTTCACAAGTATTAGTTAGAAATGCTACTTCAAATGATCCAACTGGTCCAACTAAATATGATATGGAAGAAATTGCTTCATTTACTTATCAATCACAAACAGAATTTATGGAAGTAATGGATATGTTAGATCGTCGTCTTAATGATAAAGGTAAAAATTGGAGACATATTGCAAAATCATTAACTGTATTAGATTATTTAGTAAGGTTTGGTTCAGAAAAATGTGTATTATGGGCAAAAGATAATATATATATTATAAAAACTTTAAGAGAATTTATTCATTTAGATGAATCAGATAATGATCAAGGTGCAATAATAAGAGTTAAAGCAAAAGAATTAGTTTCTTTATTAAGAGATGATGAAAGATTAAAACAAGAAAGATTATTAGCAAAACGTAATAAACGTGGAAATTTTGATGATGATGATGATGATGATGAAGATGATTTTGGTGGTAATGAACGTAGAGAAAGAAGAAGAGATAGAAGAAGAGAAAGAAATCGTGATGAGCCATATGATGAAGATTTACAAAGAGCATTAGAATTATCAAGACTTACAGCTGAAGAAGATCAAAATAGATTAAGAGAAGCTGAAAATGATCCAGATTTAGAAGCTGCTATAAAATTATCATTAGAAGAAGAAGAAATGAGAAAACAAAATAATAATAATAATTTATTAGATTTAAATGAAGAACCTCAATATCAACAACAATATTTTACAGGTTATTATCAACAACAACCACAACAAACACAACAATATTATCAACAAGATCCAAATCAATATCAACAACAATATGATATGTTTGGAAATCCAATACAGAATCCAATGGATACAGGATTTTATAATCAAAACTACTACCAACAACAACAACAACCTCAATATCAACCAAATCAATTTACTGGTTTTAATTATGGTCAGAATCAACCAGCAGATCAATTACAACCTTTAAAAACTGGATCAAATAATCCATTTGCTATAGGCAATGATTCAAATAACAACAATAATAACAAACCACATCAACAAACATTAAATGATTTAGCAGAAGAACAAGCTCAACAACAAGCACCACCACAACAACAACAACAACAACCGCAATTTTATACACAACCAACAGCTCCATTAAAACAACAAAATACATCAGGATCAAGATTTAATGAAACTCATGAATTAAATGATTTATTATCACAAGGTACAGGATTAGATACATTTGGTAATACAGGTGCTTCAAGAATTTCTCATCATCATACAAAAACTCAAAATTTTATAAATTCAAGTGGTACAGGATATAAACAAGTTGGAAATGAACAACACAGGTTAAGTTCAAATGCTACTGGAAATCCATTTTTAAATACTGGTGTAGGATATCAATCTCAACAACAACAACCACCACCACAGCAGCAACAACAACAACAACAACATCTACCACAGCAACAACAATATCAATTAAATTCAGCTTATACAGGTTATGGATTTGGAAATGCTCCAAATCAACCTACTCAACAATATCAACAACAAAGAAATAATGATGGTCCAAGTTTAATAGATATTTGAACCACTACCAAATTTTCAAAAAAGTTATTGTATTACCATTTTCAATATTTCAGAAAACAGAACATAAAATATTTAGTTCGTATAGATAGATTTTTTTTTTTATTTAGTTTTATCTCTACATTGTTATTTTAAATAAGATATGATATGTATATTAATAAAATACTTTATACTTTACTTTTTACCATTATTATATTTAGTATATACTTCACTTAAATTTCAAATTCTTTAAATTCTTTTAATTTCATTGAAAAAATTGATTTTACACACCAATCCCAATTTAATATTATACCATTTTGTATAGAATTTTTAAAACTTGTAATTAATTTATGATCTTTTTTCTTATTTGCAATTAATATAATTTTTTCATCATTAGGTGAGCTTATAAATTGAGATTTTTTAAAATTTGATGAATTTGATTTAATTTCTTTATAATTTTTTAATCCATGATCTTTTAAAATTGTTGATATAACATCTATCCCACCATTTAAATTTTCACTTAAATTTAATGAAATTTGTGAGAAAATTTTACCTTTATTTGAATTATTTAAAATTGTTGATATGTGTCTAATACCTAATTCCTTGTTAGTTGTTAAATTTATTTTATCTAATGAATAATCATCAATATTAAATTGATGTAATATGTTGTTATTTTCAAAATTATCTAATATATCAATAAGATAATTTGGATGAATTATTTTGGAGACTTTACTCAAACTTCTTAAAAATTTTTCAGTTCTTAATATTTTTGGAGCTATTAATGTATTAGGAATATTTTTTGATAAATCTGTTATTATTTTTATACCCATGGATTGTAATTTCATTGTTTGAGTTTTAGTTAATTCAATTTCTGATTCACAACCTGTCATAATTGCAATAATATCACATTCATCAGTTTTAGGACGTTTTATTTGATCTTTTGACAAAGTTTCTTCTTTAACTTTTGTAGTTTCTTCATCTTCATCAGATTTTCTTTTCTTATTTATATTTGATTGATCTAATTGTTCCATATAATTTTTCATTTTTTGTTTACTTTTTGAAATTTCTAAATAATTATTTAAATCAGTCATATTATCATGTAATTTTGCTGCTGCTTTTTTTGCAGCTGATCTACCTCCATAACGAGATATTGAATTTGGTAATGTAAAAAGATCTTTATTATTATTATCGTTGTTTTTGGGAGTTTTTGGTGAAATTATATCTTCTGTTATATCTGTTTTATTTGGTGTTCCATTTATTGGAGACATTATACTTATGACTTCATCTACTGAAGGTGAAGAAGAAGCCGGTTGTTTTTCTTGTTCATTTAAAAATTGATCATCTTTATCTTCATTCTTTATACTAGATAATATATGTTTGTTTTTTGATTGAGTAGCTTCATCTTCACTCATACTATCATCAATATTTCCAGTTTCATTACTTAAATTTTCAGTTAAATCTAAATCTTCATCATCTAAAGTAACTCTACCAACTAATGGCTCCAACCCTAAATCCTCAATTTTACTAAAATTTCTATATTTTTCATCTTTATCATTTAATTTTTCCCATTTTATAAAACAATCTTCTAACCAAAAATGATTAACTATTTGAACTTCTGGATTATTATTTGAATCAACCCATTTATTTAATGCAGCTTCATATTTTTTACCTTCTGGTTTACCACAAATTAAATAATGATTTTCTCTTGTTAAAGTTTTTGTAAAATTTCCACCCATTAAAGTTATTAATTTTGATAAATAAGATCTTGAATCTCCACTATAATTTGTTATTGAAATTTTAAGATTTTTAAATGATTCTATGGGAGATGAAGGTATTGGATAATAAAGAATATTTGAATTTAATGGTAATGTCCAATTTTTAGTAACTAATATTGAATAAAACCATTGTAAATTTCCAATTATAATTCTTTTATTTAATCTACTTTTAAAGTATGCTTCTCCAGATCGATATTTACCTAAATATATATCAATTTCATCTTCATTAAATTGTGATACAATTATACCACCATGTTTTTCAATAAGGTATTTTATTGAATTATTTAATCTTTGAGATAAATTAAAATCTTTACTTATATGGATTTTTTTATTTTTAAAGAAATCAATTTGATTAGTTGATGAGGAGGCTATATCAGATGGAATTGAATCTTTCAACAATAATTCATCTTTTTTAAAATCAATTGATAAATCTCCAAAATACATTTCATTATTACTTAAATCAAAAGAATCAGATTCAGGTAATAAATATTTTTCTTCATCTAATTTTTTACCCATTGTTATACAATGATCAATCCAATGAGGTAATACTAATTTTAAATTTGTTATTGGATCTTTACTATCTTTATCAACAATTATTGTTGATGCAATTACAGCTTTTTCATTAGTCATATCCAGTGTTATTAAATGTGTAGTATATTTACTTAAAATATCAAGATAATTACCTCCAAATGCTTTTATACCAGCATAAATTAATTCTTTATCTCCAGGTGGTAAATTATCAGCACAACATATAAAACAATTTTTAAAAAAATAAGAAGGATCAGGATTAAAAGATTTTATTGATAATTGACGTTTTTCTTGTAATGAATTATATAACCAATTTGGAGTTATAATTGGAATCATTGATTTTCTAGCTTGTTGATATTCTATAAATTCTAATGAACTTGTTATTATATGAGTTATAATTGGTGGATTCATATAATTTTTTGAATTATCAAATTCATCTTTTATATATATTTTAGTTGCATAATAAGTTTTTAATTTTATTTTAATATCTTCTGCTAATTCATCTGATAAATCTAATGATTTGATGATAAGGAAAGTTGAACCTTGGAACATTTTAGTGGTTTGTGGTAGTAGTTGGTAGTGGTAATAGTGGTAGTAGCTATGATAATCTCGTGTTGTAAATAATTTCAATACTGGTTGTAAAATAAAATGAATAGAATATTTACATTTTCTATTGAATTAAAAATATTACACGCGTAGCCTAATGAATTTAATATACGCGACTTAATTTTGGTAGCGGTAGATATCGTGACTGATTGAATCTTCATCGGAAAATTAAAGATGGTTGGGTAATTTCAACAAGAATATAAGTTTTGATTGAAAAAAATTTATAGGGTGAGAGGCAGTGATTACATCCACTCGTACCACAATCATTCGTATATCTATTTGACTCAGTTGGCTTGATCAAATTTTGCATAGACCACACTACAATATGGCGAGTTCGTTCAAGTCAACTGAATCAATCAGATATGAGCAACAATTAGGAGAAACTTTAAAAATAGACAATAAGTCAGATCTGTTCATACCAGGGACTTCATCAATATGGAATACGTGTTGTTATAATTGTTCGGGTTAGGGACATCTGCATGCGAATTGTTGCAGTCCGTTTAAAGAAATTTCACAGGAAAGTGACACCAATAATCAATCAACTATAGAAGTTGATATTTAAAATGGACTTATAATCAGATTTGATTTACTCAATTAAACCATGGACTAGATTGGGTCTATACTCAATTGGCTGGACATTTGTTTTTGGCTTTACTCAGAGTTTTTGAAATTAATGCTCATTGTTCGGTTGGCTTCTCGAAGGACTAACTTCAACCATATGGAGAAAGACAAGTTCTCACTGTTTTTATAGCTTTTTGATCCGAATGTTTGATACGACTTCAATATTTGTCAGATTTGTGATGCATGTTTTCTACCATCTTGTGATATTCATGGACAGCGATTGGTATTTGAATCAATAAATTGTGAAGATATACATGAATGAGGTGGGGGAAGAAATTTATTTCCAAATCTGACAAATGAAGGCTTATCAGATTAGGTTCAACAAGCTACGAGAAGCATTTAGAACTTAATTTACAACAAATTGTTGAAGTTGATTTCTTGAAGTAACCACCAAAGAGCAATTTGTTTTAAAGATTAATAATTAAACCAGATATAATATATGGCTGATTTAAAAGCTTTCAAGAGATCCATTTTTAGGTAAGTTAGGGTTTGTTGAACTGGCAAGATCTCGGTTATACGTAGATTGTGTGAGCAACAGACATGGAAAAGGTTTCAATCAATCAATAAACATATATTCGATGAATGTGATTAAACTCATTATGTATAATCAAAATCAAATTATCACGAATCAAATCTTAAAGAATCCAAAATTCGAAGAAGACAATAATTTATATAGACTATTGATAGTTTTTTGTATATAGATTATAAGTATTAGATATATATATTAGTATTATAGTTAGTATATATTAAAAAAACTTTTTATAAAGTCAAATCAAAATCGAACAATAAAAATTTAAAAGTCATAGCATCATTAAATAGTAAAAAAGCAAACACATTAAAACATCATTGAGTCTCTCTACCCCCCTCCTTCATCATTACTTTCCCTTCATTCTAATTTATTCAATTATTCATCATCTTCTTCAATCATTAAACGATGAGTAGATAATTTTTCATCAAATAAATCTTTACCTTCAAATTGAAATTTTTTACTCCAATTTCTACATAATATACTTGATTTCATAAATTTTCTCATTGAATATTTTTTAAAAAATTCATCATGTTCAATTGGTGATAAAAGATATTGATAAATTAATTCAATAACATTTTTCATATCTTTAATTCTATAACCTCCACTATAATGAATTAAATTACCATTCCATACTGGTTTTTTACCCAATATTAATCTTGATAAATACATTGCTGATGCACAACATAAGGAAGGTTTTATACCAATGAATTTATAATCAATTATGGTAATTTCTAAAAGATATTTCCCCAAAGTTCTTGATTGAACATCATAATCATCAGCTTTTGAAATTCTTCTTAAAAAATTCATTGGATTTGGATAATTTAAATCAAAATTTAATATTGTTAAAATATATTTTTCAGCTTGTAAAATTTCTTCTTCTGTATATGAACCATCAGTAAAAAATGAATAATTCTTTATAGAAGGAGAAAATACTTCTTCATATTTTGCAGCAATAAATAATGATCCAGTTGCTAATAATTGTAATTTATCAATTTGAACAATTTCAATAGACATAAATCTATCCATTATATTTATTGCTAAAAATAAACTCTCAGGTAATAATCTAAATTTTAAATGCATTTCAACTAACCAATCAACTAATATAGATCTCATTTTAGGTTTTAAATTTTTTTGTTTAAATAAATATTTTGAATCTGGTAACATTCTAATTTCTAATTCATAAAAATATGAAAAAATTTCATTTACATATTCACTTGCCATTAATGGATCATCATGATCTTCTTCATCTAAATCTTGCCATTCATAATCTATTAATTTTGATTTTTTATGAGTTAAATTTAAATTATTTAGAGTGCTATTGTTGTTTTCTACGTTATTTGTGATTTGGTTTGATGATACTACTGATGTTGAGTTGGCAAGATTATGATGATGTGGATTTGGTTGAATTTTTAATTTTTCAACTAAATTTGTTGATGATTCTGTTGCTTGTCTCTTTTGTGGTAATCTTGAAGGTACTAAAAGATTTTCTTTATGTTTTGAATCAGATGCTATAGGTATTGATTTTGTTGATGTTATTGATTTATTCAATGGATTGAAATCACCTCCGAATGGTTTTCTTTTCTTTTGTTGATTAGTGGATTGTTGTAGTTGTTGTTGTTGTTGTGACTGCTGCTGCTGTTGTTGTTGCTGTTGCTGTTGTAGACTTTGTTGTTGAGATTGACTAATCGTAGTTTGATATTGATTTGATACATCACCTAAATATTGACGCGTTAATTTAGTTTTTGATGATTGTTTTGTAGTTGTAAATTTAGAAGTATTTCTATTATTATTGATTTCTGTAGTTATTTTTGAAGTTGTTGTAGTTGATGTTGCAAACGCATGATGATTTGGTGGAATATTTTCTTCTTGAGTTGAAGTTTCCATTGGACCTTGTGATGATGATGTTAAAGAATTATGAGCTAATTGTGATGTATTTAAACTATAAGATATTACTTTTGGGTCACTAGAAAGATTATTCTGTTGTTGTTGTAGTTGTTGTTGCTGCTGCTGCTGCTGTTGAAGTAGGTTATTTTGTTGTAATTTTGCTCTTGATAGTCTATACTCATTTTCATTATTCGATGAATTGACAGAAATTGGTGGCATATTATGTTATTAATGTGATTTAAAATGTGTAATGAAATCTATATGATGTTGAAATCTTTGTCAAATTTCAATATATGGATCAAAAATTAGGTGATTAATGTGGAAATTGGTGTTAATTATGAATTAAAATGGTGCTTTGTTGAAAGATTAAATAATATACTTTTATGTGAATTAAGATTATATTAATGATACAAGATATATGCTATTAAAGTTTAAGTTTAGTGATATATTAAATTTGATTCATACAAATGTTATTGATAGTGATGGTTCGTTAGAAAAGTTTGATCCGTTCAAAGTTTCAAAGTTGTATGGTTGTATAAGTAGTTGGTTTTTAACGATATATCTAATTGATTTTTTTGTATAATATTAAAGATAAGGAACTAAATCTATCTCTGATTTTGATTTGAATTAAGAAGATGAAAATGAAATTTGATTTGATATTTTGAAATTATAATATTAAATGAATCAATTTTTACTAATTTTTGATGTTAGTTTTGTATTTTTGTATAATTATTATTCTTATTATTTGTATTGTGTTTCTTGCTATTTTGTATTTATTTAATTTATATCTCCTTTGGTAATAAAATTATTTGATTTTAGTGTTATGCTCGCTCCCAATTTAAAATAATTATAATTTTTTGTATGAAGGTTTTTGTATTATAAAACACAACCAATTTAGAACTATAATAGTACAATAACTAGTACAGAAAAAGCTGTTAAGGAGATAAATCTGATGAAACTGATCAAAAGACTGAGCAATGAGGGATATTTCTGATGTATCTCTTCTTGGTTAAAGAACAAAATTACAACGTTTATATATTTATGTGGTAACTAACCACCTAACTATTCAATAGTAAACATAAGCAAGAATAAATTACTTATTTAGTAAATGAAATTACATTCATTCAGCATTAAGCTTAAGTAAGTGAAATTGAAACGGATGAAACACTAAATCTGACAATTAACAATTGAAATTGGGACAATTTGTTAATTGTTGAAATCACTTTTTCTTATATAAATTTTGTTTATTATTTTACTAAATTAAGAATTCATTATATTAATACTACATACATATTATATTTTCTTTATTATTGTTATATTTTTCTTTTTCTTCAATGCAATTTGGCTTTATATAACAAACCATCAATGACCTTTCTTCCACTTATACTTGCTCTTTACTTTTACTTAGGTCCATGGCATGCTTTTTACTAGCTTAATTGGTACTTCTTTCATTTGTTTGTATTATTTGTTGGTCGAGGTTTAGTGCGAATGCGTACAAAATTTTGTTTATTTGTGTAATTGTTTACGTTTCTTACCTCGAGGGAAGAAAAAAAACAGAAAAATATAATTTTAGGGGGTTTTAATGGGCTAAGGCATGTGTATGTCTAATATTATATAAGAAACAATAAAATCAACTGACTTATTATATAGATTACTAATCAAATAACGAAGAAAGAAGTAGTATCAGCGGTGCCAAAATTGAAATCACTAGAAGAAGAAGTGTTAATGTAAACCAGTTATCGTTTACTGTTGGACATTAAGCCGTATCTCCATTATTGATGGAATAAATAAAAGATACCCATATCAACCGCGTATGAAATTATACAAAAATTCCGATGATGTACCAAATCTTTTTCTACAACGTTTTAATTTGAGCTAAGACTCCTACTAACCATAAATATAACCTTTAAAAATGTATATGCATTACATCATTCAAGGTTTTTCCTTTTAAATTTTTCTAAACAAACTATGTGAATAATATGATCAGAAATACACCAAAAGCCTACTCAAGGTATACTTGAAGCCAGACCAACATCCTATTCATTGACAATTCCAAGCGAATAGTCTACTTGATGCTTGTGAATATGAATGGTCCTATATGGAATTATGTGAAATTTATAAAATAAAAATAAAAATAAAAATAAAAACAAATAAAATTCTGAAATCAACTTACGAGAAGTAACACAAAGATACGTAAATTAACTTTAGTCTTCTTTTTATATAAATAAACAATCAAAATCACTAATTTCACTTTAAAAAAACGGAATTCGAGAAGGAAATCAACAGTACGTCAAGTTTAGATTGAGTAATTGAGCAAGAGTCTTAAAGATTATTAGTTTCACCAATAAGTACTTTTGTTAATCTACTCAGTCATTGCTTGACATTTGTTAAAAGTTTTACGAAATTTGTTAAAAAATACTTAATGTGTAAGATAAAAAGTAAGTATTCTACAATGAAAACTTAAACTGTTGATAGAGGACCACAACTTTCAAAAAGATAATGGAAGCAATCCCGTAAATGATTTACTAACCAAGGTAACCAAAATATTGCTTGATTGATCCATATTAAGAAAATTAAATGATGGTGAAACTTAAAATTTTCAAGCCAATTTGGTTAGTAACCTTTATTTCTTCTATGCATAAAATAAACAATTGTGGTCTATTGTTTGTTTTATCATTAAAAATCTTCTTTCTATCTATTCAATTTTTTAAGTCAAATTTGAAACTAATGCATCGATATAAATTATAATTTTATCTAAAATACTAGCCTTTTGAAACTAAAACGTAATTTTAGGAATATTTAGTTGAAAATTCAAACTAAAAATTTATGATACCAGAGAGAAATAATGGTACTATCGATCATAAATTTTAGTTATTATTAGATTGCAAAATGTATCTCATTGATTCATTTATTTAGTTATATATTCAATACTTTTTACCATATAAGAAGCAGTCCATTCATTATCTAAATTACAACAATTTTCAAAATTTTTATTATTATGCAATAAAGAATTTAAATTTAATGTTTGAGTTTTGTCTTCTTCTTCTTCTTTATCTAATTCTTTTAATTCAATTGTTTTTTCTAGTTCCATAGTATCAGAGTTTGAATTTAAATTAGTTGTTTTTGTTGATGATATTGATTCATCGGTTTTATTCTGATTAATAAAATTTGATTTAGTTGTTGATTGTTTTGATAAATTATTATTTGTTTGAGCTGTATAATAATCATTTGTATTTGATGTTAGATTATTCTTGTCTTTAATCAGTTCGTCATTCCTCTTCTGATTGGGGGTTGATTGTTGTTTACAACTATTATTTGAATCTTCTTTATTAGTTTCTGAATGTTTTGAGAATGTAGATGCTGATTCTTCAATTTCTTTTCCCTTAGCATTAAGTCTCTCATGAAATGAAGGTGATCTTGAAGTTTGAGTAGCTTTGTTATTTCGATTTAATGAATGATTATCTACCTTTTGTGGTACTTTAGACGGTTTAGTCAGTAATGGTGAATCAAAACTTGATTCTTGAACTTCATTAATTTGTGATAATTTTTGAAACTTGTTATTAATAGGTGATGGTGAATTAAATTTAGCACTTGATGTTCCTATTGGCATTGTTGTATTTGTTGTTGAAGATGCATAATTACTATCTCGACTTCCCGTTTTTAATTGGTTCATTACTGCTTCTACTATTTCTGTAATTAATTCAATTTTATTAATTTTACTTGAATTTGTATTTTGTGAAAAATATGATTGATTATTTTGACTATGACTTGATTTTGGAGATTCATTATGTTGTGATTCATTAGATTTAGTTTCAGGAGTAGTTTGATCATTAATAGTCGAATTTGAGGAGACTTTTTCGTTGTTGTTCGTTGAATTAGACGAGTCTTTATTCGAGCTTGACGATATATTTTGATTTTCAACAAGTTTTGGTGAATTGTTAATAATTTGTAGTGCTATTTTCTTAGCTAATTCGTCACTATTAACGTTGCTTCCTTGATTTGGTGGTTTTTGTTTAGATAATTCATCTAATTTTAAATTTAATTTATCAAAAGAAGAAGCCTGTAATTTAAAATTTTCAAATAATTCATTATATTGATTTTTTAATAAATCATGTCTTTCTTCCCATAAATTTAATGAATCTTTATATTTTTTAATCAGTTCTGTTTGGTTTTTTAATTTATCAATTAATTCTATATTTTCTGATTGAAGCATACATATTTGGATCAGATCTTTTGGTTGTTTATTATTACTATTATTATTACCACCATTCTTATCATTCAACTTTAAATCATTAGTTGAGTCATCTAAATTTAAAAGTTTATCTTTTAAACTTTGATTTTCAATTTCCAAATCTCTGTTTCTTCTATATCGTTCATCCTCTTTTTTACTTATTTCTCTTTTTAATAATTTAATTTCAGTTTTTAGAGCTATATTTTCATCTCTTAAATTTAATTCATCTCTATTCATCATTGGTTTTCTGGTAGGACTATTTTGTAATGCTAATCGGCTCAATGGTGAATTAATATTTCTATCATTAAAAACAGATAATTTAATTGGTGATGATCTATTCTTATTTCTTTTTGAAATTGGTGTTGATATTGGTGTGTTTTTTATTGAAGTTGAATCATCAGTTAATGTGGTTATTTGTCTTCTTTGTCTTGCCATTGATTGATCATCCATCTCTTCCACATCTGAATCATAGGAATTTAGATTCGCGTGTGAGCGAGGAGTATCCTCTGGGTACTCCATTATGTTGAGGTTGTATTTAGAATGATGGTTTGTTTAAGATAAAGTCATACATCAAACTAGGATAACAAAAAAAAATACAAATTGTTTTTGTTTACTTTTTGAACGCGTCCGTCGTGAATCAAATAAGTGTCACAAATTTATGCTGTGGCTGACGACAATGAGTTTTTATCAAACCTTGTGCGTTTTTGTATAATCCATACAATTACGTATTTTCTAAAACATGTGAGGAAGCCTTGAAAAAAACACAAATTGATCATATAATTAAAAATCTTGATAACCACGTCGTAACATATTCAAAAAAAGAATGTCAGATACAGTTAAAGAAATCAATTTATTAGCAAGAGAATTGAAATCACATTTAAAACAATTCCCAAATTTTCCAAAAGAAGGTATATTATTTGAAGATTTTTTACCAATTTTTACAAAACCAGAATTATTTAATAAATTAATAACTGCTTTTAAATTACATCTTGGTGATAAAAAAATAGATTATGTTATTGGATTAGAAAGTAGAGGATTTTTATTTGGTCCTACTTTAGCATTAGCTTTAAATGCTGGATTTGTACCTATTAGAAAACCTGGTAAATTACCTGGTCCAACTTATAGTGTTGAATTTAAAAAAGAATATGGATCAGATGTTTTTGAATTACAAAAAGATGTTATACCAAAAGGTTCTAAAGTTATAATAGTAGATGATATATTAGCTACTGGTGGTTCTGCATATGGTGCAGGTGAATTAGCTTTACAAACTGGTGCTGATATCTTACAATTCTTATTTGTTATGGAATTGGATTTCTTAAAAGGTAGAGATAGATTACAAGCACCTGCTTTCACATTATTTGCTGGACAAGAAGAACAATATAAAGATTGAAAATTTGTCATGAAACGTTAATTTATATAATTTTATTTAATACAGACTTTTATTTGAACATTTCTAATTTCAAAACATGCATTAAATCTCATTGTAGAACCAGTATATATCCCAATTTATCCATTGAATCTACTCTTAACCACTTTTGAAAATCAAAAATGCTAATTCTCCAATATAAAAATAAATAAAATATCCTTGTTCATGAGTAACATAACTTCCAAAGCTTTTACCTACTATAACATGCCAAGTAGGTCCATATATTTGATCTAATTCCTTTTTTAAATAAGTAGCTATATCTTTTTCAATCTTATATGTTTGACAAGCTTGATCCGCCAATTCAAAGATTTTAATTTGGATTTCCTCTGATAAATCTGATGCTTTTAGTATCGCTAAGGGTTTAAGGTTAGTCAATTGAGCTAATATAAAAATAAGATACTTTATTCATCTAACATACGTGTATTGTCTTGATCAGACATTGTGTTCTAGATTATTTGATCTGATAATGATCTTTGTTTATATTATTTTTTTATTCAAATGTTAGTGCGTCAATTTTATTTAGGTAGGTCATACACTATCAACATTTACAAGAGATTAGAGCCGATGTTAAGACTAATAAGTAATTGCATTCAAATAATTAAACTACTATATCCTCAGTGGTTCAGCTTATTATAATTTTTCATATTTAGTTTTATTATTTAAAACATCATTTTTAAAATCATTTACACCTAAAGAACTTGTATGACCCCATGGTTTTAATTTATTTTCATTATCAATAGCACCTGCAAAACAATTTAACCAACCATCTCTTGAATATTGTTTATTTACAGCATTTAAAGTATCTTCATGAATTAAATGAGTATTTAAACCAACATTATCTAAAATAGTAGCAATTTGTAAAATTAAACCAAGAGTTGTAATATAACCAGTTTCACCTAAATCTTGATGTCTTATGATTGCTTCACTAACAGCATCTGCATATTCTTGATTTTTAGTTTCTTCTAATATTAAATCACGAGATAATATACCACCCCAAAATTCAAATGACATTTTTGTTGCAGTCATATTTTCATCAGTTGTTCCAATATCATGTAAAAGACTTGTTACAAAGATTACTTCTGGATCAAGGTCCCAATTTGAAAATTGATCATTTATAATAGCTTGAGAATATAAATAAACTCTTAAAGAATGATTTAATACTTTATTTGGTAATTTTTGTTTAACATAATCTAAAACAAATTGAGATAATGGAGATGATGGTAATTCAGTTGAAGTTTGTGGGGTTGGTGATTTAGGATTTGGTATAGCCTTTTTAACATCTCTTTCTATTTTTGAAAATCCATAACGTGACATGATTGATCGTTTTTAATTGATTATTGGAAAAGAACTCAAGTTAGTTTCAAGAAATATTTATGAAATTTATAATTGTAAATCAAAATTGATGCTATGTATGAAATTGTATCATACTTTAATGTTCATTACGTAATTATAATTTGTCTCACTTTGAAATAAATTGCTGCAAATTTATTTCAAACGGTTTTTGCACGATTGGTTTCAGATATACTACATGAGATATTAAAAAAATGGGAATAGATTAATCGATCAATGCTTAAACGACCTTTAAGACTATTTTGAGCTGATGCTTTTATATGATATATAAATTTGATACATTGTTATTAGGTATTTTCTCAGCGATTGATCTGGATTAGATTAACCTTTTATGCATACGGTACAAAGTATATGAATTTGTACTAAACCCGCAGCTCGCTACCAAACAGCTCTCTCGTGTTTTTCATTACTAAGAGATCACCAGTACTTAATTTTCACTTGTGTTACCATTTACAAGTCTTGAAACTACACCTAAACCACCTATTCATTACATATACACTTGATGAACTCAACTATATAATCGATGTTTGAGACGCAATTATCAAATGTGAAAACTAATTATTTCAAAATTGGACATTTGAAAAATCTAACCTATACTATATATACTAGTCAAGATAATACTAATAATGATCAAGAATTATTAGAATTGGAATTAACTATTCGTCACCAATATCCAAATTCATTGATAACTTATTACAATAAAAGTTTATTTCATTTTACCATCAATAATGAAGAACAAAATTTAGATGTGAAATTAAATTTGAAATTTAAAGATACAGTTTCAGTTGAAAAATTATCAAATCCTCCGAAAGGAACAGATGATGATTATTTAGCATTTGCAAACGTTAGTTTTGCAAAAGCAGTCAAAAAGATGATACTATATAATTTAGCATTAAAGGGAGTGATCAAATTATTTGGCAACTATTGTATATATAGTACTGATAGTTTATCATATTCAATAATTTGTATGGATCCAATATTACTCAGTAATGGAGACTTACTACTATCATGTACGGAGAGAAATCTTTTGAAATTATACAATTCATCCATAGTATCCACAACAGCTTCCAATGATTGTAATTTTGTCATATATATCTTGCCAAGTGGTATACGATGTCATTTATTTGATACAACCAATATACAAAATAATTTTGTTAATAAACCACAACTTGAAAGTGAAAAGCTACTACGTTTACTAGAGCTAAGTACTCAATGTGATTTGAAAGAGACATTATGGGTGAAGTTAATACCGAATTTAAAACATTTAAATAATCAAACATCATTAATATCAAAGTTTATACATTCAGTTGAAAATAAAAAATTCATTTTATGGCCATGGTGTTTATGTCTATTACAATTTGGATTGAAAGAACATAACAATACCGATATTCAAAAACGGAAAGAAACAGATCCTCTTCAAATTCTTTCAGCATATTTAGATTTCAAAGTAAAACGAAATTTAGAATCACCACCAACACCAAAGTCTGCTTCCCCACCCTCAGTCTCAACTGAACAAACACCAGCATTAGAACCACCGGCTCCATCGAGTGTCCCTTCAGTCAATGCGACAATCCCAAATCCTACAAATGAATTTCCTGTTAATATGACAACGCCCTTTGGTTCAGATGTTTATAATTTACAAGCTACAGACAATTTTTTCAACAAACCAGAAAATCCAGACAATATGGAAATTGACGACTTGTTTGGAAAAGAAGATGGTAGTCAGAAAGAGAAAAAAATAGATGAAAAACCTGGTAATGAAGAGAAAGAAAGCGATGAAAGTATGGATGATTTATTTGGAGATTTTGAAGAAGATGATGTTCCAGAATCTAAACCTGATGAAACCGATGTTATAGGATCTAAAGCTGAAGCAAATGGTACAACAGTTGAAGTTAAACCTGAAGTTCACGTCAGCATAGAGAAGAGAAAACTACCTTACATTGAAACATTAAAAAACAAAATGACTATGAATAACTTTACTCCAGATTACAAAGATCCCGGTGCACCAGCTCCAGTAAATCAGACTCCCATGATAGCTCCACCAACGTCCATTGATATTGCCACAACGACCGGTAATATCAAAACAAATGATATAACGTCAACACCAAAACTGAAGTCATCATTCTCACCAATAGTATTTAATCCTATCATTCAAAAAGATATTGACGACAAATACGGTAAAGGTGGTAAATTCTATTATGAGAAAGATAATAAATTATTCGACAAATCTATTAAAGCAACAACCAGAGTGGGAAACTCTGATCCCAATGACTCAAGTGATGAATCGTCTGAATCTTCGAACGATGAAAGTGATGAAGATGATAATATAATTCAGGATGATCACGGGAATTCTTTCATACCCACTGCTCCTCCAGCCCAAGATTTCAATAATACCCAAAATGCAACCTCCAATACATTTTACGGATCTCCAGTTGTCAATAAAGTTGGATTCAAAACAGATTCCCCGTTTACTTCAAGCGCTATGATGACTCCAAATATTTTTGATACCCCTCATACTCATCGCACTGGCTCTTCTTCTTCATCATCAATCATATCAAATAAGGATTTAGAATTTCCAAAAATCAGTGAGTCTTCAAATTATTTACCATTAATATTAAGAAATGTGAATATCTCGTCAATACCTGATTCATTTTTGTTGAACAACCTTTCGGCAATTCCATCGTTTTCAATGATGAATGAATATTCTGATAATGATTTAGAAATTTCTCATGGAAATGAGATGATCACTAAAATTAAAGATATAAAGGAATTACTTCATTTTATTTCATCAAATATTGTTTTTGATTTAGGTTTGTTCGCAAACATAACAATAAATTCAGAAGTTGAATATCAAATTCCTTCAGCAAGTTTTTTAGAAAAATTTAAAGAGATTTTCCCGCTTTCTTATCAAACATCATTAATTGAATTTGTTCATGAAATTTTAAACAAAGAAAATGATGATCCTTTACATTTTTTTGGAGAAGAAGAATCAATCAATAAACAAGTCAATGATACCGAATGGAACGTTTTGGAAACTCAATCAGACAAGTTTGATAAATATAATGAATTACTTACAAAATTAAATGTTTCAACTAATGTTGGAGAAAATGAAGTGTTTAAAATTCCTGAAGTTAAAATTAAAGTTGAAAAAAATGGAAATTTATTAAATCTTAATAGTTTGAGTTTAGATTTTTGGAACTATTTAAATTTCAAACCAATAAATTCTCCTAAAAGTTTTCAGATATTAGTGATTGGAAAATCAGGCTCTTATGCAAATGAATTTTTGAACAGGTTAAGTGATAATTATAGTGAAAATCATTTTGGTCATATCTCAAGATTAAATCTTTCTACTGTTGATACAAGATCGGACTTAGAACCTATTTCAGATGGATTATTACTTTTAAAACCTTGTATGAATTATGGTGAATTGTATTTACAATTGAATCAGAAATTAAACTCATTAGTGGAGTTGATAAAATTGGATTTGATTAACAAGACGAACAAATTTGAATTTGATAGACCTTTACTTTTATTGTTTGTTAATTTTGATTCTAGTTTTAATAGCATTCTTCAGATATCAAAAGTATTAAGGAATTTTAAAGTTGCTTTATTAAATTATCAAGTTCCATTAGTACAAATTTTCACAAAAATCATTCCATCATCTTTAATAGTTAGATCTCCGCTGAACCTTAAAGTTTTCAGTAATTATACAACAACTAAACTTTCAATGGTATTATATAATGAATGTCCTAACGAGAAAAACATAGTTGCACCTATCGCGAGAGAACCTCCTACTAAGATTCAATTCAAGTTTATGAATGGAAGTTATAGAGACAATAACAATACTGAAGATAGTTTTCTACATATAGCTTATGAAAGATCAATTGATAAAAGTTGGTTAGCAGCAGCATGGTCAGATCCATTTGGAAGTGTAAACCAAACAAAATCATGGTATTGTTCACGAAATAATCATGATATAGGATCAATTGCTGATGAGATATGGAATATATCAACTGAATTATTCAAATCTATTGATTCTCCTGGTGGTAAGAAATTTTTGGTCTTGACAAGAATCAATAGTGTCATACCAGATGATGAATTGGTACATTGGAAGAGATTGAGTATGAAGTTTAAAGATATATCATTGATTGTTTTATCTGTAAATCGTTCACCAAAGTTGATATTTTCAAAAACTAATTCATTGTCTGATGATTATATCTTGAGTGAAGGTGAAACTTCCAATGCTGCATCAATATTAGTAACATCACCGAATGGATTAGCTTTTCATTCCCCTCAACAGTTCTTAAATGCACCATCAAATTTTTTATCCCCACAAGATGCACCTACATATACAGAACCAGATATGATTTTAAAAGATGGAGCAGAGATTTTTGGAATGATGCCCAAGGTGCAATTGCCATCATTTAATTCTCCGAGTAGGGCAAGTATGAAGGTAGGATATTTAATAAAGGAACATTCTTTAGATCAATTATTGATATATGAGGTTAATTTATTAAGTTGTTCAAATTATTGGAATTTAGATACGTTAATGAGAATAATATTGATGCAATATAAAAAATTGATCACTTTGAATAATATTTTGGGAATATCGGGCTTTGATAAAACTCAACTAGTCCCTTGGCATATTAATGCTGTTGGTAAGCTATTAAACTATTTAGTTCATATATATGTTGAAGAATAATATACTTAGTAGTTGAGATTATGAAACATCTTGCATAATTACACGACTCTTGCGTATTATTTTTAAATTTAAACGTAAAATATACAAACAAAAATTAAGGCAGTTTCTACATCATTTATAGTCATTTAAAATACATAATTCATCAACATTTCATCAATCAAATGTCTGAGTCAGAGCACAACGTACAAGTTAAACCAGAGGTGCCCAACCTGGCAGTGAGCGAGGAGATTCCACCACAAAGAGTTGAAAATGAAGAAGAGGAAACAAATATTGACACAAATCCTAACACCAGCAAGCGACAACGAGAGGAAGAGGATGATAATAACAATGGTGACAATCAATTAGGACTGGAAGATGATGACGAAGACGAAGACGACGAAGATGATGAAGAAGACGATGTTGGAAGCAGAAAAAGAAGAAGAAAAAGAGGAGCTAACCAATTCTTCGATATAGAAGCAGAAGTTGATGAAGAAGAAGAGGATGAAGTCGATGAAGATGAAGAAGAAGCAGAAATACTTCGAGAGCAATTCATAAGTGATGATCATGGAGCAGATGAAGGACCTGATAATAGGGATGATAGATTACATAGACAATATGATCGTCGTCGTCAAGAAGCAGAAGATCAAGATGCAGAGCAATTAGCAGAAACTTTGAAACAAAGATATAGAAAAACTCATTCTGTTTATCGAGGAGAAACTGCAGCAAATGGTACAGTATCACAAAAATTGCTTATGCCATCTATCAATGATCCTTCAATTTATGCAATAAGGTGTACTCCAGGAAGAGAAAAAGATTTAGTGAGAAGGTTATACCAAAAGAAAAGAACTTTGGAAAGACAAAAATTGCCACTAGATATCTTGACTGTATTTCAAAGAGACTCATTCAGAGGATACATTTACATAGAAGCAAAAAGACCCGATGCAATTGATAAAGCTTTACAAGGAATGGTAAACGTATTTGTTAGAGATAAATTGTTAGTATCAGTTAAAGAATATCCAGATTTATTAAAACAGGTCAAATCTTCTGATGTTGAAATTATACCAGGTATTTATGTAAGAATATCAAGAGGTAAATATAAAGGAGATCTTGCAATTGTTGATAATTTATCAGAAAATGGGTTAGACGTAAGATGTAAATTAGTTCCAAGACTAGATTATGGAAGAAATGATGATTTTGACGCTGATGGTAAAAGGATAAGATCTAAAATCAGACCATTACCAAATTTATTCAATGCACAAGATGCCAAGATGCATGATGGACTCAATTTACAACAAAAAGGTCCCAGATCTTATGTTTACAAAGGTGAAGAATATGAGGATGGATTTTTGTATAAAGATTTTAAGCTTCAATATATTCAAACTAAAGATGTACATCCAACATTAGAAGAACTCGATAGATTTCAAACAGGTGAAGATACAGATCATTTGGATTTAGGAGCTATAGCTGCCTCGTTAAAAAATCATAATCAAGCCGATGGAAAGCAATCCACTGCATTTCAACCAGGTGATAAAGTTGAAGTTAGAAGAGGAGAACAAGCCAGGACAGTGGGAGTGGTTGTTGAAGCAGCTTTAAATGAAATTAGAATAACCGTCACTGATAGTGGTGATCCAAAATTTGTAAATCAAAAATTAACTGTACCAGCAAATGATTTAAGAAAAATATTCAATGAAGGTGATCATGTCAGAATCGTAGAAGGTAAACATTTTGATGAAACTGGTTTAGTTATTAAAATTGATGGTGATTCAGTTGTTATAGTTAGTGATCAAACTAAAGAAGATGTTCGTGTGTTTGCTAACTTTTTAGTTAAAGCTACAGATGCTTCTTCCAATGTTAATGATAAAAACTTTAAATATGATATAAAAGATTTGGTTGAATTAAGTGCTTCAACAGTTGGTGTGATTGTTAAAGCGGAGAAAAATATTTTCAACATTCTTACATCTGATGGAAGACTAATAGATGTAAAACCAACACAGATTGCTTCAAAAATTAAACAAAGTAGTCGAGAGCAGATTGCTACCGATAGAAATGGATTCACTATCAAAGTTGGTGATACTGTTAAAGAAGCATTAGGAGATAAAGCAAAAGAAGGTCCAATAATTCATATTTACAAAAATTCATTATTCATTAAATCCAATGAACTTGTTGAAAATTTGGGTATATTTGTAACAAATAGGATGAATGTTGAAACTGTAGCTACTAAGGATTCTATGGTGTCTAAAAAATTTGGTCCAGATTTAAGTGCCATGAATCCATCGTTAAAGCTTCCAGATCCATTAGCAACTCAAGGCTTGAAAACTCGTGTTGGAGGAAGAGACAAATTGTTATATAAAGATGTTGTTGTTACAAGTGGAAGTTATAAAGGTTTAAAAGGAAAAGTTACTGAAGCTGATGATTTATATGCTAGAATCGAATTACACACAAAAAGTAAAAAGATTAAAGTACTAAAAAATAATCTTAATGTATTACTAAAAGAAAGATCAGTGCCTTATTTGAGATTCATTGGTGCAAACATAGATCAACCTCCTGCTGTAAATTCATTCAATCAAAGTTCAATTCCACAATCTTCTGGTGATAGATCGGCATGGAACGGTGGTGCAACTCCTTCTGTTGCAGGTGGAGCCTCTTCATGGAATTCAGGAAATGGTACTTCTTGGGGAGGTGTTTCGGCATGGGGTAGTGGAGCTGGAGGAGCTTCAGTTTGGGGTGACAAGGGTGGAGCATCCGCATGGGGCGCAGGTAATACTAATGGTGGAACGTCTGCTTGGGGTTCAGGTAATACTGGAGGTTCTTCTACTTGGGGTGAAAGACCAGCATCAACTTGGGGTAATAATCGAGGCGATAATTCAACTTGGGGTGGTAATAGAGGAGGCAATTCAACTTGGGGAAGTAAAGGTAATGGTTCCACTTGGGGTGACAGTGGTCAAGGCGGTGGAGGCTCAGTATGGGGATCCAAATCAAATTCTGCTAGAAACGGTAACAATAGTAGTTGGGGTAGTCGATAGTTGGAGCAAATGTATTAGTGCAAATTAAAAAAAAAAAAATAAAGAATGTCTTTTTCATGTTTTACTTCTTCTACAAATCGTTTTTAAAACTAAGTAAATAAATTAAAAAATAAATAGTCTTACATGTATATTTTAACTGTTTTCACAGCCAGGGCAATTATGTAAAGTTTCGTGAACAAAGACGTCACAATTTATACAGAAATCTTGTTTACATTTTATACATTGATATCTCGAACTTGTCATTGATTCTATAACACTTTGACTTGTACCTTCTTTAACTCCCTTTGGAAATTTTAATTGACAACCAAAGCAATATTCACTTTCATATGATGGACTCACTGGAATTTCTTTATATGGAGCTAAGGGTACCAAGTGATGATACGATCTGGCCAAATGTGTAGATAATATTAACATTAGTCCACAAACAGGGCAAATTGTTGGTAAATTACAAACTTTACTTTTACATTGAGGACATTGATAACCGATTATTGATGTAGATGATTGTGGTAGATTTGAATTGACCTCAACAACATCTTTTGACTCATCAGAGCCTTGAGTTGGATGTGATGCATTTAATTGAGGAAATTCAACAGTAAAATCTGTATTACCAATTGATGATGTTAAAGTTGGTTGTAATTTAGAAGGAAATCCCATTTTTATAATTGGAACACCTTTCGATTCTTCCATTTTTTCTTCTTTTTCTGTCAACGGTAGTGGCGTCACACACTCCATCAATAATTCTTTGAAATGTGATTCATTCATTATAACTCCATAATGTTTTGATGATGAATTTCGTGGTTCATTATTTGTTTTGTTCACCATTTCTTGACAAATTGCCACTTGAGCTGAAAGTCCAATCACACTTACTTTTATATTATCTTTCACGAGGCTATCTATAGTTTTATGGATATCTCCAGGATCACTCGTGAATAAGGATCCAAAGACAATTAAAATTTCCTTTGAATTTTTAGTATTATTAGATGTTGTTCCGAAATTGAATTTCAACAATGATCTTGCCATTTCTAAAGTGTTTTGTAAAGAAGGATCTCCTTTTGGTTCAAACTTATTATGCTGTCGTGCTTTTAATTGCCTTAATTTGTCTATGTGATATTGAGGCAGACCACTGACCTCACTTACTAAATTTGCTACCCCATTTCTCATTAGCACTATACCTAATTGTGATATTGGATTTTGATCAAAAAATTCAACAACAAATTCTTGTAAATGATTTAAAGTCAATGATAATCTTGTTGGTCGTAAATCTTTCTCCGCCATCGCTAGTGATCCATCAATTGCTATTACTAAAGTTCTGATTATTCCTCTTTGAAATGGTGTACTGGGATTTTTCATTATTTTCTTCTTTCTATTTTCTATAATCGTTTGAACCATTGCTTCAAATGATCCACTACCTGACTCATCATCTTTAACAATATCCCATGACCTTTGGTATTCGTCTTCCCATGCATAACCATTAGCTCCTTTTAAGTCACTAATTTCTCCATTTCTGCCTCTTGATCTTGTTCTTGCTGATACTCCATCTTTAGGTAATGCTTCTGGGACAGCTGATGATAATCTTGATGCTGGAGAATTTGAACCTGTCAAAAATTCCTCATCTGAATCATCCATAATATTGAACGTATATGAAAATTGAGGAGTTTAAAGTTGGTTGAGAAGATGTTTCCTACAATTATTTTATGAATATCTCTATTTACTTATTTCAATCTGTATAAATATTTGCTTTGTGTAATAATTATGATCTAATCAATATGCTTCCCACTCACATCAAAACATTCTCTAGGTCTAATAAAATGATTTCTAAATGCTTTCTATACCGTCTCCTATACGTGTCAATGCCTGAATTTGATTTGTATTAGTTCATTTAGTAAAACTTTAGCACATAATAGCATTGCAGATATGTAATGCTCAATTTACAGCTCTGAGTTTGACCAAAAGACCCGAGTGCATGCAGCAAGCAACAAACCATGAGAATGTCACAGGTTAATAGTATATTGGATCCTTGTTGTGAAACCTTCCTCTAAGTCTGATCGGGTGAGTTTGAAAGCACTTACACAAAATCATAGTACTTAGCTCGTGAATTTATGCTTAAACCTATAGCGTACACTCTGTTACTGGTATATGTATATCAAGCTAGAGCTTCCAAAATTAAGACTTGAATGGTTAGTCTATAATACACGCGGTACCCTGTGAAGGTTCGTTCAACTTATTCTTCTCTTTTTATGAGAAAATTTATCAATACCACTAGCATAATTCACTTCTCCTTCATCATTAATCTCATAAAATAATGAGTTGAATTCATCAATTTGAACATCATCCACTAATCCCAATTCTGATTCTAAGTAAGGAACTTTTTTCAATTTTTCTTTATTTAAAAAATTTTTAACATGATATTTCTTACCCAAAATGGGTGTTATTTCCAAATTGTTAGTATAACAACTTAATCTATCAAATCCATAAAATTCAATAAATTCATCTTTGGTTAAATTAAATTTATTTGGAGGAAATTCTTTTTCTTCAATATTTGTATTCTTTTTAATTTTAGGATTTGGAGCTGCTTCATTTTCTTGAATATAAAAATTTCGTAACAATTGTATTGCTTCTACTCTACATATACCTCCAATACTTTCGTAAGTGTCATTTGGTAAATTGGGATCTTTATGAATTGAAAGTATAGTCCCATTTCCTCCAAATCTATCATTACCACATCCATAATAAACTTTACCAATTCCTAATTGTCTTAAATATGATGCACACATTATACATGGTTCAACAGTTACATACAAAGTTAAATCCTTGTAATTATAATCTTTTAATTTCTCTAATGCTAAAAATTCTGCATGTTTCGTTCCATTTAATGATATATTTGTATAATTATAGCCAATACTTAATATTTTATCATCTTTAACTACTATACATGATACTGGAGTTTCATTATTTAATAAAGCTTTATAACCAACAAATAAAGCTATGGCCATATATTCAAAATGTTTAGTCAAATCATTCATGTAAATTTGAAAAATGAGGTTGTGAAGATAATGTAATGATGTAATAATATAAAAGAATTCTTTTGCAATCTCCGTATTTAATATTTTTTTGATTTATCATTTTATCTTATGTCTGATTTACAAAAATCATTTTTGAAAAGATTGAAACAAAGAGAAGCATCATTGGGACTATCGCTGTTATCAGAGGATCCAATTGAATCAACTGGACTAAACAATCAAACAAGTCGAGATGAAATAATAAATCAAGACAAGAAAATAGTCAATCAATATAACACTGTCAAATCAAATTTTGAAAATTTCATATATAAAGATGATAATCGATATTTTAAATGTTATTATAGACCTGTTAAAGAGAAAGGACCGGTATTGGTTTGTTTACATGGAGCTGGTTCTTCATCTATGACATTCGCTAGGTTAACAGAACATATTGAATTTAGTGTTTTTTTATTTGATATGAGAGGACATGGTGAATCATTTTTTGATGAGGATTTTTCAATGAATAGTTTAGTTGATGACGTACGTTTTGTTTTGAATGAATTTGTGGAATCATATAAACCAAGTTCTATATTCATGCTAGGGCATTCATTGGGAGGTGCCGTATTTGCAAACTACTTACAGAAATATCAAACAGAGAAGCTTTATCAAGGTTTGATACTATTGGATATTGTTGAAGAAACGGCAGTGTCATCTTTAATTGTTATGCCTCAATTTATTGAAAAGATACCAAAAAAATTTGATTCACTAACGTCAGCTATTCAATGGCATATGAACTTCTTGTTATTCAATGAAAATTCTGCTGAGGTCAGTGTTCCTGATTTACTAAATTTAGACGAATTGACCTGGAAAACAGATTTAAAAAGAACTCAATATTATTGGGATACTTGGTTTCATGGATTATCTAAAAATTTCTTGAATTTCAAAGGTGCAAAACTATTAATACTATCTGCTCATGAAACTTTAGATAAAGAATTAATAATTGGACAAATGCAAGGGAAATATCAATTAGTTGTATTTAATAATAATCAAAAAAGTGGTCATTTTGTACATGAAGATATACCGAAACAAGTTGCCATATGTATAAATGATTTCATTAAAAAGACGATTGCACCAGAGAAATATATGAAAGAAGATTTAGGATTCAAACCTAAATGGGGTGGTAAAATAAATTCATAAATTAAATCGTTCATTTTCATTTCATTCTATAAATAATAGTCGTTTACAAATTAATCAACACTTTTATTATTTTCATCAATTTCTTTTTGTCTTTCATTAATTTTTTCAACCATTTCATCAATTTTCTTACTTGCAAATGGAAATCTAGGATTAATTAAAAATGGTCTTAAATCAAATCTATTATCATCTGGAGAATATTGTTCTGCATGATAAGATGGAGTCATTGTTGTCATTTTATGTCTATTTATAGCATAAAAAAACCAAAATCTTTTAACTTTTTCTGCGACTTGTTCTGCAGTTAAATTATAAGGTGGTTGAGACCATTCATGATAAAGTTTTACAAACATAGCTAAAGGACCACATTTATCAACTTTTCTTAATGTACCAAATCTTGATAATTCATCATAAGTCATTCCCATATCTATTTCATCACTTTGTACATAATCTTTTGTTATTGGTTCCAATTCTGCTGTTGGAACAGCTGTTAGAAATTCATGTAATATTGGTAATTTGAAATTTGTTTCTGCCCATGCTATAAATTTTTTTAAATCTGTTTTAGATATACCTCCAATTGGATTAATATCAGCTGAAGAACAATCATATTTTGTTAAATAACCTCGAAGACATTCATCAACATTAGCACTTCCTAAAACTAAAAGACCAGGTACTGTTTTACCTCTAGTCCAAGGTAATAATTGTGCAAATAAATAACTTAATACCATTCTTAATCTTGCTTGAATATTTTGTAATGCTAAATTTTCAGTTTGTGAACCTCCAAATATTTTAAAAACAGGTTTTTTACCCGTTGCAACTTGAAATAATGAAATTACTGCACTTACTAAATTATCCATATTTAAATCAACATGATATGAACCAATTTTTTCAGATAATATTTTTGCTCTTGATCTTGTTTCTGATGATGAATTTTCTGTACCCATAAATGAAGTATAAAATATTTTTTCAGCAATTTCTTGTGGTGTTTTTGGTGTAAAATTATGATCATGTGTTAAACTTCTAATATCTTTTAAAACTTGTTCTTCTTTAGAGTCAACAACTAACCTACACATTGAATAAACAATCACTGCTGTAGCACATGAATCAATACCTCCACTTAATGGTAAAAAATAACCACCACATTTTGATCTTCTTAAATAATCCCATAACCAACATGCTGGTCCATAAGCAATTTCTTCTTCTGGTGAATGATATTTGATAGCTTTTGGCTTTGTGGGGGCAATTGTTGGATCATATATATAATCTGTTGGAGATAATTCAACATCTGTAAAAATAGCTTTATAAGTTTCTTTTTGATCAACTGCTTGTAATCCAGTTGATCTTTGATTTCTATATGATCTTACATCATCTAAATCTATTGTAGCACTAATAACTTCAACATCTTTTAAAGAAAATTGAGATGCTTGAGCTAATACTTCACCATTTACAACAATTAAAGCACAACCATCATAATATAATCTATCACCATCACAACCTCTTTGATTTGCATATAAATAAACTCCACCACATTTTTTAGTTGCTTCAGTAATTAATTTTAATCTAGTATCTAATTTTCTTAATTCATGATGTGAACCACTTGAATTTGTAAAAATTTCAACACCATCTAAACTCATAGCTATATGTGGTGAATTTGGAGTAAATAATTCTTCACAAGTTTCACAACCTAATCTTGTTTCTGGAGTTTCAATTATACAATCACCAAATATAACTTTTTTTTGATCTGTAATTTTGGTAATATGTCTTGGTAAATTATGTTCTTCATAATATTTAGGTCTATTCCAAGGAGTAAAATATCTCATTTCTCTATAATTACCATCATTTGCTAAAAATAATTTTGGTCTAATCAATAAAATTTTACCATTATATGATATAATTCTACAATTATATTTAGTATCTTTATGAATTATAGGTATACCAATATCTAATAATATATCATATGTTTTAGGATTTGATATAATTTCTCCATAAATTTCCCAACTATGTTGATATAAATCATTTTCTGCAAAATGATCTAAACATCCATAACCACAAATTTCTAATTCTGGTCCAACTCTTAATTTAGCTCCTTGTTTTTTGGATTCTATAATACTTTCAAGAATTCTCTCTCTATTTCCTTCAAAATCTAATGCCCATTGATTTAAATTACATGTTGCAACAGTAACATAATGACCCATTTTTCAATGTTTGTTTGATTAATAGAATCACTGACTGTTCTCGTTTTATTTTTTTCTGTTCTATTCGGTACTAAAGAATACAAATCGAATCATAGGGTGAGATGGAAATATAATAATAATAATAATATTGATGCATAGTCACAAGATCTATAACTTGTAGTAAACTATACCATGAGTATTGCTAAGTTGTTATCATTTATCAGTTGATGGATATTTCCTTGAGAATTGAAGCATCATAAGATGATCTTCTTATTAAAGCTTAATGTACTGATAAACATCAATTTTTATTCCGTCGGAACAATCCAGTTACAAAATTAAATTTTCAAGTTCAACTCCGCAAAAATTAATTTCTCTTATCAATAGAAATAAATATCAAAAATGATTTACAAATGAGATATATAAATAGAATAAATTTCATGATTGAGATTTCTAATAAACATAAAATTCATAAAAATATCACTTCATATTATCACTATAATCAATTAGAAAATGCATAAAGATTCAATTGTTGTTAATAAATTAAAAGATACTCCATTTGGTGCTTCAATTCAATTACCATCATATTGTAATAATGATCCAGCTTATTTAAATGATGAAGATTTTCAAACTTTAAAAGAAGCTGTTGAAACCAATTTAGTTGTTATTATACCAGATCAAGCAAAATTATTACCAAAATCTCAATATATTTTAACAAAAAGATTTGATCCATCAATTCCAGAACCAAAAGAAACTAATGGTGGTGCTAATTATGGTCATGGTAAAGAATTTAGACATGATAAATCTGTTCTTAAAAAAGATGGATGTTCTGTAAAAACACAACCTCAAGTTCAAATTTTAGGACAAGGTAAATTTGAAGCTGATGAAGAAGGTAATGAAAATGGTGAAGCTATTAATTTAACTCATCCTTCTCATACTACTTTTCATCATACTCCATTAACTGAAAAACAAATTAAAGATAATAAACAAACAAGATTTTATAGATGGCATATTGATAGTGCTTTATATGAATTATCTCCACCAATGGTTACTACTTTATTAGGTATAAAGGTTCCTCCAACAACTCAATATCAAACTATTAAATATGAAGATGATGGTAGTGAATTAAAATTAACTCAAGGTGCTACATGTTTTATTAGTGGAGCTCAAGCTTTTCAAGGTTTAAGTGAAGAAGATAAACAATTTGCTTTAAATACTACAGTTGAATATGCCCCACATCCATATATTTTTATATCACCAGCAGGAGCTACATGGGATGGTTTAACAATGGTTTCAGAAGGTAAAGAAATGGATTTTAATGATTTACCAGATTGGGAAGAATCAAAAGTTAAAAAATTACCAATGGTTTGGACTAATCCAACAACTAAAGAACATCATTTACAAGTTCATGGATGTTGTTTATATAAATTACATACAAAAGGAGGTAAAACTCTTGATTTAAAAGAATCTAGAGAAAAAGTACATCAATTAATGAGACCCGCAATTTCACCAGAAAAAGTTTTAGCACATTCTTGGAAACAAGGTGATTTAGTATTATTTTTTAATCGTGGTGTTTGGCATTCAGTAACTGGTGAATTTAAAGGTTTAGGAAATGATGGTCAAGATGAAAGAAGATTAATGCATCAATGTAATATTGCTAGTGGTGTTGATCCAGTAACTGTTTTTTAATAATAGCAAAAAGGTTGTTTAGTATATTTTAGTTCTTTTGTCAATAAACGTTTATAATGGTATAATAATTTCTAAATATTGTAGACTAGAGCAAATATTAAAATTTGTATCACGTTTGGTAGTTTCGGTTAATTATTCAAATTATATATCCGCTTTACTTAATAAATAATAATATCAATATTATCAGTATTATCCTTTCTGATCTATTTCTTATAATCAAAACCAATCAAAATATGCAATACGTGGGCAAAGTAGGGGGATATGTATACAACCAATGGAATTCATTAAATCCCGCTACATTATCTGGTGCAATTGATGTAATAGTAATTGAACATCCAGATGGAACATTACATACTTCACCATGGCATGTAAGATTTGGAAAATTTCAAATAATTAAACCATCACAAAAGAAAATAGATTTATATGTTAATGATGTAAAGACTAATTTACCTATGAAATTGGGAGAAGGAGGTGAAGCTCATTTTGTTTTTGAAGTAGATGATATAAATCATGAATTATCAAATAGTGTTTTAACTTCACCTGTTATTTCACCTGTTTCTTCTCCAGGAAGTTATGCAGCTTCAGGAAGTGATAATGAACCAGATGAATTAGATTTAGATGAAAAAAGTAAATTAAGTGATATACCTAGTCCCAAAAGTCCTTCACAAAAAGCTAAAATAGCAATGGAAAATGCAAGGAAAATCACTAAAAAATTAAATATACCAACAAAAATAGATATGAATGGAGATATGCTAATAGATATGGATGGTTATAAACCAAATTCACAAAAAAATATTGATAATTCGGATGAATTATTTAAAAAAATATTTTTAGAAGAAATTGAAGGAGATTATGCAAATGGAGATAATGCAGCAAAACCTTGGAATCAAATAATAACAAAAGATGAAAATGGAAATATTAGAATTTCAAATATTTCTGATTTAGAAGGTGTTGATATTGAAGATGATTTAATTAGTTCTTCAACTACAGCTACTTCAAATACAACTGCATCAGGTACAATATCTAGAACATCTACAATTCAAGATGATAAAATATATTTTAAAACTTTAAGATTAACTTCTGAACAATTACAAAATATGAATTTAAATTATGGTCAAAATTCTTTGAAATTTAAATCAAGTGAAGGTACTTCTCAAGTCACTGCAAATTTATATTTATGGAAAGCAAATGCTCCAATTGTGATATCGGATATTGATGGTACTATAACAAAATCAGATGCATTAGGACATGTTTTAAATTTAATAGGTAGAGATTGGACTCATCCTGGTGTTGCAAATTTATTTCAAGAAATTAATCAAAATGGATATCATATAGTTTATTTAACTGCAAGGTCAGTAGGACAAGCTGATTCAACAAGACAATATTTGGAAGGTGTAGTACAAGATGGTTTAACTTTGCCAAAAGGTCCTGTGATATTAAGTCCTGATAGAACATTTGCAGCATTAAGACGTGAAGTTGTTTTGAAAAAACCAGAAATTTTTAAAATGGCTTGCTTATCAGATTTACGAAATTTATTTTATGAAAAATCTGAAACTAATGATGATGAAGATAATGACCAAACACCATTTTATGCTGGATTCGGTAATAGAATAACAGATGCTATAAGTTATAGATCAGTACATATTCCAAGTCATCGTATATTCACAATAAATCCAAATGGAGAAGTTCATATGGAATTGTTAGAATTAGCTGGTTATAAATCATCATATTTACATATTGGAGAATTAGTGGATCATTTTTTTCCACCAATAAAAGAAGTTAACACAATTTCATCATATTGGAATAATGCTCAATGGTCAGAATATATGCAAAATCATGATATAAATGATTATGATGCAAGATCAATAAATACGCATTATCTGCCACCAGGATCACCTGGTCCAACCCCTGGATCACCACGTAATTATGTTGAAGATTATAAAACTGATGAAAAATTTAATGATGTGAATTATTGGAAAACAAGTTTGAATTTTGATGATTTGAGTGATATTGATGAAGAAGATATGACGACTAAAAATTTAAAAGGAAATGGAAAATTACTGCATCATGATCATGAAAAGAAAGACCATAGTGATAATCCGGAATTATTACAGAAACTGAAAAGATCAAGAGCCTCAACTATTGAAAGACCGTTATCTGCATCATTTGCATCACCATTGAAAAGTTTTATGCTGTTTAGTAAAAGAAATCAAAAAGATGATGATGATGATGAAGAAGATGAAGATGATGAAGAAGAATACGATGAAGAAGATGATGATGATTATACTGATGACGAAGTGGAAGAGGAAGATGATGATGATTACGATGAAGAAGATGAAGATGAAGACGAAGATGAGGATCAAGATGACGATGAAGAATATGATGATGAAGATTTTGATGAAGAAGAAGATTTAGATCAAGAATTAGAAGATAAAGCTGCATTAACAGAAGATACAACAACTGCTATAAAAAATGAAATACTTGCTTCAGGTTCAACAAATCTAATCAAGGCTAGTGAGTTTGAAAACTTAAAAATATAGATAAAACGAAATATAATGACCGTGCATTGCATATTTTAACTTGTTAAAAAACTAACATTTCTATAAAAATCCAACATTGGATTTTCTCCATATTTTGTAGTAGTGGCATCAACATCTGCCCATTGTTCTAAAAAGTCTTTATGGGTGGTTATTTTAGAAATTTTACCTGTAATTTTGGTGTATAATTCATTCGCCATTTCGAAATCTGTGGCAAACATTATATCGAAATATCCTTGATGTACCATGTATGTTGATACATCGATTGTTTCTTTATTTAAGACTGTTTGTACCACAGGTCCATTAAATCCTTTGATGGTATTTGGTAATGCATGAAAATCAGAACTAATTAATGAATGATTAGGAAATTTATGTTTTAAGATATTGAAAAATTTTAATAATCTTGTTGGAATATATTCAGGTGGTGTTAAATCATCGTTGAATGGTAATATTGAATTTTTTAATTTAAGTTTGGTTGTTGATTCCAACAAGGGATGAGTAGACTTATAAAAGCTTTGTAAAGACTTTAATTTTCCTGCTAATGTATTTTGTTGATTTAAGATTGAAAATTTTCCATTTTCTCGTAATTGTAAATATGCATTTGAGTATTCACTTAATTCATTGGTAAAAAATTGATAAAAATCACCCTTTTTATCAATTAATACTTTTCCTTCTAATGGTTCACCAGTATTTATATCATATGCTATCATATCATGAGCAAAATTATCAAATACTTCAAGTGCAATGAAAAAACATGGTTCTTCAACCACTTGATCCCATTCAAAGATAGACTTGTTGTGTATTGTCAAAATATTTGAATCCAATCCTTCTTCTTTTAGTTTCTTTGTATAAGATTCTTTCTGTTTCGTAGCTAATTGATTTGAAATTTCTATTATCTTATATTGAGTATTGGAATATATTTCTGGTTCATGCTTTTTAATGTAATTTAATATGTTACACATTAATGTACCATTACCACCTCCCATTTCATAAATAATCAAATCTTCATAGGGATAATTCCCATTTAATTTATAATTTAATAAGATATACCTAGCTAAACTTTCACCATAATAAGGATTAAATAATTCTGTTGGTGTATGCCATAGTTGTGAAGACTTTGAATATTTTGAATATGATTTACCCCATTCTTCTATAAAATCATCTATATCTTCCACTTGATTATAATTAAATGGTTTAGAATGATAAATTTCAACTTCTTTCATAAAATATCCATAATTCTTATTATATAACAGATCTTCAATGAAATCAGACGTTGTCATTATAACACCTTTCGGTCTTGTCTTTTTATTTAATTGTTGTTTTGACGTAACATGTGGATATGATGTGTATGTCTCATTTATTGAACTTTCGAATGGGAAATTTACTGCTTTTTGATATATCAATTGAAATGGATTTAAAGGTCTGTTGAATGATGGTACCTTGAATGTATATGTTGTAGGTGATATTGAATATTCATAATGATTAGGTTTTGGTGGCGGGGGAGGTTTTAGTTTGTTTAATCGTCCTTTAAATAGGTTCCTTCGTAGTGTTATCATTTGATTGAAATTGATAGATACAATTGATGAATAGACTAATTGAAATACGTAAACTTTTTTTTTTGTGAATCCAAATTGGTTGCAAAAAATTAGTAGGCCTACATTGACATCAGTCTAATCTAAGACCAATTGAGACAAAAAATACAGTACATAAGCTCAAATTTACAAGCTTGTTGTTTTTTATTATGCTGATAAACTCATTCCAAATGATCGCTCAAAAGTTGCTGTACTTATCATTCAAAAAATTTTCAATTAGTCTTTCACCTTGATATTTTGGCTATCATTTGATAGAGAATCAAATCAAGAGGACATTTAAAGCGTAAAGTTTGGGTTCATATGAAGCTTTTTAGTTACCAAAGATACATTCTATTAATCAACGACTGAAATGCACCGGGGACTTATTTCAAGTTTGACAATGATCTCAATTGCTACTCCTTTCATATATTTTCCACTCAGACTTCGAGCATACGGTTTTTAATTAGGAGCAGCATTCTGCAAGCTCTTCCTTTAAAATGTTGTTTTTAAACCAAGGCTAGCAAAGTGAACATATTGAACTTTTTATATAATTGAATGCTGTGTAGTCAGCTCTTATTAAATCGTTACCATTCTGATCTGAATCGAGTGAGAACTCGAATAGGCAAATTCTCCCAAAGTCCAAAACAATGGACTTGGTTTTGTTCTTTGCAAGTGCCTCAGACCAGCACTGCTAAGTCAAATAGTCTCTTTGAGTGAGATTAGCCTGCTTTTCTTTTCCATAGCGTATGTTTTCTTTTCATCTTTATGGTACAAGCGTAATCATCAACAATTTCGATATCAGGGTCAATTTCTATGTCCGTATCCAACTTTAACCAAGATTCCTCAACAATATTGAAGTTCATAATAACTGACAATTTTTTAAGCTCTTTGATAAGGTATAAATTTAATGCTTTTTCGTTGTTGATGTAATGTTTATTGTTTATTACTATTGGAGACTTTTCCCTGACTTTTCTCAATTTGTTGTTTGTTCAGCGTGATTTCTTTTCTCCAAGCAAGTATTGTTTTGTCGTTAATCATGTGACGATCATAAACAAATTTATTGTGTCTATACTTTTGAATGCCCTTGTCTTTCGTGGTGATACTTTTGAAATTTCGGTACCTATCTCGAATACAGTTGGATATTTGAAATACCAGCCAATGCTCATCATTCTGACGAATACTTTATTCTTTCCAATTTCTGAATTGCCATAAATGTTTGCCAATTGTAATCAAGTTTTGCATTACGTTGTTGACATAAATATCCTCATTCTTGATTACCTGAGAGGTAGTATATTACGAGAAAGCATTGTATCAAAAAAATTGTCAAGAGCTCTGCGACCACTTTGCCTTCCATTTTTTTTTGGCGAGCTCTTGACTTGCTAGTAATCAAATATCAAGATAATTTTGGAGTTATTAATTACCTGATCAAAATTTTTTACTAATAGCTTTAATTCTTCTTCTGATACTTCAAGACCTTCAATGTTTGTCATTGCTTATATTTGTTTTGAAGACTTCAGTAGGAATGATTACAAAAGTTTTGCATATCAGAAAATTAGTACAATATCTCTTTTGCAAATTACTGATCGTTTACGAATTTGTTATGAGTTTCAGATTTAAGATTTTGCAGCCGTTTTTATATGCAGTACCAAGTCCTAATAAAATTACTCAGACTTAGGGCAAACATTGAATGAAGCATAGAGCTCTGAAACCTTTTTATCTTTTTTCTAACAATGCTTTGTCAATTTCCTAAGCTCATTTACTCATTGAATAAATAAATCATTTACATCGGTAAAGTTTGAAACACAACAAGTTCATTTCTTTTCCTTTCAAATCGGTTGTACATCAACGGTCTAGCTAGCTTTGCTGTAAAATTGATGAGGAAAAGATTATTTCGATTGATCATCTGTATGAACTCTACTATTTGATTGAAAATTTTTATCAAAGCATCTGCAAACCCTTATTTTTCAAAAAATAACTTCAATAGTTTCTCTTAAGTAGATCTCGTTTCAATTATGCAATATATAACAATTTAACTTGCGCATTGAATGATGATAAATCTTAATATTTGTTCTGAGGTGAAAATTGTAACTGCTCGTGCTCATTGATAATATTCAAAACTAAATTGCAAACATAACCATCTTGAATGAGATCCATTTCAAAAAGTTCTTCAATTGAATACTCATTTTTCAAAATTATATGTAGTGTTTTGGGAGTTTTACTGTGGTTAATAAGTGACTCCCCTTTTTTAACTGAAATTTCAGTGCTCTTGAAAAAGTATAATGGCCATTGACAAGATATGATTTGAAAATAATCTGGTGTAAACATTTCTATATTTTCAATAAAACCAAACAGGTAAAAGTCATATGGTCTTGTAAATCTGGGCCACCAGGATATTCTTAAATTTGGATTATCAAAATATAGTCTAGCAATTTCAATTGCAAAATGATCATTAGCAATATCAGTACGTATTGTTAACTTATGTAGTTTTGAAATATCAATCAATTTCAAGTCCAAATCATGTGACGACAAACTTAAATTTGTCAATTTTGATAAGTTGGCATTAACGAACATTTCCCAAAATTCAAATTTTTCAAATATGAGATCACTTTCGTATTCTACTTCGCTATAATGGTCTAAAGATAATGAAGCAATTTCCTTAGAATAAAAAAAATTATTTAATGTGAACAACCACTTTCTTGGCTCTTCTTTAATTTTTAAGTCACTTTCGTTCGGACTACCGTTCAAAAATTTGTGTTTAGCCCAAAATATTATTTGAAGTTTCTTTAATTTGCAGTCAACTTTATTTAATTTTTCAAGCAATAGTGGATCCGTTAAATCAACAACATCTCTAAAAGCAAGGTGCAATTCTTCTAGATTTTTAAATAAGTTTATATTGTTAAAAATTTCAATGGTTCTCTGTAGTTCATGCAGCAATTTGCGTCCAATTCCAGTTCTGAAACTCATAGGTAGCGCCATAACGTAAAAATGAAAGTGAATGCGGCGTTGCAGTTTTAAAATGAGTTCTGGGAGCGCGAAGTTTTTTTTTTTTTTAGTGAGAAAAAATAGAAAAAACGCAGTCCTCGTAAATGAGCTACTAAGTAAGTTGAGCTCGTATTTAACCGGTTATTGAAGTAGTTCTGGTATTGATAGTAGCAATAACTCATGGATCTAAATGATAATGAAAATAATGATGTAGTTGGTGATGAAGCTGTTCTGGATTTATTGAATTGTTATAGATTTGGCTTTGTTCATTATAGACTTCACTATAGATTTTGTTCTTGATTTATTGAGTTTTCCAGTTATTATTTTGGTTGTTGTTTCAGTTATTTTCCTAGGTATTATTTTACGATACAATATTTAGTATTTTTTAGTTTTGTAGTTATTATTGTTTTTGTTACTGTTTTGATTATTAATTTAGTTTTTTATTAGGTTATTGATTGAGATATGAAAACAGTTATAAATTCTAGTTATGAGTTTGGAAATGAAACCTAAGAATGTACGATATTAAGTATTAGTATATTTTCTTCCTTTTGTGTTTGGAAGTTATTTTGAACTTAGTTATCATTTTAGTCATAGAATTAGTTTCTGATTTAACTAATATTCTAGTTATTTTTCTACTTAATATTTCAGTTATTATTCTAGTTATTGTTTCAGTTACTATTTTAGTTTTAAATTTAGTTTTGATCTTGTTATTTTTTACTTCTTGTTTTTGTTACTGTTTTAGATACAGTTTTAGTTATTAATTTGATTATTAATTTGGTTATTAATTTGGTTATTAATTTGGTTCCAGTGATTATTCTAGTTAAAATTTCAGTTACAAA